GGAAGAAAACCTTGACTTTCATGGCGCCTCCGTTTGAGGCTGTTGACACTTGGGTGAGAGAGCTGGCCTGTCGGTTCATCGGCGCTGGTCTGTCAGCCGGATGCGAGACGGAGGGCTGATTGCGCTGGTGCGAAGCTCGGTCGGGGTGCGAGCTCATCTGAGCCTGAGATGACTGGCGGGACGCGCTGCGCGATGCCTCCTGCGTGGAGGAATGGTGCGAGCCGCCGGAGTACCGAGCATCTTCTCCAAACGCGCTCGGGTCAATTTCAAAGTCACCTGGGCGAGGCGCGAATAGCTGACGGACCAGCTGGCAGCGGGAGATATGGGGAGGCATGGCCAGGAGCTTCTTTATGTATTCGTCCAGGTTCTGGCGACGGCCGTTGGAGATCGCATCGGTGACATGCGTCACAGGTCCGGGCATAAATGGTAATGTGCGCGGCTTGCCGCGATTTCCGGCCTCCTCCTCGAATTGGGTCAGAAGCGCAATCTGGAAATCGTAGAAGTCATGATAATAACGGGACAACTCCCAGCAGCGGCCGTCCTCCATTTTCGCCTCAATAATATACCAATACTTGTCGTTATCAAAGCAGTACCGGGGAATAGATGCGGCTACCGGAGCGACCAGAGGCTGATGGTGATTCGGCATCGGCGGCTGCGACAGGTGTTGAGGTAGGGACGCTTTGCTCGCGTTCCGATTGTGATAGCCCTGTACAAGAAATCAGCATGAGCATGCGCATCGCCAAAGGAAGAGAGCAAGAAGGGGGACTTACGTAGGCATTTCCATTTTGGCTTGCGTGGCCGGCGCTGTTGCGCCCCATGGACATCTTCTCAACTCCAGAGGTCACGGACTGCATTGCTGATGCGGCCGAGTCAATCTTGCCGAGGGTGATGCTGCTGTTCTTGTATTCTGCCGTCATTTTCTTCCATTCTTCAACCCTTGGTACACCAGCGCGCTTAACTGCCTCCAAAGGATCGGTTACCGCTTGACCGGTTTGCATGTCCCGAAGTTCGATGAATGAGACGGGGATCAGGCCTGGACCACCTAGACGACCGATGGGCTTCGCGACGAACCACTCCGGGTTGGATTGGGCGATGACAATAATCGCTTCCCCTGCTTTCGCGTCGAGTTCATCCGGTCGCTCTGCTTGGAAGTCATACTGGACGATACCATAGACCATGGCGCTCGAGGCCTTTCCTAACGTCGACATCCTGGGAGTCGCGGGGAAGTGCTGAAGTTGGGTGGGAGTATGATCGGGGGAAGGAAACCGAGCGGGACCACGATCTGAGAAACCCGAGTCGTGCGACTCTTTCTTCTTATGAAGATCGACCGACCCGCCACTATCTCTTTCGTTCTTGCCGATGACCTCAAAAAAGGAGACAGGTACCAACCCCCTGGCACTAGGGATGAGGGGATTGCACGCTTCGTACCAGTCCAAGTCGTCCTCCCTGCTGATAACGTGGAAGAAGTCGCCCTTGCTGAACGCTAATTCTTGCGTGTTCCCGGGTTCTGGTTGGTAGTCGTAGAGAGCTTTGATAACCTAGACGTGAAAAAGGGGACGCGCGGTCAATACCAACTTCCAAGAATTTGCCAATGCGACTGGAATGAGGGGAGTAATTTGAAAGGGGGAGGGGATGAAAAGTGATAGCCTAGCTATACTCTTTCAATGCTGGAGGGAAAGGGGGCCGCAGCGGTTCATTTGTGTTTGGTGGCTAGGATAAGGCTTACCTTCTTGGGTGGCAGAATCGCAATGGCTGACTTGGGAGTGATTGACAGATGGTGGTGGTGGTGAGGTTTGGGGTCCTTTTCCCCTTTGAGAGATCGCCTGATGGCCTATATATTTTGAACAGTATGTGATTAATTTGCCATAGCAATAAAGGAGGGAAGGTGAACTGAAAAAATAAAAATAAAAATAAAAAATAAAATAAAAAAGTTTGGGTAAATAATGGCGAAGATATTCCAAGAACAGGAATAAGAAAATCAACACTAAAATCGGAATCGGAAGAAAAGAGACCACAAGCGACAACCATAATCGAGATAAACGGGAGGCGGGGTATGGATGATTATGGTGGAAGGAGGGGGCAAGCCGGCTGCTTGAAACGAAGGGGTTGCGCACAGTTCACTAGGTAGTATCAAAGAGCTTTGGAATCAAAACATACCTTCATTCTTTCTTTTCAAGAAGGACGAACTAGTGGAATCGTACTGGTAGCACGTACTCGGCTGGAGAGGTTGGATCAACGACAGCAGCCTGTAGGTTGGGAGACTCAAGGGGATTGCGAAAGAGTGAGGTGGGTTCGAGAGGCAAGACAGAAAGAAGCAATATAACCCCAAAATTAAATAGAAAAAGAGTGTAACAAAAGTAATCAGATCTTTGGATTCATACAAAGAGAAAATGAGTGTGAGAGACCAAAAGTTGATTGTCCCTGTCTGTGTGCGGAATTGAGTGAATAAGGAGAGAGAGCACGTTGTAGTCAAAGAAATGATAAAGTACTGGAGATCTCCGTTCAAATAGTGATGACAACGCTGGTAAAAGAGAGTTTGGAGAGTAGTCTAGCCGTTGGAGTTGTAATAGTAGTAATAGGTCCCTATCGTGGATCTCTTGAGCTTTCTCTTTTTTCGCTTCACCCTCGTGCTCGATCACTACCGTGGATACGTGATGTCTGGTTGTTCTGGGTTTGCGAAAGAAAGTGGCCCGCTTTGGTGGTGGTGTCTGGGATTTCCCTTCTCGCCCCCTGAAAGGGTAAAAAAGAAAGACTTTCTGTCTGGTTTGGGCTGGCTGGGAACCCTGTCGGTTTTCAGAAAACCACTGCAGGCTGGTTGACGATGGTATTCTCGATCAATCAGCTGAGTGGGAGAGAAGCGCGCACTTCTAATGACGATAGACACGGACCGTCGCCTAGTAGTCAGGTAGTATTTTTGGTGGTATTTTTACACACCAGCTGAAAGCCTTATGGCTCATGGGGGAGTATAAAGTACTTTCTTCTATGCCTGGAGTAGAAGACTAGGTCGCTAGTGTCGGGGGCTGTGATCTACTCTTTTGTAGGCACTCCGCATATAAAGACGACCGTGAAGGCCAGAATTTTCGACATTTTACAAGTTTTCAGGAAGTACTCTTGTCCAGAACTAAGGTATGATGCAAAGTGGTGGGATCCCTCCAACCGCTTCTCGGGATTCAGCTAGAGAGGCAGAAGGAATATTAGGGACAGATAACCCATAGCTATATGGTGGCGATGATCATATGTACAACAGGAGAATATCACCAACGACCTGACAACGATTCAATCAATCGCCTCGAAAGAAAAGACATGATGCTACAGCTTTACAGTAGGGTTGATGGGTACTTACCGTGCCTAGTATACTATGTGGAGATGCTGATGGTACAGTCCACTTTTTAGCAGTGGCTTCCTTTGTTTTCCTCTTTTTTAAGCCAAAGTCAAAAAAGCCAATATCTAAGACTGCGTTTCAAAGGTCCTCGTGGTAGATGGCCTTCACCTGAAGAATTATAATCCACCGTTTACAGTTATTCTGGAATGTCTCGACCATGGCTGATACCCATAAAGTGGACCATCCCTGTCTTCTACAGAGCTACTTGGGTACTGTACCTTACAGCGACTAATCTGGTAAGGCACCAAGGCAGATTCACAGGCCACTATATCCAGTGCGTCGGAAGATGGTCCCCAGCAGTAGTCCCAACCAATCCGACCAGGGTCCCTTAGGGCCAATAGATTGGCTAATGCACACAATGCTGGCGACCATCGGGCAGCATTACAAGATCTTCCACAATCAGTTCGAGAGAATCTGCTAGAATCCAGCAAATACGGCGGCTAAATTAGCTGCTAATTTCCTTTCCGTCGAGGGCTTAGCACCGTTCGCCGAATCGGAGGACGATGGGGCAGACTCAGCCAAGGCCTCTTGAACGTACCGTATTCCACCCTCGCATTGTGGGATGGCAGCCACATGGGGTTTGGGTCGCCACTTTGGATTTGACTCTTCGTTTCTTGGTAGCTGTGGAGGCGCTATTATTGGCGAGGATTCAACGGCGTGAGTCTGGCCCACCACATCTGTCTTTCAATCTAATTGGCCAAATCTCTACTGTCAAAATCCAAAGGCAGGTATGATCATGAATCCTACCTACAATCTCAATTTCTATAGATAGATAGCTACATGGGCTATCGAGTATTCGAAGATATCCAGATATCATCAACAGTTCAGGACTTTTGAATGCTGAAATCCTGTTTCTAGCAAGCCAGGACTACCTATACCATACTACCCGCTATGCACCCAAAACGGGCTGCAACATCTCCCCGATAAGACCGTCTCCAGCAGTACCATGGCCCAGCATCCACAGTCCCAGATTCCAATATCTCGACCTTCTCCGCTTCATCCCAGATTTTGGGGCTATCAATAGGAACCTGGGGCGAGACATCTTAATCCCTGAAGGTTAACATGAGCAATCAACTAGCCTATCTTCGTCCCTCGGACCGTGGTTCATACAGCGGCCTGTCGATGATCGCTCGGATCGGCCAGTATATCCTACTATAGTCGCACGTATTAACCAGACAGCTTCAAGTTCGGACAAACCTATGAGGTAATGTCCAGAATCCTCCGAAATCGGCAGTGACAATCCTAGTTCACTGTGCTACCAGACTTTCAGAGTCCTGTGGATCGAGGATCGGATTCTAAATCAGACAAGGCCCAGATGGCACAGCTGCTGCATCTCGATGCAGGTACCCCTTGCATGCTGGAATAGCTTTTCAGCCGATCGGGACTACAGTACGGAGCAATTGTATTTGGCACCGCCGATGACTGTGTTTGGCAGTCCGCCGATCCTGCAGAGTCGGAGCGCTTAAATCATAGCGCTGTGATTCAGGCAATGAGACTCCTTGTCAATGAGTGGCTTACCTGATGATGGCTCCTTGTGCCCAATGATCTCAATCATACTGTATCTGCAGACAGGTCTTATTTGAAACTGGCCAGTGTCTTATCGGACTGCAAAAGATAGCTACCACCGGTGCTGAAAGTACTTTTGACATTGCTAAGTATCACTAAATTACGAATACTAGGACTTAAATGCTAACCCATTTCCACATCCCATCCATAACAACGCCAAAAGTCAGAGAAAATAACGCTACCATGCTTCCGGGCTTAAGTGAGCTGATCTCAAAAGCCAAGAAAGAGATATGCAAAACACCGTCAAGGCTCAGGAGCATAGAGAAGACCGAAGCGGACGTGAACGGGAAACATCGGAGGCACCTGGTGCCAGTCGACTATGCCGTTCAATGAAAAAAAGGGGAAGTAAAGGAGACGAAATCAAGGTGCAAGGGTATTGAGAGCACTGAGAGACGGGAAACTCGTATATGCCGATAATCAGTGGGGTGTGGACGCTGGCTGCAGTAACGAAAAACTCGGGATCAAATCTGTCCTTTTATATCAACGACTCTGTGGGCTTCAGACTTGGCCGCCTCGAAGAGTTGCGCAGCCCTGCCGCTCGTGAGCAGCGTCACGGATCCATCTTTCTCTTGGAGTAAATCCTCAGAGGCATGGTCCAGGATAAAGCGTGCACTCTGTTCATCGGACTCAAAGCCAAGTTCCTCGGTGATAAAACGAATCTTTACGTCGGGTTTGTAGCTGTTGTCATCAAGTCAGCCCGCAAAGAACAGCACACAACGAGCAGAAGAACACTTACGCTTTACAGATGGCCGCAAGTGCGGAAAGTCGCTCGCGGTCCACAAACATGTCCATCAGATAAGCCCCCATATTAGGGGTGTCGAGGTAGAGCTGGAAGAAACGATGATAGTTTCCCAGGGCAAGAGCTGAGCGAACATCCAAGGCATGTTTGACAGCAGGATCACGCTTGTCTGCTGCTGTTAGATCGGCCAACGCATCGTTCATAGCCGTCCAATTGCGAGTGTGGATGAAATAAAGAATACGATACGCCTTAAATTCTGTAGGATGCCCACCGAGATTCTGGGCATATAACGCTCGCAGCTGTGTCTGACATTGATTATACTCACCAAGATCTCCCTTCTCGAGCGCAATGCGGGCATGAATCTCATAGACACTGACGGTGAACTCGTTTCTGATATGCTGGACAGTCAGATCTTGTCGCAGAGACTTGAACTGGTCGCAAATATATCCATAATTGTTATCTTTCTTCCATTTCTTTTTCAGAAGATCCAGGGTCTTGTGCAAAACATGCAGCGGTCGAACGGTGTCTGGATTCGGCGCTGAAGTCAAGCGGAAGTAGTTCTTCTCCAGCTCCTGGCACCGTCCAACAACAGGTCCCTGATTGGCACTGGGCGCTGGGGATTCCCCACGAGATGAGGATGGCGAAGAGCCATATCTGGCCCGCGGTTCTTCGAAACGTTTCCTCCGCATTTCCAAATTAGCTTTTGACTTACTGGGGTTCTTATGATCACCACGCTGGCGCTTGTCTGCTGAGGGATAAGTAGTTCGATCTCCAAATGCATGATGGTTGTTAGTCTGCCTCCATGGTGGACAGCCGTCTTTGTCCCCGTACTCAGCCAATTTTCTTTTCCTAGAAACGTCCTCGGTCACGGTGTCCGGTTTCTGAGCAGCAGTTAAAAGAGAAGCACTCCAACCAGAGACAGCAGGGTTGGTAAGGATCTGGTTGCGCTCGTTTTGAATCATGACTTGCGGTAGGGGCAATGCATCCCAGTTGATCTTCTCCAGCTGATTCTTCTCTGCCGCCTCAGTAATGACAGTCTTCAGTTTCACCTCCATCTCCTGCCGGTTGACTCCAGGAAGTTGGTTCTCAGGCGCGAAGCTTCGTTGTACATATGATCGAAGGGGGGCTGGCCATTCTACTCGTTTGCGAGGTGCTTGAGTTGTCGTTGGCTGCGGCTGAGGTGCCATGGCGGTGGTAGATGTATGAGCAAAGCTACGGCGTGCTTGAACAGGGATATATGCAGGGGTTGCTAAGTCACAGTTAGAAATTGAATAGGTAAAGATATTAGAGTAAGAAGACACATACCATGTGCAGGAAAGTGAGGGGCCGTAGCAGTAGCAGACGCGGTAGCACGCCAAGGTGGGATACCGGAACTCATGATGGCAGAAACTTGTACAAAAGCATAAACAAAATTAAAGAAAAGTAGGAAATATTGTTAAAGGAGAAAAATATATGAGGATCGAGAAGAGAAGAAGAAAAGGATTAGACTACGCGTTGCCTGGCTCTCGAGTAGAGTGATCAGAATTCCTTCATACACACCAGGAAGGTGAGAAGTTGGCCAGGTCACTTCAAAATCTATATGATTATGAGAGATAATAGGCCAACTAGTAGGTGATGGTGAGTGTGAGTGAAGTTGAGTAGACGAAGCTATCCTAGTGATAGATGTCGCTACTAGGTCCAAGTGCAAAAGTGAGGCCTTTGAAAGGAAGGAGGAGGTCAAGGTTCTCGCTTACTCTCTCTGGGCTGGTGTGGCGGAGAGAATGTGAGGATGCGCTGTTGGCAAATCTCGCTCCCTGTATCTCCCTATCAACTGCGTGCTGCCCTTAGCCCACCTTACGTCAGCGGGGTGAGTCGAGATGGAGCGTGACTTGGGATATTTCCTGCAATTGGACTTGATTGTATAATTCTCTTCACAGTTAAGAGGGTGGAGAGATGCTGGATGAGCTTACTAGATGTTCTTCAAGTCTCTGGATCTGACCACTGCTCTCCGTCCCTCATTATTGCCCGATGAGACTTTGCTCTTCGTCCAGGATGCGGTGGGGTTATATGAAGGGTGAGTTGCCAGCAAGCTGTTCCCCAGTTGTTCCTTGCATATGCCACTGCTTTGACATTCGGAAGCTTACTGGCGAGTATTGTTCGTATACACAGAAAGTTCAAGGTCCCAAATTATCAAAATGGCCATGCGTACCTCACATCCCACCGAGTCTGCTATGTCGCCGTTGACGAGCCACGCAAGTACTCAGTCGCCATCGACTTGAAGGAAATCGACCGAGCGGATTACCAAGTATGCTTGATGGTTGAGTCCGTACTATCATTTGCTCCCGAGCTCACCCTTTCCAGGCAGGGTTCCTGAAGTCGTCTTCGAAGATTATTTTGCACCCGAAACCCGCAAAGAATGACCTCAAATCGAAGAGCGCAGGAGCTAGCCCCTCCGCATCACAGTCTCCAGCTTTCCAGTCCGGGAGATCGCAGTCTCCACTCCTAGCAACCCCATACAAGCAGCCAGCACCCAAGCCTCTGAACGCGACCTGGGTCTGCCCGATATGCTCGTTCACTAATCCGGTGCCTTCTAATTTCGACCCAGCAACGGCTACTGCTTCTACTCACTTGCCGCCATGCTTGGCTTGTGGCATAAAGCCGCCATTTACGACCGTTCTGAAAGCCGCAATCACAGCTGCCGCTAGCCGCGAAGCCGCGCAAATAAATCCAACTTCACATGAGCCTGGTCAACCCGGAAGCAATGAGGATGAAATCGTGCGCAAGCCAAATGTCTCGATACCGTGTCCCAGATGTACATTTGTGAACCATCCCTATCTTCCGGAGTGTGAAATATGCGGGGCTCCCCTAGCCTCCGCAGTCGCTCGAGCAGCTTCTGCTGAGGACCCCCGTCGTTCAGAATCTCCAGCGCCTGTATTCGGACAAGGGAACATCGCCAATACTGAGATTTTCGAGGTAGTCAAATTATCCTTCCGCGGAGGCGGTGAAAAGACTTTCTATGAAAGGTTGAAAGGCGCCTTGGTCCAACGAAAGTGGCTGCTCTACGATGCGCCTCCTGTTCCGCAGCAGCCATCGCAATCTCCTGCCGCGCCGAATCTTACAGCCTCTGGTGCCGTTGCTGCCAATGTTTCCGCGCCAGCCCAACCCCGGTCCCCCGCAGTAGGAATCGCGGGCCTTGAGCAGCGGGGACTTGAGGCCCGTAGAAACAACGAGGTGGTAATAGGCAGTTCGTTTGAAGATCTTGAGGCCTTGATGGCGTCTGCTAAACGTATCATCAATCTTGCTGAAACGCTCGCCAGGGAATCAGGTATGGCCGGTGACGAGAATTCTGCAGCAACCAACGCAGTGCTCTCAGAATCCGCTGCCGCCCTTGGGATGGCCACGACCAAAGATATGCTTGGCTCTGGTGCTGAGAATTTATATCTCTCCGAACTTTCACGGAACTTAGCGGAGTACCTCACCGACGATAGAAAAGGTATCTTACAGAAAGAAGGCGGTATCATGAGTCTGATTGATCTTTGGGCGATTTTCAACCGCTCCCGAAACGGGGTGGAACTAGTCAGTCCTTCTGACTTCCAGAAAGCAGCGGAGCTCTGGGAGAAACTGAAACTACCTGTTCGGCTGCGGCGATTCAAAAGTGGTCTTCTTGTTGTTCAACGCTACGACTGGAGTGATGAGAAGACCATTCGGCAACTGCAAGAATGGATGGCGGAGCTTCGTCAGATACCACCCGCCGATCCAGTACCGTGGGACTGGCGTCAATTTGGGCGTGCCGTGACAGCACAGGAGGCTGCTCAAAGGTTCAAGTGGAGTGTCGGAGTCGCAGCAGAAGAGCTAGAAATGGCTGAGGATAAAGGTGTCCTATGTCGTGAGGAAGGCATCGAAGGGTTAAGGTTCTGGAGCAACTACATCACGTCTGACTTTTCTTCGATGAATAGCATCGATTCGATTGGTACGAGGGTGTCAAGCCTGGCCATATGAAAGAGTTCTTTTGTATATATTGATGTAGCGTATCGTTAGCATGGCCCTTTCATCAAAATGACGCCGTTATGAACAAGAGAGATAAATCTTCCTTATTGAAGCAATTGCTGCCTCGTTCTAGTTATAGATATAACCACAAATAAATTGTGCCGCTGTTCTTATGGAAGTGTGCCCTGTGGCGAAAACTTACAGAGAGTTGACATTTGGTTCATTGAAGCTATCGACCCCGCATGGCTTATCTACGAGCTCTCTCCGCCCCTTGGGGAAGCTCCCTCGCTCCTCTTAGCTAGACTAATTCGTCATCTCTGTTGTGACCTCCACTGTCAAGCTTGGTCTCCATCATTTGTTATTTTCTCTAGTGCTTGGCTCCAGCGCAGACTTTCAATGAGAGCTTTAGCCTGTGAAAGCTGCTGTGATGTGAGGGTCTAGATCGTTGGCTGTCATAACGCAGTCAGGTATGACTGCACCTTCATTATCGAGAGATCTGATAAGTTAATCCACTTAGCTCAAAGGGAACGTTCAAAATGGCATATATTTCACTGCTATCGAATCCTAACCATTTGGGGTGCTCGAGAGCCATTTCAACATATTCTCAAGTTCCATACGTCACTTACCCCAAAGTGTCAAGCACGACTTCAGTCCAGAGCCGAGGGATATGGCGATATACATACCATCGATATGGGAGCAGAAGCTCTGATGAAAGAAGGAGGTTGGAAAAGCATCTGCGCCATACTCCTTCGAAGCTAAGAGACCGACAAATTAGCCACCGACAACGATCACAATCTTTTCTCGATGATCATCGTCCGTGGTGGAATTCTGGCTGGGGATGGAGCCGGTTGAAATTCAGCATTCCTCCAAATTGGAATGAACATGCGCCCAGGAACGACTATTGGGAAGCACAAAGGATTCGTTTGGAGCAGAGGATGGAACAAATAAAGAAGGAGATCGAGGCGGATCCTTACGAGGCTTTATTCGGGAGAAGACTTGAACCCTTTAAGTCTTCGGGCAAGCATGGGAATATTTTCTCTTCCCTGTTCCAGTCCTTTTTCGGTCATGGGTCAAAGGCAGAAGCCGAGCCTAAGGCGACTGATACGACTGCGCACGTGAAGACTGGTGCTGCGCGTTCATCTGATCTTCGACCTAGTGACAAACAGTCAGCAAGCCCTAGAAGCGAGGTCAACGCATATAAGGAGCTGGCGAAGGATGATATTGGAGAGTATGAGTTTGATCCCATCACCGGCCGCATGGTCCGGAAGAAGAGGGAAACTTGTGAGAGGTCTCAGGATAGCCCGTACACGGAAACTCCCCATTCATCGATTCATTCAAATGCAGTTCAAAATGACGGCGCCCAGAGTGCTGGCTTCCTCTCCCCGGTAGACCGCTCAGAAGCACACCCGGACACTAAACGGGTTACAGGGGCTGCAGCCCAGGAGAACACCGTGCAACCCGAAATTGTCGACGACCCGAGTCCTCAAAGTACCACACAAGACCCAAGCGAATTTGCCTATGACGGCAGTATCTTACCTGCGAAGCCAGGAAATTCTGATGAAAACATCCTCAAAGAGCCAACTGAGCCTCAGAACACAACTACGGCTTTTACAAAGGGAGTACCAGCATCGGAGATTGAAACGGCTAACGAGCCTTTATCAACTGACAATGCTCGTTTAGAGGCGGACAATGTGCCTCCCTCCGCTATTAGCCATCAAACTGAAGGGTCATCAGGCGTCCCAACGGAAACAAAAGATCCATTAGCTACACCACATAGGACATCGCACGAGCTTAAGCAGCGGGAAGAGTGGGTTATGCAGGCAGAAAAGGCTGAAGATCTGGATATCCTACGCGCCAGTGACATTCGCACGCCGTACGAGCTGGAGAGCAAGGACCGAGATCCGGAAGAGCAACTATGGGAAAAGCGGCGCAAACTGGACCTTGCTTTTGAGATGGCCGAAGACCCAGTCAAAGAACTAGATGCTGAAAGGATTCGGGAGAAGTACAAAATCCATGAAGCTGCCAAATCAAAGGAGACGATTTTGGAGCCGCTTGACACACCAAGGCTTCAAATGCGCCCTCAGAGTTCGACAACTGCAAGTACCTCCGTTCCTCGTTCTCAAGGGGCTTTCACAACGTAAGGATTGATCCAAGTCAGGAAGCAGAGGAGGCACACGATCAAGTTCAAGCCTCTCCAAATGGTATTTGGGCAACAGCAACATACCGTGTTCTTGTATATGACCCCTCTACCTTGCAGGTGGTGGAAGCAGAGACAATCTCCTCACTGCAGTCGACCGATAAGCTACTTTCGCCCGCGGAAGTCCTTTCTCGTCTGAGCTACCCTGCGAAGTTCGTACCGTACCTTGCTAAAATGCACGATGACGGGTATGAAATTGTCTCTGGCGGCGAGGATATCATTGTCTTTAGGAAGGCTTCCGAGAGTGGCTCAGTTATGCGATCAAAGACCCCAAGCCGTGGTGGTTTCGCAGAACGAGCCACCCCTCAGTCAGACCCGGATGAGAATGTCCAAGCGGCAACTGCTCCTTCTAACTCGTCTCCCAATCCGGCCATTGCAAGCACTGCTGATGCTTCAAAAGGCGCTGATCATGCGAAGGCTTGGTTCAGAGTTCGAACAGCACTCCGTAGAATGCTCATCGGTGGTGTAGCGACGGCGGGAACGTGCTACGCTATTGGTGTCGTTGTCGAGTATTTCCGCACCGGGGGGAAGACGGACTGGGTATTGACGGATTCACCGAGTTCGAGTCTGAAAGGCGTCGCAGAGACCGAGAATAGAGGATTTCTTGGTTATTACCTTATGTGAAGCAACAATTTGTCACAACATTGTCATCATATTTTGGTGTTTGCACAGAAAAATCACAGCTCTATATTTTACTTGCCTTCTGTTTCGTCACGGTGCACTTCCTATCAAATGGAATATCGGCAAAATCGCAAGTCGAACTGACTGATTCAGAATAGCTGACTCTACTAGGAGCGTGCTGGTCTAGGCTACACGGCCTTACAAGTCGTCGTCCTCCAGTGAGCTATCTTTCTCTTCGTCCTGCCCTGCAAAGTCTTCCCACGGCTTACGCCAACCTTTGAATCCTCGAAAGCGACCATGTATGGGGCTTCGTCTCTTTCCCTTTGCTTTGGCCTTGTTGTGTTCCTCCTCACGCTTCTTCCTTTCGGCCTCTTCCAACTCCTTTTCTTTCTTTGCTAGCTCCTCTTCCTCGATCGCCACCCTTTTGCGGGCGTCATGTTCCTCCTCCAATTCATCGTCTGATTCCTCATCAATAGGGTAATTCTGGAACGCCTTCTGCAGGACGCCGCAACGAGCCTGCCCGCTCATCATGTAGAAGAACAGAGCCACGATCATCTTGACGGCCGCCCGAAAATCTTGCTTGCACCAGAGATCAAATTCTCGGCTGCCCAAGACTCGAAGGTTACGTGGATTTGGATCATTGTCCAGATTCTTTGCGCTAAGCCACTCCACCTGCTGGCGAAGTCGCTCCAGGTTCTTTCCGGTGTAGAATCGATCGTAAGCTGTGCTCGGATTGGGGTCTATCATATCGGCGTCTGAGGAGGAACAATTATGTCTTCCGCTCCACAGATGGGACGTTTTCTGGCCGAGGAAGATGGCACGAAGAATATGCAGCCTGGAACCGTGGATGCCAATCAGATAAACCTCCTGGTCCGGGATCTGATCTCCATGGGGCCGCAGACGGGAGATGTTAAGAAGGAGCTGGCCAAGCATGAGCTTGAGCTTGTCCTCGAGGGCCGATCTGAGAGATGTGTTTTCCAACGACTACAAAGCAATTAGCCCTGAAACGACTTGTCGGGGATTTGGGGGATACTTACCGCTGACACGGGCAGAACTGTAGGGCAGACCTTCTTGTCAGGATGGTGATCCAGGCCGACCAGTCCAGCTGTGAGAGGACCATCTTTGTATCTCTCGCTGTACCCAGTCCAATATTCTAACTGGCAGTTGAGCAGCCTCGTCCTAAAGCGGGTGTGAGTGCAAGCGTTTGGAATGATATGCCATGGAGAAGCTCCTGACCGGAAAAAAAAGTAGGAGTCGCTGTCGTCCGTCTCTCGGGTGATTTTGAACGCTTCCAACATCCCTTGCAGAAGAGCATACACGACTTGTCCCTGAAGTTTGACCATCTCATCGAACTTGGACTTGCATTTGCTTCCCCCCGCCTCCGTTGTACCGTACCCCTCGTCCTCGTCTTCGTCTTCGTCGTAAAGAAAGCCGAACTCGGGAAGTTTTCTCAGGGTAATGAAGACGCTTCGAAAGCGAATGTCGACTGGAGACCATTTGTTTATGTCCACGTCGCGGGCATCGTCAGCATTGCGAAAGCACCAAGGTGTACGCTGGACAATGACTAAAGGCACATCAGTCGGTGACTTCCTCTGTCAGGACATCTTGAGAGAGGCAAAACATACCAGTTCTCTCAGCTTTCTTCAGATAGTAACTAGGGATGATTCTATCGTCAGGAAGATCCAGGAAGAACTTTGCAGTCAAACCATGAACGGAAACCTCGACAGGGCTTTTGGACTCGGGAGCTGGTCCTTGTCCACGCATTTTCTCCCAGTCAGGCTCCCAGTCCGGAATGGGCTTCCAACTCTCAGTCATCTGGAGAGCTAGGTTTGGGAGTTCTGGAAATTCTGGAATGGTTTCCATGCGTGAGCGATAGCGAGCCATTTTTCTGGCGGGTCATGTTCCGGATCATTCTGGTGAGAGAGCTGAGGGCTGGTGTTGAGTTTGTAGTAGGAGGGCATCTTGCACATTCACACATTCACTGTTGCTCTAGACGTGTAATGTGAGAGGGTTATGATAGAGGCACTCTTGTGCATGGTATACCCTCTGTTTACTTGCTTTCAGTGGCTTGTGTTAGTATTTTTGCCTTTAAGTAGATATAGATATTTAGATATAGTCCAATCTCATTAAAGGATGAAGACATCTCTGATTTGAGCCAAGCTTGTATACAAGACCAGTGTCTTGAGTTCATGGTATGATGCTTTCCTCATATCCATAAAGAAATATATCTCCCCGCACCGACAGTCCAACATATTCCCAAGACCAACAACTATGCGTCTATCGTTCTCTTGAAGATCCAAGGCCCATTTATTTATTTTCTACAATTGTATCAGCCTATATATCATCACCTACCTGTTGAATGCATGGTAGACACCACATCCAGAGTCGTAGTCGTAGTCGTAGTCATAGTGGGGCGACATCTCCGCATGAGTCTATCACTACTAACCTCCAGCCATTATTCTCACCCCAAGAACTCCAGCAGTCCACCATCTTCAAACCCTCAACTAGACAACCTCCCAGTAACCATAACCATAACCATAACCATAACCATGGCCAAAACAACCCGCATCCCTATCCGAACCGAAAAAGCCCCCTTCCACCCCCATTCCTCTCCCAGGGAATCAAAGTAGCGAACATGATCTACTGCTCCGGGCAGGTCGGCGTGGATCCTACAACGGGGAAGATGGTGGAGGGCCCCATACAAGCGCGCACTGTACCTCTCCCTTTTCCTCTACAATGCTAGAAAGTTGAGACTAAAAGCAGAGCAGAAGCAAATCCTGCATAATCTCTCCGCGGTTCTGGAAGCAGGCGGGTCGAGTCTGCAGGATGTCGTCAAGGTGAATATCTTCCTGGCTGATATGGGGGACTTTGCGGCTGTGAATGAAGTCTACCAGGCGGCGTTTGGGGAGCCGAAGCCGGTTAGTCTGATTGCATCCATTTTGCTTTGCGTTTTGGGATGAGATAAGATGAGGTGGATGCTGATGCGGATGCTGATGTATGGCTAGGCGCGAACTTGCGTTGCTGTTAAGACGTTGCCGTTGGGGACGGATGTGGAGATTGAGTGTTCTGCGGTGGTGACGAGAGGGAGGGATTCTCGACTTTAGGTCTTATGGTATGATGATTGGGAAGCGTCGTGATGTGTTGGGCGGGTGTGATAGGTAAAGTGTCTTGAGGTGACAGTCATATGGCTGGTGTTGATGTGGCTGGATTCGATGGTATTTCTGGTCCTCAGGCAGAAATTCATATTTCTAGACCCCTTCAAGACAAAATGTGGCACCAAGGACCATGGCATATCCGTTTGCATGGCTTAGATCTGAGATAGCCATGTATGATGTTAGCAGTGCTGTACCTGCAGTAGAATGAAACAGATGAGATATGGTTAAGCGTCAGCCTGTATCTACTACATGCTGGCTATGTAGCGATTACTGACAACTCATCCAGATGATTTTGGTGGAATCATTGAAATGATATGCTGACAATAAGATAATAATACCAGACTGTACTCTGTACCAATGGAAGTCATAAAAACCTGTACCGTGTACCGTGTACGGAGTAATATAAAGTCAAGTAATCCATCAGTGGGACATTTGCTTAGTAAGGTGGGCCGTTGTAGGCCATTTTCAGGAACAGGTTTAGCGTCATTTTACCAACTCAGGTACCAAGTTCTGCTAGCAAATGTGTATTTACCAAGTGTCATGTCTTGACAGTCACATTTTTGTTTGTTTCATCAAGGACAACACTTTTTGATGCATCATCTATCATGAAAACATGGCTGACTCTAAGCACATGGGGGAGGAATGTCCAATGACGTAGTGTTGTGTTGGAATCGTCAAGATTGATGGTACTGCGTGGTGCCTGGAATGAAGTTCTGCCCTGACTTGAGCGTGATGCTATGGATTGCTGGTGTCTCAGGAATCAGGGGCAGCTAAAATATCTACTCTGTAAGATATTGCCTATCGATTGCTGGCATTAATACTGGATCAGGTCATGGTCTCCGCCGTACCTACTAAAGGTCGCTACTCTGTCCAGCTTGCATTTGCTAAAGGTACTTTGTCGCCTGTACTAAGTGACTTTCAACTGTTCATTTTCTACTAGCTCTCCAGATAGCATACTAGAGGTGCTTACTTGACAGCAAATGTGCAATATGAGCTCCGTTGACTCCGTTAGTGTCTGTACCGGGCTCGGAGCGGTCCAGCCACAAGGGATGGAAAGACGACCGTTTCAGCCCCTCCCACGCCGGGTCGCTTACGGAACTGCAACCTGCCAGGGGAAAAGCATGTGGAGGTAAAACATCTCCTTGTTGACAGATCATAGAGTTCGGGAGAAATACCTGGCACATTGCTGGTCCAATAAAAAGATGAATAATCTGTTGGAACCCGGAAACTGGTATGATGATTGACACGCACAATGTTCAGCATCAAGCTATCGAAGTTTAATCATCAATAATCAGTTTACTCACAGTGTTCCTCACGCTATGACCGAGCTGATCGCCGAATGGAGTGGGCGTTAGACTCGGTAGAAGACGAAATGAGAAGTTGATCCCCTAGGTTCCTCAATTCAGGTCAATGGTGTTGGTCGCTATGACACGCTATGACACCCTAATGGAGGGCTTTACTGCAACTATGTTAGCGTATGTCATGGTTCTATTTGGACCATCATGTCTTTTCCCCTGAATGCTCAGTGGTCTGTTATTGTACTCCGTAAGTGCTGACTTGTGTTTTTAGCGATACATTTCATAGAGTATGAAACTGATGCCTCAGGTTAAGAATGTTGTCATAATTAGGTACCTTTTGACAACTTGAATGAAGACTCCGTAGTCATAACCATAAGGCTGTGCGTTTAATCTAATTTATCAGACAAGGAGGTCATCATTAATGAGAACCTTGACTCTGTTCATTCCTTCACTGAGTTAGCCATTAAATCATCATACCACTACTGTATCACCACGCACCATAATACTCCACCATATTTCCACAATTCACCTTGAAAGTTGGAATAAGTGGATGGTTTGTGGTCCACACACGCACTAAAATGACGCCGTCATTCTAGACCTTGTGTTGGACTGAACCTTGACAGAATAGGCTTACTGCAGCGCGCAGCGTTAGCAAGAGGCTGGTGAGTTGGTTGGATGGATCATAGGTGATTGGCCGAGTGGGCTGTGGAGGCCTAGTGCGGGAAATGCCCGGAATTATGATGAGCACGCCTGGCCAGCAGATCGGCATGCATTGTAACAATTGCCAATGGGCATAAACGATGATGTGGTAGTACATGACTTCTTCGACTTTGGTCAATGACCAAAGAGAGATCAGTCTAACAAGTCTCGGAATCAGCCTCCCGTGGATAGATGGACAGACTGAGGAACTCCTTCATTGAACTTGGGAACTGCATGTTTTCTTTGTTCCAGTTTCACCCAGGGAATGTTCAATCCTGCTTCGAAATGCATGTGTTGTGCCTGGCCTTTCAACACTGCCACTGCACTGCTTCCTTCTGTGCTACAGATCGGCTACAGTAGTTACCATTTAATTCTGTGCCTTTTGAGTTGAAGGCATCACTTCTTCATGACTTGCCTTCCTACTGAGTCAGGTTTTTGTTGATCCAGATACACCTTGGACAATCTAGACTTCTCTTCTGAACTCTTCGACTCTGATCGACTCTGTTCTCTGGGCCAACTCAAGGAGTTCTATAATACTGAGTGAGCATGTGTAAAGGTGCCAATGACGACCGAGGCTAACACTGGAATTACAGATTAGTACTGTTGTGATTTTTCTGAGGAATGTTATCTGTAGAATTGAAAAGTGGTATATCCTTAGGTAGGCAGTGCTACAGTAGCCAGCCGCCGCAGTATGCCTTGCTGATTTTCATGATCTCCTCCACAAGAGAACCATCCAGACTGATAGACTGGTTGTATCACCACGGATATCTACAGATAAACTACATCAGCTGTAAGTATTGTAAACATCATGAAGGTGCTATCAATGCCAACATCTCGAGAGCAATTACTCAAGTTATCTACTTCGTAGTTATACAACCTGAAAGTGGTGCGTGTCCATAGCGTGTCCCTTTACTCTGCATGTTTACCAACAGTACTTTGTATTTCTGTAATATTTCTGTAATGCTCGGACTTCGCTTGCCATTTCCACGGCTTTGTACACTGATTTGGTGGTAAATATGGCCAGCCGCTGTATGATGATACAGTATGGTAACAATAATAAGTTCCTCCTTTTCCTTTTCACTTGGTCTGCGCTAACAACGAAAATAAACCAGGCTAACCTCAAACTAGTCAAAGATAGTCCTCTATCTCCGCCTCAATTAATTTCCCTTTGACCTTCCCAGGTCCCTCTTTCTTTAGTCGCTTTTCGTCTTTCCAAGTGCTGCTGTCTGTCCTGCCTTCTTGTCACTCTTTTTGTTCTCTTCCCCGTCATCTTTTATTTTTCTTCTTTTGCTCTTAATTGTTTCGTCTATCTTCCGTCAATAGTCGGTGCTATTGTTGATTGACGTAGCCAATATTGTTTACCGTTGGGACCTGACAAGCGCGCTGACTCCTTGCATCGCATCCATACCCACCGGGCCCCTCTCTCCCACGGTCGCGCCTCTCGCTTCGACCAGAGATCAGCCAGTCCTCCTTACTCAACAGGTACTTTTATCCATCGGCCTCTTCCACCACCACCTTCACCCACCTCCTCCACCTCATATCCACGACAATAACGCGGTCTCTCTTTTCTTTTATTAATTTTTGACGTTTCTAATCTAGATCTCGTCGTTCGTTCCTTACAGCACTCACATTCGTTTTGCCAATTCGCTTTGGGGAACAGTCGACTCATAGCTTCCCTCGTCGCTCTTTATTCGCATTGTTTATACACTCGTTCTTTATCACGAATTGATCAGCTTTGACGTCGACGCCCCTATATCGCTACCGTCCCGATCCTCGAACTCGCATCATCAAAGTATTTGCATCGGATACAGACTGTCCGTTGTCGATTGTCAGCAAGGGTGTCCGGCTCGAAGAACCTGTGATTGCGTCCCAACCTCCTAGTTACGTCCCGTATATACGATTTTGGACGTGATAGCAGCATTTCCCATCGCCCAACCAGCTCCAAGACCTGCATCGATGCATTGCCGAGCGTGATTGATAATATTGAGCCTCTCTCGTGATCCACCTTTTGACTATAGGAGCCCTGCTGAGCTTTCGGCTCCGTCCATTCCTTTGTGCATCACTGCGGCACCGTCAACCCTAGCCGTTCCTTATCGCGAGCAATCACTTTGGTATCAAAACCATGCGTCCTGCGACTCATCTTGTTGCGGCCCTCCTGTCCCTGGGAGGTCTCGAGCTTGTCGCGGCCGAAAACGCTCAGGAATTGAAGCCTCGCTTCATTCCTAAACAACTCAAAAGACATGTCGTCCATGGACATGACTCCTCTGCCGCTGCGTCGTCGAACACTGACGCTCACTTGGAAACGAGGGCTGATTTGAATCCCTTCATCGCTTACTTCAATAGCCTGCTTCAAAACGGCGCCGCGACACCATCCAGCACCCCGCTCGTCTCCCTGCCCATCGTCGTCTCGGTAGATGCCAACGGTGTCTCTCACACTATTACCCCAACCCCCACACCACCCCCTTCAGCAGGGACATCTTCTGATGCCAATTCCGGTTCAACGCCCGTGTCGTCATCGCCCGAGCCATCTTCTGCGGCCGATCAGTCAGCTCCGAACAACGTTCCCGCGACGACTCCCTCAACGGCGCAGACCTCCCCTCAGGCCAAGACAGACCCCTCAGACAACTCCCAAACTACACCAGCCTCATCAACTCCTGCCACAAGCAGCGGAAATGTTGTCAGCGATGCCTTGGGTGGTGTGGGTGGCCTTGTCAGCGGTGTTCTGGGAAGCCCGAGCAGCTCAACCAATACCAGCCCTCCAGTAAGCTCTGATGGAACCAAGACCCCTGAGAGTTCGACAACAACTCCTGCATCAACAGCGCAGACTTCCCCTCAGGGCAAGGCGGATACCTCGGACAATTCCCAGACTACACCAGTCTCATCAACTCCTGCCACAAGCAGCGGAAATGTTGTCAGCGATGCCTTGGGTGGTGTGGGTGGCCTTGTCAGCGGCGTTCTGGGAAATCCGAGCAGCTCAACCAATACCAGCCCTCCAGTGAGCTCACCTACCACTGATGGATCGAAGACTGCTGAGGGTTCGACAACAACTCCCGCATCAACAGCGCAGACCTCCCCTCAGGGCAAGGCAGACACCTCAGACAATCGCCAAACTCCAGCACCCTCATCAACTCCTGCCACAAGCAGCGGTAACATCGTTGGCGATGCCTTGGGTAGTGTGGGTGGCGTTGTTGGTGGTGTTCTGGGAAACCAAAACAGCTCAACCAATGCCGTTCCACCCGTCACTGAATCCAAGACCCCCGGGGGTTCGACAACCGAGAGCACTGATCCCAGCACAAACTCTACGACGCTAACAGGTTCCTCATCTCCCTCTGCCCCCTCTCCTGTTGAAGCGACTCCGACCCCAACTGCGAGCTCGTCCGGCCTCCTTGACACTGTTGCCTCGGACCTCTCTGGAATTCTGCCTGCAGCTTCAAGCCCCCTTGCGTCCGGAGCTGCCACTACCAATTCGTCCAACACTGATGGCACTGTTACCCCCTCAACAGACGTTATTCCCTCTTCGACAGAGGTCAGCCCCTCCCCAACTCCAAGCTCGAGCGGCTTACTCGATTCGTTGACCTCTGGTGTCCCTGACCTATTGCCCGGTTCTGCTGCATCATCCTCAGCCGCGACCAACAGTAGCAGCGGGACTGAGACCCCGGCATCCACAGACCTTGGTCAGTCTACTGTGCCTGTCAGCGTCCCTGTTGTGACACCCTCCGCCACCAGCTCGAGTGGCCTGGGTGGAATTCTAGGTCCTATCCTTGGTAGCGCTGGTAGCACAGGAGTCATTCCAACCGCAAGCACTCCCACCAGCAGCTTCGTTGGCGTCCCCACCGGCTTGACTAGTATCCTCATCCCAGGAGGCATTAGCGGAACTGAGACGCCAACTTCATACACTCAGATCAGTCCTAGCGTTCCTACAACTGCTCCCTCGGTTACCAGCACCGCTGTCATTCCCGGTAGCTCCGATACCGCTATTGGTTCCTCGATTGCTATCACGGGTTCCACCGGGGTGAGCTCGACTTTGCCTACGCCTACTGCCAATTTCAGCAGCTCGGAAATTCAGACATCCTCTACAACCGAGCAAACGACCCCAAGTCCGACAACCACGCCGGAGACCACAGCCGCCCCCACCACCACCAGTACTACTCATCCACCCGAAACTAGCACCACCGAGAACACCGACTTTGTTCCCTCCAGTATTCTGGTGGAGCCTCCAACCACGACTCAGCTCTCGACGGCCGAGACCGCTACTGGCACCAGTCGACCCGCTCAGTTGCCTGGATCCATCTCGCCAGCCAATGGTCTGACCAGCCCTCCACCGGACTCTACCTTGATTCAGATCGGCTTCAATGGCAAACTCCGATACAGCTTCGTCGCCACGACTCCGCTCTCTTCTTCGCAGATCTTCCTGTACGTTCCACAGGGACTGATCTATGCTTTGGAGATTCTCGGCAAAGATATCTCGATGTTCGCGATCCAGCCCTACGACAACTCGGCCAGCACCGGGTACATTGCAACCGTTGCCTTGGCTTATATTCCTACGGACAAGGTTGACACATTGAGGAAGCTGCTCCGCGGTCCATTGTCCAAACTCTACCAGCAGCCCAACGAGTCGGTCAAGGCCTTGTTCTCGATGATCGATCCTTCCATCCCTCTTGTTGTCGGAGAATCCGGCTCATCTAGTGGCAGCGGATTGTCTAGCGGCAGTGGATACAGCGGCAGTGGTAGCAGCAGCGATGGTAATGGCAGTGGCAGTGACTCTGGCAACAACGCGGATGCCGGTGCCAGTCGCAGCTCTTCCGCTCGTGCCAGCTCTGTTGGCATCGGCGTTGGTGTCGTTTGCGGCGCCGCAGCCTATGGTGCGGGTATGTTCTGGGTTGCTCGTCGCTACCGCAAGAAGCGTCAATTGCATCGCCGCTCCAATTCCACTATGGAGCAGACGAGTGAAGGTCGTGGTGCCGGTTCTCTCTTCACCGCTGGCGGTCGTCTTTCCCGCAACAGCCAGAATAGCCGGGGAAGTGGCCGGGGCCAGATGATCAGTGCTCCTGTCATGGCCGAGAACTCGCTGGGCTGGAACTAAGCCCGGGTATTGCAGAAGGAATAATAGACTAACCCCTACGATGTGGGTCAAAGATCATGGGCGGGAGTGGGACTCGCAGGAATGCCTGCCAGCCCTGCTGCCTTCGGAGATACCTTTTAACTTCTGGATGTATTCATTTTTTTGGTTTGTGAGACAGCGCTTCTGTGGCGTTTGTTTATGTATCATTCTGTCTCTTTCTTCTACCATATTTCCCTATATTTATTCCCCATTTGTTCTTGCCAGACTTTGGTCTTCACTTTTCTACCTTTTCATTTCTTACTTTCCTTTATGGTGCCACAGAGAAGTACTTACCTCCCGACACCAAGATCATTGTTACCTTCTCGGCTCGCATCGTCTCAAAAAATCAATTCCTCTGCTCCATACCTAGGTTGGGGGGCGTAGGTATCTGTGATGAGTGATGCCGTATACTATCGCCCCTGGCCCTGTTCTCCCTTGATGTCTTTAGTGTTTTGTTCTTGCGATTATTGTACAGATGTATAGTGTGAGTAGAGAGTGAACGAGTCGTGTCTAGGATTTTTGTACCCCTGTGGATGTTGAATGAATGTCTGAATATTTATTTGACCGGTAATATACTGAATATGTTGAATATCAATCGATCTTGCAGAACGTAAACTACGAATTGATACTAAGTCGCATTGCCTGCACGAGGGTCTATAAGTCTAGATGAGCCTTATGTACGTCTTGTTCTATCATCATTTAAATCAATTGGGTACAACCCGGAATCATTGAGCTGAGAGCACCTGGAACTCCTGTACATGGCTGTGCGTATGCAACAGAGATGAGATGAATGACAAAGGAAATGTATCGAAGTGAGACGGAGAGTACGCGGCAGACGCGAAAAATCTAAATCAACATACAGGCTCAAGCGCAGACGCATGACCTTCATGAAACGCCCCCGGCCAACACACCCAAACCTAGCATTAAAGGAGAATAGAGACCCATTACTCGGTTTTACTCTTCGAGTCCGAGTCCGACCCGAATCCCAACCAAGCGAGCGGTCCCGTCCGGCCCTTGGCCTCGCGCTCCCGCCTGCGCTCCTCCTTCGCCTTCTGCCGCTCGGCCTTGTATTCCTCCCAGGAGAGATTCGCGCTTGCTGCGACGGACCCGTCGGCTCCGAGCGCTGTGGATGAGTTCTTCTCCGCTTGGGTCTTCAGGTAGTGCGATAGGGAGGGTGCATCTGCGTCTGCGCCTGCGGGGTGAGCGGCCGGGGCGGGGAGGGCCGGACGGCGTCCTCGCCGGCGTAGGCGCGAAGGGCGGTCCGGAAGGACCATTCCACTGCTTCGTCGACGGGTTCGTCGAAGATGTAGGGGAGGAAGGGGACGACTGCTAGGCCGAGCTATCGCCGTTCGCATTAGTACCTGTACTGGCTTACAGAAGTTTGGAGGGGGGAACATACACCGATAGGCGTCCAGGTCCGCATAAACACGTTCTTATTGTTCTTCATCATTTGCCCGGAGTATTTGACCACCGAGTGGATCGTAAAGGCCGGCAGCCCCATGCTTGCGATGCTCTGGAATACGGCCCGCTTGACCATTACCATGCGGTAGTCCTCGATGAGGGGGATGCGGGTTGTCGGCCAGGGGGCGAGCTCGGCACCTGCGCTGGGACTGCCCATGTCGCCTGTTGCCATGCCCATGACGACCTCGTTGGCCGAGAGGTCCTTTGCGTCCTTGTAGGCCTCGCCGCGCGGGGCGAGGACGTGCCGGTTGCGCAGGTAGGCTTTGTAGCCTTCGTGGGCTACATCGCCGAGCAGATAGGTCCAGGAGATGCCGTAGGCGGTGCGCACGAGGTAGGGGTGTGCGACGGGGCGGAAGGACTCGCCTATGTCGGAGGTGTAGGCGACGTAGCGGTGGGCGGAGAGGAGGATGGTGCGAATGCGGTTGACGTAACCGGCGTACCGGTAGGGGGTGTCGGTTGAATCGACGGAGCTGTCCATGTTAGATGATGGGTTTGCTATTGGGAAGAGGTGGTGAGGTCGTGGGTAGGGAGGGTGGTGAGGTTTGAAAGAGAGAAAAGAAATTCATAAATTCTTGAATGTTTTTGCGGGGACAGGCGGAGATGATGATGCCATAGTTCCGCAGGGCAAACTTGGACAAGCGACATTGAACGGCCACTTTGAAGGAGTAGCGACAGGATGCGCCAGGGGGAAACGTACTATGGGGGGTAGATATCATCGTAGAAGCCATCATCCTGGTCAACTATTTTCTGGAGATGAGCAGGAAGCTTCTCGCGGGATATCGGTTGCTGCGGCGTGTCTGCGGGAGTCTCATCGTGATGATCACGCTTCCTCCAGAACATGCTTTCAATTTGCGGAAAAGAAAATGAGTGACTGAATATCAATGAAGATCTGGACTGAAGGGTATATGTGTTCTGTATGTACAGTGATAGCCAGACGAGGCAAGTAAGCGTAAGAGGGAAGCTACAAGCTACAAGAACAGAGCGAAGTTAAAAAGAAGGATAGATTGATGGAAAGGAAGGCAGCAGCGTGCTTCGGAAGAACAATATTCTCTCATCTAATTCTTTTCTTCTGATTTGCCTTTCCCCAGTAACCGCACGCGGGACCCGAACAGCTGCACAGCATGCAGTAGCCGGGGTAGTATTGAGGAGACGGAGTAATTCATCCCAGGCTGAAGGTATCTTTTGCCCCGAGGTTCATCGGGTGCTTCCCTTGGTCCAGTACCCTGCACTGCCACTCTGGGTCCTCGCCACAAGAGGTCCATGTCTAGTGATGTTGCGCTTGTATTGATAGCTCTAGCAATGAATTGTAGCATATATTTGCGTTCATATCCTGTAATCAATTGGTCATTCGCGATCTCTGGTTGTATGTCCTGTGATGCGGTGCTGCGGAACTTCCCGAATCCGTATTTGATTCGGACCGAGCCGGAATATCACATGATCTAGAGCAAACCTATTATGTCATGCATACTCACGTGATATCGCGGGACCTCGCCCACGGCTCTAGCCAAATGAGGTAAAGACCAAGCCGCGCAGTCAACTTCCATCGTTGCCGGCTTTCACGATTGCTTCCGCAGGTCCTATTATTCGCATTGCTCCATTCCCCGCGTCTATCCTCCTCTATCAAACCTACTCCAATTCACCACAATGGTTGTCTACTACCAGATTGCCGGCAAGCAGGTCGGCTCCCACGTCGTACGTGACCCCCGGTCTCTCCCGTCATATCTTCGTGATGCTACCACAGCCGAGCAGCATCCAAGTCACTGATGACATTGCAAATGGCATATCGCTAATTTAGATCAATGAATTTTAGCTTGCCATGGGCGTCATGGGCACCCTGTTCGGTGGTATCTACCTCTCCACTCGCGGTGGTGGTCAGAAGAAGCAGGCTACTCCTCCCATTCAGGCCTCTTCCAAGGACGAGGAGAAGTTCATCCAGTATGTTGCGTCCATACTCTACACATAATCTTGTCCAACACTGCGATTCCAATGAGCTCCGGCGGCTTCAATCGCCTTCAATGGCATACCGACTCTGCACAAAATCATTGGAGTGACTGTCGCAGCAACCTGCTTTCAATGAAGCTAACCATGTGGTCATCACAGGGACTTCTTGAACCAAGTAAATGGGGAGCAAAAGAAATCGGATCATTAAGGTGTCCCCCTTTGACGATAGGGACTCAGTCGAGGACGCCTTGCTGATGCACGACGAAAAAAGCAATTGAACGCGAGATATTCATCATGAAAACAATTCTATAATTGGGTGAATTTTTGCGATAATAGACGGGATCCCTAAAGTCGTGTGTCAGGATCCGCTAGTGATGGTGCTCAATGGCTGTGCCAGTGGTGCTGATGATCTGTACATAATAGAGGTATTCGCCATTCGAGGTTGTTTCCTTCAACTCAGTACCAAATACTCGCCGTGAAGATCTATCTGCTCTATCTGCTCTATCTGATCTTGAGGATCGATCAGTTCCAGAGGATCTTCGTACACCGAGCAGAGTTACATAGCTTAGAAGACCAAATGTAGACGACTTCGTAGCATGCGGCAAACTCACAAACAACAGTATTTGATTGGCGAAGGCTGAATACCAAATAGACAGCATTCGTCAATTTATAGTTCATTTTCTAGTACCATGATTATCATTCTCGGTTTCACTTTTGCTTCCAACCTCTAACCTCTAACCTCAGTCACATGATCTCAAAATACAGACAGCGTCTCCAAACCCGTTCCACAGAGGTCAACGCCCAACTCTACGATATCGAAGACCACCTATGAGACTAATTCCCTTCCCATACTCCCTCAATATAGGGACGGACATCGTTCATCTCCCCCGAATTCTCCGCCTCATCAACCGTCCCGACTACCTCCACCGCTTCACCCGGCGGATCCTCCATGAACAGGAGCAGCAAGACTTCCGCACGAGATTCTCCCTCCCACCACCATTATCCGGCGCAGAAAAGCCCAACCCCGAAGCAATAACACCAGACATGGCGCGCTGGCTGGCAGGCCGCTTCGCTGCAAAAGAGGCAGCCCGTAAAGCTGCTCCCGCCGGCGCGGCGTCCCTCGGATGGAAGGATGTTATTGTTAGGGTGGGTGAGGCTGATAAGGGTAGACCGGAGATTGTGTACTTGGATCCTTTGGGTGGTGGGAAAGGTGGTGTAGGTAGAGTAGGCAAGCTGTCTATTTCGCATGACGGGGATTATGTGGTTGCTACTGTGCTTGCGGCTGGCTGAGGTCTGTCTGGTTGAAGGTTATTGATATCTGGTTCTTTTCGGATGGAACGATGCTTAAGGATAGGCTGTCATCCGGACGAGATGGACATCTCTGGGTCTCATGCGAGGAACACGAGGGCCCGTCTGCTGCTGTCCGGCGCGTGGTTCGGGGATTGTCGAGGTTTCCTCCAGACCAGCCCGTGGGGATCAACGATCCTGATTACCCTGCTGCATACGCAAGCACATGCAGTTTGAAATGCGGTCAAAGAAGTCTACGTCGATGAGGACATGCGGACCGTCTACCAGCAGCGAGTGTTTCGACTAGAGTGGTGGTGGGAGGCCACCCAATCTCAACTATCTTATAACCAGTGGGAAAAATGCTCACCTCTTGCAAGGGCCTAACTACGTAGGCAGAGTGCTCACCTCACCGAGTGGCAGATCTTCTTTCTGCAAGGGTTCTAGGTGAGAACGACTGGAGGTGCAATACGGTGGATATGATCTTCCGCATCATTATGCTCAAGAGGGCCTGCAATAAAGTCCTCACAGTCGGACTCGGTTGCAACAAATCTGGGATTTGCACCGGTCTGCCCCTCGGCGTGCGCGAGATTCTCTTGCTCTCTTGCCCCCTGCTGAGAACTGCGATGAATAAGAACGACTCTGGTCAACACGTCCATGCGTCCAGGCACAATACTATCGGACTGCCCTAGGATGAGTGACAGGAGTTTGAGGCTATGCGACCACTGGCAGGAGGGACTGCGACACAAGCCAAGTCGGGTACTCGAGACGTTCAACTGCCCTCTGAGTTCAGTGGAACGAATCTTGTGACTTTTAAGTATCCTGGATGAATGACATGGCATCACTTCTATCTCCCTATCTAATGAGGTTTCTGGTATATCGACCACAAAGTCCACAATGACTGGCCTTCTAATACATAGTATACTCGTAGAGTAAGAGAGTACTCAAACGCAATGTTGTGATTATTGCGAAAAAGGTACCAGGTCTGAGGGTGGATGGATGATAGTGGGTCAGCGGAATTGTATCATCTCTTTTTTCCATTCGGCTTGTTGCAGCCCTTCCTCAGGTTTATCCTTGAGCATCAAGCATCGTTGATCCGTCAAGACAGATCCAATAAATACTTTCCTAGCATCAATTTGATATCAATATATTTATATCCTCGGAGCTTGGCTCGAGTATCTCAGGGCGGGGCATTTCTCCCCCACGCAGTCTGAGAACAGCGTTACATTGGTTGTTTGTTCTGACACATGCATACTACTTCTATCAGTTAAACCCACCTCTAATCTATAGCGTACTGCTTCAGGCACTGCGTTTCTACATCTTCGTTTCGTCGTCTTAAGTGAACTGCCTTCTATTACACGCTCGCTCTCCAGACCCGTGCAGTCATGCCGTTCTCACACCACAGCCATTCGGGCCAGTTCTGCCCCGGACATGCCAAAGACTCATTAGAGGAGATTATCCAATTGGCCATCTCAAAAAAGTTCAAAGTCTTCTGTCTGACCGAGCACATGCCCCGAGCAAAAGAAGACTTTTACCCGGAAGAGGTACGCCCCAAGTAACGATTAACTTAACCCAAATCACTACTGACTCATCAGATCGAAACCGGCAACACGGAAGCCGCCCTGATCGCCAACGAAGCCGCATACTTCGCCGAGGCCGTCCGGCTGCGCGAGAAATATGCAGACCAGATCCAAATCCTCATTGGGTTCGAGATTGACTGGATTCGGCCCGAGTCACGGGCCCTGATCGAGCAGAGTCTCTCGAGGCTTCCGTTCGAGTTCTTCGTAGGATCCGTGCATCATACACTGACAGTACCGATCGACTATGACCGGCCCATGTATGAAAAGGCTCGCGAGCTGGCCGGCGGCACCGACGAGCGTCTGTTCGAGCGCTACTTCGACGAGCAGCTGGATATGCTGACGCAGCTGCAGCCGCTCGTCGTGGGGCACTTTGATCTGATTAAATTGAAGAGCGATGATCCCGAGCGCAGCTTCAAGCAGTGGCCTGGGGTATGGGGGCGGATTCTGCGGAACCTGGACTTCATCGCTGGGTACGGGGGCATGCTGGAGCTGAACTCGGCGGCGCTGCGCAAGGGCATGAGCGAGCCTTATCCCAAGGAGGAGATTTGCAGAGTGAGTTCGCTATCAGTTTTCTGTAGTAGGTATGGTGACTGACTGGACTAGGAATTCCTGGCGCGAGGAGGCCGGTTTGTCCTTTCGGATGATAGCCACGGGCTGGACCAGGTCGGCTTCAATTTCCACGGGGTGCTGGCGTTCATGGACAAGGCTGGTATCTCGACTTTGCATTATCTCGAGCTGGGGGATGGGCCGGCGGTGGACGAGCGGTTTCCGCGGACACAGATCCGATCGATCCATGTTGATGAGTTAAAGAAGATGTCTTTCTGGCAGTCTAGCTAGACAGACTGCACTCAGACGACGTTGGATCGGCAGATGTCATACCAATGCACAGCTGCAACCCAACACTTATCGCAGACAGTAAAGCATTTTTGGCCTAGATAATTCATTACCACAATAGACCACCCCTCTTACCGTTGTCCTCCGGATCCAACAATCGGCCCTTTTATGAAATGATTACATCAAACCCACGAGATATGACCTCAATGTCCCTCCTCACCCCCCTTCTGCACCATCCACTCTCCTAACCTTTACTCTATCAGATATAGAACCTTTTCTACAATAACCCGCATCCTAGTGCTAATCATACAATGGGCCTCGAAAAGCAAACCCTCCGAACGGGCAACGGCAAAGACCACCCCAAACCCGGCGACCCCGTCGAGCTCAACTACACCGGCTATCTATACGATGAATCGAACCCAGACCACCATAAAGGGAAGGAGTGTGTGCAAACCCCTGCAAACGGACACCTTGGTTGAAAGCGAAAGCTAGCTAATCCTCTATCAGATTTGATAGCTCGAAGAGACGCGGCCCGCTGAAGGCGACTATTGGTGCGGGTGATGTTCTTCGGGGTATGTCCTTTCACTTCTTTTCACATTCTACTATTGGCGGGTATACGGGTGGGTGCTCATAAAGGCTACAGGCTGGGACGAGGGCGTTCCGCAGATGAGTCTTGGGGAGAAGGCGATTCTGACGATGAGTGGGTATGGCTTTCCGCTTCTGCTTTTGCGTCTGTGATGTTGACGTTGGCTAATATGGGGTAGCGAGTATGGGTATGGAGAGAAGTATGTACCATTTCATGTTCATGTTCATGTCCTCGGTTTGAGTGGGGGAGTCGAAGCTGAGTAGGGCAGTCTAATGGGTATGCTAGGGGCTTTCCGGGGCTGATTCCGCCGGATGCTTCGCTTGTTTTGTGAGTTTGAGTTCTGAATCGGGTTGGATTGATTTGGGATGATGCTGATGCTGATGTGTGGATTACAGTGAGGTCGAGCTTCTCAAGATTAGAGGCCATGGTCTTGATTAGGGTTGATCTGGGGTAGTGATCACTGATGGCGTGGTTTGACTGGGCCGTATTTCTGAGTCGGTATTGTCGCTGAATGTCAGAATAGACCGTTTGATAGACAATAGAATAGATGCAGTTACATGAACGAACGGACTTTGACTGACTGGATCATCATTCATCAACCCTACGTGACCTGGTTTGCGAGTGGGCTTGCCAGTTGACCACCAGTTGACTACCAATGGCTACCAGTTGGCTGGGTACTGGCCAGTTGACGAAATCCATTATTTTTGTCTCTAATTTCTTCGACCTCTATGTCTGCGCTTGTAATTCTGTCAAGCTGCCCTAATAGGTAGATACGGGGTAGACCTAATCCCAAGTCGACTCCTATATCACTATCTTGCAATACTATTGATATAATCCATGCCATCCAAGCGGTAATCATCCCGTTCCACATAGCTTCCATTCATGGGCAACCGGAAGACAAAGTTAGACGCCTTCTTTCCTGGCGTATACTTGGGCCATTGCGGGATTTGCGGTACTATGCCTGTCAGCCTTTTCTCATTCAAGCCACGACAGAAACGTACCTCTATGTCCATTGGGATTCAGGTCCGTCACGAAGGACGTCCACATTCGAGCGGCCATGTTGCCCAGTTCGAGACGGGCGGGATCGGTTCCCAGCGGTGTAATGTTTTGGACTGGATTCGCAAAGACGAAAGGGATCTGTACCATAAGTGAGCCATGGGTGTCAACAAGGTGGTGCCGTCCTACCTCTGCGAAATGACCGACACCAATGGTGCTACTTGTGTTCATGGCCGGCACGTCCCATCGATAAGAGTAGACCTGTTTCGTGTACTTGGCCATGGTTTGCGCAAGCAGCCGTCTTGGTGCGGCCATGGTCAGATCGCCTGCCATCGATTCGTAACGTTTGTACATCAGTCCCAGCTTCGGCCATGTCACGTTGCCCCAGCCGTAGGGACATCCGAGGGCAGGGTCGTTGGGGTAGTACGTGAGAAGGCGCGTGGCTTCTTCCCGGTTGAGGACCCAGCGTTTCGAGGCTGTTGTTGTCAGTGATTGTCTTGGTTATAAGCAGCAAAAAAACGCACATATGAGTTGATTAATGCAGTCTTCGTCGGTGTTTGTCCCTGTAGTACCGAAGCTGGTTCCCTCGTCTGTGTTGGATCCAAGGAGAATAGGAACTTTTGCCAGTCGGCCTTCAGTGTAACTGATCTGAGGGTACTCTTTGATAAAGGTCCCGTCGACGGCGGCGAACCATTCCAGACCCTCGTTCGCCACATCGTACAAGGACGTGTAGGGGACTTCTCGCAGACACTGGAGTGTATCCGAGGATGTCGAGCAGCTACAAATGTTAGCGTGGACTCTACTGTAAGGCGCGATTGAAATACCCAGTCTTGTTCACGATGCGGTCGTACATCGGCTGATGCCAGTCCGTGCCGTTCCATGGGGGTCCAACAGCGTTACCAGATTCCATGATGGCTACGACCATGTGAGCTTCCAGACGGTAATGCTAGAGTGAGAACGTACCGGCCCGGAATAAACCCTCATTGTCACCACCATTGGCAACCAAATGGGCCCCAACGCTGTAGGCACCTCTGCTCGAGTCAGCATTGCACGGATCGAAGTGGTGCTTTTCACTCACGCAGATTCTCCCCAGATTGTAACTCTGTCAGGATCGCCGCCAAACGCCTTGATATTCTCCTTGACCCATCGCATGGCGACCCGCTGATCCCGTAGACCCAGGTTGTTATTACCAGTAGCCTATACCGTCAGCATAGCCCTTGACCATCTGCATAGATACATACCCTAACTTCCTCAGAGTCCAGGAACCCAAAAGCAGCAACCCGATAATTGATCGAGACGCCAAGCACCGGCTTGTCATTCAGAGCTCCTTGACGAAGAATATAGCTCATGTTATATCTACCACGGATACCCGTCAGGCTGTCCAGTAACAGTAATACCAGCGGATAAACTCATACCTCGGATCAGCAGTAGCCCCCTGCTGCCATCCACCTCCAAAAATCCATATCATCACGGGAAGCAATTCCTCCGGGTCCGGCTTCTGCGTAGGTCGAATGATATTAAGGTTCAGGCAGTCTTCATTGAGAGTGATCAGTCCCATGCTGACCAGCTTCGTTTCGTCCGATCCGTAGCCGGGACATTCGTACCCGTATTGGGTGGCATTGTACAGCACTGTGTCCTTGGGCAGAGCCAGACCAGTCTCAGAGGCGTCATAGGAGCCCGAGTTACTGTCGTTGGCAGCGTAGGATGTTTTCAAGCTCGACGGCGTGAATCGAACTGGCTGGTCTGCGTACTTGATGCCCAGGAACAGTTCCTGGTCGAACTCTGGTAGGGAACGGCCTACGAAGACGGTTTTTGAGCCACCACTCCGGCTTGCACGCACCGTGGCCGTCGGATGGTCTGCGATGGCGCCTTGGGTCTGCGAGCTAGGCAGAGCAACGCTCAATACGCCCAGTAAGAGACACAGCCAGGCGAGAGAGGAGATTCGATGCGCCATGTTGGTCATGTCTCTGTCGCTCAGAGACGGTGCTGTGCCTGTGTTGCCATCTCCGTGGGAATCAGCCTGTTAAATGCCGTCCCCATGTTGAAGATTCTCCGCATCTTCATTAGTGCTTTGTCGACAGATATGGGGTATATTCCGGGGAAGTGGATGCACTTTCATCTGTTGATGTTGGAGAGACGCCGACGATAGGTGGAAGTATTTGAGCAGAGACGCCGTGACGTTCGCTAGCGTCAACTGGCTTGTACATCAATTTCTCCGTCTACGGCATTTACCCAACGCTAATCAGAGAACAAGAGAGCTTTGATGCGTGGATCTGCAGGACCCATCACAAGGTTTGATTACAGCTTCGGTGCCGTCCGCGGTGTCAACTTGTAAGGGTATCACTCATACCCGCGAGAAGACCAATGGAGCAAAAGCCAGGGAGGAATCAGTCTGTCTTCTTAGCTCTAGGTTATTCATTAAGGAATCGGCGTAGCCTGTAGAAAGATCTGATACTGCAGAATAAATGGTATGCGAACGCTGATGAATCTATCTCAAATGAACTATCTGAAAATGGGTATGAGCTGCTTCAGCTAAATACATCGGGTCGAAGCAAGAACGAGTCAACGGGTATCCCAACACCCTCTAGCAATATTATCAGGAGTCAAAACCACACTGTATATCAGAGGTGCTGTCCTGCGGCGCCATGCTGGTTGTACGAGTACTCCGGGTGGCAGAAAGAATGCAGAAGGCCAATTAGATGAGCGATGAGCCAGAGACCAGGAAAGATACACGCCAGAATTTCGAGATCTAGCAACTATGAACATTCTGCAAGAGATCAATCATCCTTCACTCGGTCGCCATAGCCTAGGGTTGATCCACCCGTGCGAGTCCTGCTCGTTCCGGATGATGAAGGACTGGGGAAACGTCCTCTCAATGAGGACGCGTCGTGCAGATTCGATCCTGATCGGTTCAGGTTCGGTTTCCTTGAATTCTCCGGCAGAAGGCCAGATGGATCTCTTGACTCCAAGCCAGCGTTCAATTCGATCAAATCTCCCATGCCACGTCGGCTAGTCCCCGCACCGGTATTGCCCTGATACGCTTGAGCGCTCTGTTGCAGGTCGCTGAGACCTGCTTTCGCTCGAGTCGTCAGTTTTCTCACCCAGCCTTCAACGGCACCCCCTATATTATCAAGGCTAGTTGAAGCGGTGGAAGCCGTAGCCGCGGCATACTCGGATGGTGTCCTTCCTAAGCCAGGGGGCGCAGGTGCAGGAGCTAAATTTGGCAGATGTTGCGCGACAAATTTACTCAATCCGTCGAGAGCTGGCCCTGGAGCCATCGCACTGCGATCGAGCGTTCCGACTCCTGTTCCCACGAGCTGTATATTGCTACGTTGGCGTTGGTGGTGCGGTCTCGGCTTGGCACTAGACATGGCTCGCGCCCTCGAAGGGCCTGTAGTGCTTCGATTCTGTGCAGTGGACGCTTGCGACGATGGCGACTCTGTCGGTGAAGGCAGAGTTGAAGTGAGAGTTGCCGTTCGCTCGCGGCCGGATATCGACGAACGAGGTTCGGAGTCTGTGTAAGATAGAGATTTTCGTCGTGTACGCGGGAAGAATCCCAATGCTTTGCGAGGAACGCGGCCGATCTCTACTGGCGCAGAAAACCCATCGATCTGCACCCACGACTGATGCTTCCAGATCCTATCTGCCTCCCCTTCAAGCGGCGCTTCTGTCGATGCTCCTCCCTCGGCAGAGGAAGCCCTAGCGTCTGAACTTGGTGCAGGTGCTATCGAGCTTCCAGTCAGATCCTCTAGAGAATCACGGTTGAAAGTGTCGCCGCCTAGAAGATCAACTTCGGCCGCGGCGCGGATCGGCCGTCCTTTCACAGAACAGGAGGCAACCGGCAAAAGCACGGTCTTCCTGCTCTGAATACTATCAGTGGGCCAAAATCCATTGGCCTTTCGAAAAATCGCTGGTTGACAGCCATACTTAATCGCAACCCCGGTGATGCTGTCATTCGGCTGAACGTGGTGTATATACGCTAAAGCCTCCTCGTCCTGCCTTGCATCGATCGCTGAGTGGTCCGTCTGATCACTCGAATCTCGCCGTTTGTGCCGAGTGTCGCGACTAGCCTCCGAACCCATGTCTGCTAGTAGGAGAGCCTCCCGCTTCTTCGCCTGTACCATAGCCTGTCTCTCTTCCTTTGTTCCAGCTGCAATTTCCGATGTGGACGGCGTCGACGGACCCCATGCCGAGGGTGTCTTTGGAGTATTCCTCATGTACGGATCTGGTCGCGAAGGCTTCCTCACATGGGTACGTGCCGTCCCATTCGGTGCGGGTCTGGCAATATCGCTCCCCAGAAAAGATGAAGCCAGGCTTTGTAAGGAAGTCCAAGAAGAATCTAGAAAATCCACCGCTGCCCGCGAAGAATCGGCGAACTTGACCTGTGCCTTCCCTGTCTGCCTGTGCCCGCCTAGGGAACCACCGAACCCATTGAGATTATCTCGGTTGAGTGATTCAGTGGCGCGCGAAGGATGCCGCATCGGAAGGGGTGACGCCCCGCGGGATGTGTGGGGTGATGGGGTGGCACCGCGTGAACGGACAGCGGAGGAGTCTCGTGAAGGCGTTGTGGTAGAAAGCCTGGTGGACTGCATTGGTCTTCCATAGTCCTCGTCTGTAACATCATCGACCGATATCAACCGACGGGTGCGTGGTCGGACAGTGGACGTAGATCTACTGCGGGCGGCCCCAGGACTGAAAATGTCAATAATGCCATTGTTGGAACTCATTCCCGGCGAAACAGAAAGACAATGGATATCCGCGCTTTGATGGATGTAGCAAGCTCTTCCTTAGGAGCTTAACTCAGCACGTGAGATCACCAAGGCATGTGTTGCCATCGGAGGTCTCTCTACCTAGGATAGACCATTCGTCATCCAGTCACCCCGTATCGTCGCAATCAGAGGACCAGGGGGCAGGTGGGGAAGATGAGCGATCACGGATATACTAAACGGGATTTTCCCCGTCGAGATAGATATTGAAGTATGCAGGCGCGCAGAGTGAGGCAACAGGGGAAGTGTAGAAAGCTGGCCAGAACTGGGGGTTGAGACGCGGGATGCAGCAGAGAGTTGGCGGACTCCTTGTGATGACGACCCGCAATGTTCTGGATGGTGTAAACGAACGGACTGGACCCAACGAGCGCCAAGTGTTCCGTGTCAGTCAATCGGGGTAGGGGTCTTGAATGAGAAAAAGGTCACAAACACTTGAAAGACCTGGAAGGAGATAGTTAGAATAATACTGAACAGAGAGGAGCTTTGTAATTGCTGAGGTTCTTGTGATCGGCAAGCAAGTGTCTTGTTCCCGCCGCTCTCCAAGAATCGGGCTACTCCGTACTTCCGGTGGCCACTGTACCCGCTACATACGTATGTCTGTTATCTATCTATAGTTTATGGCATTCCGAGCACTATCCACGTCAAAATGAGTATCAGAATGGAAGAAGTGATATTTTGAATCAGAGTCTGTCCATCATTATTCTGATTCTCATGTAGTTCTGCTCGTCTCGTAGTGGAACAAAGTGTATGACCTGGCCGCATTACAATGTAGTGAATTTTCAGTCTCTATACATCTCTAGGATCCTTCAGTTTGAGAGAGGGAGAGTCTTTTGGTCATCGTACAACAGCTATCAAAAGTCTATAAAAAATGCCATTTTTTATGGCAAAGAGCTTGTTTCGCAAGTATTAGGTAGCCAAAGCGAGCAATCATCAACGGAAAGGTCCCGGAAGATACCAGCGAAATATATGACTGCAAGAAACTGTATTATACCAAAAATCAACGCCATAACCGGGGTGCTGTATACATTGGTATCAAGGACATTAGACGAGCAAGTCATCCAAATCGCTGAAAGAGTTGGTTTATTCAGGCGGCTCAGCCATCTCTGCGGGTCGTGCCTCGACTTCAGATGCTGCATCTGATTCAGCTGTGCTCCACTCTTTCTCCGAACTGGCTTTGCTGGTAGGTTGTGTCTGGGGCTGAGAGGGTTGGGAGATGACCCTGACGCCTCCGGCTCGAGAGAAGAAGTCCTCTGTACGAAGGCCGCGAACTTCAGTCGGATTTACAGATGTCATCTGAAGACCTTCTGCTTTCTTTTGTCGGATCAGTTCTCGGACAGGGACCATGGCGGCATCCCGGCAAGCTTCCTTGATATCACTGCCGGACATCCCCGCCATTGCCTTGACCAAGTAATGAACATCAAAGTTTTCTCGGTCGACCTTGGTGTCTTTGAGTATCAAACTGAGAATTCGAAGTCGCTGTGCGGCCGGAGGAAGGGTAACGGGGAACTTCTTAGGCATCCGCCTAAGGATCGCTTCATCGATATCCTGGATGCGATTTGTGGCTCCGAGAACAACAACCCGCTGCGGTTCACCCAGAGAATTTGCGGACGTCAGACCATCCCAGTGCGTCATGAATTCAGCTTTGACCATGCCACTCGCCTCGTGCTCACCACTCCGCCGTGTGCCGAGCACTGCGTCTATCTCATCAATGAAGACGATCGAGGGCTGCAGCTTGCGCGCTAACGAGAAAACGGCATTGACCAGCTTGTTCGAATCACCATACCATTTCTCAGTCAAGGTGGAAATATGTAAATTGATGAAGCACGCGCCGCTCTCGTGAGCCAGCGCTTTAGCGAGCATAGTCTTTCCACACCCTGGCGGGCCATAAAGTAATACTCCCGACGGCGCATTGAGAAGGGATGACGTGGAAGAGTAGAGATGAGGCATGGTCAGAGGATAGATGACGGATTCCTTAAGCTCTTCGATAATGTCGTCCAGGCCTCCAATATCCTCGAATGAAACATGAATGTCATCGGGAGCTACAACATCCATAGCGATGGCTTGCTCGTACTGGTTGAGGACCAAATCTCCCCTCCTTTGTCGGCGCGCCTTTTTAGCACCTCTGCGTGGTGAGTCGCCATCTGATTCCTCTCCACCGTCGAGCTTCCGCAGAATGGCGGCAGATTTGCGCCGTTGCTCTTCTTTCTTCTGGCTCTCTGGGTCGAAATCAAGGCGCGATAAAAGGTAACGAATGAGAAAGTATGCGGAGGCCGACTATCAAAACTAATTAGAACGCGTTAAAATGGGCCGAGAGCCATAGCACTCACAGTACCAGCGACCATCACCAGCTCTTGCAAAAACTGCTGCCATCTTGGACCGCGCGCGGAAGCCATGATAGCGGGGCCGAGTTAGGACGAACAGGCAGTTAGGCAATCTGCAACAAGTGGCCAATTAATGACCTCGAAGATAGTCGGTCGCCCGAGTGCCGCAACGGGGATTATGATGAGTGATATTTCGGTTGATTAGAAGCAACCTTGGAGAGATCAGGAGCGTCGGCTGTCGGCGATATGGACAGCTGTGGCGCTTGCTCTCTGCGCCGGCGAACATCGTGGCTTTGCCGACGGGACGTCACATGCCTGCGATCTGCATGTGGTCATTGCAATGCGGTGAGCGGCATGGAAGGCGGTGAGTCTGTGGGTGGACGCGATCCATGTTTTGGTTTGCGTCGGCAAGTTCTCATCGGACGGAATGTATAGCGATGTCGCGTGCGGTATAACCATTCAAAATTTTTATCATTGTTTGATTAAGAGATATAATATACGTATTATCTGAGATGCCGAAACGAAAAGCGACAGCCAGGCTTTCTGCTCAGGCCGGCTCGGATGGTGCGGATGCCATACCGGTCAATGGCAATGATGCAGGACAGCGCGAAAACGAGCGCCCGGCCAAGAGAGCGAGAGGAAGGCCGCGATCCAAGTCCGTTGAAAGCAAGCCGCCAGCCGAAACGAAGCGTAATTCGACGGTGGCCCAAGCGCAAGCCCCTGATAGTGCTCCGAAGAAAGCATCCAAACGGGGACGACCAAAGGGTAGCCGGAACTCGGCGCAAGGCGCAACTCAAGAGGGTCCAGAGAGGAAGGGTGGCAATGAGGAAATCAAGGATGAGGTCGGAGTCCAAGAAACCGAGAGTTTGGCGGCGTCCAACGACGAGCTGGATGATGCTCCAGTTGCTACCAAGACAAATCAAATGGCAAAATCGGCAAAACCTGCAGCTACACGGGGACGCAAAAAAGGCAGTGCTGGAAAGCAGGTACAGACCGATGGTGAATTTGAGTATACACCGAGGGCTACGAGACAAGTACAGCCGCCGGCAGAGCCCCAGGAGCAGTTAGAGCAGCCAAAGAGACAATCGCGACGCATTCATTGGACAGAACCCAGCAGAGCCGCAGCAGAAAATGAGCAGGAGGAAATGGAGGTTGTTGAAGAGTCTATTCTCCATGAAGAGCCCGTGGGCCCTCGATCAGCATCAGCATCAGCATCGCCTATGAAAGGCAGGCGGTCGTCACAGCCCGCACCAGGAAGCTCTCCTCTCAAGAAGAAGCTGGGGGGTTCTACGGATGATGATAAAATTGGTGAACCGGAGTTGAGGCGTAGACTTGGTGATTTGACTAAGAAATATGACATGCTGGAGAATCGCTACCGTAACCTCAGAGAGATAGGGATTGTCGAGGCGAATGCCAATATGGATAAGCTTCGACAACATTGCGAAGCTGTGACAACAGGTATGTAGGTCTTGCGCTTGATCACACGTCAAACGCTGATATTTTTAGCTTCCAATAATTTGGTTGCTTCTCTCAAGGCAGAGCTGGAAGCGCAGAAGAAGCTCGGCCAACAAAGCCGAGCGCTCCAGAAACAATTGAAGGAGAGGGATGCGGAAGTCGCTGCATTGAAATCACAAGCGGCAGAGGCCAAGAACCAACTGACTGCGGCTCAGTCAGAGGTCAAAGCCTTACAGACCAAGCTGGCAGCTGCCCGTAATACTACTGCCAGTCTCGAAACCGCTGCCGCAAAAGTTCCTGGAAGCGCAATCAAAAACAACAGGGCAAACCGCGCAGCTGAGGCTGAGGCAGCCCAAGCAGCTCATCTCGCGCAGTTGAAGGAGGAGCTGTACAGCGACCTCACGGGTCTTGTCATTCTTGATGTCAAGAAGAGAGAATCAGATCACCTGTATGACTGCCTTCAGACTGGCGTCAACGGAAGTAAGTCCCATTTCGAAAAGGGAGGATTCCAAGATGTGTTTCTGACAACTCGGCAGCTCTTCACTTCAAACTGGCTGTCCCAACAATAACATCTACCAACTTCGAAACGGCGGAATTTCAGTACGTCCCATTGTTGGATGAGAGTCGTGATCGTGAACTGGTCGAGATTCTTCCCGAGTATCTTACAGTTGATATCACCTTTGTCCGCCAGCAAGCATCGAAATTCTACGCACGGGTCATCGATGCGCTTACGAAGCGACGCAATTCAACCAACTAAGTGCTCTTTCTTCGTGTTATATTTCTTCTTGCATTTCTCGGCTTTGGCATGGCATCTTTGGCTGTTGCATAGGTATATGGAGCTAATTCAGGTGTCTTGGATGGATCATGGTAGGATTCCTCAGTGACAGTTTATAATCTATTGGGACCAGAGCCCGTTGAAATTATCATACTCTCTTGTAATGCAGTCTCTGAAGTCTTTATTCTCAAGAGAGTAGTTCTCCAAATAAAGGAATGCACATATAGTCTGTCAGGGGCTGCGTTGTGGGCTCTGCGGGCCACCGTAACCACGGCATGCCGTATTGGGTACCCCGATTGGCTGGGGCATCCCCAAGTTCCCCAAAGCTGTCATTAAAAAAGCGACAGGTCCATGTTTCGCAGATGCTTGACAGCTCGTCAGCACTATTCTCTTTCCATTCTTTTCTTTTCATTGTAACTGTTTGATCTCGTTTTCTTTACTACGTGCTGGGAGATAAAGTCCGCTCTTTTGTTACAGCTATCCCCCCGAAGCTGGATCGCCCGTGAAGGCAAGATGGCGCGTCTGGGCCGCTTTGGGTTTCTCACCCTGGCGGTGGTGTTCCATCTTATATATGCTTATTCAATATTTGACATTTACTTTGTCAGTCCGATCGTGAGCGGCATGAGATCGTTTGGCGTCGAGCGAGAACCTGGAACGAATACGCCTGCCAGTCGTCTTGTGCTCTTTGTTGCCGATGGCTTGCGCGCCGACAAGGCGTTTCAGCCAGCTCCAGACCCTTCTCCGGAAGATGGCGAAGATGCAGAAAACAACGATCCAATCTACCTCGCTCCTTTTATTCGATCGCGCGTACTCTCCCACGGAACCTTTGGCGTCTCCCACACCCGAGTACCCACCGAGTCTCGCCCTGGACATGTTGCACTCATCGCCGGTCTGTATGAAGATGTCTCGGCCGTGACAACAGGCTGGAAATTGAACCCGGTCAACTTTGACAGTGTCTTCAACCAAAGCCGGCATACTTGGAGCTGGGGAAGTCCGGACATTCTCGCAATGTTCAAGGAGGGCGCAGTTCCGGGCCGTGTTGATGCCGACATGTACGGAGAAGAGATAGAGGACTTCACCATGGACGCAACGCAACTTGATACCTGGGTCTTCAATAAGGTGAAGGAGCTTTTTGCCTCTGCAAAGAGCGATCCCGAATTGGATGCGAAGCTACGTCAGGATAAGGTGGTGTTCTTCCTGCATCTTCTTGGACTCGATACCACTGGCCACGGCTACCGTCCTTACTCCAAAGAATACCTGCATAACATCAAGGTTGTGGACAAGGGGGTGCAGGAGATAGCAACTCTTATAGAAGAGTTCTACGGTGACGACAGGACAGCCTTTGTCTTCACCGCAGACCATGGTATGAGCGATTGGGGGAGCCATGGAGATGGTCATCCTGACAATACTAGAACACCTCTGGTCGCCTGGGGATCTGGTGTTGCTGGTCCAAAGTACACAGAGGGAAAGGCTGTCACTGGCCATGAAGATGGATTCTCTGCCGATTGGGGCCTTGACGGCATTCAACGCCATGATGTTGCACAGGCCGATGTTGCTGCTCTCATGGCGTATCTTGCTGGCTTGGATTTCCCTGTGAACTCTGTCGGCCAGTTGCCGCTTGAGTACATTGAGGCTAGCCCGAAGGAGAAGGCGCTCGCTGTGTTGGCGAACACGCAGGAGGTCTTGGAGATGTATCGTGTGAAGGAGCAGCAAAAGAGAGCCGCATTGCTACGTTACAAGCCGTTCGAGCCATTGGCAGATCATGGCAAGAACTCAGTGGAGGAGCATATTGCTGAGATCCAGGCACTCTTTGCCAATGGCAGTTATGATGAATCCATCAAGAGGTCTGGCGCTCTATTCGCTACTGCGCTAGAGGGGCTACGCTATCTGCAAACATATGACTGGCTCTTCCTCCGAACCATCATCACCTTTGGATACCTAGGCTGGATTGCGTATGCACTGACGACAGTTATTGATCTGCATGTTTTGCACGGTACCTCGGATTCAAATCGGACCATGGGCAGTACTATTTTCTTCACGTCTATTCTTGCTGCACTCTTTTCGGTTCTCTCATATCAAAAATCTTCGTGGCGATACTATGTCTACGGAGCTTTTCCGATCTTTTTCTGGGAAGAGGTCTTTGCACGAAGGAAGGCATTGATCGCTGGTCGCGAGATCCTTTTGGGACATGTTCGTTCTTTCGGTGGCTACATCGCATTCGGATTTCAATTGATAGCCTTTGTTGCAGTTTTGGAAGCTCTTGTATGTTGCAATACATTTGACATATTGGACACAAGCTGATGAGACAATAGGTCCAATCCTACTTCCACCGCGAGATATTCACGGTTTGTTTCATTCTCGGGTCATTCTGGCCTATTTTATACGGCATCGACTTTGTGAGACAGAATACGGTTCTGTCCGCTACATGGGCCGCCGGATGTTCTCTCATGAGTACTTTTACTTTGCTTCCTGTAATCAAAGTAGAAAACATTAACACCATGTATGATGTCCCTGATTGTCGAGGCTAATTTAGGATGATGTTCTAACGATCGTTTGTGCAGAACTTATGGTGCACTGCTGATGTTCTTCACCGGGTTGCTCTATCTACTGTTCGAGGACACCATCTTGAGACATAGTAAATCTTCAGGACATTCGCCAGGGGCTATCTCTAGGTTGGGGTCGCGAGTCATTATGGGCATGCAGGTACGATTTTTCGTCCTTCTCATCTTCTCTTGCGGTCTCCAAGACTATGTGACGGGCGGCTGTGTTCCTGCCTCAGCACTTTTGAGATTAATTTGCTAACATAAGTAGGTTGGCATGGTTTTGCTTGCTATGATAGTCACCAGATCCAGTGTTTCGTCTTTGCAGGCCAAGCAAGGTCTTCCATTTGGTAACCAAGTAGTTGGCTGGTTCGTTTTGGGTAAGTATTGCGAGGAACTGGCTTGACTCGACTCTCGCTCTGCAGCCCTACTCAAACCTTGCTAACACGATTCTAGTTGCCTCGCTTGTGCTGCCATTGTCCCATCAGCTATATCCTAACAGCCACTACTTGCACCGCCTGATGGTACTTTTTCTCACATTCTCACCCACCTTTATCATCCTCACCATTTCGTATGAGGGACTTTTCTACTTTGTGTTCTGCATGACACTAGTCACCTGGGTGCGTTTGGAGCATGCCATATACGTATACACTGCTAGGTCCTCGGCGAACTATGGTGGAAGCAATACGGTTCCAAAGAAGCCAGGCTTGAATGCTACAGCGGTAGTCGATGGGCAGGAATACCGCTACCGCAGGCTAGGCCTGGCAGACACGCGCGTGGCGTTGTTTTTCTTCTTCCTTCTCCAATCCGCCTTTTTCAGCACAGGCAACATCGCATCAGTCTCATCATTTTCGCTGGAGAGCGTCTTCCGTCTCATACCTGTTTTCAGTCCGTTTAGTCAAAGCGCTCTGCTCATCCTGAAAGTGCTCATCCCTTTTGCCATCATCAGCGCTAATCTGGGTATCCTCAACCGCCGGCTGGAGGTTGCGCCCAGCGCTCTGTTCATGGTTGTCATGTCCGTCTCGGACGTCATGACTCTCAATTTCTTCTATATGGTGCGGGATGAGGGGTCCTGGCTGGATATTGGTACCACCATCAGCCACTTTTTGATTGCTAGCTTTCTGTGCACTTTTGTTGCGGGACTTGAGTTTCTTAGCGAGGTGTTTATCAGCGGCGTGGACTTCGGACCGACCGCTAAGGCGATCGGGGCCACTATCACCAAAGCCGTTGACGGCACTGCGGGGAGCGATGTCGCAGTTTCGCAGTCTGGCCCTGAAGATGCGGCGAACGGCAAGAAGGCGGAGGGTCTAGAAGGAAGTGAAACGGCTCGCCAGAATGGCGGCTCCTTATGATTCATGTAAATGTTATTTATTTATAGATTGTTGGCAGGACGCCATACTTAAGCTAATTACTTGGGATATACTCTTCTCCTCGTCCTATCACTGTATGATGCAGCACAGTAAACAAACTGTAGCTACGCTTGCTCATCACATTGATCTACTACTTCCTGCGCGAATCTTACCACTCATCTCAGACCAGAGCTCTGAAGCCACAATCACTTTACCCCAGAATACTACGGAGTATGGCATCAGTTAAGCCGAGGCATCACAAGCCAACCCGAACTAAGTTCACCACTAAGTTCACCACTATTGGATCCCAGGAAACTAGACCCGCATCCTCGCGCATCAGCCCGAACCATTTCCAGCCTAAGGCAGCCCATCCCATGGCGGAATTGCGGGGAAGAACCAGGCACCATCCGAAGTACCTTACCTTACGCTTCTTGCGATGCTTTCCCACTCGCCGGAGCCGGATCTGATGGCATTGGCGTTGGCATTGATGACGAGATGCGGGAATTAAAACCGGGGAGATGCGGGATGGTGGATGGACCTTGCAGCTTACCTTGGGGTTTTATGATTCATCGGAGGGTCTGACTCTGCGGGTCTTGTCTTGGTTGGATGGGTTCTGTTCCTGGGTGGATGACAGGTGTAAATGCCGCAGTTTACGGGGTTGGGATGATGCAGGGAGTTGGCTGGGTCGCATGATGCTTTCTTTTTCCTGTCTTCCTAGTAACCTACGTAGAGTCCGAGATGCACTGCAGGATTCCGTATCGTTCCGCGTGGTGATATTATTTGATTTCTGTGACTGGAGCACGGACTGCTTGATGGGTAGGTATTTGTAGGGGGAAAGTAGATAGGTGGTGACGGGAGCCGGAGGATGGGGGAATGTAAGCTCGCATGTCCTGCAGTATTACTAGAAGAGATCAAATCTGGAGTCCGCATTATCTAAGGTTGTTGAGGTCCGGGTGCAAGGTGCAAGCTCAATCATTGTTGAGAGTGATCAGACGGAGGCATTGCGATGGGGACCTTGAGGCTTCACAGTTCTGGTGTCGGCTAGACCCAATATATCAAGGAATATAACTCCCGGCAGAAAGCTGAATGATCATCATGATTCATGATCCTCTTGTTTCACTTCAAGTGCCTAGTCTATTATCTAGCAGATACGGAGTACTACTAGTTGGTTCATGCCCCTTGGGTCAAATCTCGAGTCCACGGCCTACTGTGGAAAATGTCAAGTCTTGCAGAGATATCTTCCATCTGAGAGTTTATTGTTTAGTTGGCAGTGTTTGTACCGGAAAATGGATACTTGAATATGAAGTTCTATCTATGCAGTAAATAGATGCACAAATGGTGCCATACTATGGGAACTGGATGTGGTTCCTAAGGACTCCACAGTGGAGTGCAATAAAGAAGCTTTACTGGTGTGGTAAATCAGAATAGCATCAGGGTTAGGGCCATTTCTGAGGATCATTTTCTGATTATCTTCTAGCTTAGGAAGTGCGCAGAGACTGCCTGAAATATAAGAGGCAGCATCAAGGAATTATATTCAAGTAGACCTAAGACATAAAGGTACTATTCTGGTGGATGATTATTCCGGTGAGATTGATTACTCCGTACAATTATGGGGTCTGAAACCATGTTCGGCGTTCCATATGAGAAGATCACTGCAAGCCTCAAATTTAAGCACTTTAGAAAAGGAAGTTCGAGATTCATGTTGAGTGCTCATGCAGTGTGACAATATGCACTTCAGCGAGCTTATAAACCATATTTCAAGTGAACTCTCAGTCATGGACATAGTTGTCTGTTGATAAAGAGGTACTTCTCAGTGGTCCAGCCAGCAATAAGGCAGCAAATACTAATAGGTAGTAACGGCTCGTCCAATAAATCCTCGTCTCTCGACAAAGCTCGAGGCTTAGCTTACAATGTGCCCTGCTCTTTCGGATCCTGGAAGTTCAGACTCTTGGAGAGATACGGTAGTCATCGAATTGGTAATATTGCAACCTGTGAGCTTGGCTGCATTTTGTAGACTAGGTATGGGGGAACTGGGACTGCCATTTTGCCACTTCCCTCGTCCCTTTTCTTCCTGCGCTTCATCTCCGTATGGCCATGTTGCTTATTCGGACTGGAGTACGGAGTAGTAAGTACGAGAACTATGAGGGAGTGCGTGACTTTCTCCATATTCGTATATAGCTGACGATTAATTCTTCCCTCCATGTTCTGGTTTGGTACATTTCAAGTCTGGATCCTTAGTCCGTAGTACTAGTAGTAGATCCGCCCAGGGCCTTTTTCCCTCCCCTCTCCACCGCATCTCTCGAAATCCACCAAAGGAAGAGCAGCGACAACCCCCTGTGACCACGGACCAGTAAGGGTAAGACTGCCCACCCGCACAGGCTTCGTGTCCCATTCATTCATCGCATCTATCTCAAGACTCTACTAGACGATCTAGCTGCTACTAATTCGGTGGCGCTTGTTCCTCTGACGCCTTTCTCGTTCGTCTGCTTTCGCTCTCACTTTACCTGTTCCGTGGCTTATTCTTGTCCCTATCACGATTCGCCAATACGCAGCGCGCTCTACAGAGACGGAAAGACGAGGAAACTCGTTCATCTCAATTCCCCGTACTCCCCTTTGACGACCTTATTTTCGTCTATTTCCTAGATCTACCGCTACCCACCTTCGTCGCGCTCTGTTCCTTTTTATTATCGCCGTCTCCGCTTGAAACGCTCCCCGGTCGCAAGTTTCTTGGATGGATACCTGGCCATGAGCACAACAGCAGAGAATCGCCCCGAATCTACACCCTCACGACCTAGCCCTGCTCCCAGCACCGCGGGCTCAACGGGTACTTCAGGCATCACTGTTCGCGGTGGACCAAACGGACACATGAGTTTCAGAAGGTGTGTGTTGATATTTCCTTTTGCTGTGGTGGTGGGTTGATGCTTCTGCTACTTGTCGCGGGGCTGTTGTCCCGGACGGTCGCACGAAGAAAATTCAGTCCAGTCGACAATCATGGGGTAGAAAGCTTTGTAGATTGTGCAGTTCGGGTTTAAAAAGAAGTTCTATCGATGCTAATTGGCTTTATCTTATCTTTTAAAACAGACAACGTGCGTCGCGTGCTTGTGAGGTACGTTCTCTCGTTATGAGTTCCTGCAAGGTCAACGCGACCTGCGCGGGTGCCTCGGCACCTCGGCCCATCGCAGCTATCGTCACTATATCGAGCTCACCACGATCACCCCATTCCACACCACAATCATACCACGATGAGTTATTTTGCTAACTATTACTTTTCTCATGGGTGCTATAGACCTGCCATGCGCGAAAGGTGAGTTTGCACTCTGCTGTCATTGCCGAGTTTAGCAAAAGGACGTTGCTGACCATGAACCTCCTCGAGCAGGTCCGTTGCGATGCTGCCAGTTTAGGTGTGCCTTGCACCAACTGTGTGGCTTTTTCCATCGAGTGCAAGATCCCTACGCCGAAGCGCAAGAAGAACCAGACCAAGTCGAAGGATACAAACAGCGGGTATGTAGAGTCACCCGGTCTACCAGCCATAGCTCTCGACAACTGACCTCCGGTGTCTTCTGCTAGGACTGATGAGCGCAACGAAGACGACCAGGACAAGCAGGAGGAGTCGCCAAGTGACGGCGGCCCGGATGGCAAGGATGCTTTCGGGTATCGCAAGAACCGGATGGCCGTCGATGGGATGCCAGTGACCACCCTCACCGAGCAACAGGAAGCTCAGCAAGCGTCCCACAACAACGCTTACGCCCAATTTATGAAGCCCAAGTTCGCTCGGGCACCGATAAAGGAAGCAGGCAGAGTCGCCTATCTCGGAGAGTCATCAAATCTGTCGCTCCTGGTTCAGGATCGTCATGGCACAACTGACGTGGTGCACTATCCTCTTCCGCCTAACATCAGAGGATCGCGTGCTCGGTTGACGGACCTCGACAACCTCGAACTCGACATTCTCCATCAGCGTGGCGCTTTCCTTCTCCCTCCCAAACCCCTCTGTGACGAGCTTGTCGAAGCTTATTTCAAATGGGTCGCACCTATCGTCCCCATTGTCAATCGCAGCCGTTTTATGCGACAATATCGCGATCCGAAGAATCCACCTTCTTTGCTTCTACTACAGGCCATCCTTCTCGCTGGCTCGAGAGTTTGCACGAATCCCCAACTTATGGATGCGAACGGCTCCACCACCCCGCTGCAATGACATTCTATAAACGGGCGAAAGCACTTTATGATGCTAATTACGAAGACGACCGCGTCACGATTGTCCAGGCCCTTGTTCTCCTAGGCTGGTACTGGGAAGGTCCCGAAGGTTTGTTTATTTGCTTTGCCTGAGAGTCGGACTGTTCTAACTGCTACAGACGTGACAAAGAATGTCTTCTACTGGACGAGAGTTGCTATGGTCGTCGCACAAGGCTCCGGCATGCACCGAAGGTATAGCCTTCTTTCCCTATAGTATCTTCAGCTCAGTGACTTACGATCGCAGTGTGGAAACATCTCAACTCAGCAAGCCAGACAAGAGATTATGGAAGCGTATCTGGTGGACTCTCTTCACCAGGGACAGATCCGTAGCAGTTGCCCTCGGTCGGCCTATCGGAATCAACACCGACGACTCAGACGTGGGCATGTTGACCGAGGACGATTTCATTGAGGACGAGATCGACAGCGTCGCCGAGTACCCCCCAGACCCTGTACACGTACAGTTCTTCCTTCAATATGTCAAGCTGTGCGAAATCATGGGACTGGTGCTATCCCAGCAATACTCTGTGGCCTCCAAATCTCGGAGGATGAACGCCATGGACTTGACGCATTCAGATATGGCCCTGGCAGACTGGCTTCAGAATTGCCCCAAGGAGGTATGCTGGCAAAAGTCCCGGCATCACTTCTTGGCAGCTCTTCTTCATGCGAACTACTAGTGAGTGCAAAAGCGTATCTCATCTTCAGTAGGTCATGGCTAATGAACAAAGTACCACCCTGTGTCTCCTGCATCGAGCACACATGCCCCCTGCTTCGTCGGCGCCAAATAGCTACCGTGTAGAGGAGATGGCGTATCCGTCTCGTACTATTGCCTTCCAAGCTGCAGGGATGATTACCTCTATCGTCGAAAGTCTACAGACACATAAAGAAATCCGATATGCTCCTGCGTTCATGTTGGTCTCCTTTTAGTGATTTTTTACTGCCTCCTGCTAACGTCCAACAGAGTCTACAGCCTGTTCTCGGCGTTGATTATGCATGTCTACCAAATGCGGTCATCAGTACCGTCTATTGTGGCGACGTGCCAGGAAAGAATCAACATTTGCATGCAAGCCTTGAAAGACGTGTCCAAGGTTTGGCTGGTGGCAAAGATGGTTCACACGCTGTTCGAGTCGATCTTGGGCAACAAAGTTCTCGAAGAACGTCTTCAAAAAGCTGCTGGAAAGAGGCATCAGAGGGTACGGCCCGAGACGCAAACGCAACAGCCTCCTGCGAAGAAACCGGATCCGCCGAAGCGGAAATTCGACGACATGGATCTTGGTTTGCCAAACGGGGGTCCTACACCTCCGGTTTCATACGAACGATCTCGACCACAAACACCTGCCGTCACCCCATCCAGAGAATTGGGACAACCTCCTGGGATCAGCGTGCCGCAAGGGTCCCCTACTGGCCCTCAAAATACAATGCCAGGCAATTCGCGAAGCAATACTCGACCGACAACTCCCTTCAATGGTCACTTCTCGCTACCTGCAACACCTCCAGACCTTTTCCTTGTCACACGTACTTCGCCCAATCTCTCTCCGTCTCTCTGGGAGAACTTCCAGCCAGACCAGTTGTTCCCTGATGGCACAGGCATATTCCCCGAGTTGGCGTCTCCGCAAAACCATACTGTCGACCCACAACTACAGATGCAATCGCAATTACAGTCACAGGGTATGCAGCAACGTCACATGGTTGTGAACCAAACGCCACAGATACCGGGACGTAATCTTTCCAGTCCGGAGCTGATGTCGGGCCTGCCACCGGGAATGGGCTTGCAAGGTGGCCAGCCACAGCAAATGTTTGGATTGGAAAATCAGCATGGATGGCCCATGCAAGGCTTAGAGGCGGCGTTGAATGCCACTGGAATAGACAATACTAGCCAGGATGACAACTGGAGTAGCAGTTCACGAAGTGGACCAACGGCTCCCACGACGCTGAACGTCGAAGACTGGTATGTTCTATCAAAGATGCCTGAGATGACATTACTGACCCTGGCTGTTCTTAGGTTCCAATTCTTCGGCATCAATGGGAGCTTTGGAGAAATGGCAACATGACAGCGCTGATCTCCCATTGGCGACGATGTCCTGATTTTGCGACGTGTATAACATCGATTCTCTGGCTGCAGCCTTTTGCGTCTGCGTGACTTTATGATTTTTACTCTAGTTCTCTTGCAGGGCCATATTATGCCTATTTGACGTATTTCCTGTGTTCTGATGGGACTGTATGCAGACCGACTGCAACGAGCCAGGTTGAAACGGTATAAGGAAGGAGTACAATGGGGAGGATGCATTATCCGGAGTCGATACATGTATATACTCGCACGTGCCGATGCCTATTTAATGGCTATATCGAATGACCGATGGCTTTGAATGCTAATATGGAAAAAATCACTCGTGCCTCAGGCAGTAATCATGAGTCAGCACGCTAAGCCCTGAACGGAATAGCGGATGACGAAATCGCGAACAGCGGACGGCAGCCAATCACAGGGCAGCGGCGCCGAAGCGTCCTTTCCCGCTACGGCAAGCAACAATCCGCTCGTCTGACTCTTCTGGAGATCCCCAGTCTAAGTTTCCAGTCGTCGTTCTCCCTCCTTTTCCATCCATTCTTTTTTATCCCTTGTTCTTTGATCTTTGATCGTGTGATTGTTATATCAATCGTAGACTCTCAGTTGTTTCCTATGGTTTGAGTGTTTCAACCTGACCGATCAATCTACGCTCCTTGCTTTCCCCGCTACTTTCCCGCCCCGCAAGCGATGTCGGCCTCGGGTTCTGGTGCTGCTGTGCCTGCAGTCACCGATGCTATGAAGAAGGCATTCCCTCACGTCGACCTTGACGGACACAATCTCCCACCGTCTCCTGCTCCGTCGAGTCCTCGGACAGGCAAGCGATATGCAATTGCCACAGAACTTGTATATACCGACAGCAATGACCAGTACAATGCCAGCAGCGTTCCCATTTACCAGGTATGTCTTCGATGCGAGGCAACCATTCGGCGAGAGTATACTGATTGAAGCAGAGCGCCACGTTTAAGCAGACCTCGGGCGGTGGCGGCGGAGAATATGACTACACTCGCTCCGGAAATCCCACCAGAACTCACCTCGAACGACACCTCGCCAAGATCATGTCCGCGCAGCGCGCGCTAGTTGTTTCTTCCGGTATGGCTGCTTTGGATGTGATCTCCCGTCTGCTTCGTCCCGGTGACGAGGTGGTGACGGGTGACGACCTCTACGGCGGAACGCATCGTCTTTTGAAATATCTGTCGACCAACGGCGGCATCATCGTTCACCATGTCGATACGACGCAGCCGGAGAAGGTTCGCGAGGTCTTGACTCCGAAGACGGCCATGGTCTTGCTCGAGACGCCAACCAATCCCCTCATCAAGATCGTCGATATCCCTCAGATCGCCACGGCGGCGCACGAGATCAACCCGAGTTGCTTGGTGGCGGTAGACAACACGATGATGTCTCCGCTGCTATTGAACCCTCTCGAGCTCGGTGCGGATATTGTTTATGAAAGTGGAACCAAGTACCTGTCTGGCCATCACGATCTCATGGCCGGTGTGATTGCCGTGAACGACCTTGCTCTTGGGGAGCGGCTGTACTTCCCCATCAACGCGTCGGGATGCGGCCTGTCTCCCTTTGACTCGTGGCTCTTGATGCGTGGTGTCAAGACGCTCAAGGTGCGGATGGACCAGCAGCAATCCAACGCGCAGCGCATTGCCGAGTTTCTCGAATCCCATGGGTTCAAGGTCCGATACCCGGGGCTGCGGTCTCACCCGCAGTACGAGCTGCACCACTCCATGGCGCGGGGCGCCGGAGCTGTGCTGTCGTTTGAGACTGGCGATGTTGGCGTCAGCGAGCGCATCGTCGAAAGCGCCAAGCTGTGGGCCATCAGTGTCAGCTTCGGCTGTGTCAACAGTCTGATCAGCATGCCCTGCCGTATGAGCCATGCCAGTATTGACGCGAAGACGCGACAGGAGCGCGCAATGCCGGAGGATTTGATCCGGCTGTGTGTTGGTATTGAGGATGTAGACGACCTCATTGACGATTTGCGGCGGGCGGTAAGTGTCTTGCACTTTTCTGCGCTTTTCTTGCGCTTTTTCAATACTAATTACGGGTGAAATAGCTCGTTCAAGCCGGTGCAGTCAACATTACTCTAGATGGATTCGAAGCGAACGTACCCAGTGAATCAACTAACTCGGCGTGATGTTATGCAAAATAGCGGGTACGGTCTCATGTTCAATTTCGGGGCGATATCAGTGGCGTTGAGGTTTACAAAATATATCTCGGTTATACAGAACATAAATCTGGTTAAATTCTAAGTGCCGTATGCATTGTAGATTGTAGACCTAGGTGTTCTTGAAAATGAGTCTTGACTGATGTGACTGGGACTACTGGATTGCGGCAGAGGCAGCCGGCATCGGAGGCTCGCCGAGTCGTATCGGCCCCGGGGCATTCTCGTCCGTGAATGCAGTCAGAGTCACCAGCGTAATTGTTTTCCCCAGATTGGTCAGGATGAATCGCTGGCGATAATGAGTATTAGAGGCATGGCTGTTTGTAATTGATTACTGCAAATCTTTATCATCTGCGCAACCGTCATCCGTTACAGACCTGTTAGTGCCGACGCCCTCGTTGTTTACTCTACAATCGACCGAATTCAGCAGATTATGCCACGGAATGCCCTCACCCCAGATGGCCCTGTCACCATACCAGGTCCAGCCGCAGAACGGCCATTGAAGGCCTCAACGGCACCGACAGCTGCAGCTTCATCCACATCGAAATGGAACACAGACAAACTAGGCATGCGCCTCGGTGTAGACATCGCCAGCGCAATGACAGCAGGAGCACTAACCTGCCCCGTCATCACCGTCATCGATCGGTATATCCCCATCCCTTGCCCCCTTGCGCACTGAAGTCCTACTAACCAACCATACTGATGATCAGGGCAATCATCGAGAAAGCCGCCAAGGGCCTCCCCATCCGCAACACCCTCACCTCCTGCTTCCGCTCGATGCTCACCCGCCCCGCGGCGTTCTTCACAAGCGTCCCGTTTCTACTGATCTATACCCTCTACACATCGACGTACCTCACTGCCAACGCTATTGATACGCTTACGTCGACGCTGCGCGATCGACCCTTTGAGACAGTTTTCCCGGGAACGGTCAAGTTCTTGACGACTACGGCTGTGAATATGGGGATTTGTGTTTACAAGGATGCGAGGTTTGCGAGGATCTTTGGGGCCGCCACCAGCCCCCAGTCTTCTCCCAGCAGTAGTGCAAGTACAGGTGTGACATGCCACCCATCCAGCACGTCAGCCTTGAAGGTCCCAAGAATAAGCTACGCCCTCTTCTGCCTCCGGGATAGCATCACCATCTTCGCGTCGTTTAATGTGCCTGCGCTGCTTGCGCCGAGTATCCCCGATAGGATTGTGGCTACGGCAGGGGGAAATCTGCGCTGGCGCAGTTTGCGTGCCCGGCTTTGATGCAGTTCGTCAGCACGCCGATGCATTTGCTGGGGTTGGATTTGTATAACCGGCAGCCTGCTGGGGGGCTGGGGTGGAGGGAGAGAGTGGGCAGGATTAGGAGGGATTATGTGGCGAGTTGTTTTGCGCGGATGGGGAAGATTGTTCCTGCGTATGGGGTTGGTGGGGTGGTGAATGTTAGGATGAGGGAGGGGTTGATGAGACGCTTGTCTTCTTAATCCTTAAATATTGCTCTGGCATTGTGTTGGCGTTGGCGTTGGGTGGGTAGATTTCTTTCCGGTTAGATATGGATTGTATAGCTGGTGTCATGTACAGATCACAGCTAGCTGATGATGATCGGTCTTTTTCTTTAGCTAGATAGATTAGGTATAGAAGCTATCGCATCTCCCGCTACCGCAATTGCAGTGATTACCATCTGACAAGGTTAGGTTAGCATTACTTTCTTCGAAATGTCCAATGTCAGCAACTTGGCTAATCTTACGAGAAAGGCTCCAAATGCAGATATACCTCCTCCGCTCCACCCCCCAGGACATCCCGCTGCGCCCGCGCAGCCGCCTTCCGCACATCGTGCAGCATGCTCGCCGGACCGCAGACGAAGATACCTAGTCGCTTACCGTGCGCGCTGTACGGAGACTTACAGCCCGCAATGAAGGCAGGCAAGTCCGGCCGGGGACCATGTGATATGCCGATCTGCGACATGCTGCTGGCGAGGGGTTTGGTGGAGGGGAGTTTACTCTCCTCGTCTGTCTGCTGCTGCTGCTGCTGCTGCTCCTGCTGCGCAGAGGTGACGTAGATCGAGGCGGAGACATCCCCGCCTCTGGTAGAGATATTTGAGGTCGAGATGCGGGTCTCGATTTCCCCAATGTACCACTCTGCCATTGACTGGTTGCGCGTTGCGAAGATGATCTGCAGAGTTGGTGTTGAGGAGGATGAGGAGGGCGATGAGGCGGCCAGCACCGCGTCCACGACACCCAGCGAGAAGCCGCCGCCTGAGCCGCCCGAGATGACCAGAACGGAGTCGAAGCGCGCGAGGTCGTTGGATGCGGATGCAGCGAGGCCGCCGTAGGGACCCTCGAGGAGGACGGTGCGCTCGGTGCCCGGGCGCTGCGCGGCGAGGCTGGCCAGTCGGGCGGTGATCCCTCCGCGGGGTTTGATGTAGAAGACCAGTTCGTTGGGTTTGGACAGGGAGGCTGCGTCGTGGGCAATGGAGGCGATGGTGAATGGGTGGGCGGTCAGAGAGTGCAGGCTGAGCTGGGAGGGATTTGGGAACCGGAGGAAGACGTGTTGGCCTGGGGACCAGGTTATGAAGGTGGGGATTTTGATGCGGACCAGGCCGCATGGGAGGAGGTCGAGGGTGGCTTTGTGGCGGCCGTGGAGGAGGGTGGTGCGGATGTATGCTGCGCAGAGACTGAAGAGGTAGAGGGTGCCCCCGGCGATGAAGTAGTCCCTGCCACAGTCAGCTTAGCTGCCCATCAAGTAGATAGAAAGCGATAATACCAAGATGTGAGACGAAAGTCGCAGTGGAAGAAGAAGAAGAGGACGAAGAGCAGCGCCACGGTGACGTGTGTCGCTTTGAAGAACTCGTAGTATCGATTTCTACAGAATCTGTCGTTAGGGGCTCGTCTGAGAGGATAGAGACGAAGGGGCTCAGACTCACCGGATGGCTGGCAAAGACATGAAGGTCAAATACGCCTGGGGAATCAGCGCCGCAACTCCAGTCCAGTAGGTGACCTCCGTCTTCCACTGCTTGACCATATCGCCCTTGTCGATGTGGACGATGATGAAGGGAAAGGTGTGGATCAACGCCAGGACGAACATGGCGTAGCTGGCCCAGTGATGGAAGACCTGCAGCTTTTCATGCGGTACCCCTGTCAACATCGAGATCAGATTCGCTTTCGTTCCCAGGACCCTACACAATCAGTTAAGCCCGCCGACACAACTTGGGCCGTTGTACTCACAGCACAAAAGGAAGCAGGGCCAAGGCCATCCACCCCGTCCTCGTCGCAATCGGCGGACTACCTCCATAGGAGACTGTCGCCGTATTAGGCCAGTAGTATGGCTTCGGGCCAAGGGTCATGGCTAGTAATGTCAGCGGAAGTCAAGTAAAGTAGTCCATCTGGTCATACACCCACCAAAGAAAAAAACAAATCCCACCAGTCCTAGGAGCATCACACCCAGAGACGGCGACCAGTACCGCAAGGACGGTATCTGGTATCCCTGATAGGAGAGATAGCGCATAGCAGCAGTCGTCTTCCGCCAGACAGCACTGCGCTTCACGGGCAGAGGAGCCCGGCGGGAGAGAAAGTGAGCTATGGCGAAGACCCCGATGGCCGCACACATGAAGTAGACGGTGTTCAAGGCGTAGACATGATCCGCTTCGTACCTGAGTTGTAATTAGTCTACTGAAGCGTCGTCAGAAGCTTTGTAGAAGGGTAAGATAGATACCAGTATCGCCAGTGACCGCGACGGTAGGCGCACTGCTCCGGACTCAATTTGCATGTGTCTATTCTGGAGGAATGAAGCATAACAGGCTGGTCTAGCCATGGAAGGCCGGAGCCTGCGTCGTCAGACATGTCCATCATCTTGGTACTCAAAGACGATCACGACAGTAGATGGTGATCTTGACTTGGTCGGGATTTATACAGAGGAGAACATAACTCTGCAGACAGCAATGGTGCGACTGCCAGGATAGAAGGAACGCTAACAGCTGATCTAGTACACGTCCTGAATTCTAGTTACTAGAGTCAGATATAAGAGTCAGGTAGAGCACCTCCAATGACCTAGGTAGTATCGTTGAATGCTTCAGGGCTGTAAATGCTGGTCGCTGATTGGCCCAGACATGCTCACAATTGAGCACATTTCCAGCCTGTTTAGCGTCCAGTGTGGACCATCTTTCTCTTTTTTTTCTTCTCTTCAGATAATATTAATCTATTTCTTCTTATTTAATTCTGTTAATTGGCCTATGGGCTATGAGCACATTTGCGCTGAATCCGTGCGTTGGTTGCAGACACAAGACACCATGGATCAACCTTAGGAGGGAAGACGGAAACGGAGAAAAAAAGAAAATGGTGGCATAATCTCATAATCACTAGTCATAGTCATACTACTAATGTAACAGTTACCAGCACATATCATCAACCCACTTGCAATGGGACGCTCTCCACAGAAATCGACGATTTCATATGTTCTGTGCTAGCGCCAATACCATTGGCAGTGCAGGTGCTCACTTCGTTCTCTCCCCATAGCCCATGATCCCTCAGGGCTTGATACCCTCCTCTCAGACTATCGGCCTCGATACCCTTGGCTCGCAGAACGCTGGTGGCCACGCGGGCTGTATCGCCATGATAGCAAATGACCAAGACATGCTGGCCACGGAGCTTGCTCAGAGCCTCCTCGGCCTTGAAAAGGGTCTCGAGTTCTAGCCATTGGGCTTCGAGCACGCTGGGGTCCGCGAATGGCTTGGGAGCATGTGAGTCGAGGCTGCGAAGGGGAATGTTGACGGATCCCGGCAGATGCCACGTGGAGTAGTCGGCCGCCGTTCTCAGATCAAGCACGCAGCAGAGTGGTCTGAGCTCGATGTTGCGCAGAAGACTGTCGGAGAGCGAGCGGGGGTCTCGTAGAAATGCGTGAAGAGGACGATGGGGCTTCGTTCCCAGCTCTCGTCGTAGCGGTAGATGTCGACTGCGCTGAGATTCTGCTGCCAGTCAGCATGAAATGTTGGTGTCAAAATCAGAAGATACAGCCAGAACTTCACCTGGTTCTTGATGGGATGGAATTTCTCCGCCCCCAGTTTGGAAAAGTACTCGCCGATGTACTGATAGGGCAGGTCGCAGCAGATAAAAACACAATGGACCAAACCATCCGGCCCAGCTAGCTCAGCCAGCGTCCCGGCCTGCTTGCGTTTCTCCAGCAGCTGAAACAATCCCTGTAGATTGAATCCCGACGACGGGCCACAGACTATCCCCTCCCGGCATAGGTCCAGCGACAGGGAGAAGGAATCGTACGAATTGACTTCCTCGATGGCATCGACCGCCTCTCTCCAAGGAAACTCGACGGGCTTCAGGAGCGCCAACGACCGCGGGCCCGGCACGCGGTCCCCAGCTGCCGTGCACACCCCCAGCCGCAACACCGACGGCTTGTTCTCCTTGAAAAACGTCCCCAGCCCGGTCATGGTGCCCGACGTGCCCATGCCGGCGCAGAGCACATTGATCTCCGGGAGCTGCCTGAGAATCTGCGGGCCCGTCCAGCGCACATGCGAGCCCCAGTTATCATGGTTCTCGTACTGGTTGGGGTTGAGGACCTCGTCGGACTCCAGACCCATCTTCCGGGCACTCTGGATCCCGCCGCGGTCGTCAAACGGTTCAGGCTGGCTGGGCCCGCCGAACAGGGTAATATCCAGGCCGAAGAACTGCATGAGTTTCAGCTTGGCGTCGCTGGTCTTGTTGCTTAGGAAGGCTCGTGTGTCGTGAATACCGTGCATGACGCGGGCGATCATCGACATGGATATCACCGTGGACCCGGAACTATACTCGATGATGGTCTTGGTTTTGCCCGGGACGACTTTCTTCTCGAGCATGTTTAATGCTGCGTGTTTCGTTAGTCGGTAGCTATCATGGTCCTGAAGGGAGGGACTCTTACCAGGCATTGCCTTGACGTTGTTTGCTGGATGCATCGACATCATTTTGGCGTAGATGCGCACCCCATCCTGGTGGTAAGGATTCAGGTACTCTGGAACCTCCACCAGGGGTAGAGGCGGCTGGCAATCGGGGTCAAAGTACTTCCTGAGGGCATCAGGGCCCCGGTAGACGTTCAGCTCGTTTGCAGTCATCTTTTTGCTACTGACAACGAATGTAAACGCTAAGCAAAAGCATAAGACGCAGAGGCCCCGGTTTTATACCGCAAACACCTTTTCTGCAGTGACAGAATATGCAATATCCCCGACAGCAGAATGACCCACCAGCCGAGGATCACTGCGGCCAGAAGGAGAAGATCCATCTGAGCAGATTCCGGCTCTGTAATGAGCTCTTTTCTGAAACGGCAGGCTGATCTCTGCAGGTTTCTGCCTCGGGGAATTGCCCAGACTACCTTGGAGGCGGATGTTTCGCCTACAACTACCGTGAACGGACGGGAGAAAGAGTACCTGGAGGCCATCGACGAATGATCGACAGTATTCTACTACACTATTCAATGTCAACTTCCATGATTCGCAGTGTAGCGTAGGCAATAGACCCGTTTATGGGTGTTGGCACCTCCAAGGTCCTGAAAGAATTCGGACGGCAATTGCCTTCAATGAACACAATGAATTAACTGTACACGGTGTTTCTTCAAATAGAGTAATTAATTAAGACACGCACGGGGACCTTGGTGAGTGTTTTTGCGCACATTTTCCTGTTTAGTGCGAGATGGCGTCTGGATGCTGCAGACCGTCCGTCAGACCCGCTTCGTATTATTATCAATGATCACGGCAGTTGCATTTTCTCATCAAACGGATTGACCCACGGGTACTCGAAGAATACTACAGTCCTTGGGCTCTGCAATGCACGGGTCGGATCATTGTCGCCCTCGTGGTGCATTCCAACTTTTAAAACCCAATTCCCATTCCCGCTGTAGCCAGTCAACATCAGTTGAACCAGAGACGTAGCAAACCACAATGCCAGACACGCTGATCAGCCAACAACAGGAGTCAAGCCCCCGAGCTCCTCTGGAACAGTGGTAGAGGCGACAGAAGGTACAGAGTCCAAGGCAGCAGGGCAACATGTCTTCAACGAGCAGACAAACTATGTCCCCAGGAGTACCATCATCACGGTGAGTATCATCACTGGACAATATGATCCAGAAAAACTGAGAGAAGCAGATCTTCCTCGCATGCTCGACGGTCGATCTCGTCGCCTTGATGGACCAGACGACCCTCGCGGCCAGTTTGTCCATCGTCGGCAGCGCCCTCAACGCCAGCGACCAGACGTCCTGGATCTCCGGCGCCTATTTCGTGTACGTCAATAATCCTCCATTATCATGAGAGTGAGTGAATCCTGCTAACGACCGCAGTACATCAACCTGCTTCCAGCTGCTCTATGGCCGCCTCTCCGACATCTGGTCCCGCAAATACGTCCTCTTCACCGGCCTCGCCATCTTCTTCTTCGGCTCGCTGGCCGCCTCTCTCGCCCAAACAGCCACCCAGCTCATCATCTTCCGTGCTTTCACCGGCATCGGCGGCGGCGGCCTCATGACCGTCGCCCAGATGATCGTCAGCGACGTGGTCCCGCTGCGCGAGAGGGGTAAATACCAGGGTATTCTCGGCGCGGTGGTCGCGGTCGCAAACGGCATCGGGCCCGTGATCGGAGGCGCGCTCGCATCCGCATCGATCGAGAACGAGTCGTGGCGGTGGATCTTCCGGCTGAACCTCCCGCTCACGGTGCTCACGACGCTGTGCGTGTTCTTCTTCATGCCCCTGCGCAAGGTCACGGGAGCGTGGAAGGTGAAGCTTGCGGCGGTGGATTTCGTCGGCGCGGCGCTGGCCCTCGGCGGGACGGCCGTGCTGCTGCTGGGCCTGAACTGGGGCGGGGGCGAGTATGCCTGGGACTCGGCGCATGTGATTGCTACCCTCGGCGTGGGCGCGGCCGTCTGCGTTGCGTTCGTGCTCTGGCAGTGGAAGGGCGCCGCGTTCCCGCTTGTCCCGATGCATATCTTCCGCTCGCGGATCGTCAACGGCGCGTGTCTGACCATGTTTGTCAATGGGTGGAATTTCCTGGTCCAGGTGTACTATATTCCGACCTTCTACCAGCTGGTCTTTGGGTATTCGACCGTCAAGGCCGGCGCCATGTTGCTGCCCATCACGCTGTTGCAGAGTATGTCCTCTCCTCTCCCTTGCAAAAGCAGACACAGCTGACAGACTGTTAGCGGCCAGTAGTACCGCGTCCGGACTGGTCGTCCACTGGGTAGGCCGGTACAGGGAATGCATCCTCTTCGGTTGGATGATCTGGGCCGTCGGACTAGGCCTCTTCTCGACGCTGGACCAGTCGTCCGGCCTGGGGAAACAGATCGGCTATGGGATATTGACAGGTGTGGGTGTGGGCAACACCCTGCAGCCGTACGCTCAACCCTGGCGCCCATTCCCCTTCCCCGTTCTTCAACTAATGGATCATCACAGAGCCCTCATCGCAATCCAAGCCGGCGTCGAGCGCCGTGATATGGCCGTTGTAACTTCCTTCCGAAAGTATGCCACCCCTTTCCCATCTATCACCAAAGAAAACACACACTGACTTGCACAGCTTCGTCAGAAACCTAGGCGGCACACTCGGCCTAGCCGTCGCCGGAACAATCATGTAAGATGCCATGCCATGCCCTGCACATCCACCAGGACTGACTGCAGTGCACACTGACATATTCCAGAAACAACATCCTCTCCTCCTCGATCTCCAGTCTCGGATTTACGGCTTCAGAAACAAGATCCTTCCTGTCCAGTCCACAGAACTATCTCTCGGGTTTATCGGCGGACGAGGCAGAGCGCGTGCGTGCCTTGGTCATACCAGCGTATAAGCGGGGCTTCAGGATCATTTTCGTAATTGGCGGCGCACTGGCGGCATTTGCGTTCTGTTTGGCGTTTGCGCTGATGCCACAGGTTGAGTTGAATAGGGCCGATGATGCGAAATTGAAGGAGGAGGCGAAGAAGAGGGTGGCCGGTGCGGACGATGAGAAGAACGCTTGCTAGCTATCGGTCTCGGTTAATTTGTACCGTGGTTTAGAGATGATAAGAGTGGTAAACTAGAATAATCGAACTCATCCATTATTAATTCAAGTGAGGAGAAAAAAAGGTATCCAGGTAACAGTAGTCGTCACGTCGTCAAATCCAAAACAATCTGGCCCAACTTCCTTTTGTGTACCCATGCCCATGCCCCAGGTTGAACGAAACAATGCAACGCCCACCAGGTGTATAGCAGGCAAATGCAAGACGGCCAGAAAAATCATGTTTCATCAATAACGACCACTTGCTCCACCACCCAGTCCACCAAAGCCTGTGCTTCCAGTTTCCACTGCCCGTCATGCCACACCTCGTTGAGCCAGTATCCCCAGCCCTTGCCTTGATGCAACGGGAGCCACCAGGACTTCCTCTGGGTGTCTGCTGAGAAATCGTTGTTGACTTGCAAAGCCCCAACCGCAACCCCGGCGGCCGAGGCGCCCTGCCGAGCCCGCCACTCACGTTCTGCTCGCTCACCTGCTCGGCGCGCAACAGCCTCCTCGTCTTCGGCCTGGTACAGATCGCATTTGTTGCATTCTGTACATCTCGATCCCGGATTGATGCGGAAGTGCTCGCAGAAGTGCTTGTAGCCTTCCTCTGCATCTTCTCCATCGAGGCCATTCCGGTCGTTGTCGATAGGATCTTGCCCCCAGCCGGTGCGACGTTCTCCTGGTTGAAGATACCAGCTACAAGGCGAGGCATTCGGGCTTGTCCTGCTGCTGGAAGTGACGACCCAAGGGCTTTGCGGCAGAGATAACACATGGAATACCCGCAGACGCAGGTCAATTTGTTGCAGCCGGACGACTTGACAAAGGACAAGCCGCACCGAGGACATGTGCGCTTCACCGCAGCTGTGCGCGCGGCCTCAACAGTAGCCCGAAGGTCGAGCAACAGGGGCTCATGACAGATGTGAGGATCCCGCCACGGTTTCTGGCAGGTGATGCAACTGACGCGACGGCAAAGAGGATTGGCACAGGTGAATCTTTTTGGTCGAACCTTGAGACACAGATTGAGAAGCGAATTCTTGAGGATAGTCGGCACAGCCGTAGGATCCAGTAAGTATAGAATGATCAGCGGGATGGCGAGCAAAGGTATCATATCGAGAAGTATAACAGTCATCAAGATCGTAGACAAGAGTCCATCACGACGAAAGTGCCAGGCAATTCCTTTGGCAGAAGGATGGTAAACGGGATCAACCTCGGCGTAAGAGCAGAACGGACAGCGGACAAGTTTCAACTGCGACTTCATTAGAGACTCCGAAGCCAGCCGAGTCTCGAATTTGCAGTAGGTCTCGAGGCCAGCCTTTTCCATGATTATAGCTCGCTTGACGGTCTCAGGATCCAAGCTGCCCTCGCAGCTACCGTGGGCAATCGGCGCGATACACTTCAAAGTCGATCTCTCCACGTCCACCGACTTCCCCCATCCTTGTCCAAATAGAGCCTCGTGGACAGTTCTCTGTATGCAGCTATAACAAATCATGTGGGAGTCGACTGAGCAAGTGGAGATTTGTTCAAAGGTCACATCGGCCAAACAGCACTCACACTCATACAGTGCATCAACCGCCTGTGCTTCGCGTTCATTGAGCTCCTCGGCCAACTTGAAGTCTTTCTCCTCCTGTTCCTCTCTCCTCACTCGCAGCAAAGGCGCAAGCAGAGCCTCATATAACTCCCTATCCAGCTCGACGCATCCCGTCTCCTTCAGCCTAGGCACCAGCTGCCCATCCGCACCCCGCTGCCATACCACCAGAGGATGCTCGTCCTTGTCCTTCTTGCGTTTAAACGAAGGAAGTATATTATTGAGCGTCGCCCGCCACGTCCGCCTCGAGAGCTCCTTCAGTGTCGGCCGCGCCCGCATGTAGCAAAAGTTCGCCTCGGCCAGCACCGCCTCGACCGTACTCCTGCTCAGGCCACTGAACTCCTTCGCCAGCACACCCTTCACAGAAGCCTTGTACTCGTCGCTCCGGAACCGTTCCTCGGGCGGCACCACACGCGGATCGTGTTCTCGTGAAACATCACCATCACCCGCTTCGCCTCCGGTCCCCGTCGGGACGTTCCACCGCCCAGCCACCCATTCATTCTTGTGCCGGAGAAGCTGCTCCACGCACACCTGCAACCTGCTCTGCCCGTCAAACCGCACAAGCAGTTCGCGGAAGACCTCGATCTTCACATCTGGGAAGATCCGGGCTAGTGTCTCCAGCGCATTGTTGAGCTCTTCCTGCTCCTGCTTCGCGTTCTCGGCTTGGGTGTTTGACGTCAGGGCTGCGATGGCACGCGACCGAAATGTATTCCCGAACGGGTTGTTCCGGAGGGCTTCGCTAAGGGTTGTTGATTGATTGTTGCTATTGCTGCCGCTGCCGCTGCCGCTGCTGTTGCTGTTGCTGTTGCTGTTGCTGGACCGGGGCGCGGGGGAGGCCGTCGTGGATCTAGAGAAGCTTGGAACAGGTAGCGAGAGCACCATCGTGGCAACGACGGAAACTCCGCTACATGATCGTTGTGCAGATGAGACTCAATGCGAATTCAACTCAACTGCCTAGCGTTGATAAGTTCCGTTGGCATCGGTGTTTGATGGTTGATGTGCTGGTTGCGGGGAGTGAGTGTCCAGGTTGAGGTGCGGTCCTCGGTGCTGATGGGGCAGGTTACATAACCATGAAATCGAGGTGTTGAGGCGTCCTGTCACCCAACTACAACTCTCAGACAACTAATCAGTCACTCTCCAAAAACTACGCAAAAATTGATTGACTCATAAGAGTTCTGATCGAACACAGTATTATACTTTGAATGTGCAAAAGTATTGTTCGATCGCTTACAAATTTGAGCGTAGCAGACACATAAACAAGACATCAATGCATTGCTTCTGTTGGCAGAAATCATGATTTATATACAAAAGCTGATAGACCATATTAACCCAGTATGCTTTTATCTTACAATTTGGCCTTGGCTCCCTCCAACAACTCGGCACCAGCGCCCAGGATTGCGGGCTTGCCGGTCTCCACAACAGTGGTCTGGAAGATGACTGTGTTTCCTTCCTTCCACATCTCCGTCTTCAGGGTCTGACCGGGCAGCACGACACCGGCGAAGCGAACCTTCAGGCTCTTGAAAGCACCGAACTTGTTGAAGACGTGCTTGCCAGAGATACCCAGCGAGCACAGTCCGTGTAGGATAGGAGTCTTGAAGCCACCGACCTTGCTGAACTCGGGATCAATATGCAGAGGGTTGCGGTCACCGTTGAGACGGTACAGAGCAGCCTGGTCCTCAGAGGTCTTCTCCTCGATCACAACATCAGGCTGGCGCTTGGGAGGGTTGTAAGCAGCCGTGGCACCCTTGGGGCGGGGAGCAGTGGGCTTGGGCGAGCCACCGAAGCCGCCGCTGCCACGGATAAAGACGGTAGACTCGTTGTAGAACAGCTCCTCTCCGGTCTTGGCATCCTTGGTCGTGTATCCAGCAACGACGAGAGCGGCCTTACCCTTGTCGACTACGTCGATGAGCTTGGGGTATGTCAAGGTCTTGGCCTCGGTAGGGATGGGGAACTTGCGAACTTCCATGTACTGCTCACCGTGCAGCAGCATCATGGGAGAGAAGTTGGCCACGATGTCGTCCATGTTCCAGGGGTTGGCAGTGTTGAACCAGGGGATCACACCAAAAGTGGGGAGAGCCTGGAAGTGTTCATTGTTCTCGTACACCAGAGGAAGGTCAGTGCGCTTGGCACCAACGCTGAGGTTGTAGAGGATGACGTCGCGGTCAACGTAGTCGAAAGCGGTGCCCTCAGTAGTGGCCTGCTTGGCCTTCTCAATGTTGGCCAGGATATCGTTGCCACCTTCACCACCACTGCGGTTGGACATGTTGGCCATCACCTTCTCGGTACCAGCCTGGCTGTCCTCGGGGTGGTCAGCACGACCATCATCGAAGTCGATGATCTGCTTCCAGTTCTTGAGAACAGCCTCAGGAGTCAGCTTCACGTCCACAGGGAATCCGTGGCCGCCAGAGCGCTGCCAGCGAGTACTGGAGAACCATCCGCTGCCGCACTCGTAAAGACCCTTGCTGCTGGGCTCCGGGCACATGTCAGAGCAGAGAAGGGCAACCATCGGAGCAACATAATCGGGCTTGAAGGCCTGAACCATCTCCTCAGGCATAATGGTACGGGTCATGTTGGTGCCCGCGTTGGGCGCAATGGTGTTGACCTTGATGTTGTACTTGGCGCCTTCAATGGCAAGAGCGCGGGAGAGACCAAGGATACCCAGTTTCTAGACTAGGATTAGCAAACCCATAGCTTTCAGTCAAAATGATCAAACGGGAAGGTCTTACCGCGGCAGCATAGTTGGCCTGTCCAAAGTTGCCGTAGATACCGCTGGTGCTAGCCGTGTTGACAATACGACCGTATTTCTGCTTAAGCATGTGGGGCCAGGCGGCCTTGGTCACCTTATAGGTACCACGCAGATGAACGTTGATAACAGCGTTCCAGAGATCATCGTTCATGTTGGTGAAGGCCTTGTCACGGAGGATACCGGCGTTGTTGACCAAGATGTCAATGCGACCGAAAGCATCAATGGCAGTCTTGACGACAGCGTCGCCATCCTCGCAGGAGGCCTTGTTGCCAACGGCCTTTCCACCCATCTTCTTGATCTCCTGGACGACAGGTTCGGGATCGACCAGATCGTTAACGACCACGGAGGCACCGAGCTTAGCGAACAGAAGACAGTACGACCGGCCCAGACTGGAGAAATCAGCGTATGTTCCTTAGGGATCAAAAAATTAGGTAATACGCACCCATTACCGCCACCAGTAACGAGGGCAACCTTGCCCTTCAGATCAGGCTCCTCTCCAGCGGGAGCGCTAGGAGTCTTCATACCATTCTCCAGGAGGGTCATGAAGTCGGCGGGGCCGGTAGGATACTCCGGCTGAGAGTAGTCGTAGACATCCTTCCACTTTCTTGCAATGGCTCCGGGAGTCAGGGAAGCGTCGGTCTTCAACAAGGCACCCTTGGCACGCTCCCACCGGAGCTTGGCCATGTGACCACCGCCGACTTCGAAAATCGAGCCACTCTCAGTGGTATTTGAGGAGTGGACCAGAGCAGCGACAAGGGGGACAACCCAGTCGGGCTTGAGGTTCTCCAAAACCTCAGGAGGCATGATTGTAGCGGTCATACGGCTGGCAGCTGTTGCAAGTCAGACACCGGGCTGAAAAGGTATATAAGATCGTTATTCCAGACATACCGATGGGAGCGATAACGTTGGCAATGATGTTGTACTTGGCACCCTCCTTCGCAAGGGTCTCAGTGAAACCGACCTGGCCGAGCTTGGCGGCTTCCGATATATTAGCATCAGTGACATAAGTGTCAAGCGACAAGCAACTCACCAGAGTAGTTCGCCTGGCCGAAGTTGCCGAAGAGACCGGCTGCCGAAGCCGTGTTGATGATACGACCATACTTCTGTTTCCGGAAGTGAGGCCATGCTGCTCTTGCGCACTGAACAGAAGGATCATAGTTAATACCCTGGCGAATTAACAAGCTTTATGGTTACTAGACTAACCTTGTATGCACCGTAGGTGTGAACTTTGTTGATCAGATCCCAATCCTGATCCTTCATGTTCTTGAAGCTGACATCACGGAGGATACCGGCGTTGTTGATGAGAACATCGATCCGGCCGAAGTTCTTGAGGGCTGTCTCAATGATGGCTTCACCGTTCTCAACACTGTCGTAGTTGGCTACTGCCTTGCCGCCAGCCGCTCGAATCTCTTCAACTACTACATCAGCAGCCTACGTAGAAATTGAGTTAGTAGCTGTCATACAACCACCATTTTTGATAGATGATCCGTCGTACCTTTGATGATGCCCCCTCACCGGAGTGGGAAACACCCAGATCGTTTACAACGACATTGGCACCTCTGGAAGCGAAGAAGGTAGCGTAGGCCTTTCCAAGACCACCACCAGCTCCTGTAACAACGACAGTCTGGTTGTCAAAGCGCAGCTCAGACATATTGGACGGATTTAAGAGGAAAGGAAAGTGAGGGTATCAAGAAGGTCGAATAAGGCGGTGCACTCAGTACACAGTTCTGTTCAAAGGAGGAGAGAAGAAGGGGATAAGGGACTCAAAAGACAATTCGTCGGAAGGATGGAAAGTGAGATATAAAAGGAAGAAATTCTGGGGAGCCGGGGATACCGTAGGGGATCGGAACTGGATCTGGGGGAAGAAGTGAGGTGGATAAAGGTGTAGACGGTCGCAACGCTCGGCAAGCTCCAAAGGAACCTCGGTATCTTCCAAGTGAAGCTCGGAGGTTCCGCTGCCAGGCGCCAAGCGGATTTGGCTAGGCAGATGATGCGTTTTCACATGCCGATGCTCCAGTCATGAGACGTTTGTCGTCTTTCTACTTTCTACTAGCTGCTGCGTCCTCTTCCACATGCTCAATGCTCAATGCTCGTTTTCTACACTCATCATTCTTCAAGGAGGTACCACTCTATTTCCTTGCGATCTTAGTGGCAGAAGAGCTCAGAGTGACCATCTGCTGACTCATCGAGCATGCGTCTGGACGTCATTGTCACGTGGGACACGCGGGGGTGGAATCGCTGATGTGTTTTGTATAACTACTGGTCGTCGAGATGATATTGACAGTTAATCTGGTCAGCATCCAAGTAGGTCCCAGGAGAGATTTCTTCATCGCTCTGCGCAAATGCGGGAAGTCATTCAGGCGCAATGTTATCCCGTCGGGGGGAAGTTCGACTACCCCAGATTTCGGTCGGATCTCGTCCGAGAGAACAAATGGTATATAGCATCACAATACCGAGTAGTCATAGTAGACAACCACATCACCTAGATAGGCAAAAAATTCCTGCAAAATGCTTGAAATCCTCGATGACAAATCTCAATACTGCATCCCATTTCTACTGAAACGCCTGGAAGCCCACCAGGCGCGACACGGAAATGACCCAAACAATACCCCACCATTCTTCCTGGGACTCAACGGTGTCCAGGGAGCGGGCAAGACTGTGCTGGTGAGCTGCTCGAATTCCCCAGTTGCGATCTGTATACTGAACCAGAGGGAAATACCAGGTCTCAACCCTTCAATCAACCCTTCGAGCACCTCCATATTCCCTCCCGGTCGTCACCATCTCCCTGGATGATTTCTACCTCACCCATGAGCAACAACAGACACTAGCCAAAACCTTTCCTTCCAATCCTCTTCTCCAGCATCGCGGTCAGCCGGCAACCCATGACCTCTCTCTAGCCGAAAAGGTCTTCGAGTCTCTCCGTGCCGGCCGTCGTACCGCTATCCCGCAATATGACAAGTCTGCGTATTCGGGACAGGGCGATCGTGTAGCCGAGAGCCAATGGGAAGCGGTCAACGGCGACGGACAAGAGAAAATCAAAGTGGTCATCTTCGAAGGCTGGTGCGTTGGCTTCCGTGCCCTGGATGATGAAGTCCTCAGGGAGAAGTGGGAGGCCGCAGTCCGCCAGAAAGACCAAGGTGGTTATAATGGCCGCTTAGGGCATGTGAAGTTTGAAGATGTCAAGGCCGTCAATGATGCCTTGCGGAAATATGATGTATTGACCGAGTTCGTGCCCTTGCCCTCTTGGTCGCCCTAGACGCTGATGCTAACTCTTGGAGTGCAGTCGGCTCGACGCATTGGTCCATATGTGAGTGCTACCCTCCTTCACTCGATATCATATCAATACCCTCTTGCTAAAGATCTCCAAGCGATGCGCAAGACCTCCACTTTGTCTACGACTGGAGACAGGAACAGGAGAGAACACTGCGTGCAACCAAAGGAACCGGCATGACTGAGGAGCAGGTATCTCACTTCGTGAATGGCTGTACGTATATCGAATTAGCGGACGATCGTCGGCTAATATATGACAGACTACCCGTCTTATGAACTTTTCACTGAGGCACTTCGAGAAGGGGCATTCAAGCCTGCTTCGAACTCAACAGGCGCCGACTGGCAAGGCAGACAGCTCCGTCTGATCGTCAATAAGGAGAGGAGGGTTCAAGAAGCCATTGAAATTTAACTAGTCGGCTATGGGCTCGGAACCTTGCACGTAGATTGAGTGTCTTCGCTCTCGCAAGGACGACTGAAGAAGCGAGATATATATATATATACGACCGCAAAAAAGGTACATACCAGGCATACGCACAACTGTCTATAGGACATTTGATAAAGACCTTAACATGAGAATCCACTATGAGTTGCCTAGGACTTATCAATTTTAGTCAAAAAAGTTCAGTTTGGCGTTGGAAGGTACATGATCCAAAAGCCGAGGCTGCGAAATCGATTCGGGTTGTATGGCAATGCATGGATAACCGAGCAGAATGACCCGCAACATAGAGAGCAAGGTAGTACGGAGTCCCTATGTCCAGGCAGCCCAAAACAGCGAGAAGCTACGACTACTCTACGATGAATTATGTCAAAAGCTTATGGGTTGCTTGAACTTTTCCATTTTTGTACCCGAGAATCATAGACCATTATACGCTAATCGAGAACAGGCCATGTGAACCAAACAACCCAGGATAGAGAACCGCCGTGGAGAAGATTGCATCTAGTTCATCTGTCTGATGAGAGCGTTGATGTTCTCCTCACGGTCACCAAGGTCACCACCCTCGATGAAGTGCTTGAACTTGCGGGTGCGGAAGCCACCAGTGGGGTTGGAGAGCTTGAAGGGCCAGAGGAAGTTGTTGGCCTGCTTGAAGTTGGGGCCAACGGTGTAGATCTCGTGGATCAGATCCTCCATGCAGACAATGCCGTACTTGCCAAGGGCCTCCTCAATGACCTGGTTGTCGGTGAGAGGGACACGCTGCTTGTTGACCTTTCCGTAACCACGCTTGTAGATGAGCTCACGGACGCTCTTGAGGTTGGGGTAACCGTAAGCGATGTAGGGGTTGATGATGGTCAACATCTCCTGGGTGGCCTTGGTGAGGCGGATGAAGGTACCGTTGTTGATCTGGACCAGACGGAGAAGCTGCAGGATCTTGCGGGGTTGAGGAGCAATCTTGTTGATACTGCAGATTTATTAGCACCAGGGTAAGATAACTGAAGGCTTGAGTGAAACATACCCCTTGATACGGACAACGAAGACCAGCTTGGGCTCGTCAGGAACGTAGAAGTTACCCTGCTGGCGAGCAACGCGAGCAAGGCGGATCTTCTCACGCTCAGCATCGCGGTACTCCTTGACGTAGGACTCAGCACGCTTGAAGATAGCCTCACGCTTCTTCTTGTTGGCCTGAAGTTTGCAAGTTAGCGGCATGCCTTTCCAAATATATCAACAAACAAATCATTGGAAATGGTATTGTCAGCCCCGAAAGATGGTTAACGAAGCGACAGCATCGACCCGAAGGTCTAGTCGCGTAAGTGGAAAATGTATCATCACACAATTGAATAGTTTGAGAAACAGAAAAAAAAAAAAAAAAAAATTGGTAAAAGACTAACCTCCTTCTTCTTCTGGGCCTCCTCGCGGGCAACAGCGCGAGCCTGCTCCTGGCTCTTGCGCTTCTTAAGGAGGGTCTCAGGGACAAGGACCTGGTCCTGGGTGGGGACGGTGCTGGTTTGAGGTCAGTATAGTCTGTCCATGCAATCAAATGAAAGCAAGTATTCGCCGAGTGTAAGAATTGCAGCTATAGTGCCACATTCTCAACTGAAGGCAGATATAAAAAAACTCGACGACATCTATTTGATCGGTGAGGCATGGCGTTGCACTGAAATCATAAAACCGAAGTTGCTACTAGTCGCGGCATTCTCAGCCTGACGTTCACAATTTCAGCAAGAATGGCAAGCTTTATCCTCAGCCGACAAAACCCCGAGCATTGCGCTCAGGAAGTTATGTTGTCGCTGTTCGCACCGATTCCTGACAGTCTGTTCTCAAGACTGCCGGAGGGCACGATAGCTCACAACAATGCTTTTCAAGGAGAAGGCCAACGACGCTTTCAACCTCAATACCCCAGGCCATACATCATCCAGGCTCCGTGCTTCCATTGTTCAAATGGGAGGAGAGCTCGTGTTGGAGAGAAGGCCACGGGAAGAATCGAGCTGGTGCCCAGCGACCAAAATTGATCGTAGCATCTCCAGCGAGAAGGACGACTATGAACTGAAACCTTACGGGCTCGCAAAGCGAAACAGCCGATAGGAATCAATCAAAGGGTATCATACGTAGCAGTCGAGGCCATTGCGACGGTCCGTTGATTCGCGAGTTGGGCGGTTGGCGAAGGTTGTCGGGATGAGAAAAAGTTCGAGGAAGAAATCAATTGAAGACAAAATCGGTTGTGTGGGTGGATCAGTCGCACTAGCCTATCTCCGGCTAGCGCAATGGGGCTTTTCCTCCTTTCTCCTTTTAGTCAAACATTACCCTTATCTATCGGAAAGAAGTCACATGACTTATCCGATAACGATCTGGCCATGACAACATCTCATGGCTCATCTACAAGTATCCCGCGGCATAACTTATTCCCTCAGGAGAGATCAGCACCATTAATCATAATGTCGACACGTCGAGGTGTCGGACTCGGAGCCTTTGCGAACCGTACGCAAACAAGTCAATCCTATGCCAACCATGGCGCCAACCTTCGCTCTGCGCACCTTGCCTCCCTCAAAACACAACTTTCCGTATTCCAGTCGTTGCTTCACACTTTCGCATTAGAACATAGTTCAACGATAAAGTCGAATCCGACATTCCGAGCTGAATTTGCTCGTATGTGCAATGCTATCGGGGTTGATCCTCTTGCAGCCAGTAATGTCAAAGGGAAAAATGGCCGAAGAGGGGAAAGTGGCAGCTTCTGGACGCAGATTATGGGGGTGATATGAATGACTTCTACTTTGAGGTTGCGGTCCGAGTCGTAGAGCTCTGTCGATCCACGAGAAGCGAGAATGGAGGCTTGCTGGGTGTTGAAGAGTGTCGGAAACAGGTCGGCAAAGGCAAAGCCATCGGGAGCGGCTTGGAGGTCACTGAGTACGGCTTCAACCTCTTTCCCATTCATTCGGACTGTGCTAACTGTCCTTTGATGTACAGTGACGATGTTCTCCGCGCTGTGAAATCCCTTGGGCCCCTTGGGTCTGGCTTCTCCATTGTGCAAGTAGGGAGCAAGCAATACATCCGATCCATTCCCAAGGAGTTGAACACCGATCAGGCCACAGTCCTCGAGGCGATTCAGATACTGGGCTATGTCAGCGTATCCATGTTGCAGTTGAACTTGAACTGGGAAAAGGCCCGCGCACAAACTGTTATTGATGACCTTGTAGCAGACGGTCTAGTTTGGGTGGACACGCAGGGCGAAGAGAATGAATACTGGTCGCCCCAGAATCTTTTTGATGACAGCGGGTGATATTTCTTATACTCGGAGACGGTTCATTTATCAGAAAAACGAACTTTCCTCTGACCGATGACGATCAAGCAATGTCGGCCTGGAGAGCCGCTCACCACGTTACTGCTCCGACACAGCATGTCAAGGAGCCGGCTACCGTCCCTTCAAGCCACGAGGTTGCTCGAGGCAATAAGCGGGTCAATTCGGGAATGGAGAAACCGTATCGGCGAGCGCTGTTAAAGCATGCCCGCCGCTTCATGGTCGCAACTCAGTCCTGCATTGGACATGTGTAAACTATGCATGTATCTGAATAGCTCCGATAGCGGCTATACATACATACAAATATATATGTATGTGTATACAAGGACTCGCTACTCATAACATGGAGAGCGAGCAATTGCTTTCGTGTCTCCTCGTCTCCGAATTATACAGAGTTTGTCGACGGGCACTGGTGGTAGACAGCCAAGCCTATCCAACAGAATATATTGTTCACTCAGAGGCGATTACAGCAATTCATACTACTCAAAATACAACTGGATCATCTACCATGGAAACACCAATTGACCAAGATTTCCTCTCTGTTCTCATTGGTCTAGACATCGAACCATCTGTAGAATGTGAATATAGGGCATACATAAGATGATAACATGAAGATAGATCGACAGCGAAGTGTCGTCGACCTGGGGCCGTAATGGAACAGAAGCAGACAGAATTTCATACGCGTTTGTATTCCCAGAAAGGAGCATTAGACCATGAGAGAAAGAAACAGGATGCAATTATAAACACTCTTTTTTAAGCCTTGATAGCTCCGCCCAATGCACCACCGCCGAATTGCTGTCCACCGGGCCGACGGCCTTGCTGGCCACCGGGGAATCTAGGGCCACCACCGCGGGCGTGACCACCGCGTCCGGATCCACGGCCACCACGGGCGCCGGCGCCCTGATCGCGCTGGAAGGCGTTGGCCATACCTTGGGTGCGCTGCTCGAGAGTCTTCTCGTTAGCTTCCAGGAGGTTCATGGACTTGTCGGCCAGCGTGACGATCTGGGACTGGAGGCGCGACAGCTCGACGCCCTTGCGGAAAACGATGGCGTTGTTGACCTGATCCAGAGCAGCTGCCAGCTCTTCGTGCGAGATCATACGGCTGATGATGGCGGTGATCTTCTTCTCAGAAAGCTCGAACATGTTTGAGAGGGTGGCGATGGAGAGGCTGTCGTAGAAAGGAGCGTAGGTGAAGAGGTAGGTTCTCAGGCCCTCCTCCTGGACCTGCTGGGAAAGCATCTCCTTGATCTTGTCGGGCTGGGGCATCAGATCCCAGATCTTAATCGAGTTGAGCATCTCAGCAGCCTTCTTCCAGTCACCAGCGGCAAGGAACTTGGCGCTCATAATCACGCCGTCACGAGTGTTCTCCGCGGGACCAGTGAAGACCTGGCGCTCATTGTAATCCAACATACGGCGGAAGGTCTTGGAAATGACACGGCGCTTCATCTCGGGAGAAGATGAAGTCTGGGCCATCAGAGGAACTTCCAGGAACATGCTGGAGGTGAGGTAGATGCACTCGAGCAGCTCCAGGTTGATATGCATGTGGAACGGCAGCTGGCGCTGACGCTCAAGACGCTCCTGCTCCGGGGATACCGTGGAGTAGCGCTGCATAATAATACCCTGGGCCAGGAGCTCCTTTTGACGTCCACTGCCGCAGACTTCAGAAAGGGTGTTCTGAGCTTCGTAGATGAGACCGGAGCGGAAGGCGCAAAGACCAATTTGCACCAGCGTCCGGTTGAAGAGAATCTGAGTGCTGACGTCAAAGTTGGAAATGTTCTCAGTGAGATGGGACATGAGCATCAGATCACGAGAGCGGTAGTACTGGTCGTGCAGGGCAAGGAAGTAAATCTGACACAGCATCGCCCGAGCTCTGATTATACCATCGCTGTTCTTGAACAGATAGTTGCACAGGGACAAAACGAGGTTCTCGACGTTGCCACTGCTAGCCCGAGGGGTAATGCTAGAATCAAGCTCTGAGGGAAGAGCCTTCCATGTGGCATCTTCAAGGATTGTGATGACCTGCGAGGGCTTGAAGTAGACGTGCTCCAATCGTCTCATGACCACCCGGTTGACACTGTCCTGTCTGGGATCGGACTTTTCGGCTTCGTTCAGACCTTCGACGTAGGCTTGGGCGCGAACGAGATCGGTGTACAGCAGCTTCTCATCACTCAGACGCTCAATGTACTCGGCGGTGTGGGGGTCGATGTGTTGCAGGGATCTAGTAAGCTCGTCATCGAGTCTCTCGGCCAAAGACACGAGGCTACCGGGGATGTAGAGGGTCTCGCCGGGGGCGATGGTGGGTTGCTTCTCGTCATCTTCCCATTCTTCGGCACCTTCGGTCACAATGTGGTCACGGTTGTTCTCCAAAACCGACAGCAGGGACGAGAAGTCCTGCTCGGCGGACTTCCACTGGTCGACGGCCATGTAGTTGGCACTGGACGTGGATGTGAGGTCGAAACGCGTGGAAATGAGAGTAAGGTAAACGCGGATGCGCTGGTAGGGAGTCTGAGCCACCTCCAGAAGCTTCTCCATCGTCCGAATCTGCTCCATGCGGTCTGTGTTCTTCTTTCCTCGCGACTCGACGATCACACGGAGGTGCTTCAGGATGCTCTCAGGAGTGTACTGCAGAGTCTTGCCACCGCGGCCAACGGTTGCGAAGCCATCATCGTCGATGGCAGCGGCGGGGGCCTCAATACGTTCCAACTGGGTGATGCGTGGAGCAGCAACGACGGGGCGGCCTCCTCATCGTCGCTTTCCATGAAGTCCTCCTTGTCCTTCCGGTACTTGTTGATCAGGTTGGCGTAGTCCTTGTTATTCTTCTTGATACGTTGCTTGGCAGCGTTGAAGCCCTTGGCCTGGCTGGCGTTCAGCTTCTTATCTCCAGACTTCTGCTTGGCAACAGTTTCGTTCACGAAATCCTCAAGGTCGGCAACGGTCTTGATGTAAATCTTGGGAGTCGGACCAGATTGTGTGATCTTTGCAACCTGTCGGTTCAGCTTGTCGAACTCTGTTATCCCATGTCAGCCTATCTCACACATTCAACCCACCTCCCTATTTCCGTCTCCGCACAGATAGCGGCATGCGAAAGGAACAAAACGCACCTGTCGAGATAACAGCCCAGTCGTTGATCTTCTTGGCGTTTTCAATCAGCTTGATCGTGTTCTCAAGCTCATCCAATCTCTTATCCTTTGCACTCTTGACAACCGTGACTTTCTCCTCCTCTTCCTCCTCCTCGCTGTCGGAAGCAACATCCTTCAAGAACTTCTTTGCACCCTTTTCCTCGTCGGACTCCTCCTCCTCCTCGGACTCCTCTTCCTCCTCGCTGGATTCTTCCTCCTCGGACTTTTCCTCCTCCTCGCGATCGCTGTAAAGCTCCTCCTCGTCAGACGAGCTGGAGTCGCTGTCGCTACCACCGCCGTAAAAGAAACGCGACGACATGTTTGCGGTTCGAGGGGTTATCGGACGCAAAAGGGGGTTCGCGAACGTGTTCAAAAACTGGCCGTATCTGCTGATGCCGGACAGGACGCGCGGGGTGATAAGGTGGTGGACAGGGTTAACGGCCCTCTTGATCTGCTTGCCCGTACCTGATGGCAAATTCAGTTGTGGTGAGGGTTCCTAGCCGCAGCGAGTTTGGCCGCGCGAGCCACACACGAAATTTAAGCGAGTCGGCACCTAACCGTATATGGCAGTTTGTTCCGTTTGCACCCCCTTTCCCCGCGAGTCTTTTGTATCTGGATAGCCTCACAACCAATGATACATCTAGCACTTTCACGCTTTCGTGACTTCTATACGAGCGCTTTGGAGGCTCCCGAAATGCAGATGGGATGTCCCAATAGTAACCTCATCAAAAGCAATACAGCAGCCTACTGCACAAGCATCCCGAGCGCCATCCATGTTAGACTGGGCTCAACATGCGGTCATGCACGGCCTTAGCTAACACTTTTTGAACTGTGACTCATTCAGACACTACCTAATATGACGGCGAGTTATTACCTTAGTGTTCCGAAACGTGAGTGGCTGGACTTTGTTTCGCCGCTGAGTTACTGCAATAACAAGCCTATAGACTCGTGGCTAAAGATTACCCTCAAAACTTCCAATGGCAAATTACGGAGTACGGTCAATCAAGTTCGAATTTTTGTGAGAAGGCACATCCTGCCGTATATTTCTTGCCAAGGAGATCAAGCTATCTTCCAGGCAGACAGACTGCTTCAGTATGGAACAGAAGGGCACGATCAGCCACTAGTCTGGATCGAGAACTATGTCCTTTCTCTGATATCCATCGGACTTTGACTTTCTAAATTTAGGTATCCAAGCTATAGCAATGGCTCTGTTGAGCAGCGATGGAAGGAAGCAGAGACAGAAAACATCAAAAGACAACAGGGGAATAGAAATTTGCCTTGCTAAAAAAGATAGCAATGAGAAATGGAAAAGAAAAATTTTAACACGATGGTGAGGTGAGACAGAAACAACCTTCGCAAAAGCCCCTACCATGCGACTCATGACCAACGTCCGGGCACGGGACACGACGATCTCGCTGGGAAAGATTGCTCAGGGAAGGTAAAAGCAACCAGATCAGGAAGCTCGACTATAATAAAATGGGCCGCCTGCACCGTGGAAAGCCACGCTCTAGACTGGCGAATATATCCGGCCAACTAGAGTCAGAGGCTATCTCATCACGACGAAGGGCCTTGATGTTACAATATAACTTCGTCCCCTTCCAGGTGGACCACTTTTCGAACTGAAGATATAGCCTTTAAAAAGTAGTCTCAGGAGATGCACTTGGGGCAGTGGCTGGCATTGACATGATGAAACTGGCTGACGTCGTAAGAGCCACCGCAGACCGAAGGGCACGGGAAGGAAAGATCGAGCACGGTACGTTCCAACGATGTAGGAAGATATCTTGGAGTAGCTCTGCGCTTAAAATTGCAAAACGCACCTGGAGCACACTCTCTCGCTCGAACAAAGCAGAGTTGACGGTAGAAAGTAGCAGGCTCATGTTCCAGATAACAACCAGCATTGACTGGCTGTTTGGGTCTTTTGTCTGATCAGTGCCACTGGCTCTGGTTCATATAGCTGTCGCCGCCAAGGACACCGTCCTCGAGAGTCCGAATGAAGTCTCGGTTACGTTGACCGGCCCCTGCACGGCTTCCCCTGCGTCGTTGAGCATTGTTGTCGACATATCCGTCAGGAGGTGGCGGGTAATACGCTGGGCTGGGCTGGAGTCGAATGGGGGCATTCGGGTCCAGGTGACTGGCAACGCGTTGAATAGTTGGCGGGATTCCTCCTCCCTGATGGTCCATGGTGGATGCGCGTTGGCGACCAGCTCTAGTGGTTGCTTGAGCGTAGAGACTCTGAGACGGTGCATATTGCGATTGAGGCATCTGGCCGGGCATAATGTTCATTTGATGGCCGTAGCCCGGCGGCTGGGCAGGATATGGAGGAGGGGCGCCTTGCTGATGGCCGGTAAACATGCCGTTGTACATGGGCGGGGGTTGGCCATGAGAGGGTGTATGGAACTGATTCATCTGCATCGAGTATGCATTTTGGGCCGCTGACTGTGCATGTGCCGCCTGGGCCGCTCGCTGTTTGCTAGCAGCCTCAGCCTGCTGTTGCTGCTGTATTCCAGGTGGAATAGTTTTGTTGAGCGAGGAATATTTCAGATTCATTGGCGGCACGAAGGGCCCTGTAAACTTCTGCTGCGTAATGAAAGGGTGCAGCTTGGCTTGTTGGGGCGACCATCGCTCAAGAGGGTTGATTGACAGCAGTCCACGAACAAAGTCGATGAAAGCAACTCGATTGTTCAATTCTGGACGAGAGGTCAGCGAGTGAAAAGATATAGCTGTCTGGAGAAACGAACCTCGCTCGATCTCGGCTTGCTTCATATTCTTCCTAGGCATTGGATAGCTTCGGATGATTTCTTCAAGCGTAGAAGCCTGGAAATACTTTTTGCTCGGTTGCTCTTTCGTGTTATGTTCCCGGGAGTATTGTTCCAGGCTTTTCAGTCGGTATGTCTTGCGACCGAACTCGTCTTGGGTCTTCTCAAAGAATTCACCGGACTGCTTGCCCATTTCAAGCATCCACGTCGGGGGTAGACCGAGCATTTCCACAATTCGGCAGACCTGATTGTATTCGGAGGAGCCAGGGAAAAGAGGCAGACCAAGGAAGAGCTCGACGACGATGCAACCGAGAGACCACATATCGATTGCAGACGAGTAACTGCTCGAGTTAGTTTAATGCCAGTTGGAGGAACACAGGGTACGTACGGTAAGCCAAGCAACACCTCGGGGGAACGGTAGAATCTTGACTGGATATACGTGTAGACAGTTTGTCGCTCATCGCAAGCAGAGCCGAAATCGATGACTTTGATAATTGGACTCTCAAGACTATGGGAGACGACGTTAGTCCAGGAGCTTCTCTTCAGGCACAAGTCGCTACTCACTTCTTCAGTAATATGTTCTCGGGCTTGAGATCACAATGAATCAGATGCGCCTTGTTTAGCAGACTTAACGCGTTGAGAAGTTGCTGGGCAAAAACACGGACGAGAGTCGTGCTCAAACCACGAAACTGGTTTTGCTTGATCAATTCATAAAGATTGACGCTGAGCAATTCAAAGACCAGACAGAGATGCTGCCGGTGAATGAAAGTATCCTTCAAACGAAGCAAGTGGTGGTCGTCGTGCTTGTCGTATTTGCTGTTAAGCTGCACGGAAGAAGGTTAGAATACTTTCGAGCAAACAAACGTTTGGAACCTACCAAGTCCAAGACCGAGACTTCCATCATACTCTGATTGAAGTATGCAGTCTTATTCTTAATGACCTTCACGGCAACAACCTCTTGGGTTTTCAGATTCTGGCACTTGACGACTTGACCAAACGTCCCCTGGCCCAACACGTCGAGAATGAGGTAACGATTCCTTAGAGAGATGTCAATACAGATGGCCTGAAAACGTCGGCGAAAGAGTCGGTTGAGAAAACTCACTTGTGACCTGCTTCTTCACTTCCAAGAATGTCGTTCACATAGAGAATATAATCGCTGTCCTCATTGTCATAGCCGTCGTTTTTGACTCCCTTGCTTGGTTTCGTAAGGACACGTCTGGGATTCCGCGAAGACTCGTAATTGAAGCTTGGATTGCAGATACGGTATGTGGCCGGAAGATGGGAGGTTAACGCTTGAAGGGGCTATATCTTCATTTAGCAAAAAACTGATTCGGGTGGTCGATGAACACTTACACTAATGAAACCACCTTCCGGATTGGCACGCCTGTATGGAGGCTGCGCATTAATGCGGGGTTGGAGCTCCTGAACCGACTTGATCTTTTGGAACTTCGGCACTGGCCCTCGACCGGCTTGCTTGCTCGCACCCGACATGGATCCCGACCGGGGGATCTGCCATCTTGTCCAAAGTGAGCGTTGACTTGAGATCCTGCTGAAGGCGGGTAGAATTGGTCGGAGCCCATCTCGGTAGGCTGCAGCGGAGGAAGCCGAGGAGGACGCGACACAGCTATCACGACCAAACTGTTAGACATGAGCGATTCCCAAGTTTATCGAAGAGAAGGCTTACAGGGAGGCGACTGAAATGGCTGAGGGGGGGAGGAGTAGTTCAGAGCTCTGGTCGGCGACCGGCGAGAGTTGTTTGGCCCGGGTGGGAAAGCATATGAGTTCTGAGACTTTCCAGGACTAGTATTGTAAGACAAGGACGGCGACAGAACATTCATCGGGGAGTACCTTCGGGCAGCCGAGGACTCCTCAGGAGAGAAGAATTGAGACGATGGTCGACTATGATGAGTCGGTCGCGCAGAGTACTTCGCCCTGTTGTACGGGTCCGCATCCTCCATGGTGGTATCGGCATCGGTGACATAATCGCGGCTACGTGGCGTTGCGGCTGGTGACGACGCCATAGATACCGATTTGGAGTTTGCGCCGGCCGAAGAAGGTTTCGCTGCTGTTCCGGGCGTTTGGAAGGCTTCATAGGTATATCCCACGGGCGGCTGAGACTGTTGCGGCTGACCACCATACTTGGGGCCTAATTGTTGCGGAGTAGACGCCAATCCATTGTTGAACTGCGCAGGATGTCCCATCAAGGGGTCCTGGTACGGCTGCCACTGAGAACCCATCTCTTCGGGAGACCACCCCTCACAATATCTCGAAGAACCAAGTTGGAGTTGACGATCAAGGATGGACGATCGTCTGTCGCCGTCGACAGCGCACATGCACTGCGATCGAGGGGATGGAGAGCAGTGGGGGCGGCAGACACACGTAGCGCAATCAGGCGGAGACGACGAGGCGGCTCGGAATATTTGGCGTTAGACGTAAATTATACAGTGCTTCATTATCCGAACGACTGATCAATCCGGTGGTGAGGATTGATTGATAGCCACCGGGCGTCCTGTCCACCGAGGATGGTCGCAGGCTCAGTGACGGGGGCCGGGTGCGACGGGCTGCCAGTATCTATCGGCGCCAGCTGACTGACAAGCGGAAGGGGATACAGTAAATAACTGGAGCACGGGCAGGATGTGTGGTAGATTCCAGAGCGGAAGTACACAGTCAAGAAGAAAGACTGTGGAGGATCTGGAAACAATTCCAGTCCGAATGGCCGCTGTGGAATCGCTCGACCAGGAAGTAGACTAAGTATTGCGGAGGGGTTTTAGGAAGAGAGGAAGAAGGCGAAGGTCGTGGAGGTGGAGATAGATGATGCCTCAATCTCGATTCGAGCGTTGCGTCTGCCTCAGGCTGCGATTGGGCTCTGGCTTTCGCCGGGAAAGGCAAAAAAGAGAGGGAATGAGAGCTTGCTGATCTCACGATGATCGATCGACGACTTTTTATTCGACTCGGTATTTCTATTTCTACAGTGAACGAGTATGGCGTATCTACCATTGCTCCCTGAATTCTGAGGTTTACAATTGTTATTTTCTGCGAATCCAGGGCAAGGCAAGTAACAGTTGTGTCCTGCCTCCTCTCATCCGGCGCGAGTAGCCAGCCTCTTGGCTCGATAGGTCATCCCTTGAGAAGAACATTAAGCTCAACCCTATTTGGCAATATTTGTGGAAAAGGAGTGGTCTAGCAGGACTTCTCATTCATAAAGCTGGCCTGTTCGGGGAACAAGTCATTTCTGCAACCATCTACTTGGTAGCCTTGAGAATAATAATGCCTTGTTTGGCCTTTCTTGGATTATGGTTGTTTTCGCCGCTTGCAGGAATTAGCTGAACCTACTCCACTCCGTAAGGCGGACGGCTTCATGAGTTCGTTGTACAGCTCGAGTGGGTTAAGACAAGGAAAGTGGATTTAGGAGTGGTCTCGCAATTCGGCAAATGATCGTCCTTCATGACGATTGCCTCTGAAAAGAAGCTGGAACCATGTCACTGCTGTACTCTGCTCATAAGGTAGTCTACTACCGATGCCCAAATCTGGCTGAAGAGGAAAATGGGCTGGAAGGACCACTGCCAAGGCTCAAAAGAGTGACGTGACCGATGGCACGTGCACCTGAAGGCGGTCAGCCTAGGCGGCAGTGGGCGAAATCTTTCTGCCGTAGATACCAAAGGGCACTGAGAGGATACAGCGATGCTTTTCGTGTTCGGCTCCTGCGATCATCATATTAGACAAGCCTTCATCTTCTGTTAGCTTTTTTGGATTCTCTTGTGATATTCGTCTATGAGAAGATCGTTTTGGATTCGGATAGTACTGAGCGCCGCGCTTGACTGAGGTCAAGTCCGTCGCCGCCTGGATATCGCTCATAGTTCCTTGACAGCGCCACCTGTTACAGAAATGACGGTGGTGTATTTCTGAGCTGCACTGCCCCGTCATCGTGAAAGCTTGTTATTTGTTGAGTGAACGTGTTGATCTGCAGGGTGGAACAGCTGTTGGGTTGTCTGAATAGCCATCCTTGGCATTTCTGTCGTGCTTCAGTCATGGATCACAGCGTGAAGAACGAGAGGGATGGCTCCGCTGAAATTGAAGTGGTCGAGACACCTCAGAGGACCGAGGGATTAGATCCCTCCAATACCGCTGAGGTGGCGACAGCGCCTGACTCAAAGCAGCAAGAGGACCCCTCTGCAGTGACCGATGAAGTAAGCCGTCTACGAGAGCTCCAGGCCGATATACGCGATCAGGATGACCTTGAAAGGGACATATCTCGTCAGGTACCAGGCCCAATCCTCCTGATATGAAGTGCTTTATAGTCTGACTCTACCAGGCCGACAGGTTGCTCATGGAGCAAGCCGACGAACGAGACAAGAAGAGGTTGGAGAAGACCACCCTCGAAAAAGAGTATGCCTTCTGCCATAAACTGACGTCTAGGCTCGGATGCTGATACCTGAATGGTTAGGAAACTCGAGGCCCAGATTCTTAAGCTCCATCAGCGTCTGTCGCAGCCAGTTGGCACGTCTGCTCGAGTCCGGTTAGAGAACGAGTTGAGCAATCTAGAAACTCGCAACGCCTCGCTAGAGAATGACTTGAAAGAAATCCAACAACGTATTGACGACAGGCATGAGGGTCTCGAAGCAGGTACTCAGGCAACCGGGACTGGGCGCATGCCAAATGAATCTCGAAGAGATTATCTCATCCGAACCGGGAAGATAACTCCTTTTTCTAGGATGGGCGCAGGTCCGAATGAGGGTCCTCTTGCCAGCCTTCATGACGCTCTGATTGATGCCGAGGATGAACGTGACGAGGACGAGGCGTTGGAGCAACTGAAAGATCGCTCAGCTGTCTCACACAGGAATCTTGTCCGACCCGGATTCGACTTTGACGAAGAGAGTACCGATACAAGTATCGCACAAACTCCGCCAAGCAAGAGACGAAAGCTGGAGGGTGGTGCACGCCGGAAGAAGGCGGCTATCAAGCAAGAGGAGTCTGATTCCATGGCAGCAGATGGAGAGAATGAGCTTTCTGAAGATATTGACGAGTCGGCAGATTATGTGGCATCTGAAGAACAAGAATCATCGCTGGAGGACGAAGCAGAATTTTTCCCTGACGGAAAGCCAGAGCGACGTGTAGCTCACAAAAAAGGGAAGAAACCTGGAGATGAAATGGAAGATTTCAGCGGATTGGACGACGGCGACGAGAGACTTTATCAATCGAGACTGCAGAGCTGGGTGAGTCGGAGAAGCGCTGCTCGAAAGCGTGCTTCTAAGGCGCTGCAAGCAAAGGAAGAGCATGGGAATACCATTGATGAGCAGGCCTCGACCGAAGAGGATGAATGGTTCCTGCCTCATCCTACGGTACAAGATGTGTCTTATGACAATGGATATCGCTTACCTGGGGATCTCAATCCTTACTTGTTTGACTACCAAAAAACCGGGGTGCAATGGCTATGGGAGCTATACCAGCAGAAAGTGGGAGGGATCATCGGTGACGAGATGGGGTTGGGGAAAACGATTCAAACAATAGCTTTCCTAGCTGGACTGCATTACAGCAAGAAACTGGACCGGCCTGTGATTGTGGTATGCCCTGCTACAGTTATGAAGCAGTGGGTCAACGAATTCCATCGCTGGTGGCCACCTTTTCGTGTTTCCATCTTGCACACGTCCGGGAGTGGCATGGTCAATATCCGGAGCGAGAGCAGCAGAGAGGATGCTCTCCTATCTCAGACCTATTCTTCTAGTTCGCGGGGATTCACCAGCAACCAGAAGGCAGCAAGGAAGGTTGTTAAGCGTGTGGTGGAAGAAGGGCACGTTCTGGTCACTACCTATTCTGGATTACAAACATACTCTCATTTTCTGATTCCGGTGGAATGGGATTGTGCAATCCTTGATGAAGGTCATAAGATCCGAAACCCGAACACTTCTATTACCATCCATTGCAAGGAGCTTCGGACTCCGCACAGGATCATCCTCTCGGGTACCCCGATGCAAAATAACTTGACCGAGCTTTGGTCGCTTTTCGATTTTGTGTTCCCAATGCGCCTTGGAACGTTAGTGAACTTTCGGAACCAATTCGAATTCCCTATCCGGCAAGGCGGATATGCGAATGCTTCTAATCTGCAAGTGCAGACAGCTGCCAAGTGTGCAGAGACGCTCAAGGACGCCATCAGCCCCTATCTTCTGCAGCGCTTCAAGATCGATGTGGCTGCGGATTTGCCCAAAAAGACTGAACAGGTGCTCTTTTGCAAGTTGACCAAGCCACAGAGGATGGCATATGAGTCATTCTTGAAATCCGAAGAGATGGACTCCATCCTCAAGGGACGCAGGCAGATTCTCTATGGAGTTGATATACTGCGCAAAATATGCAATCACCCCGATTTACAGAATCATAAACTGCAATCGCACCAGTCGGGCTATGGAAATGCGAACAAGTCTGGCAAGATGCAGGTTGTCAAATCTCTATTGGAGTTATGGAGGGATACCGGCCATAAAACCCTACTTTTTGCCCAGCATCGAATCATGCTGGATATCCTTGAGAAGTTCGTCAGGTCACTGTCTGGGTTCAGCTATCGGCGTATGGACGGCACCACGCCCATACAGAATCGGCAAACCATGGTAGACGAGTTTAATAATGACCCGAATATACATGTCTTCCTACTCACGACAAAGGTTGGAGGTCTGGGAGTGAACCTTACGGGTGCGGACAGAGTCATCATCTACGATCCAGATTGGAACCCATCGACAGACGTGCAGGCCCGAGAGCGAGCGTGGCGACTGGGTCAGAAGCGCGACGTCAGCGTCTACCGCTTAATGACCGCTGGAACAATTGAGGAGAAGATATATCATCGACAGATCTTCAAACAGTTTCTTACCAATAAGATTCTCAGAGACCCGAAACAGCGCCAGACTTCCTTTCAGTTGAGCGATTTGTATGACCTATTCGCGCTCGGCGATGAGAAGCCAGGTGCCACGGAGACGAGCAAGCTCTTCCAAGAAGCTCAGGTTACATTCCAGGGAGACGGTGACGGCAACACTCAACAGCCTACCAAACCCGAGGACGCCTCATCTGCCATGCAAGCCGAAAAGAACGACATCAGCAAAGTAGTGGGTGTCTCGTCCATGGAGAAATATCAGGGCGAGTCGGAGCAGCCCAGCGATCTGGAGAAAGGGGCTGGAGGCGTTAATTCAGAATCACGCATTATGGAAGGCATTTTTGCTCGCTCTGGCGTACACTCAGCTCTGGAGCACGATCAGATCGTCAACGGCAAACGGGTTGTCCGAGCAGACCCCAAAATCATTGAGGCGGAGGCGAAGAGGGTAGCTGCCGAGGCTGCCGAGGAGCTGCGGCGAGCTAGTGAAGCAGCACGGTCTGTTCCCATTGGGACACCCACCTGGACAGGTCAATTTGGAGTCGCCGGGAGGCCTGAGGATAGACCCCTCCCTTCAGCATTTGGCGGACGAAGCAGCACTGCGCGGCGGACGGCGGCCGGTCCCTCGTCAGCGAGCATTCTGGCTAACCTTTCCGCACGGACACCGTCGTCCCGGAGCGCCACGAACAGCCCTGCACCATCCAGGACTCCCACTGGCGTGGATTTCATGACGATGATTCGAGACTACATCTTGTCGCAGGGTGGAGCCGTTTACACACAGATGCTGATCGACCATTTCAACCGTTACTGTACCACACCCCAGCGATCGGCAGAGTTTAAGGAAATGCTTAAAACAATTGCCGTGCTCGAAAAGGGTGGACGAAACGGGCGAGGAAGATGGTCGCTGAAACCCGAATTCGCCAAGGTGAAATAGCACATCTCGTCACTTACAGGCTGCAGCATGGACAGGAGTTTGGTTTGGGCCATGGTTGGTCATGTTTCTCTCCGCGGCACGACTTGATTTGGGAAAGGGGATACCATGGATTATGGCGTTTGAATTATTCATTGTAGATACTTAGAGTATGCAAATGATCTACTGATAGAGTGACATAAACATCACTAAGCATGCATCGCATATGCTTTGAAACATGGCCTTTCGGACTGCCCGATCATGAGTAACAGGTCAACTGATGTCACTTCAGGGGGATTGGACGAATGGAACCGAGATGATCATGATATCAGTCAGGTCCCAACAGGTAGGATAGTCCATGCATTCCCTGACCATGACCCATGGATGTAGGATGAATGTTATAATAGTGATGATCCTTAGCGACTGCGGAACTTCGAACCTCAGCCGAAGATGCTTGGTATTGCCGTCGATGTGTTCATTATGCAATCTGTTCTACAAATACAACATCCGAATACGGCAAATGCGGCATGATTTCCGCTCATCTCCTGTTCCTGTTAGCGTGCATCGGGTTGTCGATCACCTTGTGACTGATTTTGGCGCAGCATAGAGGACTACAGAGAGTATGAGCTCAAAGTGTAAAAATAGTACGCCTGAGTCGAGCATCAGCAGCATGGATGTTACAGTTACATGTATCTGCAACAAAGTACAAAGAAGCGTTGAGGATGCTCCGGACTTTGTGCTCAGGATTTGGAGTGATGTCGGCAATGTTCTCAGGTTTGAAGCCATCCCCGCTTCATGCATCATTATTTCCCCCAGCAACCAGTGCCCACTGCGGTACGATTGTACTCTACGCTACTCAACCAAAATCTTGACTGGTTCATTGGCAACTTCGCTGTGTTCCCACTGGCCCATTGATCGTCGTTGCGTCGGGCAAATTGACCCAAGTCTCCATACCTTAGTTTGAGCTGAACCACTCCTGTGTGGAGCTCATTCTTCGTTGAATTTCTTGGTTGTTCCGGCGATGTGATATGATGTGTGGCCTGAGAAGAACGGACTAGATTAGTTTCTGCTAGGTGCTAACAACTAGCATTCCTGCAATGTCTGCAGAAGGTTCTAAATTTTGCATGCCGATCATTGATGAGATGATTTGATCACCAGTGTCGGTTGGAAACAGTCTGTGCTGTTCCACTGAGTGGAGTGGTGATGATGGTGGATGTTCAAGAACATAAATAAAGGGAGGGATATCGCCACATCCATCCTCATCACTGTCACCCATTCTCTCACATCGTTGTCCTACGTTTTGTGCTTTGTGCTGGTTTCACTGAAAAGCAGTCGCATAAAGTAATCCAATCTCTCGTTTAGCAATCATCAGAATGAAGCTGCTTTCTACTCTCACTCTGCTGGTTTCCGCCGTCGCGGCCAACCCCATGTTCCATACTGTTCGCCAGGCCTCCAACGCCACCAAGCCCTTCCATCTCAAGACCGCAGACGCCTCCGACGATAAACACAATGATCTATACGTCTACGCATACCACACCGGTGCAGGATTCAATGACGCTGTCCTCACGTCCGATGAGGATACTGCCAGTACAGCGTTCCTGAACGGCACCTACACCCAGTTCGACTTGAAGACTCCATTCCCATGGGGCTTCAACCCGATCGCTGTCACCAACTATGCTCGTTAGTTCCCTGCTCTCCCAACTATACTGACTTCGACCCGAAACTGACTAGTTCGCAGAATGGGAACCCGTCGAGATCAACGTCGGTTACGGCGCGGAGGGATTCTTCATCAATAGCACCGGCCTGCAGTGGTCGGAGGAACAGGGCTTTGGCGGCTGGCTGGGTAAGCATTTCCATCTGAGGTACCCTGTAACTCTCTTGCATGTGGCTAATTCATCCCAGTGTGCGACTGGTACCACGGCGCACCCCAGCTCTTCTATATCTACCGCTATTACGAACCTAATTTCCCCTCCTCTTGCAGTACCGTCAACCTTCAGGTCGAATATACCTCGTAAATAGACCCGAGGTTGCGGATATTGGCTAGCGGGAGACGCTGCCACCGGATATGAGATGCGCGTGGCGAGAATGATGATTCCTTGGTTTTCTGGAGGTTTTGGAGGTTATGAGCCGCTCCTTACCTGACGAAAGTGATATGTGTTGATATGCATCGCACATACGGAGACTTCTTGTTAATGTTAATTTACCTGTAATGCCGCTGTGATGCAGTCTTTTTTTGTCAATCGCTGCTATATCTTTGAATTGTATGGAATAGTGGACCTTCCTTTGTGATTATGATTATGGATCCATTTGCCATGTTTTGGTCAAGCTCAGACGTCGAGTCGTTTCCCAAGTAGCACTCCTGGCGACCATGAAGACGATAAATCGAGGATATCCTGATGAAAAATAGTAGTTCAGTTGTTTTAGCGTGCCAATTAGATGAGATACGGAGTAGAGTGTGACCTTCATGTGATGGTGTGAATAATTCTGATAACCAAAAATAGCCCCCATGTCTCAGTTATGCCCAAACAGGCTAGCCCGCCTCCAGATCCCCTTCTCTAGTCGCTTCGATCGGACTCCCCGTCTGGCATCTTTTCTCGTTAGACCCTTTTTACCCTTTCCATGACTTGACTTGACTTTCTCGGAGCCGTGCTTGAATTTTGTCTCTTGAATTTGGTCTCATCTCTCTATAGTTTCCCATGGTGTGATGCTGTTGAGTTGATTCTCTGACCAGTCACTCGCTTTGTTTACCTGCCGTTCAGCCTCCCCTCCTTGCAACCCGCATACGACACCACCCGATCTGCATGTTTCACTGACCCGCCGACTTGGAGAAATTTGTTCTACCTGTCCATCTTACGTCCAGACTGTTTTACCGACGTCGTGAATCGCTCTCTCTCTCGGTCGTCGACACTCGTTTGCGAAGCCAGAAGCCGATCGGTTAGGGAATAGCTGGAACATCACCCTCCCAACATTTTCTCAAGAGACTCAGTCCCTGTATTGCGTGATAGCTTCAGGGTCTGAAGGCATCGTCCATCATGCAGTCCCTCAACTTCCTCTCGTTTTTAAGCCTTCTCCTCTTGCTGGGAACAATTTCCTCGGCTTGGCCATGGCCCCAGGACGGGCTGAACCTAGCACACGGAGAGATTGCGGCCAGAGCTGGTTAGTTTGCAGAAATTCTTGCTCATTTGTTCGCATGCTGACTTGACAGATACAACTGCATCCGACGAATCAACGGCTGATTCTAATGCGAGCAAGACCGACTCTGCGTCGGAAACCAATACCGCGGACTCAACTGCGACGGACTCTAGCAGTAGAACAGAGACCGCTACTGGAACGGCCAAGGAGACTGGCACACAGACGGAGTCGGGAACAACTACCGAGACTGCCACGGACAAATCCGGCAAGAACAGCAAGACCAAGACCTCTACCAAGACGACCTCAATCGATGCACGTCTCCCTGCCGGCGGAACGTCGATGATGATCCCCACTGCGGGTGCCACAACCTACTACAAGATCGGCGACCATGTGACTTTTGCCTGGAACTATACCTCTCTACTGGTGACGCCGTCTGCGGTAAATGTTCTCGCAACCTGCACCATGAACAGTGCGACCTATACGCTCACGAGCAACATGAGCGTTGAGGCCACTGGAAAGGTGGTGTGGGATACGGGCAAGTACCAGGCGAATGCCACGGTCCCACTGCTGACTGCGACGTACACGTTGTACGTGGTCGATGTGGACAAGGATATTGGAGACACCGCAAGCCCCGGCCACCTTGGGTCGCAGAACGGTTACCTTTTCGGCATGTACAGTCCGCAAGCCTATACTCCTCTCAACGGTATGCTCTTATTTTTCTATGTATATTTGACAAAGCATACTGACCCGATTATAGAATTCAACTGCGCCACCTGCAACGGCGCCCTCTCGGACATCGAGCGACAAGCCCTCAAGTTCGCCTTTGGCATGGTCATGATCACAATAGCCTCCTTCACCTGGTTCGCCGGTGACTTTGGTGTCTTTTCCGCTTGAGCTTCCTCATGAACGTATCGTATGTTCTCCAACAGCATATTGCATCCGAATGAGCGACTTTTTTTCCGTCATGACAATAGCGATGTATCCGCAAGGTTGGGCTGGCGTTTTCTCTCCTTTTCTTCTCTCCGTGTATTTGCCATTACAAATAATCTAAAGTGGCGGGGACTGGTAACATCTGGTGTCTATAATGAGCTGTATTAGCATAGAAATTGACATGCATATCATAATTCATCCACCAGTTTACCAGTCTAGAACATAAATATGAATGGAAGCAATTGCATATCAGCCTCATTCTTTGTTCTGGTCAATGACAAACCACTGCATTTGCATTCTACCTATGCCTTGTCCAATCGACACAAAGCAGGACAGGATGGGAGTACCAGGATAGTTAAAGAAACAGCCCTGCAGCCAGCAAAAAGAGCCATGCAGCCGCATGCAATGCAACCTTTGTCCCATGGACCTATATTCCCACCGATGGAAAAATGTTTATTCTTTGTTTCTCATACAGAGGTATAAGTATAAGTATAAGTAGGGTGACGTGAGATACAATTTCCATCCCCTTCTCGAATGAAAAGCGGAAAGTACGGTGCAAACCCAGCTGACTAGTCCGCTTGCTGCTAACTTCGCTGTCTCGTATCCAAGCTCAGCTCGCTGCCCTGCCTCGTTTCTAAGCTCCCCGCCTCGTTCCTTAGACTCGCTGCCTCCCGTGGCTCGCCGCGCTCGGTCGCTCGCTGGCTGCAATGCCCTCAACAACACTAGGCTGGATCTGGCCGAAAGACCCCCGGCCAGGTAACCCCTCGCGCTGGCCCCGTCGGTGGCGTCTCTTCGATATCCTCACCAATCGCGGACCGGATATATACGTCGGGAAGATCAACAGCCGGAGCCAGAGTCAGGAACGGATCAATTGGTCTGGGTGGGAGTGCCGAGAGGGGTGCTGCTGCGCGGGGGTGACGAGACGCCGTTCCCGTGGGCGAGACGGGGCGCGTCTGAGCGGTATGATTTCCGGCGGAGGAGGTATGTGGTTCCGGATCATGGGACGTGGTGTGGGGTTGAGTATTGTGATGAGGAGGTGGATGAGAGGAAAGGAAGAAAGAGGCGGGTGCATGTCATTCCGCGGCGGTATTGGGATTGGAGGGGGGTGGAGTATCCGGCCGGGTATTGGCATGATGTCGTGCATGGGGTGCATGGTTAGCTGGAGATAGGGCGGGAGGACGGGGAAGGATCGATGCAGGCGGGGTGGTATGCTTCCCAGACAACTGGTTGGCCTTGAGACGATTGGATGGGGCTGGGTCTGCGGACGGAGGGAAGTTGCGCGGCGTTGTCGGTCATTTTGCCGCATTTCGCGCAGGGCGTCTGTTTGATGTCGGAGTAGGAGACGACCATGTCCTGAATTGATGAGGTTTAGCCCGATGTGTTTTGACGTCTGGTGTCAATATGTAAAACTTACCAGTAGATATGCAAGATCCCATTGCCGCGGGCGAGCATTCAGACAAGCTGCAACCGCCGTTTCGAGCTTTGTCTTCGGTTTCCCAGGGGCCGCCAGTTCCTGAACCCGCCAATCGACCATATCATGTCCATCCCCACTGACAGCCTGCAGCTGGAACGCCATGCCGGCCTTGACAAGAACAACGGTGATCCTGGCCTGGCCCTGATGGGCCATTACCCGAACACCCGGTAAGTTTCGTCGTATGAACGTCTCCACGATCGTCCTCCAGCCTCCCTCAACCGCTTGAATCTTCGCGCGTTCCTCCTCCTCCTGAATCCTCTGTTGCTGCTCCTTCTGCGCCCGCTCCTCTTTCTCAAGCTCCTCAAGAAGAACATCATAGTCCCGCTCCCACATCCCCGTCGGCTGCAGCAGCTGGCCCCCGTTCTGCTTGATCCGAGCGTCCACATGGTCCCAGATGGCTTTCATCTCAGGGCTGCGCCACATAGCCTGGAACTCCTGGACCTCAGCGACGCTCGCGCGTGCCGTCTGCGAGAGCTGTTCAAAGAGCACACGCGGCGACTTTGGCAGTGGCCTCCTCGAAGCCGCCTTGGGGTTGATGATGGGGACTATTGGCTCCATGAGACGCCCAGAGAGTAGAGTCCGTAGTTGGTGTATCTGCACTTGTCAGCTTGAACATCCAAACTAATGCAAGGGGAGAGGAGACTAACCGTCGCCTCCATCTTTTGCAACTTCGCCAGAGACGACAGATACTGCATCTCCGAGGTCCAGGCTTCACCGCTCGAATTGTCCTTGTCAGGGACTTCGGTGGGGTTTGTAGTCTGGGGAGGATGCTCCATTTTAGGGACAATGACGCCTGTCGCTGGGGGTTGTAAACTGGATTTTGAAGTAGAGGCCATATTGATTGACCGTTCAGTGAGACGGATGAATGTAGAGTCGGGTGTAATCTGCCAGAATGCCCTCGCAAAGGAAACAGAGCTGCAGCGAAGAGTTATACACGATCACTCCCCAGACGGATGTCACGGAGCGATGAGAGGAGACTGGTTGTTTGTTCCGACGAAAGGCCAGAGTTGAGACAGCCGTGTTACTTGTTTTGATTTGGATTTGAATGAACTGATCTCACTGAGAAGAGAATATTCCAGCAAAGTTGAGCCTGCCTCAAATGAAGTATGACGCTCCAGTGAGATGCTCCTAAGGTCTGAGTGTGCTCTACTCTACCAATAGTTGAGGTGATTCGATGGTGGTCGACGGTGGAAATCCAGCCCATCTCTCGGCGAATCATGGAGATAAGCTGCGCCACAGCTCCAGCCACGTGTGGCACATCTATCACTTTCCTCTTTGGGATGTACATCGGGGGTCTAGTATTTTGTTGATACAAAAGTCCATTACGATCAGTCGTCAAGATATTTAGTAGACTATATAGTAGGTACATTCATTAAGCTAGGAAAACTCAAAATTGGTTGAGTCGAGATAATTCGTGTTGTAAGCCGTGCTTCGTTATACCCATCGATCAAACTGCCTTCGACGAGTACAGTCTAATATATACGCCCCTATCATGCGCCAGAGTGAGATTCGTCTGCTGGATTGGTTCAATCAGATCCGGATCCGCGTTCTCAATCCGATCAAAGCGCTGGAGCAATTTGACAATCGTAAAGCTGGCCTCCGTGAGTGCGTATTGTTCTGCAGATGTTAGCTAGAGAGTAAAGCCTCGTGAAAACAAGGATAACTCACGGCCAAGGCAGATCCTGGGACCTCCGTTGAAGGGAAGATACTCCCATCCCCGTCTGGCGTTCTCTTCCCAGCGTTCGGGTCGGAACTCGTTCGCGTCCGGACCATAGAAGTCTGTCCGGCGGTGCATGGCGTATACACTGTAGGTGACTACTGTGCCCTTGCGGACGTAGACGGGGGCCTTTTGATCCGGTCCACCTCCAACAGGTAAGGTTGTGTCCTTGTTGGCGACGCGGAAGTTGGCAGGGACGGGTGGCAGGAGCCGCAGGACTGGTTTGCTGTCAGGATCTTTCCACTGTGCATTGCGTTGGGGGGTTACGTACCTTCGTTGAGCACATATCGCAAGTACGGAATATCCTTGAGCTTTGTCTGCGTGATCTCCTCCTTGGGGTGCTCGGCGTCGCCGAACGCATCCAGAATGACCTGACGAAGTTTGGTCCACACGTTCGGATGGCGAGCCAGATAGAAGAAGGTTGAGCTCAGCAGGCTGGCGGTTGTATCGCGCCCCGCTAACAGGATGTTGAGCATGTTATCCCTCAACACCTTCGGATTGTCGTTTTCGGCCGCCAGGGCCTCAGCAAAGATATACCGGCCTCCAGGCTGCTTCTTCTCCGGATTCCGCCGTGACTCGAGAGCGAGCTGGACATAGTGGTCGACGACCTCATGGACGCGCTTGTTGGCATCGCGGAACTCCTTGGGGTTGATCATCCAGTAGAAGATGACCGCTCGGGACCTCGCGGCGAGATACTCCTGAGCCTTGTTGAACGCCTCTGCGAAGCCCTCCGCGTTACCGACGGCTGATCTACCCAGAAGGCCGGTGTCTGTGCCAGCGTGCAGAGAGCCCACCGATTCGCCAAAGAGGAAATGAGTAGCCGAATCGATCGTGAGGAGGAAGAACAGCCGCTGGATATCAAATGTCGAGCCGTCTTTCGGAACTAGGTCAATCAGTCTGGAGATGTGGCCGTCCATCAAATCCAAATCGGCCACCTGAGCAGTTAGCACAGTCTGACGGGATGAAAACAATCACTCACCTGGTCCCTCGTAAACTGGGGCCGTAATAGCCCACGCGCATGCGACCAACCCGCTCCATCCAGCGTAAAAATCCCGTCTCCGAGTAACGGGTAAAACTCCTGGTGTCTCGTGCCGAGCTCGAAATCATTGAACTGGGTCGCGAGCAGAGCCTTGATATTCTCCGGCTCAATCGTAGATAACAGCGGTCGTCCAAAGATCGTCTGCGTAAATGTGTTACCGTACTTTCCATACTGCTCGGCGATAAGCTCAATCCATCTCTTCTCCTGGACGGCTTTTCTCAGTCGTAGAAAAGAAGAGATGCCAAAGATGCCCGCTGCGCCTTCGGCGGGGGCTGACAGCGCAGGGATCGAGCCTGTTTGCGATGCTTGTAGAGTTGCTGGAAGTAACGGAGGACCAAGAAGCTAATGTACACTGCGGTGAATAGTGCGACAGCAGGGGCCAGCATGGTGTCGGGCCCTGGTGGGTGAGGTTGTACTTGTGAGTCGTGACTTGTGTGAGACAATAGCAAATTATCAGAGTTGTTAGAATTAGAAATGGTCCAGACCGGTGTGACCAAGGTTATCCATGACCAAAACGCTTGCTATTTGTACCACATGCTCATGTCGACTTCAGAGCTACCCCTCAGTATGAGATGTTGACAACCTCGCTAATCCGGAGATGTGTTGATGCTTCGGAACCAGAGTCGTCCTCGGACTCCGACATGTGTAACACAGTGTGACTGGATCGCTACCAAACTTACACCCATGGAACTACGAGGGACAACAAACTCTAAAATGTGAATGGACCAAATGCGAATGGATGAACGATCCATCGCAAGCAGTCACGAAAAGGGTTAGATCAGAGGAGACGCAAGACGTCAGGCCGAAGTTATCCACAGCCTAGTCTCGGCTAAGTCGCAAGCATATATGAAAAGGGCTAGCTACACTCAGGATCGGCCACGCTAACCACTCCCCATACTCCGTACTAAAAGTGACATCAGGGATCATCGAGACTACCGGACTGATTACGCCTGAAACATGGCAGCCATTGTTTCAAGGCCTTGCTAAAGTAATCCCGGGAGACTGCCGCGGCCGGGGTGAGCTGAAAGTCTGGGCAGTGCACCGCGTTCTCCATGATGTACCCAAATACCGCGTCTTTGCCGGTGGGGACCCCACAGGCCGGTATTTCAGTGGTGAAATTGACTCCCTGTGGAGCCCAATCTTCATCAGATAGCACCGACAATGGTCTCCAGGGATCATATTGCCCCCGCTGAAGTACACGTTGGACGGGCGGATCGTCCAGCCTCCGAGCTCTTCATTCAAGCTTTCCGTCCGTGGTCGTGGCGGTAGGATCCCAGCCTGGACGCCATTTGGGAACTGGCGATAACAGAGTTCCTGCTGATACTCCAGGGTCTGATACGAGGAAAGAAGCGCATGAGTGCCAAAGTTGTTGCTCTGGAAAAAGCCCCATTCGGTGCAGTATTGCCAAGTCCAGCTGATCAATTCAGGGGTAGTGTTGGTTTGACTGAAATCGCACGACAAAGGCTCTGATGCATTGAGACCGTTGCAGTTAGTCCCGTACATCCTGTTGACCAGCGATATGAAGTAAGGATAAGCCGCCCAGCGCTCTGCAACGTACTGGTTGCCGTAGATCGGGCTGAGACCCTCCGGTCCTGCCGACTGATTTGTCGCTGGGTCCAGCTCGAGGTAGTTGCAGAAATTGTGCAAGCTTTGATTACCGCTCCAGATACCGTGAGCCTGAAAAGGTCCGTAAAGAGCGACCAAAGCCGTGGTGAAGTCTGCATTGCTGTTGTTCTCCGCATCGTCTCCAAGAAAAAGCCGTTTGATCGACGCGGACGTCTCTTCGTTGGACAACTGATCATCGATGTACTTGAGAGCAGCCTGGATGTCCTTGGTGCAGTTACTGTACCCGTTGGCCACCATAGCGCGGTAAATCTGTTCATAGTACACGCTCATATCGAGCTGAGCCTGTACGGGAGCGGACGAAGCATAAGCTGCAAATATGGTATCGGGATATTTGTTGCGAGTGAACGCGGCACGGATACCAGGATAGGATCCACCGATCATAACCCAAGGGGCTCCTCTAGGTGTCAGATCGATATCAGGATGATTTGGCCGGCTGAAATTTGCAGCAAAATATGGGATATCGGCAAGGGCCTGCTTGGTGGTGAGATACTTCAAGTGCCCCACGGGCATATCCTGACTGACGGGGAATGGAAGTGAGCCTCCATAATATCTTTGCAACATCAGTACATATTTAATACTGTAAGGCCTCTGAATGGGACTACCTGTGCTCCCACACAATTCCCATAGCGTGAAATTCCTGCAACAGCAGACTAAGCCAGGATGAGGAATTTGTCAACAAAGAAACCGAGTACTCGGCAGTAGCCTCTCCAATATCATAGACCATAATCGGACTCCCAGAGACGTAGAAGTCTTCATTGACCCAAAACCTGTTTTGATAGGTGCCAACTGAGGGATCCTCGTGGTCAATGAGAATCTGCACGAGTCAGGAACAAGATCGATAGTTGTAAAGGCTTGAACTCACCTCTGTATATTCTGCTGCACTTGTGGAATCCACAGAATCGGCAATCATAGAACGGAAAGCTTCTGGGTCATTCAATGCGAGATGAGAATCCAAGCCTAACTCAGCAGCGAGGCGCAGGTCTCTTCCTAGCGTAGACGCTGGTAGTCCTATGCCTGTGGCGGGATCGAAGAGTACTGCCAGCTTCATTGCAGCGAGCCATGATGGATAGAGCTTCATCGGGAGTCTAACGAAAGGATTGACTCAATGTCAAAAACAATATGAGATAAAAACAAGGCTTGAGGGCGATCTGCTTGGTGAGTTGAGATACCGAATCAACAACCAAGAAAGCTGGAGTTGACAGACATATATACTGCCACACCCTCGAGGAGTCCGCCAAGTCAGTGTAGTCATTTTTGCAATTGCAGTTGTCAGTCCTGAGCAGGCAGTGGAGATTCACAACAATCGCTGTCACCGAGAGAGGGATCATCGCGTGCGGTACGACTCAGGTGTGTCGCACAGCAGATTACCGAAAGCGGTGATAATATCAACCGTCCAATTGTTATGGGGATCCAGCCACCCATCGGAATGAGAACAATCTTAGCTGACTCGGGGCTTCAAAACCTCGCCAATTGATTGGCACTAAAATCAAAAGATGCGTTAGCAAGCAAGTTGTGCCACATGGTTATCCACTTTAGGGGTGACCTGAGTCCTTCTAGAACAATATGATGCATATACCCGAACAATAGCTTCAGACTGAGGATGCTCAATTTGTAGCGGCGCATGCATCACATAGCGATAGCATTGCTACATGGTAATGCATACAGACAATGACAAGCCATTTAGTCTTGAAATGCGTCAAGTTTTGCCGAATTGATGTCCAGCAGAAATGAATGCGGTCCCGTCACTCCGGACGATTGACATAACCAGACACGCTCTCAAGGCTCCAGGAAGGACAATCGATCAATTTCCGTATTAGAATTGTTTGCACATCATCATACAATCGCATTTATAACGGAGCCAAATGTGCTGGACTGAAAAAGCTGTTCGTGTTTGCTTTTATGAAGAATAATTTAAGGCGCCATAGTTCCATCTCACGACCCTTCTGCTAGAATGCCAGCGACGGCTAGCTGCATCGTGCTTGGCATGCTCTGACTCTAACTCATAGCAATGGAGCCTTTGCACGCTGAGCACATCAGCCAGTGTTGGCTTGGAGAGCCTGAATAGCCACCCATTACTCTGTTGTAGGAATTGTGCTTCAGAAATGCCTGTGTCCTCACACCTATGTTGAAACTCAATCGCCCCTGAACAAGGACAGGACACAAAAAACATGGCTTCAACATATTGATAAAGAATGCAGTGTAAATGAGTTTCTAATGAATACTTCGAACATGGAAGGACAAGGTGTCTCAGCCGTATATCAAGTGCAACAGGCACTTGATCTTCATGCTTGGTCACTACAAAACCGACATGCAGGCAATGATAACGTTCCTTCTTTTCAGCCCTTCAATTCCTGAATGGAAATGATATCAGCACAGGATTGAGCTGTGAACACCAATCTGGTCTGGAACGTCCGAAGATGTCCGGAACTGGATATGCTGTTCCTGAATCCTAATCTGATCCTGATCTCTTGGCTATTCGAACAGATCTGTCAGCAACGATGAGTGAGACCAGCAACTTAGCAGAAACATGGTCTAGAATTCGACCTCAGGCATTAATCAGCAGAAGTGTTTTCCAAATCTTCATACGCATACGCAAGGAGTCCTTCGGCTGGACGGCTGGGGTTTCCGGACTGATTCCGGTGAAGACTGGCACCAAACCCACCACGAGTTTCATTTCCCAACTTGACACACTCGATCATCTTGGCTGTGTCAAGAACAACAGCTCCTTTCCGCATATTTGGACGACAGTAGAGGGATATACCTGAATTGAACGTCATCAGATGAGTTGGCCGACCGCAACACCTTTGCCAGACTCGGGATGATACAACGCGAGGGATGCAATGAGCGGCTGACTGATTGATGGAAATTATTGAAATAGCCGTTCCCCTGAAGAAAAGAAGCTTAAGACGGAAAAAATCCGGGTGCAGCTGACTAGATGTTTATGGCGCCAAAGCCTTGACGAAACCCAGTTGGATCATTCCGGCAAAAGCTCGAGTGTTTCAAACCCATAGCTGAAAGATGATAACTTGGATTCTCGCGATAAAGTCGACCGAATCTGGCTTGCAATATGGAGTAACGGATTGCCAATGGATCCTGCCAAACCCCACCTGGTGATCCGTGATCGTCCCTTTTAGACACGGCCAGGCGATCCTGAGACACCATCCGGATGAACCAGAACTACTCCTGCCCCCTGACGAGGTCAATATTGGATTCCGTAGTGCAAGCTGTCAGCATGAAATGGGGGGCTAGTGTACGGTGTGATATCTCTCAAAATCACTGAAACCTTGTGCAGAAATTGGCCGGTTTAAAGGAGCATCCTTCTGAGATGATGATACTTGGCGCCAACCTTTCCCCGGAGAAACCTACCGCGTGGTGTTTATCTATTTCGCGGAATCGCGGCATTCGCGCAGGCTTCTCCGCATGCATCGGTACATATTGTGGACTCAATTAATATACCGTCATGCACTCCTTCGCTAGCGCCAGCTTTGATAGATGATGATGATGCCGCGCTCATGGTGCGCAATTATCCACCTCCTGAGATTGGTGGAACCCGTCAAATTGCCAGGAGGGGAAATGTGATGGAGAGGATGATCCCTTAGCGTCTGAGGCTGGACACGCTGAAGAATGGCATCTGGTGATATATAGGCATCTGCACTTCTGCAGACCCACAGAAGAGAAGCTCAGCTCAGAACGCCATCTCCCAGAGCGGTTCACAATGCTGTCGAAAGCTGCGCTTTTGTTGTCCCTTCCCTTCTGGGCTCGCATCGCCAATGCGGCCTTTGGCATCACCACGACCAGCAGCTCCTATGTCATCGATGCCAACTCGGCGAATCCCTTGAAGTTCACCGTCAACCGGTCGAGCTGCGACATCACATCGATCAACTTCTATGGCGACGAGCTGCAGTATCAAAGCACAGGCAGTCACATTGGGTCAGGTCTTGGATCTGCATCCGTCTCTGCCACTCAGAGTGGTGCGTTCAGGTACTGCTGAAGAAGGCATTATTGTACTGACCTCTGTAGGCGATTATATCAAGGTTACCTGCTCAACGAGTACCTTGACTCATTACTTCGTTGTGCACAACGGAGACCCCATCATTCATATGGCCACCTATATTACTGCGGGTTAGTGCTCTGGCAATGCTTCATGATCTCTGCTGACCATCCAGAACCCTCTATCGGTGAGCTGCGGTTCATTGCCCGTCTCAACAGCAACCTCCTCCCCAACGAGGAGCCATTTGGTGAAGTCTCCAACACCGCTGGCGGTACCGCCATTGAGGGCTCGGATGTGGTAAGTTGGCCATCTCGGGATGATACTACCTCGCGCTGACAGTCATAGTACCTGGTCAACGGCCAGACCCGCAGCAAGTTCTACTCCAGCGAGCGATTCATCGACGACCACAGACACTGTAGGCAGCATCCACTTTCCCTTGAATCTATGCTAACAGACACAGGCGTCTCTGGCAGCGCACATCGCGTGTGCATGATCCTGAACCAATACGAATCGTCTTCCGGCGGTCCTTTCCACCGGTATGTTTCTTTTCTTTTCTTTCTTTTTTCTTTTTTTCTTTTTTTTTTTTGGCCCCTATATCCGAGTCGCCACTAATTCCAACAGCGATATCAACACCAACAATGGAGGCCAATACAACGCCCTCTACTGGTACATGGTAGGTGTTTTCCTGCCCAGAATCGCGCAGTCGCTAATGCGCCCAGAACTCCGGCCACGCCCAAACAGAAGCGAATCGCATGGGTCTGCACGGCCCATACTCGATGTACTTTAGTCGCAGCGGCACTCCGGGCACCGACATTGACACGTCTTTCTTTGCGAACCTTGATATTAAGGGCTATGTCCCGGCCAGTGCCCGAGGAAAGGTGTCTGGAAAAGCATCGGGTGCTGATTCCAAGTTTAAATGGGTTGTTCACTGGTATGCCCGAGAGCCCCAACGTGGGAAACAAAATGTCCCAACTTTGTACTGATTATCCAGGTACAACGATGCGGCGCAGTACTGGACCTACACGGCCTCTGACGGCAGCTTCACCTCTCCCGCCATGAAGCCCGGAACCTATACCATGGTCTACTACCAGGGTGAATACAAGGTTGCTTCGACCTCTGTCTCCGTGTCGGCCGGCTCGACAACCACCAAGAACATTTCTGGATCAGTGACGACCGGCACGACCATCTTCAAGATCGGCGAATGGGACGGCCAGTAAGTGCTTCAGCAAAAAGATATCGACCCGTAGAGGTACTGACAGCCTAGACCCACCGGCTTCCGCAACGCCGCGAACCAGCTGAGGATGCACCCGTCCGACTCGCGCATGGCCAGCTGGGGTCCGCTCACGTATACCGTCGGCAGCTCCTCGTTGTCCGACTTCCCCATGGCCATCTTCAAGTCGGCCAACAGCCCCGTCACGATCAAGTTCACCGCGTCGTCCTCACAGACCGGCGCCGCCACGCTGCGCATCGGCACGACCCTGTCTTTTGCAGGTGGTCGGCCCCAGGCCAAGGTACGCCATATCGGCCCAGCGAGCTTTTTCTTCGCAAGCTAATGGAGACAGATCAACTCGTTTACTGGACCGGTTCCCTCAGCGCCCACAGACCTCAACTCGCGCGGTGTCACCCGCGGTGCGTACAGGGGGTACGGCGAGGTGTATGATGTTGCGATTCCGGCCGGCACGATCGTTGCTGGCACCAACACGGTACGTCGGCATCAATTTTATCGTCCTAACTACCGAGCTAACGGGGAATAGATTACCATTAGTGTTGTCTCTGGCAGCTCCGGAGACACATACCTCAGTCCCAACTTTGTAAGTTCAGACACTACTTTGTGTGTACTAGACTAACCTTCCTAGATCTTTGACTGCGTCGAGCTATTCCAGTAGGGGCATCGCCCAGGGTATGGGCAGCGGTAGCTAGTATTTGAATATTTGACAAAATGAAGTATTTACAACATGCGCGCTTCGCTCGCAGTAAAGACATTTACCGCATGACTCTATCAAAAACAAACCAAGCACTCACAAATCCCAACCCACATAACCACCACCTCGACTCCCAGCCCATCCCTGTCCCTGTCCACGTAGCCTTCTTTCTCTGTGGTCTGCTTACATCCGATTGAGATTGTCCTTCATCCAAAGAGTGAACCAACCTCCCCCGGACCCAAACAGCCCTCACATTCCGATCATCCCCCGTCCACACCCATTTATGCACCTTTTCCGTCCATGACTCCCACCCAAACACATCTACCACCCCATGCTCCGCCGCTGCCGTCGGCTGCGCCGCAGACGAATGTGTATGACCTAACCTCACCATCTGCGCGTCAAAACTCATCCCAACCTCAAACCCTCCAATCTCCTCCGCCAGATCCACAACCGCCGCGCCGCCCGCGTAGCAAGGTACAGCCCCTCCTCGACACTAAGCACCTCCTGACCATCGTCCCCATCGCCAGTATCATCAGTCCGGCTATGCCGCAAAAGCCTTGACACAAGACACCCCTGCCGCACCGCCTCCAGCACACTACAGTTATACCCGCCGCTCACATCCGTCCCTAGTCCAACCTCCACACCAGCCTCCAGCAATTTCCTCACAGCGCAGATCCCACTCCCCAGCGCTGAATTCGACGCCGGGCAATGCGATACCTTTGCGCCTCGCGCGGCGATCAGTTCTCGCTCGGACGGGGACAAATGCACCGCATGCGCGAGGATGGTTCGCGGCGTGAGGAGTCCGAAGTCATCGTAGACGGAGGTATAGTCCTTGCTCTGGGGGAAAAGCTCACGGACGAGGGATACCTCGCCTGTATTCTCGGAGAGGTGGGTTTGGATGTGGAGCGGGGGATTGTAGGACTGCGCTAGCTGGGCGAGGCCGCGGAGGGCAGGCGGGGAGCAAGTGGGCGCGAAGCGCGGGGTGAGGATTGGTTTGATGAGTGTGCTGTCTGGGTCGATGGAGTGGATGTGGGCGATTGTTTCCTTGGACTTGGTGACTGAAGATTCGGGCGAGGGGTCGAGGTAGTAGTCCGGGCAGAAGGAGGGGTTGTCCATGCAGACGCGGCCGATGAGGGCGCGCTGGCCGCGGGCGTGGCAGAGGGAGGCGAGGAGGTTTGTGGCGGGGACGTGGATGGTGGCGAAGTAGGAGGCGCAGGTGGTGCCGTTTGCGAGGGTGCGGGCGATGACGCGCGAGTAGACGGCGCGGGCTTTGGAGGTGTCGCTGAAGGAGGATTCGAGGGGGAAGGTGTATGTTTCGAGCCAGTCGAGGAGGGTCGAGGACCCGAAGATGCCCGAGTTGGGGTATTGCGGGGCGTGGATGTGTGTATCTTTTGTCTGTCAGCCTTTTATCTGGACATGTCTAGGGGCAAAGGGGAGCATACCGATAAACCCGGGGAAGAAAAACTCATTCCTCTCCTCCCTTGCGCGAACCACCTCCGTGACCTTTCCGCTCAGCCCCAACTTCTCCGTCAACGCCTTCACGTCTCCATCTGCTGGTGAGAAAGACCAGTCAAACCCCGCGATCTTCCCGTCGCTATTCGAAACCCATAACGCGCCGTGATTGATGTCAAGCGCGGGTCTCCATTCCGCATCTGATTCCACACCAGTTGGTTTGCGGGGCAGATGGATAAATGTTCCGAGGAACAGAGTGTATGTAGGGGCCGTTGCCATTGCCAGATAGCAGCGCAGTAAAAGCTATATACTTGCAAAAACAATGTACATGTATCAACGAAGACGTCACTGACGTACGTCAATCCTTATCATCGGCACGAAGAAGGTCCTGCCTGATCTTGTTAGCTAGCGCATTCTCCATGCTCGGTGGCAATGTCTTACTATAGTGACATGTACGGAGCACTTCGACCGGATATATATGCAGCTGCAAGGACCAAAGAGAAGCAGCAATTCCGACCCAAGTTCAACACCAGGAACACGAACACCGGGGTCGAGGTCTATCTAAATAGAAGTGAAGCAGGTCTCAGACCGGAATAAGTCAGGTGGATATTGGGGTAGACGAGGGATGATTATCGGCCAATTGCGGCGAGAGAAAAAGTCCCTCGTGGACGGAGAGCGGCCGGCTCCGATGCCTCAGGTACCCACTGCTGCCAAGACCATGTGCTCGTCGCCGCTCTGATAAGATAAGCCATTGGGAGTACTACGGAGGCACATACTATGGAGAACACATGGGCTACGATAGACTAATGGAGACATTGATGAATGATGATATATTGATATGCAACTGCGTTGAGCAGTGCAGACTGGTATTAACTCGCTATTTTCGGCCGCCACAGCTGGCCGCCACTCTAAACAAATCAAACGCCATCCCAATGTCTATCATGACTTGTTGAATCGTATCATGCTGCTCATGCCACCGTAAATGCCTCCAGGCAAGTGTTGAAAAAAAAGGTTGAAATAAAACTGAATCAGAAGAATGTTGAAACATGGGTATCATTTAATCCGTCTCCTCTACCGGGCCGCAGGTGCAGAACAGGTTCTGATCACCGTATGCTACAGATGAATTAGCTTCGTCTCTCCGGAGAGAAAAAAAGAAAGGAGAAAAGGGAAAGGCTTACCATCATCTACTCGGGTCACCGAGGGCCAGAACTTCTTCTCCACCAAATATGGAAGGGGATACGCCGCAGCCTCCCGCGAGTAGGGACGGGTCCACTCGCTGGACAGCAGATCGCGCTGCGTGTGAGGGGCGTTCTTGAGAACGTTACCCTCACGGGGCTGCTCGCCGCTCTCAACGGCGGCAATCTCCTTGCGAATGGAAATGAGCGCATCACAGAACCGGTCCAGCTCCGCCTTGTTCTCCGACTCGGTGGGCTCAATCATGAGCGTGTTGGCCACCGGCCAGGACATGGTGGGGGCGTGGAAGCCGTAGTCCTGCAGACGCTTGGCAATATCGATGGCCTCGATACCGCAGGTATCCTTGAACTTGCGCACATCGAGGATGAACTCGTGGGCGCAGCGACCGTTGTCGTTGGTGTAAAGAATGGGATAATGGGGCTTGAGACGGGAGAGGATGTAGTTGGCATTCAGAAGCGTAATCTTGGTGGCATGGGTCAAACCCTTCGCACCCATCATGTTGATGTAGTTGAAGGTGATGGGAAGGATGCTGGCGCTACCCCAAGGAGCAGCGCTAATGGGGGCGAAGAGGTCTCCCCACGCTTGGATTGCAGGTACTCGCTGGCTGGGTGCGAAGGTAGGAAAGGACGCAGGTGCTCCGCGACGCCAATGGGACCCACGCCGGGGCCACCACCGCCGTGGGGGATGCAGAAGGTCTTGTGCAGGTTCAAGTGGCACACATCAGCACCAATCTCGCCGGGAGAGCACAGACCGATCTGCGCGTTCATGTTGGCACCGTCCATGTAGACCTGTCCGCCGTGCTGGTGGACAATCTGGCAGGCCTCCTTGACACCAGGCTCGTACACGCCAAAGGTGCTGGGGTAGGTGATCATGATGGCCGCAAGTTCATCCTTGTGTTTCTCGCATTTGGCCTTGAGGTCAGCCAGGTCCAAGTTGCCGGTCTTGGTGTCGCACTTGATCGAGACCACGCGCATACCAGCCATGGCAGCACTAGCAGGGTTAGTGCCGTGAGCCGAGACAGGAATCAGGCAGATATTGCGCTTCTCGCCTCCGGTGGCTTCAAGGTACTTCTTGATGACACGCAGACCAGCAAATTCGCCTTGAGCACCAGAGTTGGGCTGCACGGTGATCTCGGCCATGCCGGTGATGTCGGCAAGCTGCTGCTCAAGATCGTCAATCATCTGCGTGTAGCCCTTGGCCCTGTCGGCGGGCGTGAAGGGGTGGATCTGCGAGAACTCGGGCCAGGAGACGGGGATCATCTCGGTGGTCGCGTTGAGCTTCATGGTGCAGGAGCCAAGAGGAATCATCGAGTGAGCGAGAGACAGGTCCTTGGATTCGAGGTGGCGGATGTACCGCAGCATTTCGGTTTCGGAATGGTGCGTGTTGAACACGGGGTGGGTGAGGTAGGACGAGGTCCGTTCCAGGTTAGAGGGAATGGACTTGATGCCAATCTCCTCAGAGAGCTCAACCTCGCTCTTGCCGGCGTGCTTGGAGAAGACCTGCAGCAGAGACTTGACCTCTTCGCGGCCAACGGTCTCATCAAGAGAGATACCGACCTTGGTGGCAGACACGCGGCGGAGGAAGGTGTTCTGCTCGCGAGCGGCCGCAATGAGGGCGTCAGCCTCTTGGCTGCTGGCAAATTCGACAGACAGGGTGTCGAAAACAGCGCCGCCCTTGACGGGAACGTTGTAACCCAAGGCAGTCAGCTTCTCCTGCAGAGTCGAGGTCATGGCCATGACACGCTGGGCGATAGACTTGAGGCCAACCGGACCGTGATAAACGGCATACATGGCACTCATGTTGGCAAGCAGAGCCTGGGCCGTGCAAATGTTGCTGGTGGCCTTTTCGCGACGGATGTGCTGCTCGCGGGTCTGCAGAGCCAATCTCAAGGCCCGGTTGCCCAGACGGTCCTTGGACACACCGACGACACGTCCAGGAACCTTCCGCTTGTACTTGTCGGCGCAGGCAAAGAAAGCGGCGTGAGGACCACCGAATCCCATGGGGACACCGAATCTCTGGGCGTTACCAAATGCGATATCCGCACCGAACTCACCGGGAGCCTTGAGGAGCGTCAAAGCCAGCAGATCGGTAGCAACGCTGAAGGTACCACCAGCGGCGTGGATGCTGTCGCTGAGGGCCTGGAAATCGTACACACCACCCTCGGTGTCGGGGTATTGCGCGAGAACACCAATGAGATTGTCACCTTGCTTCTTGACCAGCTCAAAGTCGTTCGCCATGATGTCACCAACGACCAGGTTGATTCCGAATCCTTCAGCGCGAGACTGCATGACCGCAATGGTCTGAGGGTGGCACAGATGAGACACCACATACGCCCTGCCCGGCTTCTTCTGCTTAGCCATGGGGAGGGTGGCCAGAGACATGGTCATGGCCTCGGCGGCAGCGGTGGCCTCATCCAGGACGGAGGCATTGGCGAATGGCAAGCCGGTCAGGTCGGCGGTCAGGGTCTGAAAGTTCAGAAGCGACTCCAGACGGCCTTGACTGATTTCAGGCTGGTAGGGAGTGTAGCTGGTGTACCAAGCGGGGTTTTCCAGGATGTTGCGGAGGATAACCGGAGGAACAATGGTGGGGTAGTAGCCGGTTCCCAGGTATGTCTTGCCGGAGACGTCAATCTGCTTGCGGTAGGTCTCAAGCAGCTTCAGCATATCCGTCTCTCCCAAGCCACCGTGTACACTGGAGCGAGGCAGGTTGATGTCGGCGCTGGGAGGGGTGACTGTGAGGTCTTTCTTGGACAGAATATCGGCGGGAAGCACTTGCTTGACGAACTCATCCAGAGATGCTACCGGAGGGTCCAATGCGGCCAGCATCTCCTGAGCCGCCTCGGGTGAGGGGCCAATGTGACGGCGGGGGAAGGTGTCGAGGGGTTGGAAGAGATCGCGAGGATGAGGGTCGCCATGGTCAGCTACGGAGCTGGTATAAACTGCCCGTCGTGAAGCTGGCGTTGCTTGTGTGGTAGTGTTGAGATAACGGCGAGTGGCCAAGACCGGCGAGGGATAGGCCTTTCGCAGGGAGATTGAGGCAGGAGAGGTACGCAACCGCGTACGAAGGGCAAGCTGGCGAGTGCCACGGAGGGCGCACCAGGATGCAGTCATGCCTGCGGATAGAAGAAGTCCAATGGACCGAGGCGGAATGTCCAGAGGAGAGTTAGGTTATGTCGTCACAGGTCGGTCTCACGACTCGGTGAGCTTCAACGCATGAACAGGGATGGATTGGGACGAGAATTGAGAAAGTTAGGAAAAGAAGAAATAAAAGAAGTCATCGGAAGAAGAAAAATCGACCAGCACGAGATTGGCCGTCATAATTATTATTTCTGCTCATTGTGTCCGACAAGAAGACCGCGGACGATGACGACCGACGGCGGGAAACTTTTCGTCCTCGTCCAATACGCCGATAACGCCTGCCCGGGCCAATCGCCGTCTGGTTACATATCCGCCGACGCGACTGATAAGACGTTTTCCGCGGGAAACTCGTCACCAGGAGCAAGGGCGGATCCAACGTGCCAGTAGCAATTCGCATGAAGGAAGTTGTGTGTCAATCAATGATCCAAGCTTCTATTCAAACTGAGCTAGACTTGAAGTATTCAGCCTGCAGTTGCATCTACTCTGTCGTGCAAGAACCGACCGACCTCAGCTTCCTCCAGCAGTCCAGCTTCTCCGATAGGTATTCTTGATTGTTCCCCGGTATGCTTTTCCTGCGGAGTTCTCATAGGGAAATACCGGGGACATCCAATAATGGACATGGGTCCATTTAGTCTAGATCAACAATAGAAACATAGCTATTTCTGTGAGTGGGACAACAAAATAGTTCTGTAGTCGACGCGATAATCCGTATACTCTTAATGCAAACCACTCATCTTGCAGGAGCTTCATACTTGCTAGCCAAACTGTCTCCCGGAAATGTTTGGCAATTCTGTATATTCCATTCCGTCTTCGAAGAAATTGGCCTAATTGGAGTGAAGGAGCCACAGCATGTATAAATTTATAGTGATCTAGTAAACATGTCTTTGCAGAAGAACTAGAGGAATATGTCTCTAGCCGCCAAAATCCCGTCATCCACGTGCTGTTCCATTGACTGGGCCACCTATCGACTAGGCCTGAGAAGAGAGGAAACAGTGCAAATAAAATCCTCTGTTGTCATCTCCTTGCTGTCCATGAGGGCTTTGTAGTGTTCAACCTCATCCTCGAACTTGTCATACGCAGCTAAATCATCCAGCTTGTTAGTCCCAACTGTTTCCACTTCCTCTGTATCCCCATACTCATCGATGCGCTCATCCCACCATTCAGCAGCTCGACGTCTTCTCCCGGATCAGGTGAAGGGCTTCTATTTCCATAGCTACCTTCTCGTCTGCATATTCGGGGGAAATGCTGCTAGCTCGAGGGGGACAAAGGAACCAGATTGTCCCATCGTCAAAGGCAAACTTCTGGCCTAGGTTGTATGCACCGTTTAGGAAACCACCATCCAGCCGGCATGAGAGATTCTTGGGATGAAAACCCTTGGAACCAGTTGCAGATACGTCCGTCCACGCGAGCCATGTTTACTCGATTGACCCGATCTGACTCTTCTGCCATGTGAAGAAGGTCGAGAGGGTTGTTGTAGTCCATCATGGAAGATTGTCCCTAGTACAAAGCCAGAACGAGAAATATGTTTGCCAGAGATCATGGAGCATGGCCAGGTACATGCATAGCGGAATTCTGTCTGCAATCAGTGATTTTGAATGAGGCCGACTGGGAGCAGATGGCCAATAGACCATCAGGCCCATGCAGGCCCATGCTTCTAGGCCAGAGGTATTAGTTCGTCTTGAGTACAACAGGGGTACCTAACCTCAGACAAATTCAATCAGCTCACTAGACGCCTTATACCACACGTTCTTAACCCCTTTTCTCATTAAATACACCCTTTCCATCAGCCTCTCCCATCTTCATCCCCTTCTCATCCACCTCCCTCTCCTCCCTACCCCACCCCGATCCCTATTCCTTCCCCGATCCTGATCTCGATATTGATACCTCCGAAACCCCTCCTCACACCCCCTACAATAAACTCTCAAATACCCCACCCCAACACATTCTCTACACCGCTCAAACGCAATCCCCTCGCCATCGCAACTACGACACTGCATCGTGATACACGGCGCATGGAACTCCCCGCGTGCCTTGTCGCCGCCGCCCTCCATCTCGAAGAATCCACGTTTGCCGAAGCAGGAGGGGCATGGCTCGGAGGTGGTTCCTGTCCCGGTGCAGCGGGAGCAGGGGTGGGTTGTTGGGCAGGTTGTGCAGGGCATTTTGCCTTGGCTGGGTAGCTAGTTAGTATATAGTCTATTGATGGGTGTTTGTGTGTGTATACTTACGCTTAAGCTTTGGTTGACGTGAGTAGATAGATCGATGGTGTTAGTAACTTCTGTGGGAGGGCTAGTGCGGGGTATGATTCATGCTAGGAACTGTTGCTTATTATGATAAGCTTATAGCTGCAGCCTGGAGCATGATGACAGCCGTTGAATCACCAGGCTAGGCACTAGTAAGGACGCTGACAGGGCTTATTTTTAGTTTTCTCTAGTGCGATGTATGCCTTAGACATAGGGTGATATCACCTAGCCAGAATCCTTGGCTCGTAGTATAGACAAGTTCATTAAACTGCATTATATGTGAAAGCTAGTTACATCACGACAGTCCGATATCTCATCCATATTCAAATCGTATACCGGAAGTTAGCCGACCCCTCGATAATCCGCTGCCCGCGATCCGCCTGCTTATTGCAGATGCGGAACCAAACACTCATAGAGGCCACGATAATCAGAATTAGAATATTGCATCTACATCAGTTAGTATTTCTTCAGACATGAAAAAAAAAAAGAAAGAGAGACGCACCCGATGGTCGTCCACATGCCAGGCCGATATCCCGGCGCATCCTGGGATCGGAAAACCAGACTGCTGACGATACCGCCAATCCCACCGAATCCCACCAGGGTCGCGCTGGAGCATGCTCTGGTCCACTGGCCGCGGACATTGTTGGCCTGGTAGGCCATGATGGCGGGGATGTTGGCGTTGGCGCCGGCCGTGGCGAGGAAGACGCCAAAGTAGCGGACGGCGTTGTTGGAGTGGAAGCCCAGGATGGGCAGGCCGATCAGGCACAGGATGGAGTTGATGGCGACGAGGACACCTCGCACGCGATACTTGTCGCCGACCCAAGCAGAGGCGAACATGACGATGCCGGCGAAGGCGAAGGGGGTGCGACGAGGCATTGCGAGGCGCCGACGCTGTAGCCCATGCCTTGTTGGAGGATGATGGGTAGGAAATATGCGATGGCGTAGGTGACGGTTGTTGTGCAGCTGCAAATGGTCAGTGGTGGTGGAGGGGTCTTGGTCTCTGCTGAACGCGGACTTACAGGAAGATCATTGCGAAGCCCCAAATCTTCGGATCGAGAGCGGGGTGAGGAAGCGGGTTAGACTGAAGGGCTCATCATCAGCATCGGACCGGTCCCGGTTGATGCGCCGGACGATAAAGGCGCATTCCTTTTCGCTGAGAAATCGCCAGGACTTGTGTGCGCGATCAGGAAAGTCGACGAGTAGGAGAAGGGTCAAGACTCCAATAATGCCGGTGATCTATATCGTCAGTACTGGCATTAGGTCTTGCGTGGTTGACTTACCACTCCCTCCATGATGAAGATCCATCTCCAGCCTCCCAGACCCTGGATACCAGCCATTTGAGACAAGCCGAAAGCGAGAATACCCGCCAGGGCCGAGGCAACACATCCAATAAGATAGAAGACCGAGAAACGTTTTTGGACGTCGTCTTATGTCAAGTCAGTACACAGCACCGGCCATCCGGGACGAGGGGACACTAACATCTGACATACCAACTGGAAAGCAGGTACACACAACCGGGAAAGTACCCTGCTTCCAGAAGACCAAGCAACGCACGACATGCAGTCATTTGCTTCCAATCTTTCGTGAAGCCCATTCCCTGTCTTGCGATTAGGCTGATGTCCCTCGACCTGAACAGGGAAACATACGATCAAGATTGCGCCCCATGAAATGACAATAGCCCCCAGGAAAAAGGTAGGGCCCAGCTTTCTCGTAATGACCGTCATGGCGGGTTGGAAGATGACATAGGGGACGAAGAATATAAGCACAATGACGGACTATTCAGTCAGTTTCAGGCCCGTGAAATCGAGACGTCGCACATACATATCTCGTTCCGACATGCAATCCCAACTCCTTGATCATACTATTCAAGTTAATATTGTCCAATGTGTCTCATAAAATTAAGGCTTCATACCCCGCCACAGCAGCCATACTGAGATTCGTCCTGTCCATCAGCGAGACGCAGTATGCAAGACCCGTCATGGTGACCAGCCGCCGGTCAACGCGGTGGATGATCTTGCGCTGCTCCTCGTACGAGTATTCCTCGTCGTAGTCGACGTTGTCGAGAGCGCGCTGGCCGACATCTTCGACTTCGACCTTTTCCGCGCTGCCAGGCTTCTCGCTGGTAGGAGGTGACATTGTTTCTGAATCAAGCGGTTGAGCTGTCTGTCAAACACCAGTTGGACGATAGAATTGCTGGTTTTAGTCTCAGATCGGCGGGGCAGAGACAGATAGATATACGTTGCAGATCGCACACTCTATGATATTCAAATAGCAAGCTTTGAGACAATTGCCCCTCTATCTGAAGCACTGTCCGATCTGTCCAGCCTCAGCTGATCTAATTCGTCCGTGTAGAGTGTAGACAAGGAACAACTACCGACAGCGCTAAACAGAACAGAGCAATAGCCGACCTGGTTTGGTAAAATACCTCGGTCGCTGGCGAGTGCACCCCAGGCAAAACAGGGGGAAAGCAGAATTTTTCCCCAGAATTTGCGCTGGGGGGATGTGGAGAGCGGCGCAATAGGACGATCTGGAGAGGGTCTGGATGCGGGGGAAAAGACACAACTGACATCAACACTGGCCCTTGGCAGCTTGGCGGGATCAGGGCCAAGCGGTTTTAGGTTTCGCGATGGAAGTTACGCGGTCAGCTGGAGCATGGACGTTGAGCAGAATAAAATCGAAAGTCGATAGATGCAGGAAATAGAATGGTGTATGTCCATGGATGAGTGGGAAAGATCTGGTCGCTGTCCTGCAGATATGTACAACCTCATCCGGAAGACTGTACGACACCAAGGTATCCTTCTCACTCAACCTGAGACTAACATGTATTTCCATCCTAATTGCCACTCTACTGAGGCCCGTCTCCACAATTGCCGCACAGTCAACGTGTCTTCTCTAGCAACTATCAGACTGCTTGTACAACTTCAGTATAGAACCCCGGGTTCACCCGCGCCAACCTTCCAAGTCCAGTTGTGGCTGATTGAGGGCCTGTTACCTGTCGCTTGCGTTCGTTATAGCTATGTAGCTAACTAGATACCTAGGTAAGGCAGCTATCTCAAGACCCTGTCCATTTCCCATAACCTAGGCACGACACACAACCCTGGTCTAGTTACCACCAACTTTAATCATACCAGGATCAAAGCACCTCCATTGGCCAAAAATCTCCCAAATCATGCAAGCACAACTAATTCAGCGCAGCACAGGATTGATTCCCTTGTCTTTCTTCAAACCCACATAACATGTCTTGGTTCAATCTAGTCGCAGCCCAGACCGCTAGCCCAACCCACCACAGCCAGACACCAGAACGAAAGCGAACCAGCCTACTACTAGACACACTACGTGGGCAACACCTTGGCACACCCTTGGCAACCTCGTAAACAAGCTCAGAGTCTCCCTGCTGGTTTGCTACCCCTGTCGCTGGCAACCAAGATCAGGCAATCGCCCGACAGGATCGCGCCTATATCTACCCGTTCAGGTGCTTACCCCGGATTTTTGCGATTTGAGTTTCTAGGTGGCTCATCGCGGGAGTTTCAGTGGTCACTTTATCCAACGAAGATGGTGTGGAGGGGTAATATGGATGGGTGAGAAGAGGGGATTTCCGGCCGCGAGATGAGCAGGTAAGCCAGCTCTAAAACTGAGTTTCGATTTGAGTTTGGCTGATACCCTGTTAGGACTAAGTCCGGGGTAGAATCTACCTACTATCATCTCTATTCTGGTTCAGCCGTTCAGGCCATGTGGCCACTGGCTAGGCAGTTGTCCAAACCGAGGTAACACTAGTATGCATCCTGGCACCACGACAGAAGACGGTCTATCCGTCCAAATAATAATTACGATCCTTATCGCAATGCAGATAAGAATAAAGTTGGTCATCACAGATCAGAAGAAAGCTCAAGAATCCTCCTCTTGAATCGGAATTAATGGTTCTCGCTCTTCATCCCCCTCCCAGGCCAGTCTCTTCTCCTTCAAGCGCTTACCAGCAATCTGCACATACAAGACGAGCACCGTACCTACCACGAATCCGGCTGCCGCCAGGAAGATGTTGACAGGGATTGGGTTGCCGTCGAAGGGTCCGTGTGTCAATGCGTCCAGCGCGTATTGACTGAAGTTCACCAAGCCGGACACGCAAATAATGGTCCCATACACACGCCCAAATGTTGCAAAGCCGAACACCTTGGTGGCGTAGTCCCTAACCGAGGTTAGCCCACGAAATATACAGGAGACAAGGAAAATAAAACTTACGACATGGCTGAATAGTACAGCGGGCGCAGCAGGACGAACAATGTCACGGTGGTGTAACCGGCCCAAGCCGCTGGCACCGAGTTCAGTGCTCCAATGAGCGTTGTCAGGATGACAATGATGGTCAACATGTTCGGAACGCTCAGGTGATCCAGGAGCAGACCGATGAATGGGGTGGCAAAGACACCCCCCACGGGTAAGGCCACATCGAAGAACTCATTGATATGTTCAGCCAGCGTGTCGGAAGCCAGCATGAACTCATACTGGGCCCGAATGGTTGCGATGAAGTAATTCATCCGCAGCATCTGAAGGACAGTCATCAACGTGATGAGAATAAACCACGGCGTAGCCATCTGCTTGCGTGCGGGCAAGCCATGAAGGACACCCCAGACCACACTGGTCGCATGGCGCTCCGCTTCCTGCTCCTCGCGATGTCTTCTTTCGTCGGCATCACCCAGGACTCGGTCGATCTGGCGCATATCGTCCATGCGTTCTTCGGCTCGTTGACTTCGCACCCGGCGCAGCTCGGAGTCGCTTTCAATCTCTTGGTCTGACTCGTGGATATCTCGCATAGGATCCTTGGCATGTTCCATCTTGACTTCCAGCTGATGCGATGACTGATAATCTTGCGCGGGCATGATCGTAATCAAGGCAACCAGAAGGCAGACCGGAACAGCCACGTAGGCTAGGAAAAACCTCTGCGGTGTAAAAGTCTCCGGGTTGCTCTCATAGAGAATCCGGTAGAATAAATACACCGCAGCAGACGCATCAAATGCGCCGGTAACCAGAGCGACGATGATGCCCGCATGTCTGGGGAACGCATTCGCGATCTGGAACGAGGGAACAAAAATGAATGTCCCTCCAAGAGCTAGGAAGAAGTTGGCAATGATGTACCCATCGAAATCCGGTCGCGAAAATGAAAGCGACATCAGCACGCTACCAGCGACAAGCAGAGCGGACCCAATGAAGCCACAGAGGCGCGAACCATATCGGTCGAGGATGGTCCCAACCGGCAGAGCAGATACATTAGCGGTGATGGAGCTAATCGTGAAGAACAAATTCAGCCTGAAGGAATAGGTGTTCAGCCAGGGAAGACAAAATAGCTAATCTTGTGAAAAGAACCTACCGAAGATCTTGCTCAAAACAAACTTCTACGCCATCACGCAATTCCTCTTTCGTGCAAAGGTCGCGATAGACGCCTTGCTCGATCAGGACAGGCTTTAAAGCAGCGAAGCCAAAGACAATTCCAGACGCGAACCAACAGGCGAGGATCGTGATGGTTACCTGGACTGAAATAGGTCAGGTCCCATCCTCAATTGACGAAAGGGTGAAAAGCAAAAGACGACGAATTTGCATACCAAGTCTAATCGCAGTCGAGACCTCGTACGCCGGAGTGCCCGACTTGTCATCTATCACCGGTTCTTGGCGCTCATGAAGAACATCGTAGCTAATCTTGCGTCGGATCGGCACTAAGGATTCGTCATTGTAAGTGGTGATGGTCTCATCGTCACGAAGGTCCGGTTCTATCTCGCGGTCCACGCCATCAATTGCAGAGACATGCTGCACCAAAGACATGGCCTCTGGCGCCTGGTCAATGTCAGTAAAATCAACACGAGATGAGCGTGATGCTCTCTTGAAAGTAAATACCTCTGATTGCGACGCGGGATGATAATTGAGAGCGTTGCAACCTCTGAGGGGCGCGAAGGTTACTTATTCCCGCCAGTCGAAGCTTCTGGAGCGAGTCATGTTTCCCTGCTCGCAGCGACCCACAGAAAGAAATTTTCTATGGGGCTTATGACGTTAAAGTCTTCCTTCAGCTTAAAGTTAGATAATTACCTCTGGTATTGATGATACTATTTCCGTTCAGCAACAATTCATGACGGTTTCAACTATTGGAGCTTGAGCTTGGGTCACAAGCAGCTATAGAACTGGACCAATTGCCGCCATCGCACTATCAACAAGGGCCTATTCAACCATGGTCAATGTGAGGGTCTTATCGATCACCCAGCGATCTAACGAATTATCAGCGTCTGTCAAATCTCTATCCTAGGGATGAGTGAAAATATCTCCGAATCATCACCAAAATAAATTGCAATTTATCCTCGGTCAATTCCTTACTTTGACTAAAGAATCGGGGACGGATTTTCTGCGATTTAACGACCTGCCGAATTGCCGAACCTCCCCACTGGTAATTTTCTTATCGAATTTGCGACCGTGCAGAGTCTAGACTGAGAGAAGCATCAAACCTACAAACTCGACGCATACAAGATGTCGACAATTGCGCTCACTATGCGAGCTTTTCAATGATGCTGACCAGTTCCTGCTGTGGGAAGTGATAATGAAAAAGGATATGTCATTGATAGGGAACGGTCGGCGGTCCGGACTTCTTCCATTAACACCTTAAGAGTCCTAACAAAACATACCATATTCCTATATACACAACATCCCGACAGGCACAGCACAGGTATTAAAACCGCCAGCTCTGAAACGCCAAATAAAGCCACACGTGAAAAAGCACCGTCGCCACCACAAATCCAATAAGAATGCCACAACAGCAGCGCCTGACTCTCTTCGCCAGAGCCGGCGAGGGAGAGGAAGGGTAGATCGTGTCGCGGGGATCCAGCTCTAAACGCTGGAAGGTGGGCGGAATCGTGATGCTCGTATGAGAAGCATCAGAGTATGGAGTATATTTTGGCGCGCTGGGTTCCATGTTCGAAGGGCTTTCATCATTGTAGGGGGGAGGGGGAAGATCCTGGAACGGTAGCTGTCAGCATCTGGCGCAGATCCGGGGTAAGGTTTAGGCGGGGAGGTTATATCTTGCCTTGTCTGTACCCATTGTAGAGTGAGTGGATAGTAGATTGGTTGGATAGTAAGGAGATGTCTACTGAAGCCAGTGTAATGGAGGACGATAACATGTGGACCTGCTTACGCTGGAGCTGAAGATATAAACTCACAAGCTAGTCGAAGTGAGGGCGCTTACGCCAAGGCGCGATTATCTGTAGCCGGTACGCAGACATGAGGACTATTATTAGATGACAAAGGTGTACGGAGTTAGCGCTTTGAATATTGAGTTTCACTGGTTTTGCATCCTTGATATTTGTGCAGTATAATGAATGCGTTGCCAACAGTGATGGATAATAGCAAACAGAAATATATTCTCAAGACGAACTGGTGTGTAGGGTATGTTTGCTAAAAACCAGACCATCTATATTATCAAACGCACCACCACATCATTTTGACACATAAGCAGGATCAAATCCCGATCTGATTCCTGGGAATATATGTGCTTGCCAGCAATAACAAGAGAGGAAAAGAGCAGCGGAGTATATGGATGCCTGAGGCAGGACAGATATGAGTGCCATGGATAGAATAACGAATTACTTGTTCCTCTACCACTCTATTTCCGTACATGACAGGCTTTCGCCACTGTCAGACACCTTGGGTCCATCGGCATGTGGGGTATGGCTGTCTTCTTACTTTGTATTACTCCGTAGTGTCGTTGGTATCGTCAATCTTGTTGCTGGATCTGTCGAGCTTCCGTCACATCAGAATATCTCTTGTCTTGACTATGTTGTCAACAGCATAAGTCATGCACCACAAAATCAACCTTCTGGATTGCTGATTGACAACTGTCTCTGCATTTAATACTCTTGTCAACCGGTTGAGCCTATCGAGGTGAAGCAGGAATCGGATGATGTTGGTGAAGAGATACAATGACGTAGTGGCTGCGGGAGAGTCGCTTGACTCGCTTCATTGGGGATGACGTAGGAAGCACAGCAACGCAGTCCACGGAACCAAATAATCTGGTAGATAATCCCCCTGAGAACCACTGATTCAGAATTTTGGACATTCTTCCATAATCTCATTGTCATCCGTTTCTTCCACGTGGGCTCGCCCCTTATATATACGGCGTATACAACACCTAGGACTTTGTTCAAGACTTCAACACAACATCCGCGGATCATGGCCCTCCTCTCTATCAATGCGGGTGGTGCGAGTGGAGGATTTCTCTACAACTCCAGCTTAGCAAAGACTCGGGTCTGCATCACGGCCGAGACACCAGACTTTGACACTGCGTTCATTCGTCAATGGCAGGATGAGGGTTTTGAGGTCATGTACCTTCCGTATAATGATGGAGGGAAGGAATATACCAGTCAATTGAAGTCCGTCAAGGAGGGATTGGGCGTAGGGGTCAACTATGCTGTTATCGGTGGGTGCCTTGCGTATCCGAGATGCTTTGAGTATATAAAGCTAACTGGCAATAGCATTCGGTGACGCCGCCTCGTTCTGCCTGGATTTCTATCTCAAACCCACAAACGCCAGCCGTCTCAGCGCTCTGATATGTTACTATCCAACCAACATTCCCGATCCGCGCTCGTCGTTCCCTCCCTCCGTCCGCTTCTTGACACATCTGGCTGGTGATACTGTGGACGTAACGACGGTGCCCACGGCATTGGGCCTGCAAGGGAAGAAGCGTCGGACCACGAGGCGAATCAACCAGGGTATTGGGACAGGGGAGCGTCTCAACATCGGACACCAAGCCTACACTTATGATAACGTGCAGCCGGGATTTGCAGAGCACGACCTGGAAGAGTATGATCGGCTGGCAGCCGAGTTGGCCTTTTCCCGCTCGTTGCAGGTGATACGGTCGACAGTTACAGACAAGACAGATCTTGAGAAGCGGTGGGAGGAGCATCTGGAGGGTATGCTTGCCTGTGTCCAATGCCATATTCAGAAGCCTGATGACTGACGTGGACAGCGCGATTCTTCTCTATGAATCTGAACAACGTAATGGAGCAGTATGTCGACCATCTCACCCCTAATGTCACCTACGCGCCGACCATGAGCGGAGGCATTGGAGCACGCGACCTACGTCGGTTCTACGAACATCACTTCCTCCACAACCTGCCGCCGTCGATGCGGCTGCGTCTTTTCTCACGCACCGTCGGCGTTGACCGCGTCGTAGACGAGCTCTACGCTTCATTCGAACACACCCAAGAGATCCCCTGGATGCTCCCTGGTGTTCCACCAACCAACAAGAAAGTCGAAGTGATCCTCGTCAGCATCGTGAGCCTGCGCACCGGAAAGCTGTATTCTGAGCACGTCTACTGGGATCAAGCCAGCGTCCTCGTCCAGATCGGACTTCTGGACCCTAAGCTCGTGCCGCACGGAGTGGAGGGCGTCGACCGGCTGCCGGTTGTCGGAAAGGAGGCCGCACGGAGGATTCTGACCGAAGACCCGGAGTCGGAGCAGCGACACTACCATAATCGGCTGATTCGTGCGGCGCATGCGAAGCGCAAGGGCAAGCATGGGAAGAACGAGCTCGTGGAGGAGTCCGGCGCTGAATTGAGGAGCGAGGCGGGAGACTCTGTGAAGACGGCAAATATCAAAGGGAAAAGCGTACAGCGGCAGTCGCAGCCCGAGGAAGAGGATGGGGCTGATGGTGAGGAGGAGGAGACGGAGACTGAACGGAATGGGAACGGGATTGCGAATGAGAGCAATGGGAAAAAGGCAGCATCCGTGGAGGATGATGATGATGGAGAAAATGACGACTAATGAGTTCGACCTTCGCGATGGATATGACTATGACTATGACTATGACCATGACCATGACCATGACCATGACTGTGACCGTGAACAGATTGCTATACGTTCGAGGTACCACTCCTTCATGTGCGACTTCTCCGGGATCTTGTTTATTTCTCTGGCTTTTGTGATTTGTGTTATATATCCATGATAATGATCAATCCTATCCTATGTCTACTCGTAACTACCACCCTTTCCACGGCACCCAGGTCTCCCTAACCACATCCCCCTCATCAGCAACATAATACACATGATGCTGCGCAGCAGTAATACAAGCATGCTGAATATACAGCATCACCTTCTGGCCCACACGAAACACCTCCTCGACCCTCTGACCCCAGACGCACCCGTCAGCCCCAAAATCCCATGCTCCTGCGCCATCCTCACAACCGCCCACCCAGGCCGGTCAGTCACACGCCCAAAGCCCGCCACGTCGCTCATCTCCTTGGTCAGCGCGACCGTCCCCGCGTTGATAAGCGCCTCATTACGCTCAGGATACACACTGCACACCTCCGCCAGGACGCGGACCGCCTGCTGCTCTTCGGCCACAAGGCCGGTACAGACTTGCTGCAAGTCATTGGCGGGGAAGTTTCCTACCCCTCACCATCAGCGCCAACATTCTCAGGAAGCAAACAATCAATCATACCAGCATGTAACTCCACCTCCATCCCCTCCGGCAACTCCCTCCGAAGCGAATTCACCACATGCGCCGTCGGCGTCGACCCAAATGACACCACCACTTTCCTCCCCTCTTTTCTATCAAGATACGCCGCCGCACGAACCACACCCTCAACCTCACTCTTCAGCACCGCCGCCGCAGCCTCCTCCGTCCGGCACGCATACGAATGCCCCGCATGGCAGTAGAACCCGTATACCTCCGCCGCCGCCGAGGCCTCCACCTTCCCCACGAGCAACTGCAGCGCAGGCGAGGAACTCTCCAGCCCGGCGCGGTGAGAGCCGACGTCGACCTTGATGAAGACGGGCCAGGGGGTTGCACGACCCGTAGACTGTGCGAATGCCTCAAGGGCGTCGATCTGGGCTTCATTGTCGACCATGAGGACGATTTTGACCTTCGATGAGAGCGCTGCGAGCTGCGGGAGGGCACTGGGGTAGATGGGGAGGCCGTAGAGAGCCTTTTCTCGGGTTGGTGGTTACTGTTTGTTGCTGGAGGGAGAACGGGGGCTTACTTCGTCGAGGATGCCCTCTTCTGCAAGGGGGAGGGCACCTCTAATCTCGCAGAGGGTCGAGGCGACGATTCTCCGGTGGGTGCCGTTGTCGAGCATCATGCGGACTACTTCGAGGGACTGGCGGGGTTAGGGTAGGTTTTTTATTGTTACGTGGTAGGATAGACTGGAGGTCGGTACCTTGAGCGTCTTAACGTGCGGTCGGAAGGAGATCCCTAGCTCTTTGACGTCCTGGAGGAGCTGTTTGATATTCCGTTCCAGGACGGGTTTGCTAAGCACCAGTGACGGGGTGGGTAAGTCCGTTGCTGGCCGGCCGATGAAGGATTCGTGGTTTTGTAGGGAGAAGTCCATTGCGTAGGATAATGGGTGATTACTTGGATGTAATGTTGACAGGTGGGTTTAATCCTCTTTCTGCAATTTGAAGAATGCTTGCAAAAGAGAAGATTGTTGACTTGATGCAACTGGCGGTGCGGGGTTTATCAATGGTTCCCCGCATTGGGCGATGAGGTTACATTTACGGGCCAATTGGCAGGGGATAAGTGAGTGGTATCTAGAGTGTTGCAGCCATATGTTTTTCTGAGGCATAAATACGAAAGAGTCTTGTGAGCTTACGCAAATACTTGGCAATAACTGTCATTCATGGATAACTTCATAATACAGATTGATGAACGCTGCATTCTATACAGTCTCTATATACCTCTTGAATTCCCTGCATAAAGCATTAGTTACCGGTCCGAAACTTAGGGTTGACAACTTACCAATCGGTTACAGCCTCCCTCCATACTTTGAGCTCATGCTCTCGCGTGGCAGTGAAGAAGTCAACAAAGTCCCCATCCAGAATCTCCCGCGCAATGCTCTCAGGCGCACTGAATCTCTTAATGGCTTCTTCCAGCGTGTTCGGCAGCAGCTCCGGCCGATCACCTTTCTTCAACGCCGACATAGGCGGTACCTTGATATCCAGCTTCTTCTCAATGCCCCGCCATCCAGCAGCAAGGATGACACTGAGTGCGTAGTGTGGATGCAGATCAGCGCCGGGAATTCGTATTTCCATCCGAGTAGCCCCGGGCTTACACACCGGCGGCGTGATAATGCGGATGGACGCCATTCTGTCTTCCAGACCCCAGCTGATGTTCACAGGGGCCCAGTAGTTCTCCACCAGTCGCTTGTAGGAATTGATTGTTGGTGCGAACAGGGGCATGATATCTGGCAACGCCTCCAGGAGGCCGGAGAGGAATTGTCGGCCCATGTCTGACAGACCGGCTGCATCAGACCAGGGGGCATTGGGATCAGGAGTTTCTCTGGCGAAGAGGTTCTTTCCCTCGAGATCGCAAAGGGAGATGTGAATGTGGCCGGAGCTGCCGGGTTGCCCGTACATGGGCTTTGCCATGAAGCAGGGGGTGATTCCGTGTTCGATCCCGATGGATTTCGCCAGGAGTCTAACAAGTTAGCAAGATGCCGTTTGAGCGACGAATGGTGCCGACAGGGACTCACTTGAATAGGGACACCCGGTCTGCCATTTCGGCAACATTACACACTTTGAGGGCCTGTAACTCGTGAGCAAGGTACTTGTCATAGAATGGAGTTCACTAACCGCTTCATAAACACCTGGACCTCCCTCCGTATGCCATCCCTCAATTCCACAGTTGAACCGCGCACTAGTGTTGAAGATATCCCAAAAGTACTTCTTGAAGGCTACCGGTCGTGTCGCGCTGTATGAGAAACTACCGGCGGTCATGGGGCGAAGGGCGCTGGGTGCATTTCTTTCCAGAAACGCAGCGATATCGCGGGTCTGCGAGCCATTGGAGTATCCGTCTTGTGTAGGGGTTTGGAAGTTCATAAATTCGAGTTCAACTACACAATTAGCCGATATTACTCAGTCCGAGACCAGGAAACTTACCTCCAGACATGGCCTGGCAATTCGCCTCCGCTAGCTTGTCCGTTATCGATCTCAACATGCTCCGACCGTCTGCAGTGACTGGTTTTTCGTTCTGAACAAATCGCACCAGGAAGAAAGGGATGTTGTCTTCCCACGGTATCCGTCGGTAGGAGCTGAGATCTGGCACCGCGATGAAATCCACATAGCCTGATTCGGGAGGCGCAATCTTTGCATCTGTAGTGTAGAGCACGTCCTGCATATCCCACCCAAACACTGCGGAGCTGAAGCCAAAGCCCTTCTGCGCGATGCCGAGGAACTTCTCCTTGGCCATAACCTTACCGCGGAGGATGCCATCGCAGTCAATGCCAGCGACTTTGACACTGATGTCGTGTTCAAGAAGGGCAGGGAGATCCTCTACTGTGATTGTACCTTGTGACATGTTTAGATAGTATTAACCCAGCAATCAGAGAAAATGTGACTGAGACGATGAAAAAGTCTCCAAGAGCTTCTTAAAAGATGCGATCGACATCGATGCTGTTGTGGAGCTTGCTGGACATGCTGGACTGCACCAGCATCATGGACCTCAATTCCGCGTGAAGCAGCCATTGGCCAATGGAATTTACCCGCGACGTCGCAGTTCAAGCAAGATACCTAATCACCGCGATTGCAACTTGCAAGAGAGCTCGGTGGTAACCGCGGGGCAACAATTATGGGGACCGCGCTGGTGAGGGGTTGAGGGGAAATGCGATAAGGGAGACCGCGCTTATCGATAAGAGTTGGGGAATAAACACTCCAGCTGCATACTGCCTTATTATTACCAACGCGATATCATCTATCATGATGGCAGCTCAGAAAGCATCATCGACTATCTCCAGAAGCATTTTATTTCAGTATCCATCATGACGCGCCTTCTTCGTGCAGCAATCCTCGAGTGCGACACTCCCATTCAGCCCGTCAAGGACCGCTACGGAACGTATGGAGACCTTTTTGAGAATCTCCTCAAACAAGGTCTGAAAGCGCAGGGACTTGACCCGCAGGTGGACTTGCAAATCACCAAATGGGATGTGGTGAATGGTTCCATCTACCCCAAAGCCGATGACTGTGATGCGATACTCTTGACCGGAAGCAGTACGTCTTCGATGCGAGATCCTTGCAACAACATCTAACACGATTGCAGAACATGATGCCTTTGCAGACGAGCCGTGGATCATCGAATTGACAAACTATGTTCGAGAGGTATATGAAAACCACAAGAAGCCCGTCATTGGGATATGCTTCGGTCATCAGATCATTGCGCGTGCGCTAGGGGCACGGGTGGGTCGCAGCGACAGAGGATGGGAGGTCGCTGTTGAGCCGATTATACTGACTGATATTGGGAGGCTGCTATTCTCAAAGAATGTTCTGGTAAGTTGAATGCTTTGCCTAAGGAACGCGCATTGACTTGTTTGGGATAGTCACTGCACCAGATGCATCGTGATATCGCATACGAGGTACCAGATGGCTGTGTTAACTTAGGGTCGAGCGCCATTTGCGAGATACAAGGCCTCTACAGCCCTGGAAAGATCTTTAGTGTCCAAGGCCATCCGGAGTACGATGAGTTTGTTGTCAGCAAGCTGATTGAGACACGACATGCCATGGGGATCTTGGATGACCAGCTATCCAAGGACGGTTTATCGCGAGCCGGGAAACCGCATGATGGATCGGTTGTCGGGGAGGCAATTTGCAAGTTCCTTCTTGACGATCCTGTAGTCAATCATGTATAGCAGAGATTGAATATGCAAAAAGTGTTGTGGGCTTACATGAATACAATCTCGTAAACGATTCAGATTATCCACAGCATCACAGAGTAGGCAAGAGAAGAGTAAACAATATCCCCACACTTACCGCGCTCTCCAATATTCCCCCACATCCCTTAAGACCGCGCTGATGATACCGAAGTATACGAGAGGACATAACTACTCTTATCAACAGGACGGTTCGCATAATAAGTGGACAGTCAACTCAATTGTGATAGAATCCATCATCACATATTCAATCCAACCAAAATGGCCAACCAGATTCGCACCTTGTCTCCCTCCACCAACGAAGTCATCTTCGAACACCAGGGAACCTCTCTGGAAGAGGCCCGCGCAATCGCACAAGCCTCTTATGAAGCATTCAAATCATACAAGAAGACTACTCTCGCTGAGCGCAAAAGTATCATAGTCAAAGCCCTCGACTTGGTCGCAGCAAACATCGACACCCTGAGCAATGAGCTCACCACGCAAATGGGCCGTCCGATTGCCTACAGCGCAAAAGAGATCGAGACCATGCGCAAACGCGCCGATTACCTTCTATCCATCGCGGAGGATAGCCTGCGCGAGCATCCGGGACAGCCAGAGAAGGGATTCAGACGCAGCGTGAAAAAGGAACCAATTGGACCGACATTGATCGCGACGGCGTGGAATGTACGTTCCGTTTCGAACATCGCTTCACTCGCATATCTAACAACCACAGTACCCCTACCTCATCACAATCAACACACTCGTCCCGGCCCTCCTGGCTGGAAACACAGTCATCCTCCGTCCCTCCCCGCAAACGCCCCTCATCGGCGAACGCCTCCTCACATACTTCAGTCAAGCCGGCCTCCCGCGCAACGTCCTCCAACTCATCCAAGTCGGCTGCCTCGACATCCTCGACGAGATCGTCAAGCTCCCCCAGATCAAACTCGTCTCGTTCACCGGCTCCACAGCAGGCGGCGTGCGCCTCCGAGAAGCAACCGCCCGCCGCATCGTCCCCGTGAACCTAGAACTAGGCGGCAAGGACCCGGCGTACGTCCGCGCCGACGCAGACATCCCCTACGTCGCGGCGCAGATCGTCGACGGCGCAGTCTTCAACTCGGGACAGAGCTGCTGCTCCATTGAACGGGTGTATGTCCACGCGGACGTCCACGATGCTTTTGTCGCGGAGGTGCAGAAGGAGCTTAAGACGTAAGCTCCAAGCCTCCCCTCAATCTACCTCCAAAGGGATGGGTAACTCTGACACCGCAATGACCATACTAGATACAGACTCGGCGATCCAACCGACAAGTCCACGACCACCGGCCCCGTCATCTCCCGCCACGCAGTGAAAACCATCCAGTCGCACATCGCCGATGCGCTTTCCAAGGGCGCCATCAACGCAACTCCCCCCAACGAATCCTTCCTTTCCGTCCCCTCGCAGAAACCTGAGGGGAACTACATCGCCCCGACGGTCCTCACAAACGTCACGCACGACATGACCGTCATGAAAGACGAGACCTTCGGCCCCGTCCTCCCCATCATGAAAGTCTCCAGTGACGAGGAGGCGATCGCCCTCATGAACGATAGCGAGTACGGGCTGACTGCTAGCGTGTGGACGAGAGACATCGCGCGCGGGGAGGAGCTGATTGCGGAGATTGAAGCCGGGACGGTGTTTATCAATCGGTGTGATTATCCGAGTCCGGTACGTACACCTCCCCATTATCTTTCCGAGGATCTGGATTTACAGAGTGCTAATGAGGCAATAGGATCTTGCGTGGGTTGGGTGGAAGAACTCCGGGTTGGGATGTACGCTGGGTCCGCATGCGTTTGACGGGTTCTATAGATTGAAGAGCTATCACATTAAGGAGCAGCAGGCTTAAACAGTTAATTGCCAGACTGTACCTCTCTATACTCAGAATAATGCAAGTTTTCGATTCGATAATTTGCTCTCTACAAACGTATACCAGTACACCGTCCGCCTTGCTTCGAAGTAGTTGACTCAAGCCATGAACATAAGTAACTATACATTCTAAACTCATCGCAATCATTACCCTCGTGTTACTGCACCCTCTATCCATATCTACAAAATAACCGCGCCAACTACCGCACCGCAAACCGCGGTCCTTTACCGCGCCCCGGGGCTACCCCACACCTTATCAGTACCATATCAGCGGCATGACGGCGCGCGTGACCTTACAGCGCTCGCTTATCGTCAGGGCTACTCCACGTGCCTCACAATATCACGTAAATGGAAACAAGAGCAAAGAGCTGAAGAGTACGGGACAAAAGTGGGGAGATAAACTCACCGCGCAGCTATGTGGGACTGATCGGAACCGACCTCGGCGGGATAGATTGTGTATAAAGATGGTAGAATCCTGGTTTGTTTGTGATTATACATAGATAAGTATTTGAGATCGAGTGGTTGATAGGTATACAAAAACCATTACATTAATTCAGATACAATGGTTGGAAGACTCGCTGGAAAGAACGCCGTTGTCACCGGCGCTGCTGGGTATGTTCATCATGTTCTGTTTACTTTCTGAACGCCAAGGGAAAAGAGGATGGCTGACGAGGATAGTGGTATCGGGCTTGAAACTACAATCCTCATGCTCCGCGAGGGTGCCTCCGTCCTCATGACCGATATCTCTGCGGCAGGCCTCGAAAGGGCCATTGCCAAGGTCCACGAGGTGGTGCCACAGCACGACGGCCGGGTGGAATACCGTGTCGTCGACGTGTCCAAGGAGTCCGAGGTGGAGGCGGCGGTGGCGCATCTCGATTCCTGGGGTGGTTTGGACGTCATGTTCAACAACGCGGGGATCATGCATCCCAAGGATGGAGATTCGGAGGAGACACCGGAGAATATCTGGGATTTGACGATGAATATCAATGTCAAGGGGGTGTGGTACGGCTCGAAGCACGCGGTCAAGAGCTTGCGCAGGCACGGCAAGAAGAAGGGCAGTATCATCAACACCGCTAGTATGGTCGCCCTGGTTGGCGCGGCTACGCCTCAGCTTGCGTACACCGCCAGCAAGGGTGCTGTCCTGGCCATGACTCGTGAACTGGCCATCGTCCACGCTCGTGAGGGATTCCGTTTCAACTCGTTGTGCCCGGCTCCTCTCAAGTAATGTCATTCAGTCCCCTGATCGTGGGTGAAAGCTAACGATACCAGCACCCCGCTTCTGCAGGATTGGCTTGGAGACGACAAGGAGAAGCGATTCCGTCGCGAGGTCCATTTTCCCACCGGCCGGTTTGGCGAGGCGATCGAGCAGGCTCATGCCGTCATCTTCCTGGCCAGCGACGAAAGCAGCTTCGTCAATGCCGCAGACTTCGTGGTGGACGGCGGCCTGACCAAGGCTTATGTGACTCCTGAGGGTCCTGCCACGGAAGCGCCTAAAAACCTAGGCTCGTAAGCAAGGGTCCGCCGATGGTAAGTGGCGGATGGATGCAATGAGTGACGACTGTAAATTAGCCAAATGAATATTATCGTGTTGCCCGTTACGCAAACGAAATCCAGATTTGATGCTGCTGCATCGCCCGACAGATATTCCATGGTCCGGCATGCTCGAGGGGCACCTGCCACATATGTTCCAGCAATAGTAGCGTCCGTTGCATATTCCCAAGACCAAAGGTGTTTACCATTGTGTGCAGGCGCTGTCGTAAAGAATTTTGTTGGTCTATGTCAGACAGACATGACCCCACCACAGCAATGGGCCAGCAGAGTCCTGAGTTGATACGAGCAGTAGCTGAAAGTTGATGCAGATAAGACATCGCGTCCGTGATTGCAGCATCAACAAGGCCTTGATATATTCCCTGCTCGGCCCGTGAGAATGCTCCCAGCGACTTATAAAGATAGAGCAGCATCGCTTGCTGGAAGATTCGTCCTGCCAGGAATACCTCGGGAGTTACCGAAGGATAAGGCGCCCAGCGTAGGATTTGTGCTTGCAATGAACCAAACATGGCAATGTCGTCCGCAGTCGGGAGACCCGGCTGGTCATCTTCCATCATCCATTGCCGTCCCAAGTCAAAAATACACGGGATCATCAGTAGCAGCTCAAGCCAACAGCCGCAGAGATTACCGACATATTCCGATTCTAACAGCTGACGCGCTCGCTGCTCTAGGTCAAAGTTCAAGAAAAGTTGACGGCTGACCCGCGCGTCGATTGATATCATGCTCACTGTCGCGGTGTAGGTGTAATACTCAATGACAAAATTTTTGAGGTCTTTCGGCACCGCAGTGTCGCTCTGGGCAAGCAGGCGGATAAGCAGTGTATTCGCAGCCGACAGGTGGTCAAATATGGTCCCATTCATGTCTCCTCTGGCGGTCTAAGCTCGTTAGTCACTTTCATTTTGGTACTGTTCGTGAAAAAAACCCACCTCGGTAAAACACATCAACAAAGCTCCAACCGTAAGCATAAGCGGATTCGACTCCTTCCCATCAATAAAATCCGTAACACCCTTGCGAAACAACTGCAGCGCCTTGGTGTAGTGACTCTGAGCAACCTCATCCGAGTCATTGCGACAACGGAACGCTCGATGAGCCGCACTCTGCGTCAGAACCAGCTGCAGCAGGAGGTCACTCGTGAACGCCAGTGGAACAATTTGGACCAGAAACGGGTTCACCGGAGTCGATCCATTAGCCATGCAGTCGGCAGTAGTGGCCAAGTAATGACTCAATAACTGGTAGGACTCCGGACTGTACCCGGGTAGCATTGACAGACTACGCGGCATTACATCTCCAATCGAGCCCTGGCTGTTGCTTCTAGGAGGGTGAGAATAGCCCATGGGGACGAGAGACGCAGCGTCGAGATCTGCCAGCCCAATCGCCCCTGTCGGTGGTACAGCTGGCACGCATACTGACTGCGCAGGTGATGTCGGAGAAATAGCAGACGAGAAGGGCGAATGGGACGAGGAACCATGTGAGATTGAGCTGCGAACAGACTGTGGGCTGCCATGCTGGATGATAAAATTCTCCTCGTCCATCTGACCACTTCCGCGTGAGTGCTGATCCGTCTGCACCGGTATCGCATCCCTGTCATTTTCACCAGGTCTTGATGATACGTGAGCAGGCCAGTGACAGCTGAGTTTGTTTCGTGTGCATCCACCACAGATGGGCCGATTTTCGTCACATTTCTTCTTCCGGCGTCTGCATGTCCAGCAGCCGGTTCGAACGCGAACGATTGGCTCTGTCCGTGGGCGTTTATTGAGCGGCATCAGGGCCTAGAAGGTGGAGGGCAAGACCAAAGGGACGACTTTAGCGTCGAGTCCGGAAGTGAAGAAGGGGAATTTGCGGGGAAACGGGACTCGTTGCTGATAAGCACAGGGAGACGGGCTAGTGTGGATGGGGCAATATGTGGGGCATGATCTGGCTGTCGCCTTGAGATCCCGTCAACTGGTCAAGGATTCAGTACCTGAATAACTCTTAACCCTTGATATGTTTTTTTTATTCCTAGACTTCTGTCCAGTAATTTAACTATGGCCGAACAGTTATATCTACAGTATTCATCTGGGATGTTTCTAACAACTGATGATTATATACATGTGCCTGGCTCATAGGCGGCTCTCTGAAACATATTTACTGCGTGATGTGAGTCTCAACGTGGCCGTTCCTCTGTAAAAGTTCATTAGTACTCCTCTGAGATTGAATGATCGAGAAGCCTTACCAGCTTGCGAGTGTACTTGACACCAATGTTGGTCTTGCTCGCAGCATCGTAAGGGACAGGGCTGGTGTAGTTGTAGGTAGGAGCAAAGTCCTTGTAGGTCTCGTGGACAGCCGTCAGGATGCCGTGACCAGCAGAGCAGGATCCCTTGGTCAGGGGAACGGGCCAGCTAGGAGTGTGACTGCTGGTGGAGAGGGGACCGGGGTAGCTGTGGTTGAGGTAGAGGTTGCTGGTATCGACCTCCCAGTTGACGTAGCCGGTCTTCTCGGCAATAAAGCTGAGCAGGTTGGCACCGCAGTCCCAGCGGCCAAGGGAGGGCAGACCCCAGTTGGCAGACAGGGAAGCGATCACGGAGTAGTGGTTGTAGTAGGTGTTGTCCTCCTTGCCAATCAGGTGCTTGGGGACAGCACCACCGAGCAGAATGCTGTAAATCTTGTTGCCAAGCTTGTAGGTCGAGTTCTCGTCAAAAGTGAGGAGGATCAGAGTGTCCTTGGTGAAGTACTCGTTCTCAAGCAGCTCAGACAGGAAGTTCCAGGACCAGGTACCGGCAAAGGTAATGTTGGTGTCGTGAGCATCGTTGGTCATGTTAGGGGTGATGAACATGTGCTGGGGCAGACGGTGGCTCTTCAGATCATCATAGAAGCTGGTAAAGTTTTTGATCTGACGGAGTCTGGTGGCATCCTGAGTGATAGAGTCGAACAGAATCGCAGGGTTGTGCTTGCGAACGTAATCGTTAGGGCCGGACTCGGGGTAGCGGAAGCCCTGGTAGCCAGGGTAGGGCAGGTGCTCCTGATATTCTCCCCAGGCGATGTTCTTGATGTCGAACAGGTCGGCAATGGTGGAGACGTTCGCAGGGACCTGGTTGAAGTTATCGTTGTCCATGCCGAAGGTCTCACCACCGGCAGCAGCGCAGTAATTGGGCTCCGAGGGGTGAGTGACGGCCCAGAAGTTGGTCAAAAGAAGACCCTTCTTGGCCAGGGCAGACATGTGAGCATCAGCAGCAGCCTTGTCATAGTCCTGCGACATTGAACTGATTAGTATAGTTCTGGAAACTAGATTTCAGCAGTGCATCACATACGGTATTTTCCAACCAGATGTTGACAAAGCGATTGAAGGCGAGGCCCCGGACATTGGAGACAGGGGAGTAAGGCAGAACAGTAGCCTGAGCGGCTTCGATCTCCGCAATGGAAGGATATTGCTCAGAGGAAGTCTGGGCCAGAGCGACCGACAGGCCTCCAAGGAGGGTCACGAGAGACTTCTTAGTGAACATGGTGCCCTACTGTCTCTGTGGGAGATCTGAAAAGATTGGAATTCGCTCGGCGGAGGCTAGCTGTATTACCTCGAGCTGAGGCCAACAAGATCTTTATATACCCATGAGAGCTCTGCTCGGATCATAGGATCCATCAAAGCCAGCCGATCAAAATTGATGAAGAGTAGCATACTCGAGGAACATTATTGGTCCATATGCAGGGCCGAGCTCGCAGGGTGACATTTCGCCAGAAAGTGGTTATTTCCGAGTATTCTTTCATATCACCGAAGGCCGTCTGTGCGGTCGTTACCATTTCTCGTCAATGGCAATCTCCCGGGAGGCTGCACGTTGCGGCCACATTATCAGCGACTGGACATACAAGATGACGCTAATAACGGGGTGGATGTTGGAGATTTGGAGACGGAGCGTTGGATCAACGAGCAAAGTCCCACTTAGGAGCGCACGTGCTGTGGTTGGCATCAACCAGCGGTTCCTTCATCCTTCCATCAACCATTCTAAGAGGCAATTCTCGTGCCAATGACTACTTGCAGCTTAGCGAGGTTCACTAAACATAGGTATCAAGTTGGTGCAATTAGCACTCCAAGCTTTCCAAGCTTTGCTGAAGGATTCTTGTCTTGATTGGCGTCGCTTATGTCGGCATCATGTTTTAGCTTCGGCTTTGAATACGAAGGACCAATTGCCTACTATATTACCCACCAGGAGATGTGATAGTCATGCACGGAGCATATGGAAGGCTTTGGGTGTTGTGAACCTGGAAGCCTCGCCTCCTATGCATTGTCAAATCATCGTTCTCATTGCGGTCCGAAATCTGAAATGCCCCACAGCGTAGATAAACCTCCTTAGATCGACCGTACCTGGCATAATTGACAAGAAAGAATACCATAGTCCTTGCGAGTTTGATGAGATTGTAAATGTCATTTCGGTCAAGTAGTCCAAGAATTCCATGAATCCGACCACAGCCGCTGAATTCCTGAGTCGCTACGTTTAAGGGACGTTGGCGAAATCAAGTGGATAATTAGATTCTATCATCAAGTCGTTGCATATTTTGCGACAGATCTATCTACGGCCCATGCAGTAAATCATTTTTCATCCGCTGGAAACTCAAACAAAGCACGGTCTATATATCGAGCCAATCATCTAAGCAAAAAACTTGGCCTCGCCGTCCTTGAGCTTGCCGGCGTCGACCAGTCTCTTGGCCTCCTCGGCCCACACGCCCTTGACGGCGGCGGCGTCCTTGCCAGCAGTAGTGAGGCGCTCGGCCAGGGCGGCGAGCTCCTCACTATCGATCTTGGCCATGATGGCGTCGACGTCAGTCAGGACAGAGTCGACCTGAGCGGGAGAAGGCTCGCCGGACTCGGCAAAGTAGTTGACATCCTTGACAGAGCCCTTGAGAATACGCTTGTTCTTCTTAGCAGCGTTCTTGGCGGCTTCCTTGGCCTTCTTGTTCTTCTCACGCTCGGCCTTGGCGGCCTCTTCGGCCTCCTTCTTGCGCTGCTCCTCCTCGAGACGAGCCTTCTCCTTCTCCTCAGCCAGACGCTTGGCCTCAGCCTCCTTCTCGAGACGCTTCTTGTCCTTGCCGGCACGAGCCTGCTGGCGGAACTTCTTGATTCTCTCATCCTGAGCAAGGCAGTCGTCAACTAGGTGGCGTAGACGGGCGATATCCTCAGACTTGCGCTTGCGGCGGGCGTTGGCGTTCTTCTTCTCAACGTGACGCTTCTGGTCACGGTTCTCGTTGTCATCGGGAACATCCTCATCCAGATACTCAAATGTACGCCAGCTGTCAAAGTTGTACCAGAAGTTGTAGAAGGTCTCAACCTCCTCCTGGGTGCTGTTCTCGTCGCCGAGCTGAGGGACCGGCTGAATCTTAGAGAAACGGCCTTCGGCCTCGAAGACAGGGCCCCAGGCCTTGTAGAAACCGCGCTTGGCAACATCCTTCTTGGACGGGGGGTCAACGTCAGCCGCCTCATCGACGGAGTCGAACTGACGACGCTTGACAGGGTCAGTCAGCAACTCGTGGGCCTTCTGGATACACTTGAAGAAGTTGTCGTTCTCGTCGCGGTCTCCCAAGGCAGCCTTCTTATCGGGGTGATGGCGGAGGACCTTCTTGCGGTGGGCACGCTTGATCTGCTCGGGGGTAGCACGCCAGCGGTACTTGGACAGACCGAGAACGGCGTAGTGATCTTGGGCCTGTAGAGGTCAATACCAATTTCCACAATGAATAAAATATGAATGAACGAACCTTCCAGTCCTTAGCATCTCTGGACAGCATCATGGGGTCCTCAGCCTCGGAGATCTCATCATCGTCATCATCCTCAGTCTTCTTGACGTTCTGCTGAGCCTGGATTCTTTCGTCCTCGGAGAAAGTACGGTGGTGGCGCTTCTGTAAACTTGTTAGCTTGCACGATCAAACCAAATCTTGCAGAAAAAATATGAGGGCGCTTACTCTGCGAGCATGGGCCAAGAAGTGAGGGCCGACGGGCTCCAGGTTTCTTTGTGTGGTGGCAGACAGAGTGCCGACGGCCGTGAAATCCTTCTCGGCACTCCAGCCCTGAGGAAGGGCTGGGAGAGTAACATTAATGACCTGAGAAGCCATTGTGATAAATCGAAGAGGAGAAATGTCCGTAACTTCGAAAAGGGAAGAAGAGGATGAGAGATGAGGTCTAAAGTTGTGTGCCGCTTATGATCGACAACGACGAAAAATGCAAGGCAATTTTTAATTTTTTCTGCCCCGGCTTCCCGCCCCCGCCTGGACCAATGGACAAGCGGGAGTTTCGGAGGTCATGCATCAAAGATAGATGTTCGAAGACTAGGACGTCGATATCATTTTTTATTTACATTCAAATCACTTACAACCTCACTGTGAAACATTTCATACTTAGTATCCTTGAAAGAGAACTGTTTTTCCATTGTCCGAAGAACGAACCGAAGAACGGAACGTGATACGAAGCGCCACATCACCGTCAGAGACGATCAATCTACCTCGAATACTTCATAATCACTCTGAAATAGTAATCATGGCCTCGCAAACCGCAGTCTCAGCACGCAGCGCCTACCGACAGGTTCTCCGTGCGACCCGCATCGCCTTCCAAGGTGAGTCACATCTGCAGTGGCTCGCATCTTTCGACTAACCTTCCTCATAGACGACTTCCGTGTTCTGGTCGCTGCTCGCCAGGAAGCCCGTCGACAGTTTGACGAACACCGCCGCGAGGGGATTGATACACCAATGCAGATTAATCATGCCAAAGAGGTGGCGGCGATTCTACGACACAACATTGTACAGGGTGTTAGGGATAGTAAAGACGAGAACGCCAAGTGGGGTACGTATTGCCTATGATTCATGCGATTGCTGCTGCGTGGCGGGATATTTAAGCTGCATTGCATGTGCTAACATATAAGTTGCATAGAGCTCCGTATTCACGACGATATCGAGCGTGGAGACAATGACTCGATCAGGGTTGGTGGGAAGAAGATCAAAGTTGACAAGCCGTGCTCCGCATGATTGAGTCGACAGCGAACATCTTATGGGAATTGGATATTGTGCTATCATATCTGGTATGGAAGGATGAACAGCAGAAAACTTGCATTTGCAATTTGTATTATAGTATACCCATGCTTTCCTCACCTCCTGGCGTCTCTTGGGGTATTTTTCTCGAAATTAGAATGCATAGCAAACAACGCCCGCTTGAACATATGTACAATGCCTTTTGACCATGTCGCGATACAAATGAGCCCAACAATCGAAATTAAAAAGACAAGGATCAATCGCCCGACAAGCTCGAGTACTGGACATCCCCACTACCTGGGGGTGGTGCCACAAGAAAGCTCTGTGGCTTCTCTGTCGTAGGCTCACCAGCAGCTGTGATTGCTCTCTGTCCTGACGCTCCATCCTTTTGTTCCGGGGCCGTCATGCGACCCTCACGAGCATTCTTCATCCGCTCCTCCCTGTCCATATTGTCCAGAGGCTTGGGCTTACCCCACCGCACCCGCAGGGGACATCCCTGAATGACGGCCTTGCCCTTGCAATGCTGTGCAGCGGCTTCTGCGCCCTCTCGAGTCGCAAAGTTGACGAAAGCACAATGAGCGCGGTGTGAACAGATCAAAGACCGGAGTTGACCGAACTGTGCGAAGAATGTCCGGAGTGTGTGTTCCGGAAGGTCGTCCTCAACACCGGTCACAAAAAGGGATGTGATGTTCGGGTCCGCAGGAGGCAGGTAATCTTCGGGAGATGGAGGGATCTGAGCGGTGCCAGGAAATGGACGGCCAGCGCGACCACCGCGCATATTACCACGGCCTCGGCCAGGCAGTGGTGTCCCTCTCCTACTCTCGCTTGTCCGAATAGGCCCGGGTCCGTTCCCATAGCGGCTCTGTACGACTGGAGCGTCGGTGGGTTGTGCCTCAGTCGATTCATCGGATGGACCTTCCAGTCGCTGCCGAGGTTTTCTGTAGTACGGTTCACTGTTTGCCAGTCTTCGCAGCAGCTCGCGCGCCTTCTCATCTGTCTTCTCGTATGCTTCGACCGCCCCACGGCCTTCTTCGATCTCTTTCTCGTGTTCCTGCGCGTAGTATTCACGGTTGATTGAGCTCTCCGGGCCGGGAGCGACCATCTTCAACGCGGCATCACGGACAACGATAGGCAGGCCAAACGATAGATCAAGCATACAGCACTGGCAGCAATTCTTCAGGCGCGCGCAAGTGAGGCAGATGGTGGTTCGCTTGGTTCGTGCCGTTCGGTCTGCTTTCCAGCGAAATATGGTAAAGGGACGTGTACACTACATCATAGTTAGCAGATATTCACATACACGGAGAATGTGCAACTCACAATTTTACATTCAGCGCCATAGTCCTCCTTGAGCATCTGAACGTAAGGATTGTCGGGAAGGCAATTCTCGCAGACGGAAGGGAAGTCAGTGGACTCCCAGCCCGACCGGTTCAGGTCTTGTTTAATCTGAGGCGGAGGCATATTTGATTATATAGGAGTAAGATAGATTGCACTTGTCGGCTCAGTGATAGATCAGCGCTAAGCTGCGGTCGCAGTTGAACCGAAAGAGAATGCGTTCAAGCGATGGGCAGAAGAGAGCAACGTTTATCGATAGTCTTCAGGTTTGCTCATTATTCTGTGGCTGATAACTCAGTGGCTGAGTATATTATGTAATCGACAGAGTCACATGACTTTTCATCAGTGAATTGACCGAGTCAGTAAACTTGTTTCAACAATCGATATCGATGAACATTATTATTAGAAGCATCTGACATCTAGAGGGTTCCACAGTGGGCATATCTTGAACTACTGTAAATTGAAAGTCGAAACATCTCGGAAGTAAGGGTACGCGGAATGCAAGCGAATTCATCGCGACGGATACGCAAATACGAAGGATACGCTATCCGCAATACGCAACACGATGGATCGGATTCCTTAGATCTACCCTTATGCCCAAGGCCAGACCCTTCCTGGAATGGCCCTGGTCCACTTCACAGCCACTCTCGGAGCACCACTTTCTCCGGGCACATCCCCAGACAGCTCTTTCAGGTTTAGTGCCGACCTGTTTTGGCTGACTCTCCAGGTACCGCCGCCGTGATTGGCCTGAGGCTTCTGTCAGGACTCGCATTTCCGCCTCCTTTATTTGATTGATCTGGGATTTTTGTCTTGCTGGCAATAATCACATTCACATTCCCCCTTCTTTTTTCCCTTCTGCCTGCCAAGTCCGTTTGCTTCAAGGTTGTGTCTTGTGGATATATTTACCTTCAATTTTCCCACTTGGACAATTGTTTCAATTCTCTTCTTTTCTGCACAAGTTCATTTCTGATCTGTGATCCACCCCTTTTCCACCCTTAGCACATCCAAAAGTCCAATTGCTATCAGCCATGGCCCCGCTGCTTTGGAACAGGAGAACCACGTGCGCGATGCCGAGTTCAATCGTGCAATGCACGGAAAGTCTGCCCAGTCTCGGGGTGGCTTTGCTGCTCTTCGTGGCAAGGACTCTGCTGCTCAGAAGGCCGCTGTAGACGAGTACTTCAAGCATTGGGACAACAAGTCCGCTGAAGACGAGACAGAGGAGACCCGCGCGGTAAGCAATCCATCCTTGTTAGCATGTGGAATTCTGGCCTAATTGTTGCTTTTTAAATAGGCCCGCCGTGCCGAGTATGCCACATTGACCCGACAGTATGTCCTAAAACCCTGAGCTTTGGAGCCATTGCACTATTCTGACGTCGCTGCAGCTACTACAACCTGGCTACGGATCTTTACGAGTATGGATGGGGTACTTCATTCCACTTCTGCCGCTTCGCCCAGGGCGAGCCCTTCTACCAAGCCATTGCCCGCCATGAACACTACCTGGCTCACCAGATGGGCATCAAGGAGGGTATGAAGGTCCTGGATGTCGGCTGCGGTGTCGGCGGTCCTGCCCGCGAGATTGTCAAATTCACCGAGGCCAACGTGGTTGGACTGAACAACAACGACTACCAGATTGAGCGTGCGACTCGGTATGCCGAGCGCGAGGGATTGAGCCATAAGCTCAGCTTTGTCAAGGGCGACTTTATGCAGATGAAGTTCCCCGATAACTCGTTCGATGCCGTTTACGCTATCGAGGCCACCGTCCACGCCCCTGAACTCGAGGGTGTCTACAAGGAAATCTTCCGTGTGTTGAAGCCCGGTGGAGTTTTCGGTGTCTACGAATGGCTCATGACCGACGCGTACGACAACGACAACCCGGAACATCGCAAGATCCGTCTGGGTATCGAGCTGGGTGATGGTATTTCCAACATGGTCAAGATCTCGGAAGGTCTTACTGCGTTTAAGAACGCCGGTTTCGAGCTGCTGCACAACGAGGATCTCGCCGATCGCCCCGATGCCATTCCGTGGTACTACCCTCTCGCGGGATCGTTCAAGCACATGACCTCGCCTTGGGATTTCTTCACCATTGCGCGTATGACATGGTGGGGTCGTGGTCTCGCCCATCGGTTCTGCGGAGCTATGGAGACTATTGGTCTCTTCCCTAAGGGCACCCAGAAGACCGCCGACAGTCTCGCCATTGCCGGTGACTGTCTGGTCGCTGGTGGTGAGAAGAAGCTCTTCACGCCCATGTATTTGATGGTCGGACGCAAGCCCGAGTAACGAGTCTCTTTTACACGAATTGCCTGTACAAACATCTGCCCTGTGCCTGCATCCTAAACCTATAGACGTGGCTGTCTAACCGTTTTAATTTTTTTTGTTCTTACTTTTACCTTTTTCTTCTCAAATTTCCCTTTCTATTGTTTTATTACTGCATTCCGCTGTTGGGATGCTATGTTGTCCTTGTTTTATGTCCTGCCCATCTTCGCAGAAGGTGTATGTTTCACTGCTGGGTATGCGCTGATGGTAATGATTTCTGTTTTCCTTTGTTCATTGTACGCTAGACTTAACATGAAACCTGCCTATGTAATTGGCCCGTAATTGGGAATAATTAAAAGCGTACTTTATACTTGTTTTCCTTGCTGATAATACCTTTTTGTAAGGTAGCTGACAACTTTCACCAGTAGCGACAGAATATATCAATATTCCTCTAAACCACTCCGTACCTACCTTAGATATGATAATCTCTCTGACGAACAAGATTTTCACTAGGAACTTCAGCTCGAATCTACCTAAAACATAACGTGTACATGGTTGAAACAAGATTTGGTTTATTATCAGCTTCTAGCATCAACGGTAAGAACACCCATTTCAGGCAATCTACAGAGTAGCAGCAAGGGGGATCAAGTACGTGGGTTTGCTAAAATATATGCAAGGATACCTTACGAACTCTGAGACTAGAAACTGAACGATAATATATCTTCATGCTCCTGTAGCCAGAAGCCGATTAAACTAATAATCAGATACAAGTTGTTGTAAGAAAGTACGATAATTACTCAAGAGGACATAGTTCCCCTATTGAGGCCATTGTAATACGATGGTCTTTCTACCACCTATTTCAGTCTGCTTAAACTAGAGATGCAGCATCACACGTGCCATTTAATGATTGCTTATTATTCTGGGTACACATGGTTCCACAGACACGCATGATTCAAAACTTGACTGCACCCTGCATGATTTTTAGCCGTCGATCAACCATGCTTATGTGGGATGATTCTCTAACAGTTAAGAATGTCCCCACATCTCTTGGTCTCTGCTGAACTAAGGATGACGGCTAATTGACTAGTGATGATACCTCTATGGCAGCATCGTTGTACTAGAAACTCAATGATGAAGCTGTCATTCAGGCCAAACATATATATACAAAAGTATGATGAGGCTACACTGAGGTTGCATTGATGTTAAGACTGATCCATGGTACATCTCAGATATCGTTCGGTAATCAAAGCAGGATTAGTAGTACCTGAGATCAAAGTTACAGCAGCTGCATCATACACCGCTTCGTCTCATCAGGCGTCGTAATCGATCTGATTTGCGATCGACCTGAATTGAGTTTATGATCATGATTGCCGGCAAAATATGACGCGCGGAGTTATGGCGGGACTGAACAGATCACCAGAGTGAGATAGCAACGGCTAACATCGTACTCTTGAACGAACAGCGAGACTGAGAACCGATTCTTAATTCCGCAGTTCTGAGACGAGAAGGTATGTTCCTGTGCCAGCAAGGTAAGAAACAAAGTTAGCCGGAATTAACGACGGAGAACGGGGGCCAGTGCTCGGACATCCGGGGTTGGGTAATTATGCCGAGTGCAAAGGCCATGTGGACGTGCCGTTCTCAGCCAGCAATTCCATCATTGACTTTCCACCAGATGCCGGTCGCTGCACATCGTGTTTGCGGCAGTATTAATATCGCTGACCTTTCCTTGAGCTCTTACAATTAATAACTTTCGATTTTCCATGTCTTTGATGAGACAATCACCTCATAACCATGATCGAAGACAACAAATTAGGAGGTAACGGCACCGAGTCGACGGAGACTCTACGGGAGACTAAGCCCTCCTCCACCGCCGCCGCCTCGGTCGGCTTTTGGGACCCAGCGTTAGAAGAGACCCGGAGACGAATCATTTCCCTCTGGGGTCGGACGGGTGAGTCGTTTCAGGAACACTTTTGTCATCCCGAACTATTGAATATAAACTAAGCCGTTTGTATTTCAATAGTATTTGTGTTGTGTGTTTTTATTCTCGGTATTCTTTCGCTTTACTGGGCCGTCCAATTCCGGTCGGAAGACAGACTTCACACTTTGACTGTCTGGGTGGTCGATTTCGATAACCAGGTGGAACCATACAGGAATGAGAGCATCACGCCCATCGTTGGACCAGCCGTGACAGATGTCGCGAATCGGCTTATCAAGTCGGATACGGAACACGTGGGATATGAAATCAGATCGCCGGCAGACTTCAACTATGATCCTTGGGCGGTCCGGCAAGGGGTCTATGATGAACATGCATATGCCGCAATCATTGTCAACCCTAATGCTACCACTCTCCTATACGATGCCGTGATGAATGGTGACTCGTCGTACGATCCCAGTGGCGCTGCTCAATTTATAATCGTCAGCGCGCGTGACCAGGCCACATATTCCAACTACATCGAACCGGCCTTGTCTTGGTTCCAGCTGGAAGTTTTTGCCGAGTTTAGCCCCAGATGGATTCAGACTCTCACGAAACAGTCTATGGACATCTCTCGGGTGCCGCAAGCTGTCAATCCGGCGATTGGTTTCTACAAAGTTGACCTGCGACCGTTTGGCCCGGCTGCTGCGACGCCGTCCGTGACCATCGGTTTGATTTACCTGATCATTATCGCCTTTTTCAACACTCCGTTCCTCATGCCCGTTCATATGCAGTTCATCAAGGGGGACCACCCGCCTCTGAAAAACGCGCAGTGGCTCATCTGGCGTCTGTGTTCGAGCATTGTGGCCTACTTTTTCCTGTCGCTGTTTTATTCCTTTGTGTCGCTGGCCTTCCAGATCCCGTTCACCAATAGTCCAGCGCCGGATACGTTGCCTGCCGACAATGCCAACGCCTATGGACATGGATCGTTCATGATATTCTGGATGCTGAATTGGGTTGGCATGACTGCGCTCGGGCTGCCCTGCGAGAACATGGGGATGATCCTCGGGTTTCCCTACAGTGCACTCTTTCTGATTTTCTGGGTCATTACCAACGTCGCCACTGGCTTTTATGCGTTGGATCTGGCGCCTGGTTTCTTCGCTTGGGGTTATGTCTGGCCTTTGCATCGCAGTAAGTCTTCCATCCTTCGAATTGATTGCCTTGCGGCTGTCTAACCCGTGTAGTTGTCGAGGCGCTCCGGACTATTCTCTTCGGCACGCATTCCCGGATTGGACTCGACTTTGGCATTCTGTTTGCGTGGATCGGACTGTCCATCCTACTATACCCATTTGCCGCATTCATCATGCGCTGGAAGATGAAGCGAGGATTGTAATCCTCACCCACGATAGAATCATAGACTCAAACTCAACTTGTATATACTAGATACCACTCAACAATAATCTATTTGCATAGCCATCTACAGACATGTGCATAGTGTACAACATACTCCGGAGACTGGAAAGCTAATCACCCGGCTGCTCGGGCTGCTCCCCCATCGCCTGCAATTTATCCCTCGCCTGCTTCTTCCCCATGTCTGTAACGTTGGGATTATGCGTTGCCCTGTTTCGCCATCAGCGCTGACGCTCTCAACTCTCATCAAAAACAACATACGCCTTCAACCCCCTCTTCACGTTCGACGCATGCCGATCCTCCGCGCTTTTGCTGGTGGCCTCACCGCTCTCGTACCTATCGAGCTCCTGCTGCGCGTGTTGCTTAGCCTCATCCGAGACGTTTGGGTTGCGGAGGGTGCTGCTCTTTTCAGCTTTTTGTTTTACTTTGGATGGGCAGAGGAGACGCACGCTTTGTATCCCCGCATTACATTCTCGGGGTCGCGGCCTTCGCTGGTCTCGCGGCTTCGGCTTCGAGATCGGGGCATGGTTTAGTGTTTCTTGTTGATGTATAGTACTATAGATGTGTATGTGCTGGTGAGTTGTGTGTTGGATTTAGGGCACGGGTTTAAGTAGTTTGAGGAGACGCCACTGCATTTGATAATGATGATGTTGTGCTACGCTACGTGTATGTGCTATGATGATGATGATGATGAGTGTATGACATGATGGTGTTTCCGTGGCTGAAACTTGAGGGTAGTTTCTTATGATGTTATGTATTTAGATAGTGTCGGTGACGTCGCATAGAACGTGGTTATAAAGATATCGCACCTAAATCGTAGATGAGATGTAGCGTTACTTGAAATAGGCATTGTACTTGACGATCGTGTTAGTACGTACAGCGGTATATCGATCCGTCTCCAGTTCCACTGGCTGTGGAGACAACAGATCTCGATATATGCATATCTACTACTGCAAGTTATATCAAGTCCAATTCTGTAATCATGTTTACTCTGTATACCATATAAAGTGCAACTATACAATGTCATGCCAATCGGAGGTCTACTCCGAATTGAGGCTTGCATCAGCCCTCATTCCAGCCAAGGCGGACCTCGGGACAGATGTCCGTGAGGCCCGTTCCAACTTCCATCGCGTGTGGGTTCAGATACTGCTAACAACTTGGCAAGTGCTTGTTCTGCTTCAAGCTACACTGCCATGGCTGTAGTGTACTTGGCGATAAGCAAGTCCTGTATCTGACTCGTTGCGGGTTCTGATATGAAACTAGCAATGATCTAAAGCATTGAATTTCAGACCAGATCTGTTTGCGGCGATCCCCGATGCAAAGAGTAAGCTGATCAGGCAAGGCACACTCGTCGCCGCGGTAGACGTAGACGCGCATCAGAGTCTTCCAGTCAGCTGAGTGAAGTGGCCGAGGCACGAGAACTTCTGTACAGCGGCAACCTTCTAGAACATCTTTTAGTCCACGTGCGTATGCCTCGCCCCAGCGCAAGGGATGGAATGTTGGAACTCAGAAATTTCTTCGCCCCTTTCTTCTCCTAGTCCTGCATCAGCATGGCGCATGTATCGCAATCTCTTTTTACTTGTGAATGGCTGATATTCCATCATATTGCTTCTGTTGTTCCAGAATCGACGCCCGAACAGGCTGACTCGAGGAGGTCCAAGCCACTTGCATTGTGTGGGAGGACAGCACGTGCGACAACGGCAGCGTCTCATTCATTGACATGGTGAGATGCTAGTTCGATGTCATTTGTATGTAAACCCTGAAAGCAGTGAACAGAACTCTACGAGCAAGCACCAAGTGGCTGAGATGGTTAGACTTGGCAAGCCATCAAACGCCCTCGCTGTGGGTCCCTGGCCACTCAGCACGGCGGAACTGAGCATGTCCTAGAAATTGACGATTTGATTGGCTGTATATTGGCCGAGAGGATTAACACCAGGGACGGCCCCGAACCAATTAGAGCCCAGACTGTATACGAGTTAAATGACCAATTCAGCCAACGCCTACCAAGAGTAAAAAAGCAGCGTCGGCCGTCTGGGCAAATGTCTTGATGAAGCTTAAGTAGGCAAGCCTTAAGTCGCTCTACTAGTGGCTCCCTGACTTTCGCGCATGGGCGCAGAGTGACATACCTTTGTCACCGGAGTGGTTGACACGAACATGGCCGGGGTCCAGATTCACTATCGTGCCCCATCTCGCGGTCTCGATTCGTTGCAGCCTTCGTTTATTCATTGTCCACGGGCTGAGAGCCATCTACGCTAAAAACTACCTTCATCCGTGCACTCTCTGTACTGTCTGTACATAACGGGGCCCATCCCATCCTGGACCACGAGGTTCCTTCGAATCTTTCGAGGACTAGGTTCGACAACTCTGAGCCCCTGCCTGGCGTGGTCTTTTTATTCACTATACTTCTTTAATACTTTCCACTCTCCTTTAACTAACCCAGCCATGGCTTCTACAGGAGGCGGCAACTCCGCCTTCCGGAACTACAACAACGAGTTGGCTCACGTGGAGGATCCCAGAGAGCGCCGTCGTCAGGCTCTGGCCGAGATTGACAATGCCAAGTTCGGCTGGTACCACGTCCGCGCTGTTGTCGTTGCCGGTGTGGGTTTCTTCACTGACTCCTACGATATCTTCGCCATCAACCTGGCCTCCAGCATGCTGGGTGTTGTCTTCTGGCAGGACGCCAAGTCCAGCCCCGGCAAGATTCCCTCGAGCGCAGATACTGCCATCAAGGTGTCTACCTCTGGTGGTACTGTGATTGGACAGCTGTTCTTCGGTTGGCTTGCGGATCGCATCGGCCGTAAGCGCATGTACGGTATTGAATTGATGATCATCATCATGGCCACTCTGGCTCAGGCTCTCTCCTCGGACTCGCGTGCTATCTCCATCGTTGGTATTCTCATCTTCTGGCGTGTTATTATGGGTATTGGTATTGGTGGCGATTACCCTCTGTCTTCTATCATTACTTCTGAGTACGTCCCCATCCTATATGTTTTGAACTCGGGACTCTCGCTGACATGATCTGTCAGGTTTGCTACCACAAAGTGGAGAGGTGCCATGATGGGTTCCGTCTTCGCCATGCAGGGTTTCGGTCAATTCGCAGCGGCTATCGTTGCTCTGATTGTTACTGCCGGCTTCAAGGAATCTCTGGAGACTGCTAGCTCCGTGGGCAAGTGCTCCGGTGTCTGCCAGCTCGCTGTCGACAAGATGTGGCGTGTGGTCATCGGTTTCGGGGCCGTCCCTGCCTGCATCGCCCTCTACTACCGTCTCACCATCCCCGAAACACCTCGCTACACTTTCGATGTTGCCCACGACATTGTCAAGGCCGACGAGGATGTCCGTGCCTACATGACCGGCAAGCACGAGGGTCACCCCGACGAGCTGCGCCGCCAGTCCGTCCTTCAGAACCACGCCGGTGACGTTACCCCCAAGGCCAGCTGGGCTGATTTCTGGCGCCACTACCTGCAGTGGAAGAATGGAAGTATCCTCCTTGGTACTGCTGGTTCTTGGTTCTTCCTCGACGTTGGTAAGTCACGTCACTAACCCACCTAATCTCAAATATGATACTAACTTCGATAGCGTTTTACGGTCTTGGTCTCAACAACTCCATCATCCTGAGTGCTATTGGCTGGAGCGGCGGCAAGAACGTCTACGAGGTCTTCTACAAGAACGCCGTCGGTAACCTGATCCTGATCTGTGCGGGTGCCATCCCTGGCTACTGGATGACCGTGGCCACTGTCGACACCATCGGCCGCAAGCCCATCCAGCTGCTCGGCTTCATCATCCTGACCATCGTCTTCATCGTTATTGGCTTTGCCTACGAGCCCCTGAAGAAATCCAACAACGGTCTGCTGGGTCTGTACGTCATCGCGCAGTTCTTCTTCAACTTCGGCCCCAACGCGACCACCTTCATCGTCCCTGGCGAGTGCTTCCCCACCCGCTACCGGTCCACCTCGCACGGTATCTCCGCCGCGTCCGGCAAGGTCGGCGCCATCATCGCGCAGTGTGTATTTGGACCTCTGGTGCACAAGGGCGCCAAGGACCCGTCGCAATCGCCCTGGCTCAACCACGTCATGCAGATCTTTGCTCTGTTCATGCTGTGTGGCTGCTTCACCACTCTGCTCATTCCCGAGACCAAGCGCAGGACCCTGGAGCAGCTGTCCGGGGAGGAGTATGAGAGTGATACCCTGGTGCAGAACTCTCCCATGATCCATGCGGAGAAGAAGGTGGATAATTCGACTGCTGCGGCTGTTTAGTAGGTAGATCTTGGATCTTGGAATCTTGGATAGATGACTATGTCATGACTGTGAATAATTCAGCCGTTCCTTTGTATAGACCCATAGTTAATGTACTCTAATCAACCATCTATACATCTAAGATCAGTAACTCTGGATAAGCAACGAAACTACACTAGACACACCCAACAAAATCTATCAAAAAAGGAAGCTATGCACAATTAGACCTAATCGCATGAAGAAAATCTGATTCCAAACCAAGTTAGGGCAAACGAGTCGGTCAAGTGGCGTTCTGAATTTTATCCTTAAATACCTCCATCCCCGTCTCAACTTTCTTTCTTCTCACATACTCTCTCCTCCATCGACTCAAAAACACCACCAAAATGTCCCCAACAGCAACCACCACCACTACTAAACAAGATGCTTCGCAAGAAATCCCAGAATTAAAAACCTACCCCGCCACCCAAAAGGAAGACCTCATCCCCGCCCTCCGCCTCATCGCCGACTCCGTCGCACAACAGCGCCAAACCGCCGCCCGCGCTCTCATCTTCCACCCCCTCTGGCTATCGGCCATGACCGCGGTGATCGCAATCGTCTATAAAGCGCTGTACACAGATTCGTCTGACCTCCCGCTGATCGGGACGACGAGCGCGGGGTGCGTGATGGCGGGGTTGTTGGTTGTGAGGGGTTGACGGGGGGTATATTGAGGAGGCGGAGAGGGTTGGAAAATGGGAGTGGCTCAACGCTTGCTCTAGCGCTGGCCCTAAAGAACAGGGGCAAGGGCAAGGGGAGGAGCAGGAGGTTCTTGTGACGAAGTTCGGGGAGAGGATTATTGGGGCGGTTGTGCTGCGTGGTGTTCTTCCTGCCGAGCAAGGAAAAGTGAACGGGGTTATTCGGGCGTGGACGGTTGAGAGGCGGTATCGCGGGAAAGGGGTGGGGTTGGGTTGCTGGAGGAGGCGGTTGAGATGTGCAGACTGAAGGGATGGGAGGGGCCGGTGTTTGATGAGCAGCATGCGAATGCGAAGAGGGTGTTACCGGGGTTGTTTAATGGGGGTTTGAGAGGAGGGAGAAGTGGGCGAGGAAGGTGTTGGAGGGGTGAAGAAAAGGATGGAGTAGAAGTCATAATTGTAATATATGATATTGTTCACTTGTTTAATAATGTTTACAGACTGCAATAAGGGATTTGCTTACAGCACTAATGTGCAGTTATCCAATCTGCATAGATACAGTAGGTTGAAGATCGGAGTGTAGTACATATTCTGTTATATCATTCTAAGGGATTTGCAGTCTTTCTAACCACCAATACATCCTAGAATACACGGTTTAAGCATACTCTTATACTGCCCATAGCACTGAATAAGCCTTTATATTCATTCTATCCATTAATACATACCCTGTACTCTACTAAAAGGTATGCAATGACATCATCGGTAACGATCACTCAAAACAACCAACCTACTCATGCATCAAATTCTGGAGCCTATTTACCTACCGAGTAAAGCTAGAATCTTCTTCTATGTCAATTAAGCAATAATCAAGGACGATAGAGTTCCACAAACGACGTGGATCAACCCCAGAATACCTTAGTATAGCCCTCGGATACCCGGACAACCTACCTGATTGGCTGCAGACACTTGCTCGTATGCTGTGCCATCTCTGACATTCTTTGTTTGTTGTCATGTAATGCAATTATTCTTCTGTCCTCATAAGTCGCAGTTGTCCTCTGGTTGACTGAATTTCTTTGTTCTCATCTACGCAAACAGTTGTCCCATCTAACCGCCAGTCTACATCTACTTTCTACTCTACCTCTACCTTACACCACATGGCCGACATGGCTACAACAACAATGACCTCAACATCCACATCCACCACCACAGGGACAGCAGCAACAGCAACCTGCACAGGCAACCGCTGGGTCCTCCCCGTGCAAGACGTCGCATGCGCCCTCCCCTCCACAGGAAACTACTCCTCCATAATGGACAAGTGCTGTCCCCCGGCAGCCGTGACCAAATACAACGACGGGTGCGGCCTGTACTGTCTCGCGCAGGGGCATAGCATGGGCAAGTTGCTGGCCTGTATTAACGAGAATGGAGGCAATAAGGATGTGTTTTGTGGGGGGCAGTTGAATGCTACCGCGACGGCAAGTTTGAGTGAGACGGCGTCGAGTACGGCGACGAGGACGGGGGCGAGCGCGAGTGAGACGAGGGATAGTGGTGCTGTCACGAAGCGGGTGTCGGCTTTGGGGGTCGGGTTGGTGGTGATGCTTGTTTGTGGGATGGTTGTTTGATTTGAGTGCTTCGCTTTGCTTTGCTTCTGGTAATGGGTGGATATGGATATGGATATGGATATGCTTGGATATGGTGTTCTGTTTATGCTGAGTCTCGAATGGATGGATTTTGTGCGAGTCTGCTTGCTGGATCTGAAGAGGAGCAGCTGCGCTGTAGGAGGCTTGGTGAGATATATGACTTGTATGCCCGTCGACAAGGACCAAACAGGAGCAATTGAATATTAATCCGGTGTATGCTCGTAGTGGTTCCTCCGCCTTAGACGGAGCCACAGACACTTGAGGGAAACATTAGCTAACAGATTCGAGTTGGCTACCATACTCTGCTGTTTACTAAGTGAGTAACTTCCTCAACCTAATTCCATCTAAGGTTTCTCCATCCAACATACACTCATCTATAGGCTGACATGAAATCATGATCATATATACTCCAAGAAGCCATATACTGTTCACATGGCGGGCCCATTCCTATTCCTGGGATGTAATTCTGCTCGTCACTGTATTCCTGACTAAACTACTGGTTGCAGAAGGGCAGTCACGAGGCTGCCAGCCTGCCCTTCCATCTCAACCACCTCAGCCTGACAGTTCAACCTCCTCCACTGGATCACTCCAATCATGGTTATCCTTTCAGTCATCCAAAGTTAGCAGATGTCGCTCTTCGGTTATCTTTGAGTACAAGAATGAGTTTCACACACGGCGAGCATCCTGATACCCTTAGCAGTGTCAGCAACCTTGGTTTAGCGCTTGGGGATCATGGCATGTATGAAGAGGCTGAAGTCTTGCACCATTGAGTTCTTAAGGGGACAGAGAAAGCCCTAGGGCCAGAGCATCCTGTCACTCTTACTAGTGTGTGCAACCTTGGTATGGCGCTTGAGCGGTAGGGTAAGTATGAAGAGGCTAAAGCCATGCATTAACAAGCACTAGAAGGCAGGGAAAAGGTTCTAGGACCAGAGCATCCTGCTACTCTTACTAGTGTTAGCAACCTGGGTGTGTTTCTTAATAATCATGGCACATATAAAGAGGGTGAAGCTGTGTATTAGCGAGCACTAGAGTGCAGGGAGAGAGACCGACCTAGGGCCAGAGCAGCCTGACATACTCTACAGTGTCAGCAATCTTGGTTCAATGCTTGCACAACAGGGCAAGTATGAAGAGGCTAAAGCCATGTATCAGCGAGCGCTAGAAGGTCGATTGAAGGTTCTAGGACCTGAACATCCTAGCACTTTTGACAATCATAGACTGTCTGGCTCACACCTGGATGTCTCAAAATAAGATTCAGGATGCTATATCTTTGATGGAAGACTGTGTTCAGCTCTGTAAGAGATCATTGGGACTTGACCACCTAGATACCAAATCCTCATCGTGGTACCTCAACGAGTGGAAGGAAATCTATTCTTCATTACCAACAGAACAACTTCAAGGCTACGTTCCAGCGGAATATGACCAAAGTCACGAGATTTCAGCAGAATGCTTACCAGAAGTTATGGTCACCAACCAGACAAGGGAAGAACACATCTCCTTACATCAAAGACAAGAACAATTGGCACCTGTCAAAAATTTATCGCAAATCATCCTCTCCGAGGCCATTTAGCTTCTGGGACCAGCATCTGCATCCCGCGGCCTGATATAACAGAAGTTGATAGAGGAACAAATTCATTCTTCACAATAGGGCCATCCGCCAACGATGAGTTCCAATACTTATACTCTTGCCTTATATTCGTATTGCACAAATATATGTGGAGCATTATTCCTGTCATATAGAGATCGACACATATAACAACCTCCAAAAGGAAGTTATTTCTAAAGCCGTGGATGGTTATATAATAATATCTCTCTAAGATCTGCAGCTGCAGTTAACGCAATGGATCAGACCTGCTTAAGTGACAAACTACTTTCTACAGACTCTGCAAGTGTGAAAGTTCTGGATTGCATACTGGGTATCTACAAGGTTAGCAGGTTGGCGTCAAGTGCTGTACCTCTCTGGATACCTACCGGATGAAGGTTGGAATCTATTGTCATGCCTGTGACTGATGGGACCAAGCGGCTGCTATGCCACAGACTGAATTCTTTATCTCAGTGACTCATCCTCCTGTTCTGCTCTGCAAATAGCATGCGATGGTGCGATTCTCCAACGGACCCTTCAAGCACTGGACCATGAGGCTTAGACAGTATCGGGTAGGTCCATAGCTTCTCGCGATAGTTTGAAACAGTGGATCAGCAACACGAGAATTCTGGCGCTAATGGTAAACGTGGACACATGCTTTCAATATTCTATCCTCTCAGCTGATGGACGATGGATAGTGTATGGAAAGTTGAGCAATATACCTAAACAGGAAAAAGACCCAACTACTCCAACTCATCCCAAAACGGCAAAACGCCCAACCACTGACCCACATCATCACCATTTGATACGAGATATGTACAAAACCTCTGACTGCTAAGTCTCATGCTGAGCAGGAATCCTGGGCAAACACATCCACAACGCCATAATCGCCCCCAGCAAGCCAATCGCAAACGGCTGCAACACCTTGACCCCCTTGGCCTGCGCAATCGCCCCAACAGCAAACGGCAGCACCGAGCCGCCTCCCGCTCCAAAGGCCGCCGCAAAGCCAATCGCGGTAACGTGCAACCCACGCGGCAGCAACTTGGTGGCTACGACCACGACAGCAGGGAACAGCGGACCGAGGAAGAAGCCCTGGATCGAGACAGCCACGGTGGAAACGTAAAAGTTTGGAACGAGCCAGAGGATGAGGCCGAAGGCGATGGAGGCGATGAGGTAGATCTGCGCAGTATTAGCAATCGCACGCATCAAATCAAAATGCATGAAAGGAGACGTACAGAAATGGCCAGTTTCTCACCCACCCTCGGGGTCACAAACCCCAGGACTACCCGACCCACTGTAATCCCCAACCAGAACCCCGTCGCCGCCATCCCACTCGCGAACGGCTCGCCGTGCCGCACGCGCATCATGAACGTGACGATCCACCCGCCCAGCGCAACCTCCACGCCAACATACAGCAGCAGGAACACCGAACACAGCCAGGTAATCCTCCCCGCGCGTTTCGTGAACAGCGCCTTGCGCAGGCTACCGCCGCCGCTGCCGGTGCCCCCAGTCGAATGCTGCGTGTCCCGCCGGAAGACCGCGCCGGTATCATCCCAGAAGCAGTAAACCGAGGTCGCAAGCTCGATGACCGCGCAGCCAATCTGTAATCCACGTCAACCCATCTAGCACCTTACTCTCCATGTGAAAAGGGGAAGCAAACCATGATATAATAGAAATACCACCACCCCACCCCACCTTCGTAACCAGCGCCGTAGCCACCAAGGGCGCAAGCACCGCCCCCGCACCGTAAAACCCATGCAGCAGGCCCAGCACCTGGTTCGCGTCTGCCATGTTGCCGACCCAGGCGTTCCACCCCGAGTCGGCGAGCCCGTTGCCGAACCCGGCGAAGATGAAGCTGACCACGAGAACGGGGTACGGCGGGTGCAGGCAGTTGATGATGTACGAGAGGAGGTGGCACGAGGGGGCGATGATGGCCACGCCGCGGCGGCCGAGGCGTAGGTGGATGTGGTTGTTGGTTAGGGCGGCGAGGATGTATCCGCCTAGTGGGGAGAGGAAGACGAGGGAGACGATGGTGTAGGTTAGGGAGTAGTGTTGTTCCAACTTGTTGGTCAATATACTTCAGATGGTAAGTTATGAGACTGAGACTTACGTAGGGGATTAGTGGCTATTGTATGTGTTAGTTATATTGAATCAATGAAGGTACGGAGGGGATAGCTTACACCGTATGCGGCATCATTCGCGCCCATGACGAGAAAGCCCCAGAAGGTTGCGAGGGTCTTGTAGATGTTTGACTTGGGATGGTTCCATCGTTCGATGGCGGGGAAGACATTTCCTGCTGGGGGTGAATTTGATGCCTCGAGTTGGATATTGGCGAGTTCGTTATTGTCCTCGCTTCGAGAGTATGTTTTTCTAGTAGTTGTTGTAGTAGTAGTTGCCATATCGTACAGATTTCTGGGACGAACGTTGACAAAAATTGGAGAGAATCTCAGACTGATTGATGCATAAGCTGCATTTATAGCTGCCAATTGTCAACTGGCTAACTCCGGTTTCCCGGTTAGGCCGAGCTCGTTCCAACTTTCCTGATGGCCCACGGGGCAGCTCCGGTCTCCAGTGGAGAACTGTGGAGGAACTTAAGACAAGTACGAAGTATTTCTTGGCTTGGTGACTCATGGGATTGGGGTAACTAGACAAGGCTAATCCTTGGCAGCTCATTTCATCATTAGAACATCAGAATCATCAGCAGATAATAGACTTGATCTGTTAATCCAAAACCCTGACACCCACAAAATCCGCCGCATAAGTCTGAAACCCGTCCTCCCCACCCTGATTACCAAACACCACCTTATTCTCCCCCTTCTTCCATCCGGAGGTCAGAACCCCCAGAGTCGCTGTATCCCACCAGCCCTTGCCAGGCGAATACAGCTCGCTATGCCGTCCGCTCAGCGGGACTTCCAGTCGCACTGGAGCCCCGTCGTTGATGCTGACGGTCAGATTGCGCGAGTTGGCTCCCCAGCCCCAGCTTGACGAGAAGGCGACTTCGTTGTTGATGTAGTCGATCGCGAGGTACTTAGACCCCGGGGAGGTCGCTGGGATCGACGTGTAGGCGTTGCTGCTGGGCGTGAGCTCGCCAATTTTCGAGCCAACGGGGCTGCAGCCGGAGCCGCAGGTGGTGTGCTTGGCGCTGCTGGTAACGTTGAAGACTGTGCTGGCATAGTAGGTGCCTGTTGGTGGGGTAACCTTGATAGACTCGACAGGGGTCTTGTGCTGGATGGTGATTGTGTTCGATCCAGCCGTCAGCGCGATTCGGCCTGATTTGCCGGAGATCAAGACGGTCTGGCCGGACGAGGTGGTGATGGTGACGGTTTCGGTGGATGGTCGCGCAAAGGTGACGGCCAGCGTGTAGTTGGCGCTGGTACTAGCTGCGTAGACTGACTGGAAAGTAGTTTTTTGGCCTGTAGACTTTGCGAAGATTTTGGCTGGGTATGACCCCGAGGGGATGGTACCCTGCAACTCCAGAAGCATCGTTCCATGTCCTGCCACTCTCGTGGTGTACGATGTCCGCACATCACGAACCGTGGTCTTGCCCCAAATATTCCTGGCAACTTGTGCATACTGCAGACCAACATCAGGCAGGTCGAGCGTGAGATCCCTCGACTCATTCCGCCAATTGATGAGTGCCACCACGGTCCTGTTGCCCGACAGTGGTCCACTCCACACCTCATACCCTTCATCGGACCACCTCCGCTTCAGACTCGCACTGACCCCCAGCGCATCCTGGTTAAACCCAATGACATCCTTCTGCTTCAGCACCTCCAACGACGCCTGGTTGATACTAGTGACATCATCCTTCAAGGCCGCTCCAATAGTTAATGGGCTTTTCAGAATCGCCCACAGCGAGAAGTGCGTCTGCTCCTCCGGTAACGAAAACAGCCCGTTGCCCACATACAGCATATCCAGATCTGGCCACTGACCGGGTCCAGCAAAATCCGTGTTGGGAACGGCCTGGTTCAGCGTGCGAAAGATACTTCGCCACGCGGGGATGATGTCGTTCCCGATGCGCCAGGAGTTCCCGAGCGCAGGAGCCCAAAGAGCGGGAAAGTCGATACCCCATTCGCAGATCTGGAAGAGGATTGGTCGGCCGACACGGGCGAGGGCAGACGACATTATTTCGTAGCGGGGGCGAGGAGACGTGCTGGGCTCGTAGTTGACATTGGGGTAGTTGGTCGCGGCGTCCGAGTAGCAGTTGTCATCTACACGATCAGCAGGGCTCTAATCTTTAAGGGACGGACATACACTTGAGCGAATCCGCCCCCCACTCAGCGAACGTTTTCGCATCCTGTTCTTCGTGGTCTGCTACGTTAGCCAAGGCAAAAAATCAAGCATGACGGGACTTACTCAAGCTGCCGACTTGGTCTGGGGGACTCCCGCACAACTTAATTCCCGAGTCACCGTAAACGCCGAACAGCAAGCCCAATCCGTGAAGATATTCTCCCATGGCGGGAAATCCGCTCGGAAACAAGGTCTCGTTCCAGGTCAAGGTGCCATTCGGCAGCCGATCGGCTACTGACCAGCCACAATCGGTGGTAACATAGCGGTAGCCTAATTCGGCGAGGCCTAGATCAACGAGCGCTTTGGCGTTGGAGCGTATTATGGCTTCATTAGGCGAGCATGAGTAGTAGTTGTACGAGTTCCACCTGGTCAGTCAGTAAATGTCAAATCTTCAGCAGGAGTAACATACCCCATCTGTGGCGTCTTAGCCAGGCCATTGTCGATGCGTGGATGAAGAGAACCAGCCGCGAGGGCTGGCGAAAATAAGAGAAGCGTAACAATAGACTTCATCTTGCCTGTGGATAGTAAACTGAAGTCTATGAAGCTAGAGAGGCATTTGTATTCTTATGCTAAACGGGCCGATGACCCAATTCGGCGCAGTTCCTGTGGTACGTTATCTGAGCACTGTCGATATGCGGAGAATTTCCCGGTTGAGTCGAAGAATGCCGATCATATTCCAAAAAGCGGGGAAATCGGATGGAGTATATTAGCATTCTGCATCAGCATGGCAATTCCGGCTAAAAAGCCCGAAGAGTACTGCAACTAGCAAATCACGTCGTCTGCTTCTGTCGAGCTGTCGCAGCAGATCTGCCGGTTATGTGTCTGCGGAGAAATGGCAAATTGTTCGCTCCACAATCCAAACATCTCCGCGGTGTTTGGCAACTCGTAGTCGTCGTTATAGCCTCCGTCCTCCTAGTAAGGCGCATGTCATGAGTCCAGATTGACAGGCTCAAGGTCTATCGACTCTTCTGACCAAAAAAATGATCAATTCGTTTCTGCCGCTGATCAAAAGGAGCGCTGCCGACTCCCCCCTTCGTACGCTGAAGATCCGCCAGATGTGCCCGACTGTTTACCCCAAGTACCTGCAGAGAATACCCACCTAGAACCGGTATCTCCGGATCTCCTACCGAAGGGCTCAATTTCGGACGAACCAACACCTCCAAGTACCCTGTATTCGCCCAGAACGGATTAAACGCGTTGATATCCGCGTCCCCTACTATGCGAACGTGGCTCGGATGAAAACACGCGAGTAAAGCGCGCCACAGACTCCGTAGGAGTAAACCGTGCGAGACCACACCAACGACAGCCTCATCACCTGCCTCGTCGCCAGCGAAAAGTAGGGGAAGTAAGTAGTCCGTGAGAAATGCATTTGCACGCTGGCGCATGGAAGCCTCTGATTCCGGCTGCTTGGGAACAATGCTCGATTCCCAGGTCGAATGCCACTTTTGCCCCTCAAAGGAGCCAAAGTCGCGTTCGCGGAGGGATGGCAGCAGTACCGGGCTTAATTCTGGTTGATGGGCGCTGAGGCCTTCGGCCGTGAGGACTGCTCTGGTGAGATCCGAGGAAAAGATATGGTTGAATTTGATGTTTTGGGAGGCGAAATATCTCCCCAGACGGGTGATCTGGAGGGCGCCGTGATTTGTCAGGGGGGAGTCTTTGATCCCGGCTCTGTTGGTGTTAGTGATTGTAGGACAAGTAGGGGAGGCACTTACAATGTATGAGCGACATTATCGACGGTTTCCGCGTGTCGAATGAGATAGAGCTTCATCTTGATGGTTGAAGCCAACTGAGGATGCTGAGAGACGGGGTTGGATGAATGGAATGTTTCCGGGTGGCGGACTTTTGCAGCAATTGCTCCGGGGACAGTGCCTAATCTGAGTCACCCAGGGCTTTCCACCTAATAGTTGCACCACCCACAAATGATTCTTCTACCTCTCTTATTGTCTGGACATTTTATCTCAAATAATATGCCACTAGATCATAGCTATAAACGATGAGTAGATCCGAGATGCAATCTCTTTGTGAGCTGCATTGGCTCTTCAACATAGTACTAATGTGTTTATTCATGGCATTTTTATAAGTTAGCCCTAGCGACCCCAGGATTCGGGAGGTCCATAGCAATTCTTCTCAAGTTATTAAGGCCTTATGAATGCCACACTGGATATTATTTTTGCCCTAAAGTTAGGGTCTCAATAGGGGTTCTCGAAAGTGCAGAGTTATAATGTGATGGTCATTTTCCATATAGCCTGTGTGCATCATGTTTATCATCAGCTACAACCAGCAACTTCTGCAGGTTGACTTGATCCAGATCAAAGCTCGCAGATTCCTTTCCATCCTAGAAGAGAAAGAGAGTCAAAACTTCTGGCATCGGTGAAGATGATGCTTTTTGGATTCTAGTGGAGGGATAGACTGGGGAGAACTGATGGAGTATCTGGCACTTCGCCTGAAATAGAAGTAGTAGAATAAAATCATGTTTCTATACAGGGCTGACGTTCACCACCACCCTGATATTATAAGCCCATTCACCAGCTATTCAGGATAGTGAATGGCAGAAGTCCTGATTCCATCCCTAATTTCCCCTCAAGCAGCGTACCCTCTTGCCCATCCCCACCTTTCTCTCTCATATCCTCGTATTACTCAGAACACCATGGAGCTGGACATTTACTTTTTCCATTGCCGTTATGAGACTTTAATGCAGGAAAGCTGGCACGTCAAGATTTATGGCACAAATCTCGCGAAAACCAGATATACCAAAGTGTACATGTGTACATTGATCCTGCGAAGAGTCGTGTTCAAGTACATGACGGAGGTATATTTCTCAGCCGATCAGATAGACTCCTATTAAGCAGTGCATCCAATCACCTTGACGCATATCCAGCATCGTATTCGCCTAAGAGCTACCAGCAGTAGGTAATATCGCCTTCCCTGTTATTACTGCATGGTAAGCCCACGTGATGATGCTACCTAATCTCCTGTCTAACCGTTTAGTTCAAGACTATGCAGTACGACCCTCTTGAAGACAAGAAGATAACTTCTACTCCTCCTTTCAAGTCTAGTCATTAAAATTACATCGATCAGGGCTCCAGCAGATTGACTCCATGCCTGCGAACAAGCTCCCCATCGATCTAACCGCCGAGATATCCAAACTCGCCAAAGCCTCTCGGGTGCAAAGTGGGCTCCCCGGCTCGATGCGAGCTCTACCCGCCATCGCGCTATTTGCAGGGACGGCGTTGTCCAAGACTACGGGGACCTCCAATGTCGTTGAGAAATGGATGCTAGGGAACGAAGAAGTTCCTCTGCTTGGGAGTCCGACTGTGGGAAACCCGGACAAGAAAGTCGATGGACAGTGCAGCCATCAAGCAGGCTCTGATCAGAGGACAAAGAATGGATTGTAGATGATTATCTTGGACAGAGGGCACACACTGGGCTAGATCATCCCTAACAGATTCGCACCACATATGTCTACCTCGACGGAAACAGAGGAGATTTAGCCGACGGTTTTCAGCACCAACTTGGTAGTGTCTCTTCATATATGCGTATTCTACAAGAACTGCTACCCTCGACGACGAAGCAAAGCATGCTTTTAACTTCATTCGAAGCGGGACCTACTAAAATCAATGCAGCGTACAACAGAATGCTCTTGGCACGATTACTTAGAAAACTGGAACCTATTCGCTAGTACAATAAACTGTTCGGATCCGAACCCCCACAAAGATCTGCACCCCACAGCCTATCACCCCAAGAAACCCCAAGATGAGCCCGAACTAGGAGATTCAGTCAACCCCAACAAGGCTTCGGCATGTAACCCAGTTCAAAGATTTATATTAAAGGGACCTTGAACTACCCCAGAAAACATATGTACCCCGCAACATGGTATCCCCAAAGAAGCCCGAGTTAAAGAAACTTCAACCCCACAAGCCTTGCCATGAAGAGACTCTAGTCCGTATTAGGAATGTGCTTATGGAAGTAGATATTGGATTCGATACGAAGAAAAATGATACCCTGGGGTAGCTTTCTTCAGGGAAATGCGGGGTGCTTGTGATATATCCCTGTCTATGGTCGATGCTACATTTCTTGGGACATCTGCCCCAATGAGCAGGGAACTATAAATGCACAGTTGTTCCCTCTGTTACCATTACGAAGATATCGATTACGCTTATAATTCAAAGGTCAAAGTATCTCCGTCTTCTACAATAACAATGCCAAACTTTGCTACTTCCCTAGGGCTCGCTATGTCCGGAGCAGCCTGTGCATCCGCCGCAGCGCTGGGTGCATACAACGTAGACCCGAATTCAATCTCCCTCTCCGGGCTCTCCAGCGGAGGCTTCATGTCAGCGCAGCTTGGAGTGGCATACTCTGACACCTTCAAGGCCGGGTTCGGGGTCTTTGCCGGGGACCGTACGATTGCGCTCGCGGCCAGTCGGTAAGTCATTTTCCAACATCCCAAAAGTAGTCACGTCTAATCAAACGTATACTGACGCGAGGCAGTACACTACATGCATGTACAACCAAAACCCATCCATCACGGGCCCCATCGCCAACATGAAGACCTGGAGCGGCAACAAAATAAACCCAGTCAGCAACCTCCAATCCCGCAGGATCTACATGTGGACGGGAACCGCCGACACCACCGTCGGCCCGAACGTGATGAGCCAGTTGAAGGCGCAGCTGGCGAACTTTGACGCAACAGACAACGTCTCGTACATCACGACCAGCGGCGCGGTGCACACCTTTCCCACTGACTTTGATGCGTCAGGCGACAACTCGTGCAGCTCGTCTGGCTCTCCCTATATCAGCAACTGCCAGTATGACGGGGCAGGGGCCGTCCTGAAGTGGATGTACGGGACGTTAAATGCGAGAAATACTGGCACACTTTCGGGATCGATTGTATCCTTCAGCCAGACGGGCGAGTACGGGGCCAGCGGGATGGATACTACCGGATATCTGTATGTCCCCAAGGCATGCCAGTCTGGGTCTTCGACTGTTTGCAAACTGCATGTCGCTCTGCATGGCTGCCTGCAGAGCTACAGCATGATTGGCAGCAAGTTCATCTCTAATACCGGGTACAACATGTGGGCGGATACCAATAACATTATCATTCTCTATCCGCAAGCAGTGGCGGATAGTAGCATGCACACCATCTGGACGGGGATGCAGCTGCCCAATCCGAATGGTTGTTGGGATTGGGTTGGATGGTATGGAGCAAATGCTGACCAGGTCGGAGGTGAGACCCCGAAAGAAACTCACGAGAGTCTGATTTGGTCAGACCTATTACTGACATACTGGCTCCGCTCAGGCGTGCAAATGGCTGCGATTGTGAACCAAGTCGCCCGCATTGTCAGCGGTTACGGGGCTGGCAGCAGTTCCTCAACAACTACTGCGACCCCCACGACTACCACTGGCTCTAAAACAACAACAACTACTACTACTACTACAGTCACCACGACCGCTCTTGCGCCATTGTATGGGCAGTGCGGTGGAATCGGGTGGACGGGCCAACGGCTTGTGCCACCGGTGTTTGCACGGCCTATAGCCCTTATTATGCACAATGTCTCTTGATAGTGTAGGCATTCGGGCTGGACAGTGAAACAAAACGGAGGTTATGCTATGTAGCCAAATTCGACTCGTGTGATGTTGAGAGCCTGTCTCCGCAATCTCTCGTCCCTCCGGTAACATTAGTTACCCGTATTGAGGCCATTCCACACCAAGTCGGCAATCTCGGCCAAATTATCGTCACTAAAGAGCACGTCCCCCTCCCTTTTCTCCTCCTCGGCAGGCCGCAGGAACAGCTTCTCAAACCCTATGATCAGGGGAGCCCCAGTGATATGCACTGGGGCATCACCTCCCTCCCTTGTCATAGTCACCTTCTGAACAACCTCAGGCACCATCTTCCCCGGGTCGCCTCTTGTGGGCCGGCTGATCGCCTCCCATTTGTCAATGGTGATGGCCTCCCTTTTCTTCTGGACTGCAATGGTGATAACAGTCTTCAATTCTCCCCCGGAAGCGTTCAGCCACCAGCGCGCATCATTGGCCAGTTTGCTCCGACTCTCTGAGAACGCAGTCTCGATCACCATAGATGGCCAGTGACCGGAGTAACCAGCTGGGAACTTCACAGGCTTGTATGACTCGTCGGGCTTCTTAGTTCGTGTGGGAGTCACCACATCGGCCCCTCTGAGCGACCGCAGCTGAGAGTGGACATTCATGGCCCCGAGCTTAATCATAAGTGTTTTGTCGAGCTCGGCGTGCGCCTCTTCGTGAACTTCGCTGGCAGGCATTCTAGCAACAAGGATGCGAACCTGCGGAAAGAAATCGCTGTATGAATTCCCTAGAGACTCGTCGAAATCTCGTAGGAAGGTATGTTCGTCGATATTGGAAAAGATCACGTAGTCGTGTTTGGATTCTGCTGCTTCTTTGTAGACGATGTCCCGGAAGTGTTGCATGCCCTGGTAGGGATATTCACTTGTCGTGGGACTAAGCCCAAGCGCATGGCGGCTGATGCTGTCTGTATTCACTGCCATTTTCATAGGCTGTATTTGCTTCTTTCTTGGAGGATGCTTGAACTATGAGAGGTTATGTATGTTGACAGATACAGTTGTCGACAAGATTAGAACCACTTGTATAAAAGGTGTCCAGATAACCATTCTAGGGCAGTAGAAAAGTAATGCAGCATGTTTAGCATACACTTTATTTGCTACCATCTGGCCTGAATCCTAGATGCTCTCCTAAGGATACAGTCGATTTCAGAAAATAGATTTATAGTCTTAAATCCTTTTGATGACTTCACCATGATGCCATTTGGTTACAATCTCTATGAAACCCTTGCTGAACGACCTGCAGCAAATCGCCTTAGACGACAGACTTATAGGTATGTTAAATACGCAAGGTTAACTGACGAAAAGTGCTTCGCATGCTATACCTCGAGAAAGGATATAGATGGTATATATACAATACTAAATCTTACACGCCTCCTGAAACCGCGCTTTGAACAATAAACGTACTTGGCTTATAAGACATAAAAGGCCCGCTCAGCATGACAGATAGGCCCTTTCCTCCCTCCAAGTCGGACCAGTGTGTACATAGCCGTACCCGGGGTCTATATCGCCCCAGCCGCAAACCGAGGTTCCTCGGCCTGCGATGGAGACAGCATTGCTGCTTCAATGTCTGGCCGCCCGTGGTTTGGTGAGGTGTGTTTATGTTCAACGGATAAACTCTGGGTTCTGTTACTGCTACGTGCTACACCTCTCGTCGTGTTCGTTACCCTGTGACTAACGTCTCGGAGCCAGCGCATGAGTGGACGGAGCGTGATGAGACTCCCAGCCGTGATGCCGAGCCCGGCCTCGACGTTTGACGAGATAGCGATACTAGCGGTGGCATCTGAAAAAAGACGGTTATCAGTTATTAGATGCTTGTCTGACTTTTCATCGTGCGAGACTGACATAGGAAGTCTGGATTTTTATAGTCCGGGAGATAGGGGATACGGGCCGCGACAGCAGCACCTGCACTAGAGAGCAGTCAGTATAAGGGTTTCCTCTTCAGTCGGCCGACATACATGCATCCCATGCTGAGAATGACGCTTATCGCCCAATGGGTCCTCCGGCTCATGTGCAAGTCCTTAAGAAGATATATAGGAAAGAGTCCAAGTGTGAAGTCGCAAAGGCATGCAGTCGCGCTATAAAGGTACGCAATGCCCAGTACATACTGGGTGTCAATGCAGTGGCCTCTGCCCGTTCGTTGCCAGAATTCTCGAACTGGATGACACTGCAACGTCAGGATAAGCCAGAAGGCAAGACCGACAGTGGCTGTTAAGCCGATTACGATATACATGACGGCTGACTGGCGCCGCTGGACGGTAAGACGGAGAAGCAGCATTGCGATGGAGATCCTTGCGGTTGCCACGACCCAAACATAGGCGCTCTGACCAAGCCACCACCACTGTTCATGCTATGTGAGTTACTGGCAATAACCCGCTTGGGGATACGCTAGGACGCACCAGAAGAGCCGTTTGAGCATCTTCAACCGAGTCGAATTGGTCGAATCTTTTCCCAATTCCGGCAACTGAGCCAGCCAGTCCGCATATTGCGAACCAGATGTTGAATAGCTGAGAACTGTGTATCAGTTGAGATGTCTATTGTCGAGGGCCGTATCAGCTCACGTACCATTGCTAACACCATCAGGCCATCATCCCATCCAAAAGCTTTCACAAGTCTCAGCCGGACGAAACACCGCAGAGCGACGGCAATAAACGATATACACAGGAACACCATGGCCACTGTGAATATCGCCTTACTGCGACCGTGCAATGCCATTTGAATCAATCGATATCCATGCGAGTCAAGTGTCGTTGCATGGTAATCCTATCAACTGGTTGCATCTACAGTGTTTGCACGCCGCAGACACCAAGTCTGAATATGGTCATCGTCGACCGAAGAAGGTCGAATATCTCGAGGTGGAGGAGCACAATCTAAAGCCTATAGGGCAAATAGCAACACGAGTACACGCTTTGATAGGAATGTTGTAGTTGTAACCCGCCGATGAAGCTTCGGGACGTGGAGATGGGTGGCGGGCGGCGAATTCCTTGGATGCTGTTCTAATCCCCCGTTCCATGGATCCGGCATCATCAGAACGAATAACAGTTGAAGGAACAGTTTACGCCTAATGCTGGGCCTTGTGTAAAATGTAGTTATATACTTGTAACTGCAACACACCAGAAGTAGCCTTGTAACTTGTCTCTACTCCATCAGAGCTCCGGAACTTCAAAGCTTCGGGGTTTGCAAGATCTGATATCATACTCTTCTCTAACGTGGAGCAGCTATAAGTTTGACTCAATACTAAGCATATCCATAGCATTCAACATTATAAAACTAATATAAGAATAACAATCCTCCACGTACCCCATGGGGTAGACAGGTGGATCATCGTAGATCATCTAGTGTCCCCCATCTCTCAGTGCAGGGCGGACTGTAGCTCAACATGCATCCTTCAGCTTCATCCCTTGTATTACACGCAGATATTCATCCCTTTTGGTCTTTTAGTCTGGATGGATGATGTGGAAGAAATCATCTCCCTTTCTAGTCAAGCATCCAGCACACGCCAGTCTTTCTACTATCTTTCGAAGAGCACTTTTTTAACTCCAAGACATCTAGCGACACCCTATAACGAGCCTGCAAACAACAAAACCAGTCTGGTCTACTTTTCATCTCTTGAATTCCAGAGCTAATAATGCCATCATCAAAGCAGTCACCCAAGATGATCTCTTCAGATACACATCCGGCCGATGGCTAATCAATGAGAAACACCAACTCCAGCGACGTTTTGTCAAGTTCAATTTGGAGAACATCTTATTCCTTGCTTTTCAGCAATGCTACAAAGTGCGTGCGCATCGTCAATCTGGAAGGAAACTTCAACAAAGCGTTCGTGCTCACAATGGAGGACGGCAACGAGGTTATCGCGAAGATCCCCTGTGCAAAAGCGGGGCGCCATCCCTGGCGACGGCGTCTGAGGTGGCGACGATGAAGTTTTGTATGCTTCCTTGTTGCTTGACGTATTGTCATGCATGAATTTACATTTGTTTAATGCGATTGTATACATCAATCTGGGTCCCGGAAGTGTTAGCTTGGGGTTCAGACGCAACAAATCCTGTAGGTGCTGAGTATATCATCATGGAGATGATTCCGGGGGTTCCGCTCGCTGAAGAACAATGGAAAACGATGAGCGCCTTAGATCGCTACAGAGTGATTGACCGAATTGTGGAAATGGAGAAAGAGCTCGGCAACCTGCAGTTCCCGGCATATGGGAGTCTCTTTTTGCGAGACTCAGTGCCGGCCGTCTGGGTATCTCCATTACAAACTGCTGCTGGCTTTGGATCCAGCTGAATTGTTCTGCATTGGGCCGTCACGCGATCGATCGATGTGTTATAAATTTGCTGAGGAGTTTCAAAGCTGTGCAAGATGTCGGCCCAAGTGAGTCTGTTCTCGTCCTGTCTTCATTGTCTGCTCCTGACACTTACAGGGACCTCCCTTCTGAACTTTGCGCTGTCAATTCCCGAACAAGAACTAACGCGCATTGCAAATGAGCAAGCGGAGGTACAGGATGACCTCAATAACTTCAGCGAGGGTCAGTCCATCAACGAATATCGCGACCTTTTGACAAAAGTGAAGGATGTCCTCCCTATTCTAGCGCAGGATCCAAGCCTTCAAGTAGTTGCGAACCAGTCTGATGGCATACGGAACTGCATTTGGAAAATATCTTTGTTTCTTCCAACGACCCGACTATCATCAAAGGATTAATTGATTGGCAGTCAGCTCAGGCGGCTCCGCTCTTCATCCAAGCTCAATTTGCAGAGTTCCTTAGGCCGCCCAAGGGTTACAACCCTGGCAACGAAATCCCCAGTCTGCCGGACAATTTGAGGGAATAGATCCCGAGCAAAAGGAGCGAGCTATCAAGGACAAGACACTGGCCACACAGTCGAAATACTATGAAATGTCTCGCCTTACGTATAACAAACATGACCATGAGGCCATGAAGCTTGACCGGAGGCTATAGGAGCCATTTATGTGCTGCCAGCTTTTCTTCAATGGCTGCATGGTTCCACTGCGAACTCTCTGATTCGCATCTCACAGGACTGGGCTAGTTAGGGGGCTTCCGGGATGCTGTCCCTTTGCACTTTGAGATGTATACTGAGATTATGAGTGAGGAGTCATCACCAGATGCAGCTGCAAAGACGTGACCTTTTCCGCCAAGATTGCATTGACATGGTCTGGGCTCTTTTTTACTTGTTCAATTAGACCAGCTACCGCGGATTCAAGCTCACTTATTATGCGAGATCTTCAGATTGGGAGAGTACCCGCCACTTCCTCCTAAACCACGGTGCAATAGTCCAAGCACGCATGTCCCACGGCTGCATACCTCCCACAGACTCAGACGAACATACGATCCCTCCCCTCTCGACAATATCTTGTTTAAACTCAACCGCATCGAGGAGAGATGGCGCGGTAGCAGCAAAGGTAATCGCTTTTGCTCGCAGCCCCGGCAGCGGAAGGAGATCAAGAAGCGGATGATGCGGGAAGAGAATCTGGGGGAGGGTCGGGCGGAGATGAACCGGCATAACTGGGCGAGTAACTGTAGCTGCAGCCAGGAGGGATGATGGATCGGCCGACATGGCGGTGTAGGGCCGGTAGAAAGGCGAGCACAGCGACATGCAGTTGTAGCTGGAGAACTGGTCGATGCTGATGCCCAGGGCTGCCGCGTTGTAGACGCAGGCTGTGAGGAGGAGGGTGTATGTGGTGAATAGGGGTGGTGGAACTTCGTCTCTGATGGTCTCTTCCTTATCCCTTTTGCTAGACGGATTATGTGGACGGAAGAAATGGTCTACCGTCAGCGTAGCCGGCAGGGTCTTACTAGCTACATCCAGACTTTTCGTCGGAGTATCATTCGGGATAGGCACAGGCGCAGGTCTCAGTTCCCTTGAACCAACCTGTCTCTGCTTTTCGGTCCACTCTCTCCGTCGTTGCCCTGCTCATGTCAGCAACTGCACAGCACACCATGGAGACATTCGCAAAACACACGGTAAGCCCTCTGCGCGCGACGATTCTGGTCCCGGCGAGCGGGGGTGATGATTCGTTTTGACTTGGGCTTTGCGTCTGGCTTTCGGCTCTGCATTTTGATGGACATGGTCTGTCGTTATTCCATTACCCGTATACTCGGGATCGGATAAAAGTATGTAGTGTGGATGGCGGGTCAGTGCGGGAGGATAATCCACCGATGGCTTACGCAAATCAACCAATCGGAGTCTAGCATTAGATATCCGAATAGCATCATTCTCTCCGCGTAAGCCATAAGCCAGCAGATAAGCCAGCAGAATAAGCCAGCAGCATAAGCCAGCAGCCAGTTCCAAGAATATAAATAGTACATCAGCCAACTCATCATCCTCTCACCACCATCATCCAGAAATCCACCAACATGTCCCAAACCACAACCAAAAAAATCATAGTCATAACCGGCGCAACAGGAACGCAAGGCTCCGCCGTCGCACACACCTTCCTCCGCCTCCCAACCTGGCACGTCCGCATTATAACCCGCACCCCTTCTTCCCCCGCCGCGCAAGCCCTCGCCACCGCCGGCGCAGAAGTCGTACGTGCCGATCTCTCCGACCTAACTTCCCTCCGGGCCGCATTCAAAGACGCAACCGCCCTCTTCCTCAACACCGATTTCTGGGGTCCGTACCGCGCTACCCGGGACAGTGCAGCAGCATACGAAACGGAAGTCCAGCATGGGCGCAACGCGGCTATCGCGGCGGGGGAGGTAGCGTCTTTACAGCGGGTGGTGTATTCCACGCTGCCCGGGATGAGGGAGTTATCTGGGGGAAGTATATATATTCGTATCACTGGGATGCCAAGGCGCAGGTAGCTAAGATACTGCAAGGGGAGGAGGGGTTGAGGGGGAAGGTGTCGTTTTTGGTGATGGGGGCGTATGCGACCAATCCGCTGTTTCTGCCGAGGGTCAAGGCTGTCGCGGCTGGGGAGGGAAGAGTGTTAAGGTTTACTATTCCCGGGACGAGGACGCTGCGGATGCCGATTATCGCTGCGGAGAGTTCGACGGGGGAGTTTGTTAGGGCGATGGTTGAGAGTGAGAGTGAGAGTGAGAGTAGCAAGTGGGTGTTAGGATGTGATAGCTACCTGTCCATGGAGGAGGAGGTGGATGTGTGGAAGAGGGTGACTGGGTGGGAGGTTGAGGTCGAGGAGGTGGATGTGCAGGAGATGCATGAGCGCTTCAAGATTCCCTGGGAGGTGCTGGATGCGCCGCGGTTTATTGCCGAGTTTGGGTATACCGGCTCACTTAAGGTGACGATGCCTGAGGAGCTGGGGATACGGACAAAGTCGTTTGAGGCGTGGCTGGGAGGCAGGAACTGGGAGGAAATGATCATAAAAGCAGAGGAGGAGCTAGCTGGTATATAGGTAACATTATAGATCGGACTTTTTTCTGGGTTCCGGTTCCAGTTCCAATCCTTGCGCGAGTATCAGCTGCGCTATCGCATCCGCCGTCTGTAGATACGTCCGACTGCCCTGTATAAACCAGAAGGCGACAGCCACCACGAGCATCACCCCAAACACCGCAATCGCGTAGTTCATGTCCCCTGGCGCTGGGTCGGGCGAGCCAGGGAAGAAGAAGAAGACCGTCGTGATGGCACAATACACGACGCTGATCCAGTTGACTACCGTTCCCCAGCGGCCGAGGCGAAAAGGACCAGGCGGCAGTTGGTCCCGGCCCACGAAAAGCAGCACCGCAATGGGCAAAGCGTACGAGATGGTCAAGGCGATGGTGCTGACACTCAGGATGGCCTCAAGGACGGTGTTGGCAAAGAGGTAGAGCACGCCGACGAGCGCGATCAATACCCCCTGCGCCCAGAGAGCGCGCACAGGAGCCTTCCACGCGGGATCCACCACCGTCAGATACCGGCTCCAAGGGAGACCGCCGTCGCGGGCAAACCCCCAGGTCAGTCGCGATGCAGTCGTCAGGATACTGATGCCCTGGCCGACGCCATTGAAAATGAACAGCGCGATCAGCGTGGCCCGCCCTTGAGGCCGACCGTCTCCAGCATCAGCTCAATAAACGGCAGTCCGCTGGGCGAGTCAACAATCCTATCCACATCCTGCATGCAAAACAGACAGACGACCATGAAGATAAACCCAGTGACAGCACCCGACAGCACCGCCAGATATGTCACCCTCGGCGCGTTGATCCTCGGCGCCGGCATCTCCTCGACCATATGGATGACCGCGTCGAACGCAGTAAGCCCATACGCCGCCTGCACCAACCCAGTAAACCACACGACCCCATCACTCCACCCGGTCTGGTTAATCCACGCGCCAAAGACAAACCTCCCGGGCTGAAACGACAGATCTGCCTTGGTCCCAACAGAAATCAACAACGCAAGCGACAGCACCACAAACAACCCGTGAACCACACCCCCACAAACCCATTCAACCACGGCAGGATCTTCTCCCGCCGACACCCCACCACATTCACCACCGTCAGGACCAGCACCAGCCCCAGATAAATCACAAACTGCAGCCAGCCGACGCCCGCACCACCCCAATCCTCATCGAACGTGACCTTCATCCCCAGCAGAAACTCCGTCATAAACGCAATCTGCGACGCCGTGAGCGTCCACCACCCGAACGTGTTGATCCACGCACACAGGTACGACACGAACCGCCCCGTCGGCGTATGCCACAGCCTGTACACCCAGTACGCTTGCCCTAGCGCAGTAGGCATGCTACTCGTCAATTCGCCCAGCGAGACGGCAACGCACAGATTACACGCCGTCACGAGCACCAGACCCCAGAGGATGGTGATCGGGCCGCCGTTGGTAAGCCCGCTGCTGAGGCCCTGCGCGAAAGTCGAGTACGTTCCTACTCGCATCAGCATCGTCACTATTCCAGTAAGGCCCAGGGAGAAGGGAACCTACCTAATACGCAAAACGCGAGCGCGAGCATACTCCACAAATCGAATTTGCGGGACAGCGCCTGGTCGTGCCCCATGGTGGCGAGATCGCGCGCATCTTGCACGCTCTGGTCGACCGAGGCCGAATCGGCGGGTTTGATGTTTTCCACGTCCATCCAGCACAGCAAATTACAACTTAGGAGATTAATATGAGGGGTGAGAAATATTCAGACGTGTCCATTCTGTTGCAGTGCAGTGCAGTGCAGGTCTGGGTCTGGGTCAGGGTCATATATGCCCGGTAGATACCGACACTGAACTGACACTTCCCCTCACGAAAGCTGCAGGTATCAAACGCAGATAGAGATACAGTCTAGTCTAGATACGCACTCAGATTATTGGTAATGAGGGATCATCATCTTGGTGACGAATGTGATATTGATAACTGGCCAGCGAGTGATTTGTCGGCAGTCCGCAGTTCGGTTCGCTAGATTTTTTCACTTTGCGGGGTTAACCTTCTCGGCTGGACCTCCTGACTGCGGAATATCCACTTCCAGCCGATAGGGATGAAATATCTCAGGAACATTTTCTAGGTTGTATCAAGAAGAAAGGAGTATCCTGAAAAGGAAAGTCGATGCGAGTAAGCATTCGCGATCTGCGTCTCATCTACTGTACTCCGTACCTTACGCTCCAATGGTCGGAGACTCGGAGATGAGACATTTTTCCGCAGCGCTGATGACTGATGAGAGTAATGCGGGGTAAACATTATTATCCACTAGGTATATATAGATCTAAGATATACTCTCCCGGTCTTCGATCGACTCATCTCACACCAGAACAGCACCCAACGCAGCCATCCCAGCCAGAACGGGTACTCCCACACCCACGCCAGACCCCCGCCATTATTCGGCGACGGCGAAGCCTGCGTGAACACCGCTGTCGTCGTGGAACTACGGTGGCTGCTACTAGTGGTCTCGGCATCTACACTCGTGCTTGACGCGGACGCACGATGAGAATGCGAGCTACTTCCCATCTCACTCTCACTCGACGTCGTCGTGGTTGAGCTTGTTGACCCGGTCGCGGTAGCTGTGGCAGTCGCAGTCGGGGTAACCGAAATCGCCGTAAACGTCTCCTCCGTTGTGGTAGTAGCCGTACTCGTAGTCATCGCATCCGTCGACGCGCCAAGTGTAACAGTCGAGTAAGGCGTGTGGACCGTGACTCGTGTCGCCTCGCCCGTGCAGCCGCTGTTCCGTCAGCACCACTCGCACTCACAACATCTCTATCCGACCATGAAAGGAAAGGCAGCTTACCCCAGGAAATTCCCGCAACAACCCACAAAGACATTCCCGTGGAACTGGCACCGTTCTGCGATTCCGCAGCCCACTGTAGATAGTCATCACTCAATAAGTTATTCCATAGTGGGAATGGGAAAGGAAAAGGGAAGGAGGGGCTTACAGCCGCCATTGTCCAACGCGCAGCAGTTCAAGGCGCATCCGTCGCCGCAGCATGACCCAAGGAGACACTGGGCTCCATCTGCGCAGGTTTCGCGTTTCTCGAGAGACCCATCTGGTAATGCGTGGCGGGAGTAGAGGATCGGTGGGCTGACGTTGGTGGCTGTCGCCAGCTGGAGGATTGCAATAACGGTAACAAGTGAGGGGAGCATTTTCAACGCAATGCAGTCTTCTAATTTTCTGCAATTGGAAAAGTTTTAGGAAAGGAGAGTGCAGCGTCCTTTATGTTTACAGAGGTATGGCTGCTGGACGGGGAACAACCTCGTATTCTTGCTTGGCGGCTCCAAGGTTTAGTTCGCACAGGGCTGAGGATTGGGTAGTTCGCTGCGATACGAGGTCGGGCGCTGATCATCTCCACCGGTGTGACTCGCTTCGCGGTTATATTTAGCCTCATTACCAATGAACTAGGGGCTGAACCATCGTTCGTTCCTACAGGTATACAACTTCGATAATCAACATGCAAGGAAAATGTGCAGGTGAGTCATTCATGTTTGTATTGTGACAAATGCCCCGACTATCTCCGCATAGCAAGAGACAGAAGCTTGCCAAAGTCAGGAGTACCTAGACCAGTGACCGGGTCCCAGCCATCGGTGGCATTCCAGCTGGCATATGGCACCACAGGACTGCCATTGGGAGTACCCCCGAATCGGTTGCGACCGTCGCAGCCCTTGCTACCGCCATTGACAATATCGTTGAATCCCTTGCTGGCCTTGCTATACAGCCAGGGGTTCAGGAAACCCATGACGGGCTTGTGAGCGCGCAGACGGGCATCGTTCAGCAAAGCGACGATGGCGCTAAAGGTAGGAGCCGAGCAAGAGGTTCCGTCAAACTGGTGCAGCGTGCCCTTGTCGAACACGGCGTAGTTCTCGGCCTGAGCAGCAACATCGGGGAAGGCACGGCCCTTGGGGTTGTACAGGTTCTTGTACCGAGGGCCCAGCTTCTTGAGATAGCTCTTGACCGCCGAATCCTGCCAAGAAGGACGCTCCCACAGGTCGGAGAATCCGCCGGACGAGAAGTACACGGCCTCCTCGGGCTGCGTCTTGGTCGTGCCACCCACCGAGGTCACCCAGGGGCAGGCCGCAGGGAACTGGGGAGGGAAGTGGGTGCGGTTGGTGCCGTCGTTGGTCAAGCAAGCCGCGCCAACACCCGAGTCACCCGAGGAAAAGATGACGGAAACGCCGCGGCTGCCGAGCTGAGCGTACAGGTTGCAGACCGAGCGAGCGTATGTTGCAGGAATGGTCTGTTCATCCTCGCCGTAGGAGGTGGAGATGACCTGAGGAAGCTTGTCCTGGTCCATCTTCAACACGTTCTGCAGGAATTCCAGATACGGCTCGTTGCTGTTGTCGTTGGGGTCCGGCTGGCTGAGGTCCGGAACGAGAGGACCCCGGCCACCGGTGCTGAACTCGGTGACAGGAATGGGCGAGCTGACACCAACAATGTACTGCAAGTCGAGATTGGCCTCACCGCTGTCATTGGCGGAATGCTGGTCGTTCAGACCGCCATTGTATTGGATGACGCTAAAGTTCTGTCCAATGGCATACGGGGCCAGCTTCTCCTCGAACTTGGCCAGATCGTCATAGCGGGCGTATTCCTCCAGGAAACTGGCAAACGCGACCTTGCTGCCCCGTTTGGGGTCGGCCTTGTAGTCGCCGATATTGTACAGATCCTTGAGGCACTGAGGGGTAATGACCTGATCGCAAGTGGAGGTGTTGCCGGCTTGGATGGCCGCCGACAGAATGTCAGCATCCACCTGCACGGGCCGACCGCGCATGGTCGCCCGGTTGGGCTTGATCTGTCCGAAACGCGTGGTGGGCTGGACCATGTTGACGTGCGACGCGACCGACTGGGGAAGCGAGTATGCAAGGGTTCTCAGACGCTCGATGTGGCCCACCTCGTTCACGTACCACTTGAAGTCGGCATCGAGCAGATCATTGGCCGTGCCAACGGTTGTGCGGAAGTTGATCCAGTCTGCATCCTCCTCAATATCCGTAACTCCATTGGACTCCAGCCAGCCACGGACGGACTCGACCGCCTCCTGGGTGGGCAGCAGCATCCGCTTCATCTCGTCGTGGGTTTGAAAGTGTTTGCCGTAGTTTGGGTGGTACGGATCGGACATTTCCAGGAGGGCGGTCTCGAAACCTTCGACATCATGTTGCTGCAGGGCGATTTGGAGGCGAATGGGATCGCTGTCACTGGGGGTGTGGGAGTATTTCCATCCTGTTTTGTCAGCCTCGTCTCTTAGATAGTGATACGGGAACACAAACCTTGTGGCACAGCAGATAGCTTCTCAAAGAGCTCGGCAGCAACGGAAGAGGAGAGGAGAGAGACAACCGCGAGCAGAGCTCCACGGCTCACGAGCGACGAAAACATGTCGCTGCTGTCAATGGACAGATGGAGGAGAATGAATGGGAAGTGAGGGTGAAAGACAGAGGACTGAGGCGGTAGGATATTTATACCAACGGCCGATCACTGATCAACTGCATCTCGTCAGCTGCAAGCTGCATACCTGTTGCTACAGAGGACAGCGATGGTGAAGCAGCTCAATGGAGAGCCTAGCAAATCGGAGGACCGACGGGGTCCTGCTAGGCTGCTGGATCCAGGACATGATCGCCTTTCGATTGGATCTGCCCTGGCGGGAATTCCGATGGTCCTGCCGAAGAGTTACATGGCGCGAGGGGGTGGTTCTTGGTGTCTTGGATGCTGGCTTATCAGGGAGGGATCGTCAGGAGAGCTCCACCGGGGGGGGGGGGCAGACTCATTTCGGCTAGGACTGGTCCTAGAGATTGAATAGCAGGGTAGATAGATAGCAGACAATCTAGCATGTGCGGGGTTTCCATGTATGACCTGTCATCGACTCAATTGATGAAGATGAACGAGGAATTGCATGATGTGCGAGGTGTTTGTCCAATTCTAAAGGCGATTGTTTGTTGATCCTGAATCCTTGAAACTCTGAGAATTCGCCAAGAACTGATCGCCCATGGCCACATGAGTCAGGCTGCCAGGCACACCAATCCCTTCGCACTTGGTCCAGGAACCAATTATTGAACTGTCAACACTATTATTGATGTTATCAAGGAATACAATCCTTACTCTACAGAATGCGTACAATTGTATCTGCCTGGGTCCAGTGTCAATAATTACTCCGTCCACAGTTGCATTTCGGCAAGCTCCGTAGACTCCGTACCGCCAATTGCATTGCAGGATGGGGATTGGAGTAGGTAGTATCCATTATCCAACACGAACAACTAACCACCGCTGATAAGTCGATGGTGAAAAGGGAAAGATTAATGAACAGACCGATGATTGGTCTGATATCTGTATTTGCCAATGTCTCGCCCCTAAGCTTGGTCGCTACAAGCATGAGTGGTCGAGGCTTGCCAGGGCTTGCTGTAGCTTGCTGTAGCTTGCTGTAGCTTGCCTGGGCTAGATGAGGGACGATATTAACTTGCTTGGCATTAGACAATGGCAATTGGCTAGCATGATATCTCCTCATTAGTCTTTACTAGGATTTGCTAGGATTTTGGACTCAATTTGCTCCTTCTCGGCAAGCAGGCGGTATCACGTGCTAGCGGATTCATCACAGTAGCATAGACAGTGACAAATATATAGCTCTGTCAAGCAGTAGTTAGGAGTGGTGCATAACATGTGATATTGCTGGCTTGCGTATCAAAGAATTCAGTATGAACTTGGACCAGCCATAACACGGGTATCCATACCCCAGAAATCTGATGAACCAAGGTTTGGTCAACTCTTTATATTTACACGACTTACCTCCCCTGATCCAGATATCAATCATATTATGATCAACCATGGCATGGTCTTTAAGCATCATACCACTTCTATGATAAAACACTGTATGTATAAACTACTTATGCAGCACCCCTGGTAAACACGTTACTACTGACTTGCTCAGACTTGCATAATGTCAACGACCGACAACGGACTGATCTCGTCCTCAACATAATCTGGACGAAAGGAATGTATCAGAAATAGCCAGACCTTCTTGGCTTAAAACAATGACACCATCGATGTCTTCACGCTTGGCTGAGCCTCAGTCTGAGCCTGAGGTCTGAAGAATACTTAAACTTGGTCGCGTGGCTCAGACTACGTCTACACAGAATATCAGCTTGGCACACTTGGCCTATGCCATCAGTGACTCATGAAGCTGTCACTGCGATTCTCTATGCGTATCCTGATTGCAACAAAAGTTCGATATCGCGACGCTTATCTAACGGAGCACACCCGTTGCAGTGTAGATGGACAACTTCAGCACTGGATCCGACCAGCTGGTACATACGGTCATACCCACCGGTTACCAGGATATCCTCAGTCATCGGCCAGCATCAGACACTACAGGCATACCTTATCTTCTAAGGGTGTAATACAATAGCAAATGCACAGCCACATCCAACACCTACAGTTACATATCTAGATCTTGTCTACCCTCGTGAGCTGTTGCCCACCAGGCCCTGGGCGTGGCCACCCCCGCATCCGCCTAGACCGGATCACTAAACTATGACGCACGCCACGCACAGCCATCCAGTCCCCATCAATCATCGTCAAGAAAAGAGATACACCTCACCCTCAAGAGTACCTAATTGTAGATCATGATGTAATCATTCTTTAATCCCATGGCATATATAAAACATACTTCATCCCATACCCTGGCCATTATCACCTCATATATCATTATCATCTACAAACTACACTACAGTCGCAACCACATACAAAACCAAAGATAAAGAGGGAAAACATACAATGGACCTCCTCCAGAAACACGGCCACCTCAAACACGACCACCGCAAGTCCGCCGCTCAGAAAGAGGAGACTGAGCAGCGGCATCAGCAGACTCAGCAGCGTATGTTCCTACTCTCTTTTTTTTCCCTCTTGTGTGAGAGAGACTGACGAGAATCGCTGGCTAGAATTCAACGAGCTACTCGGGAACTTCGGACAGTCGCATAACGATCATCCTGATCGGAGGAGTAGTGGTGCGGGCAATATGGCGAGGGATATTGAGGAGTTTCAGAGGTTTGTGTCCTACCTTGGGTTGCGGTTTGGGGTAGAGCTGACCTGGTATAGGAGACTGTCGAATGGGGAGAGTTTGGAGAAGAGGGAGTGATTTTTCGAACCTAATGAACTTGACATGTATATGAGTGGTGATGGAAATACTTATGATGATTTTGTATTATATATCTTTTGAATGAAATGGTAAACTAAATCACACGCTACATGCGTAGTAGAAGAAGTGAAGATATATATACCAGTCCCTGCACAAGTGATGTGATCAGTAGACAGGAAGCTTGAAAGCAGGAAAGGTGTAGGTCCAGCTGTCAATCGACTTCTCGTCGTTGACACAGTCAAAGGTCGAATTGTCCTTCCACAGCGGACGGGTAGGCCACTGGCAGAGCATCTGAGTCTCGCCGGCGTAGTCGCCAGAAGACACAGTAGTGTTCAGTCGGGTCGGCCGCACGCCGTTCTCCACCCAGTCGATCATAATCTCCATGTTGTTCTGCGGGTATGGACCGGGCTGCAGGGAGTTGGTACCGCAGTGCGCCGCGCCGGGAATAAGATAGAACTGGTACCACTCCTGCAGCTCCTTCAGGCTCTTCGAGGCCGCCACACCGGGGTACATGATCGAGCGCACAGACTGCCAGTAATGCACGGACGAGGCGGCGGGGATACTGGGGTCGGATTCACCGTGGTAGTGCAGCAGCTTGCCGCCGGAGGATTGGAAAGTGGTGAGGTCCGGGACGGTAGTCTGCAGGCTGTCCAGGAAGCGCACCATCGCGGTGTTCATCCATTCGACGAGGGTGTCGTATGTGACGTTGTCAAGAGTGGACAGGTTATCGAGATCCAGAAGCTGGACGAACTTGGTTACGAATTCACCGCCGGTGGACGGGATGCTAAGCTCCCAGGAGCCGGTGTCATTGTTCCACTCCGTGGTGGCATCGGAGAATTCCGAGGCAATCTGCCAGGAGAGGTAGGCGCGCTGGCCCTGGGTGTTGTGCAGACCGTCGTAAATGGCCTGGGCGACAGCCACACCCTCCTTGGTGACGGTGCCGTTCTGTGCAGGCTGGTAGCTGGTCGTGCTGCCGGGTGCCTGGCGTTTACTGAAGCCGAAGCCGAGCGAGGTGCTTGTCTGTGCGGCGCAGTAGTACGGCTCACCGACGATCTTCGAAAGGTCAAAGTGCAGCTTGCAGAGGTCGGTGCGGGAGACAACGCCGTCAGTGCGGCCGTCGAGAGGATCGCAGGCCTCGATGGTGGCGTTGACGATCTTCGCCAGCTCACAAGGGGGAGGGTAGTAGTCAAGAGTCTTCTCAACAACCGAGGGAAAGAGGTGGTTGACCTGCTGCTGGGCGAAGCGGAAAGCCGGGGCACCAGTGATGGCACCGTCGTACAGGTCGCCGTAGCGCTGAACCTGACTCATTCCTTCACGTCCACCGTCGGAGCATCCTTCGTAGTAGGTGTAGACCTTGGCATCGCTGGACAGACCGTAGAAATTTCTGGTCAATGTCTTCCCGAGGGTGGTCATCTCACCCAGGGCCTGGTAGGCGAACATGTACGTGGCGTCCCAATTGATCGATCCGTTGCCGTAGAGGACCACCTCGTCGTAGCTGTAGCTAAAGGCATCGTAACCCGCATCGGTGGCACCAGACGCCGCACCGTACTCTAGACCGCCAGTGGCAACGCTGGAGAGGGAGTAGCCACCACCTCCGGCAACGTAGAACCGGTTCTTGAAGTCGGAAGGCTGGGGGAAGGCATACTTGACCACCACGTTGTCGCCCTTACCGGGGTGAGTGTAGGTGACCGTCACATTGCAGTAGGGATAGTTGGCACTGCTGGAGCCACCCATGCTACCCGTGCCACCCGTGCCACCGCTGGAGGTACTGTTGTAGACCGCACTTGCAGTCACGGCGGAAGGAATCAGGTTGATACCGAGAAGAGTTCCGTTCGAAGGTAGGGCGGACTGCACGTGGGAGACGGTGCAGACGTCAGCGAGTGATGCAGCATTGGCTGCCGCTGCCAGAGCGGCAACAGCTGTGCCGTGGGAGGTACGCATGACGAGAGTCAAAAGAGTGACAAGAACGAGTGTTGGATTTATGAATAAAAGAGTTGTCGAAGATTGGTACGCGACAGGATCTTTATATGAAGTAGCGGTCCAGACTCCTGAGCATCTTTTCTATTCGTCAAGCATACTGAACCCATCTCAGGTTAGATAACGACGGGCTGAGACCTCATTGTCGTCGTCATCTGTTTGTGGATGCGCACGAGTACGCAAGTCAATGTTTGGGGAGAACACTGGTGACGGAACTGGAACACGTTTGATGGATAGAAACAAGCATGCAGACACATGTTGCCTCCTTGATTTCTTCAGGAAATTGATGTACGTATACTTGAAGCTAAAGCAGGTAAATTCGGGACTAAAAGCCGTTCCTGCGTTTGATGATGGACCGGACGTACTGGTTTCCCACAATCGCAGAATGGTTGCGATTCCGGATAAAGTCGAATCCGGTGGGAGGTGAAGAATTGTGGGGATTCTATCATCTCAAGCAATGCCCCTCAAGGCTGCCTCCCACAGGGATCAAACACGGTGCAGATCGAGTGCGGTGGGACAGATCGGCCGCGTCATTGGCTTTCCCAAAGCCCACTGAAGATGACGCGTCTGTTTGAAATATTGGTTGAAGATGAACAGGCTCATGAAACTAACGAAATTTAACCCCTTGCATCGCTGCCTTGAATAGAAAGGTTATTGGCATCAGTGGGGCTTGATCTTATCAATCTATGCTTATTCCCGAGATTTGAGTCTCGGTCGTCTGCTCCTGAAGTGTTAGGTGTCTCCGATTGTCCGGTTGACTATTTACAGTTGATGATGATGGTGGTGGTGGTGGTGGATTCATACCCTGACCCCTCGTCTAGGCGATATGCAGGATATAACTATCTAGTCCTTATGTCTGTCTGTGTATAATAAACTATTACTTTCTGATGACTTTAGAGCCTTGTCATGGCCTGTGGTGGCCTACATGCCTGGTATCCTGTTTAGTAGCCCTGCGGCGCGCGGGTTTGAAACCTCTGCAATGCCTCTGTGAAGTCTAGTATTGCCCTTAAGATACTACTGTCTTATTTATCATCCTTCTTACCTTCCTTACCTTGAGATCCTCCGTTTAGTATACCAGATGATACGGCGGTTGTGGTATCTGTAAATGATCGCTCAGAGCGCGATCTTATGAAATGCTTTAAGATAGGTACTAGTTAACTGGACAGTTATGAATAAGCAGCTCTAAATATAGTAAAATCTGCTTCATAAGTGCCGCAAAAAACTGAGGGTTTCTGTTTCTATTACTTACATGGAGGACATCCACCCCCTACCAAGGAATACTGACAAAAGAGGAACTTCCTTAGTAATGAATAGGATGCTCTGTAATTAAGATTACTAAGTTAATGCTAAAGTCTCCTCAGGACAGCCTTTGGTTTGATGAGATGTGTATTGAACAATGTGATACCCTAGGCTACCTTGTTAGCATAAGGGTTAGTACTGCTGGTAGGACCCTGAAGGGAAAAAGCATTACTGACCTAGAATGTATCAGTTACGAGCCCTTGTTAAATATACCAAGCAAGGAGGTATTATAGACTCCTATAATGACATTCCTAACAACATGCGCAAATAACTATATGCAGAAGAGGATCAGCAACTATCAAGATAAAATAAATCCCTAAACACTATAACTGCATCAAATGCTCCCATAAATTAATTATCTATATCCTCCCAACACAGTGATCTCAACCTTGGCTAACTTCCTCCTGTGGCACCGAGTCAACTCCAAGAATGACCCCAGCGAATCTCCCTGATCCCATTGATATTCCCGGGCTACTTGAAGTCGCAGTCAAGGAATATACTGATTGGCGTCTATCACGTGTGGGTACCAAGAGCTTTAAGGAAAATATCAAGAAAGCTCATGATATAGCGTTAGACAACTGTCTTGATCTGAAGCAAATCTGTGGTGAAAACTGAGATTCCTCTATCAAACAGGGCGTGAAAATTGCGCAGCGCTGCAGGTTCGTTACCAACATTGGCCTTTGGATCAAGCACTGTGAACAAAGCAAGGCGAGTGAGAATGGACCTAATTATTGTACATAAAAGACATTACCTGTTGCCTTTGTTAGCATTACGTTATTGTTTTCTCTCCCCCGGCCGGATTATTAGCTCTCCCAGTGCATAATAAAGATTTGTTCCGAGCTGTTGGAAAGAGATAAGCATATGTAAATGTGAGAAGTATGTTTAAATCGCTCTTTCGGGTGGCGGTTCACTTATTATATGCCAGGAAATCGATATCGACATTCTCGCGGGGAGCAGCGAAGATCGCCCTGCTATTGCGATCCTGTACGGCTTCGATCCAAGGCCCGGCAGCAACGACGAGGAGGAGGAGTAGCTGCAACGCACCATGAAATGGAAATCTCTAGCTCTCTCACTTCCTTATGGATGAACAGTTCACTGTCTGTTCCCTGGAACAGCAGACCAACTCTTCTCTATACGCTGCGCGGGCGAGTGATTACTAGGCCGATATAGAAATAGTTAATCTTCTACTTAATGGAAATTGCTAAAATGTCATTATCGTTGGGTTTTATTACGTTGCCATATCTGAATATTATCCTCCAACTACACTGTATCAATCAAGCTCGTTCCAAAAATCACCATCAAACGACACCATACATTTCCAGGAGTTCCATTCCCAAACGGCTGCTCCCACCGCAGGAGCGCAGGCAACCAGACCAGGTATGAAAAAAAACTAGCCCGCGCGTGAGCAGAAGAAGCCTGCGTGCCGGACTACCTGCAGGGCCACGACCCAGCTCTCGGGCCGTCCTCTCAAAACACCCAACTCGGCAAGAACTGACGGAACCTGGCGAAAGCCCCAGGACCCGGACCCGGGTACGCCCTGGGGCCGAGGGGATGGTCGGCGCACATGCGGACGTCGGACATCGTAACGCCCTCGGGCAGCTCTGCTGGGTCGATCCTCATCACGCCCAGGGACCCGCACTCAGCCTCGGCCGCGGCGACCTCGTCAGGGGTTGCATCTGGGCGGAGAGCGGCGAGGGCGGTGGTTGCAGAGATGCCGAGGAGGAGGGAGAGGTAGGTGAGGGGTTTCATGTTGGAGTTGGATCAGGCGATGATCTTATATAGTGGTGTTAGGCCTTAGAGAGAAAAAAAGGGCTGATTAAGAAAGAAAGATGGGAGGAAGGGGATTTCGTACCTTTGAAACTCACGCAGGAATACTGGAAGGGTATTTATTGAGTGTAACGGGGAAGGTGGCAGGCGCTAATCCTCTGGGAAATGAAGATATTAATATGTTGGGAAGCAGCGGGCTTGATCTGGCTGCTACTAGCAGGCAAGGATATAAAACTCACGTGCTGAGCAGGGGTGTGGTGAGGTTCGGTGCTGGATCTCAACACTTAGCCTTGTGAGGAGCCTGCTTCTTTATACAGCTAAGACTGCTGGCGTCGTGCGAACAGGCGATGTGGTCAAAAGTCACCGTCACCCCAGGCAGCCCAATTAGTTGGTACCCTCATTTACTGCCTGGTTACAAGGCGATCTTGATAGAAAAAGGGACTCACTTTCTAGGCAAGGATCTATCTGACTACTAGACCTTCAAGCTGAGTCATGGAGTGCAGTCAGTGAGGTCTCACCCTATCTCCACTCTTATCGATAAAAGCAGGCATACAGGAGACTTTTGTATCTGGTTAGAATAGAGTGCCCTCTCGCAATGGCATGGCAGGACTAGCCCTATTAACTAATGTAATGTTAGGATTACGAAGACACAGTCCAGAACTCATTCTCGCAGGATAATTATAGGCAGTGGGTACTCCAGATCAGCCCAACCTTATAGTGGGGAAACAACCATTTTTTCTAGTAGTATTAATCAGTTGGGGAATCCAGGGAGCTTAATTAAATTTAGTGACCTTGTAGGGTGGTGCTCTGTTAACATCCAAGATAACTAGGTCATAGAATCAAGTTTTTTGACACAGCAAATCATGGTACCTCCACAGAGATAGTCTTAAGAGGCCAAGCGGAGCTGTCGAGGCTCGTGGCCTCTATCTGAGACCTTCCAGTTGCCGCGGTCATCGATTACTCTAGTGATGCAGGGCTTGCTTCGCTCTCTTTTTGTGACCAATGATGGATTCCGGAGCCGAGCCTTCCAAGTGGCAGGCACTCAGGGAAGCTCTTGCCTGTTGTGAACAAGCGCAAAAAAAAAAAAAAGACGCTATTGCTCCTGTGTCTCAGTTCAAGGCTCTGGCCATTTCCCACAATGATGAAGCAGCTCTGTGATAAACTCTTTTAAAGTCAGATGCATTAGTTGAGCCATGAAAAGCCTTGAAGATAACCCCACCTTAAGCATAGGCTGGGAGAATCTGGTAGTGCTGATCATGGTGGGATTTAGCCACTTACATAGGTGCTATGCTATGAGGAGACCAGCCAGTTTGTCTAAAATATATCCTGTTATTGCACCCAGATCCATCCATATAAACAGGACGATATAAGCAAAGTCAAACATGAAATGTGAGTATGCATCCTGTAGATTGGTGTCCTGCTCTTTTACCTTCTGCTTTATAACCTTCTTTGACCAGCCTATGTGTTCAAGAGTACGGCTAAGAGAGGATATCACTACCTTCTCCTGATATTCATCCCTTATTAAATAAGGCTTTTTAATTAGATGATCATAAAGAGCTCGAATCCATAGCAGGTGTGAGTGCTTATGGCCATCCTCTTTTATGAGGAGGTGCTTTTACACTACCAAATTAGTGTATATTAGACCTTAGCCATCCGAGCCGGGCAGGCTCACCATTTGTGGGACAGTGAGTTCATTACCAATGATCATATCTTGGAGTAACTCCAACGTCGATGCAGCCAAATTGGGTGCCCTCCTATTGCTACACTAAAATGATCGACCAGGAACTTCAGAAGGATCTTTAAGTGAGATGGGGAAGATGTTTGCGGAGGGCATTGAGGGGGTGCACACGCTAGAAAAGGGCGCTCTAGCGCTAAAGAGCACTACCCTTGTTCTACCCGCGTCCATTCCTCATCTTCCACCACCGCCGCTGGTCACCCTTTCACAATTATCTGTCGCTCCCTCCTCTTAACATTGCATTTCTCGACCTCCAAAACACCAAGAGGCACGCCATCAGCTGACCTATCCCACTAAAAATATTCCATTACTAGCACAGCACAGCATGGCCGCATTCCGCCTTTTCCCCCATCTCCCCTTTGAGCTTCGCGCTCAAATCTGGCAGCTGACAGTGGAGCCGCGTACTGTCGAGGTCCGCGTTAAGAAAGTTGATGGATTAAGGGGCAAGATTCTGCATGTAACCTCATCAACACCAGTACCTACGGTCCTTCAGGTCTGCCATGAAGCCCGAAACCAAGGGCTATACCAACAGGCCTTCAAGTTCCCCTCAGGGGTTAAGCCGCAGTATGTCTGGGTGAATTTTGAGATTGACATGATCTCAATTGGAGACACCTATTTCGATACAATTGAATCAGCTGAACAACAGCTGATTCGCCGGCTTACTATTCAGCGCGAGAATACAGACTCCTTTTTCTACTCTGAGTCCCGGGAGTTACAAATGTATTCTAATCTAGAGGAAATGCATGTCATCTGTGAGGATGGCCTGCTGGCATGGCAGGACGCCTGGGAGTATGTTTACTGGCCATGCCCAAAAGAGAATCTAAGGTTTATTGATAAGGAGACGGGGCAGATTGCGGTTGGTGAGGACCTGGATAGGATGTCAGACGAATGGATGGCAACTTGGTGATCCTAAATGATTATTCAAGCCCTTATCTTATAAGTTAGTTTATAGAACTTGCTGTTTAAGCTGACAAGGTGGTTGCGTTCGTTACCATTCTGGCTCATAACAACCTGCTCAAACGTCAGTGATGCCCATCAACTACTATCTGTCTAGTTTTACCACACTGACTGGCCAGCCACCTATGTCTGACATTTCCTTGACCGATCTCGACATTGTCTGTTTGCCTTGGACGCTGATTACTGTACAAGGATGACTCTACTCCGCAGAATAAACTCACCTTCAGCTTCAGGTGCATGTGAGGCACCTCAAAATGCTGCACATTAGCGAAAGGCTGATCTATAACTGGCATAGTAACTTGTTCGACTGAATGCCCGCTGCTCGACCCGTACCCATCCTTTCTCTTCAGGCATTCACTGCCGGCCGTGTCCACTCCAGATCCCGCCCTTTCGAACCTACGGTCACGTACACTATATGCACGACATGTTCCTGAAAGCTTCCGACTCAGAATCGAGAGATTTCAGATAGGGTTTAATGGGACCGTGCTTCCTGCATGGTTCAGGGTCGTTGCTGTCTCGCGTCGTAGTATCATCGACTGCACGAAACCTGTTTCAAAGTAATCGTCAAAGCCACTCATTCCATAGGAGCCTTCTTTGGGTAGCAAGGTGAAGGTCCCCATTGACCTAGTCCAACGTCGATCCTGATCTTCATTTTGGGCTCGATCCCTGCCACATTAGTGGCGGATGGAGAATAAAGTACAGCACGTCATATCAGCATTAGTCGCCTTCGCCTCGCATTCCCCCGTTCGTAAATGGCCACAAACACAAATACAAACACAAGAAAACAGCAGGGATCAAGCAGTGGATCCCGACTCTACCCGCCACAAAGATAACGTTCTTATGCACAACATTCATGTGAACTCCTCTCTCCTGTACCTAGTCCTGAACGCTGTATCTTAGACATGGGGGGAGGAACAAATACCAATCGAGCAGGCATGATTGCCCTAGGGGTAATCAACAAGGTAGATTCGCCAAATCCATCCGTCAAGTCAGATCCCTGTTGGACGGCGACCCTAACCAGAAAGCAAAGGTACATCCTACTTGGTAACGGGTTGGATAGGACTGGTCTAGATCCGCCACAGGCTGCGGAGTGATCTGCACGGAGGGTGATTGCGTTACATTGATCACTTGCATAAAAGTACTGTTTAATATATTAGCTCCGGGCGGAGATGAGCTAGCCTAGCGTTATTTCTCCGACAGGCTACGAGGAAGGGAGTGGTTCTGGTAATTCGCTCATGTCTGGGATTAAGGTTTATTTCGATATAAGGTGCCGTGGACTCCGTGGATATGAGAAAGATTGTGGTATATTCATACGAATAGTACACTGCATAACTGCACAAGAACTTTTGGGTATATTAACTAGTCAAGGAATCCCAGCGCCACCGATAGGAGAGTAGCCCAATTAATGAAGTCAGCCATTATAGTATACAGCGATGGGTAAGAAAGAAATGGATATGATTCGCTAGGCGCGAAACTTCTCATTCTCCTTGTTGTGTCGCCACAGCCCGCCAGGAAGCAGGTTCTGTTTCAGAAGCGCCAGCTCCTTCTGCAGCGTGGCGTTCTCGTCCTGCAGCTCCTGCATGTAGGCAATGGCATTGGTCAGGATCTCCGACTTCTTCAGCGAGGCGGGCCCCGACCCGCCCTTGGTGGGTTTCTGGACCCCGCTGCCGGACATGGCTTTTTCTAGCGCGACGAACTTGGCGTTCATGTTGGTGCGGTACCGCTTCTCAATGATGTTGTGGGCAGCTCGCTTGGCGGCGTTGCGGCCCGTTGCTGTTTGCGAGTCGGTGGAGAGACTGCGGGAGTTCTTGCGGGAGGTTGAGGCCGCGGGGGAGAGACGGGTGCAGGGGCGGGAGAGGTGGTGGCCTGTGAGTTGACGGGGTACTCTTGCGGTGTCATTTCAGGGCTGGACGACCAGCGGGTAGCTTGTTCGCGTTTCTGGGTGGTTGTTCTGCGGCGGGTTGTTGGCTTTTCAGTTGTGCGTGACGAGATGGCGGGGGCGTCTGGCGTGGCCGAGTCCAGTGACGAGACACGGTAGGCGGGAGACCAAGGTTGATCTTCACTTTCCAGATCCTGGATTGGTCCTTGTCAGTAATTTGTAAACATGGGCAGTGATACAAAAAACATACCGATGAGAGAGAATCTTCGCCAGAGTGAGAGATTGCAAACCCGCTGATATCTGCCGGGGGAGCGAACAAATCCACAGGGAAATCCTTGGGATCGAGCAGCATATCATTGGGGATATCGAGAGGGAAGGTCTCGGGAAGCATGGTGTTCAGCGAAAACAGATCGATGGCGCTGTCATAACTCCAATTGGCCGATAATGGATCAGGGCCCTTGGGCTGTTGGTTGGCAAAGCGGTCATCGTTGTCAAAGGTGAATGCCGTTGAGGCATCAGGTCTGTTGTATGCCATGGCAGGTGATGATGCTGATTGAGTACTGATTGAGTAGTACGGTGTAGAAGAGATGCGATCGTAGCTGGAGGCGGAAATATAAATATCGAAAACGTGTCAGGAGCTCTGGATGACAGATATAGAACCGTGGATCTGAAGAAGATATAATTCAGGTCGGAAGGCCGCACCCGGGAGATATATAAAGCCCGTGCACAATTCAATATTTTCCGTGGTCCACGCCGAGAAGCCACTAGAGCAAAGCTGTATTCGCTTGTCTGGCAATCCACCTGTCACCGGTGACGCGCAACTGTGATCACCCCAGCCGGATGCAGGGCATTCCAGCATCGGTGGGCTCCGATGAAGGCCGCTGAAACCAGGACCATCTTCCTGCATAAACACAAAAAGACACCGACGTCAGAGATGACCGGTCCAGATGTCAGAGATCGAAAGTACCACAGTGGCTTGAACGATGATAACCGCATAGTGGATGCACAAGATTCAACGGGCGACAATGAGTGGACGAGAAGCTGCACCACCACCGTTGGCCCAAGGGAGAAAACGGAAGATCTAGTGCCTTAGTGCCTCGGGCGTTTCCGTACTAACTTCGAATAGGGCTAACGCCAAGATGCTTCGGCCGAAACTCGTCACCAGCGATTCTCTCGGCTCCGAGTCTACGGCCGTTTTGTCTGCAGAATACGGGTAATGTTTTCTTCTGGCCTGCAAGCAGCAATACAATACGGTTATTGGAATACATACAGGATCCTGCGCTGAAACAGGTGCCTCGATGTTACTCAAATATCCAGCCAATGTCGTTGCCCTATTCTTTCTATTGCCTTGATCCAGGTGGCGGCATTGACTTTATCCCGGTCCAATGCCTTGTTTCTTGAGCTCCCTCAATCCGACAGATAGGTACCCTCTCTCTGGACAGATAGACAGAAGCTGTGCGAGATCTTGATGCATATCGATGGAAGACACGGATGCTAAGGTATCTGATGCAGAAGGCATAGGCGTCTATCTAATGTACCATGTCAGTGCGATACAAATATAAACGCGTGTCGCGAGAGCCATCAAATCCTCCTAGTCTAGCGAATCGTCAGGTCCAACTCTCCAATTCATTGTGCACTCTGCACATTTCTTCACTCTGTAGTGTACCATGTCTAGCTATCTTGGTCTATCGGTAGATACATGTACCGAGTGGGTTCGGTACCCCAGATAGCCAACGACGCCGTTGACGACGGACCTAGAAAGCAACCAATAACCACTCACACAATTCCTATTACCATCTCAATTGCCCTAGTTCTCAGAATATTCTCGGGTGTATCCGCCGACAGTACTTGGAACACTGCCGTAGTGTGATCGTAGTGTCAACCACAACGATCCACGGCCCAGTCACCGAGCCGGCACGGATGCCGGGCCTCAAGGGTCTCTCTGCATGCCACTCAGTGGTGTGATCCCGGATCTCTGATTGCGAGGACCCATCCCCGTACCTGGCGCGTCAGCGGCGTGAGGTTACCTGTGCCGTGGCTGTTAAGGTTGAGCCCGTGGGTTCGATCAGGGTCGTGGATATCGGATTCCGTGGGCGTGTGATACACATACACGATTCATCCGACCTAGAAGCGATGCGTCGGAACTGTATGCGAGAGTAAGGTGATCTTTCTGTGTTGATTCCGAGTATCTCGTCCGAGAAATTTGTGAGTTGGCGTGTGACCTTGCTTCACGTTGAGGAATATGTCGGGATAGTAGAGCGGCAAGAATGTATCCTGGATACATATCTGCCCTGGTGGCTAGGATTCAGGCTGGCTCACATGCACTGCTCAGCCCTATCGGTTATTTGACTCCTTCAGGTTTCAGCATCACTTCGGCTTGTGCATGGTACTATGGTATACCGAGTAATGCTTGATCGTTAAAAGAGGCAATCCTCGTAGACTTCCTCAACGGGCATCTGATCCTTCAGCAGATCTAAGTTCTTAGTACCCTATGGCTAAAAGGTATATTTAAGACTTCAAGTACATAATATATATACATATATATATACAAGAGCTGGGATTTGCTAGTGGGTCACCCACCCAACTACTAACTGGCCGGCATGTGGCTTAAACACAGTTAATACCCTCGTGGGTGCCTCTTACTAGTGATAGAGGGTGATGCTACTTTAATAGAAGGGTAATTAGTATAGGTAAGGTACAGTTTAGTAAGATAGTGATGTATGCAGGATACATCTCTAAGCCTGATTACATATCCTGTCTCAGTAGTGTCAACACAAAAACTTCGACTTCTCTTTACACCCATAACCAACCAAACCATCAGTTGAAGCAATAGCAAGAGCGTACAAGAAGGCAACATGATGAGGATACATTACGGTGCAAAATCTTCTTGCTCATGTATACCAATAACACACGCGGTCCGTTCCGTATGACTACATGCCGCTCCCGGTGATCATCCAGGAATGCAAAGCGTGGCCCGTGGGTTCCGAACTGATGTTCATCGTCCAGCATCAAAACATCCAACTCGAACAGACCTTGCCGCTGGAAGGTATGACGGACGTCCGGTACTCGCTCTTCGCGAACTTCGATCCGCTCAAGGAGGTCTGGCTGTCCTCGGAGCCTCATTCGAATCGGCTGGAGATCCAGATCTGTGCCAACAGCGGCGTCTTGACACAAAAACAAGCCGCATTCCTGTCCGAGGAGATAGCTAGGGTTGTGAGGTTGTTTTGGCTGTCCCCCTGGCATGCTGCTTGATAGTGCTGTGGAACACATATGTCCCCATATGCTACGCCAGAATTGAGAATGCCCGTGCAATGTTGGGTGGGGTTTCCTTTGCATCGATCTACAGAGCTTAGAAACACTTAATTCAAACGGCTTAATTATATGCATTTCTTTACTACTGTCAGCTAAAACATTCTCTTGTGATACTGTGTCTGGATAGCAATTTATGCCGTCCCAGTCCGATATAGAAACAGGATAAATGCAATGTTTAGCTCCTCTCTCCAAAAGTATCATTTGATAGCAACCCAGTACTCGGAGATATCACTTCCAACTTATCTTGGATCCTGATGCGCGATTTCAAGCTAATCTCCTGCCCTCCCTCCAAAGTCATCTCCAGAATCCTCAAAGGATCCTGGACATCAGTTTGAAGTATTCGGCGTACCCGACAATATCGAAAAATACTGGCCAAGGACCCAATAAGAAACAAGATATACACGCTCAACCATCCCCAAGACGCCCCGCCAAGTTTAGCAATAGTCACCAAAGCGGTGACGCCCAGAGCTGGGACGCCCCCCGCAGCACGCAAGTTGTAGGCACGGTCATAATCGGACTTTTCAAGGTCCTGCCGCGAAAGACTGATCAGCGCTTCTCCCATCTGGCTGAAGATCTTTTCCAGGTTCCTCCTGAGCGTCTCTTTGCCGCCCTGGAAAGACGACGGTGTGTGGATGCCGACAGCCTGCCAGGCACGAACGAGACTGCCGCCCCCTTGGTTGGAAAGGAGGTCGTTCATGGAGTACGCCAGCATTTTCTTGGTGGCAGTGTTGATGCTCGAGCTGTTCCTTTTCTCGGCTACGATTCTCAGTGGGGAGACGCGAGAATCGACCGACACGGATGCGACGAAATCATTGCCGGAGTATGTACACTCATACACGACTGCCTCGCTCGCGTCGAACGGGACGGCTATTGTCAAAATTGGTACGCCGCGTTGGTAGATCAGGGCAGAGCCGATGGCGAGGACGTCGAGCTCGGAAGAGAGGGCCAGGTGGGCCCCTTTCTGGGTGTCAATTTCATAGTACCAGCGGGTGAAATTTCTCCCACTGTTCGATGTCGTATCGATCGTCAATGTGTGTTGCGCATCGGTGCATGTAACGTCGATGTGCGTGCCGAATACGTCCCCGTAGAGTTTGTTAAATGTGTATGTGGCGGGGACATCGAATCCGATCCGTGGGCGTCCTGTGTAGTCTAGGTAGGACGATACGTTCAGGCCAATGCCGCTTGTACGCAAGGTGGGATATAATGTGTCCCCCAATGAGCCAGATTCTGGCAACCATTTCGACAGGACTGGATAAACTGACTTCCACTTCACGGCTGTATTGAGTCCCGCAATATACGCACTCCTAAACAAGAACGCATCTAAAGTCGCGAGATTGTAGGTATCTGTCGCGAGGTCTGGTGAAGCATCTAGCGCCTCATCCTTGGCCTTGAGAATCGTTGCCAAGGGCCAGCTCGCTGTTGGATTATAAAGTGGTTGCTCCACATTATGAACGCCAAATATGGCCACAGTTGCTGTAGTAGATAATGTCGCCACAGTTGTAAGGAATAGGAGGAACATACGAGTGGCATGGGACCAGCCATTTCTAAGTTGGTCCAGTCCACGCGGTATAGTTAATGGACGGAGATAAAAGGGAGCGACGCCTTCTTTGCGAAGGATAGCTTCCCGCGTGAGCAACCCATCGTCAAAAGCAAGGCCTGCCGTCACCAGTATCCCAACTGCGGTTCCTAAAACAGTGCAGCCGACATTCCACTGGGATGCGCTAACATTGATGGCTGGGAAACCGGGCGTGGAGACTTCACCGGCCACTGGCTGTTTCACGTTCACATAGACTGCCAATGCCAAAAGCGCTGCCACTGTTACAGTCACAAGCGAGCTGATTACCAAGACCATCGACTGATATTTGATCTTCCCCATGCTGGGCGTGTGGTTTGAACATGGGAAATCAAGAGCCTCTATCGAGACCTGTTCATGAAAAGACAATGAAACTTTAATCACAATAAGGTAGACGAGGCTTTCACGGGGCTTAAAAGTGGCACATATCCAGCAAGGACTTGACGCCAAGACACTACCTGTGAGATTCTCGTATTCTGATCACTAATTCTCTCCGATGGTTAAGCTAGTGCCGGGGCATTGATCCCCCTGGTATTTCCTTGATTGAGTAACTAACTGTGGGCTATAGGATCTGCAGGGTTCAGCGGAGGCTCGAGGGTCACACCCAACATCAGGGGCCCGAGAGCTGCATCCTGGACGCTGTGTTCAAAATACTGATGAGCCATCAAAAGAGACTCCAAAGATATCTATGTACGTTGGAGGACTAGACATTGGGACTACCAAGAGTCACAGAGAGTGGTCTAGCTACCAACGACAATCCCGTTTCTGGGAATAAACAAGACCAGGTAAAGTATAAGATCCACGTCATCAAGGCATATCAGAACACACTATGTAGGGAGATAGATATAACCATAACGTTACTCTCCTGCTCTACCTGACTCATCCTATTTACTTACAATGCCCTCAACCACCATCTCCTCCCTAACTACCCCATGCCGACACAAACTCCTCATAAGTCCAATAATCCTGCTTCAGCCCCTTCCCCCCGTCGTCATCTTCTTTGATAGCTGAGCAATAAGAAAATAGGAACAGCAGATCATACATGCGCCCTGTTGGGCTCATATTTATGGCCTGGAGTCAAGTGAAAGTGGGAGGGCGGCGATCTGGGAGAGAATCCTTGCCCTATTCTGACCCATATCACCCACACTCATCCTAAGATTAAATCCGACGCCATTTAGAGCTCAGGGCGCATTGAGAATTGGCCGCGTACTATAATGGGCTTTAAGTACGGCTGAGCGGACGGGAAGCCCGGTTTCCCCCCTCCTATGGTCGTATGTGCTAGAGTTAGAGAAAGAGAGAGTACTAAAGATATCGGCTGCCATGCGATGAATTTCTGGTGTTTTACCTCTTCTAGCCCTATTAACGAGGATGAAGTATCAGGTGATATGATATTAACCAGCGCAGAACCGCTCGGAAACCAGATCCCTGAAGAAAGGCCAAATAGCAGGGAATCTACCGATCCTTGCAGGTCACTGTCTACCCCCTAACTAACCCCTGAATCGTAGTCTCAAAGTCCTCCGGCTCCCTCCCCAGAATCTCCCCCAGAACAGGCGACACAACCGCCGTCTCCCCGCCCGGATCGCCTCCCAAGCCGTCGCCCACTCCCTCGACAGATTCACCCCGTGGTACGTATGCTTATCCCCAATCTGCGGCAGCGCCACATACTCATCCACCGTGATCTCCCGGATCCGCACAGGCTTCCCAACCGCCCGCCCCAGAACCTCCGCCGTCTCGGCCAGACTCACCTCCCTCGGCCCCGAAAGCAGCACCACCCGATTCAGATACGGGAAGCCGGACGGGTTCTTCGCATACGCATAGACCATCTTCGCGGTGGCCTCGCCCAGCTCGTCGCGTTTCGCCCATGCCACCCCCGGCCCTGTCCCCGGGTGCGGGATCGTGATCTCCTCGACGGGATTGTGCGGGTCGAACCACGCCGTGTAGATCGGGAAAGACTCGGAGTAGAGGCCCTCGCGGATGGCGGTGTAGGTGAAATGGCCAGGGAGTTCCGCGAGGTACTTTTCTGTCGCAAGGTGGGCGCCCATGACGTGCGCTAGGCTGGATTCCCCCAGGTCGCCGGCGAAGGCGAGGGAGGAGTAGAAGATGTGTTTGACGCCGCTGCGGCGCGCGGCGTCGATGGCGGCTTTGTGGCCTGGTTGGTTTGCGTTAGCTTGAGCAAAAAGGGTTTAGGATTGAGGGGAGTACCTCTACTCGGTGTTGAATCTCAAAGGAGGCGTAGGAGATTAGCATCAGGACGCCGACGTTGTCGAAGACGCGCTCGAGTGTTGCGCGGTCATCGTAGTCTGCTCGGCGGATTGTTGCGCCCTCGCGGGAGAGCGAAGCTAGCTTTTCGGGGTTGCGGGCGACGAGGATGAGTTGTGAGGCGGGGACGAGCTTGACGAGGTGGTTGATGATGCTTGTTCCTAGGCCTCCGGAGGCTGGGAAGACGCCGATTTTCTGGCTCATCTTGTTGCGTTTGTGTTGATGGCTATGATGTAATGGTAGTGGTGGATATCGTCGGGCTGAGGGACCTTAAGTTGTATATCAATTGAACAATTGGTGGTGCTTGTATGTAGTCAAGAATATGGTCTGGATATATGATCTGGAGATATTTCCTAATAATACATTGGTGCAAATGCTGATGTCTGATGTCTGATGTCTTGATGCTGTCAGTCTGCAGGTGATGGTTCCGACGCGGATTACCAATCGCGATGCTCCACTGACGGGGGTGTCCTATCCAGGGGACCAATGATAATAATACAAACGCTGGCTACATCTTGTTATAAGCCAGAATGAATCGCTCCCCATCATACTCCGACACGGTATAATACTCCTTGCGCACCTTATTATAACTCAAATCCTCGTTCCCCGCCATGAACCATCCGCTACGCAATTCTGCTGCTTTTCCAGGCTTCCACTTGAACATGTCCCCGGCTTTGGGTGACCGTCCATTGCTGCGCGAGAGGTAGAATGTGTTATCGTAGGAGAAGCCGCCCTGCATGCGCAAAAAGTCGGCGCAGTGCGCAAATGTGGCGGTGACGATGCTCTTGTCGTTGGTTTTGAGCTTGCCAGTGTCGGTGTCAAGTGGGTACTTCACGAGACGGATCGGGTCTTTGGATGAGTCGCGGATGAACTCGCCGACCAACAGCGTGTTGTCGCTACGGTCGACAGAGATCCAAGAGAAGCGGAAGGGGGATGAGGACCCCGGTGTCCATTTGTAGGATCTGTCGGCGTCAGTAACAATCATCCAGCCATCGCAGAAAATCGACATACCGAATCTGAGGAAGAACATAGAGGTATCCCGCCGCAGAGTACTTTCCACCCTTCTTTCCTACATCATCACCATCCTCAACCTGCCAGATCTTACTTAGATCAAACACCCGGACCCCATGCGACGTATCCACGACATACAGCCACTCTCCGTACCACGCAATCCCACCCGCATGCACTGGCACGGCAGCAAAATTATCGTCCGCAGTGGGCTCCACCAGTAGCACATGGCGGTACTTGTGCGTCTTGCGGTCGACAAAGCTCACGCGCACGCTTTTATCATCATCGCGGTGCCAGCTGACAAGCCACATCTCGCGGCCGTCCCATTTGCCTGAGGCTGAGGCATCAGCGGAACTGCTGATCCCCTGCGGCACCCATTTGGTAGTTGCCATGTCGCCGGAGTTCCACTTCCAGGCTTCCACGGGGCTCGTCCCGACAGGAGGCTTCCCCTTGACGAGGTCACGGTTGGCAGAGTCAAGCACGTGAGGGATGCTGACATTTTTGCCGGCCGAGGAGAATATATGAGAGAGTGAGGCTAGATGGGAGTTGTCATTGGTCTGTTGGAGGGTAAAGGCTGAAGCCGTGAGAGGGTCATTGCCTTTGGCGCAGAGACGGGGGTCTGCTGCACTGGTAGAGAGAAAGAGAGAGAGGAGACTGGTAAGGGCGAAGATGGACTTCATGGTGCGATGTTAGACCATTATGCTTGACTATTGCAGTCTCCATCACCCCTTATATAGACTTCGCATGGACGCCTGTTGAAATGATTTCTTTCTTGGCAGAGCTATGTTTAGCTGGATACGAGTTGTTCCTGTTGCGGATACGCGAACACGAGGATCGACACAATAGGGCTCGCTTCGGCTCCATACTTCGTGTTCATGTAACCCGCCTTACGGCTTTGGTCGGCGGTGCTCTAACATTATCAACCTGACTTCGGCGTGTTGAGTCGGAGACGAGGGGTCATATTTAGAACTAACCCCACACTCCTCGTATACAACATGAGGAGTAGCATTGAGTCTGTGGGAAGAGATGTAAACATAGGAAAGAGAGCTGCATGATGAAGATCCCATCACGTACAATCATTAGCAATATCATAATGTGGTTTGAGTCCTGATCTCAATATTTGCCCATAGATCTCCCCAGGTCATGTGACTCGGACTCTGGCCCAATCAATTGAAGTTCCCCGCGTCTTTCCGTCTTCTTCCGCTCTCTCGTTCATGCATCAGTTCCGTCTTCGAACCCCTCTTTATATCTCCAGGAGTGCACCTCACAGTCAGAGTCCATTAATTTTCGCTTTCTCTCGGTCTGATGAGAATCGTTCTGACCCGTTTAAAACCGTCCCTTGGGTCCACCATGCCTTGTGGATCTACTGCTGCCTCCCCACCTGGCGGGAGTTCCCGACGAGTGCCACCGCCACAGGAAGGTTGTTGTGCCGATGGGAGCTGGTGTGATGGTACGACTAATCCATTTTGCACTAAGCATGGGCAGTTCTGCTAAACCTCGATGTAGATGTTTGCATTGAAGTGGCTGCCTCCTACGAATGTAGCCACGCGTCCCACCTCGACGAGGCTGATCGAGGATGTGATACAGCGTGCTGCTCGCAGACTGAGCAGACATGCAATGGTCGCGAGGATTGCTGCAGCACCACCGGACTGAGAGCTCCTGAGAATACCTGTACCGACCAGTCCTGCCGCCCAAGCAACCACGGAACCAGCACACCTTGCGCAGGTGGGTTTGACAACGATGGTGCCTGTGGCGGCCAGTGCTGTGGTGAGGCTGACAACGAGGATGGAGACTTAGTTGGAACGGCAAAAGACAATTCAATGTCTGAAAGCGGCCCTAACTGCCAGAGCCAGTGCTGTAGCCCCGTGAAAGCTGACAAGCATGAACAAGGCGAATATGCTCTATCAAGCCGCGACGACGATGCGCATGCCAAAGTTGGCATTGGCTGCCAGATGAGCCGCTGTGACAAACCGTCTGATAAGCAAAAACGCAAAGGAGATGACGTTCTCGCTAGATGCGGAATTGACAACGATGATGAGAATTGCTGCGCGTCTAAGGCTGAGCAAGACGACCGAGCTCGCAACGATAGTTGTTGCTCTCCTGGCCGTAGCTGTAGCCTTTCGCAAGTGAGTATTGATCATCTGGTGAAATTCAACAGACTAACGTGTATAGGCAACGCGCCAGACCACGCCAGGAAAGCAAGCATGCGCAGGGAATACACCGTTTCGTCAAGCCTGCGCCTCTCATCTAAGACTTGCCTTCGAAAAGTATGCCTCGTATCTTGAGACTGGGCGTTGTATCTGCCGAAACGTCCTCTCCCAGTCCAATGTTTGCTGCGACAAGGAAGTTCGATCCGCTGCCATCAGCGCTGGCATGAGTTCGTCAGTAGAACTGGGTCCAAGTAGATCCGCTTCGGCTGTTTTGACCAAACGCCGTGATACCCTACTTGATAAGCTGTCTACCGATCTAAGCGTTAGCGAGATACACTCTCGCTGTTCCATTGAGGTAATGTCAGATAAGATATTGCCAAAAAGCGCTGCAACCTTGACCAAGCAGCCCGACCCGGAGATGGCTGCAGCTCGCGAAACAGTCCGATTCACTATCACAGGCATGACTTGTACTGGATGTTCCAACAAGGCTTTGAAGACCCTCAACAATTTGGACGGCATTTCCCGAGCTGAAGTTGTTTTCATTTCCTCCATGGGGGAAGTAGATATCGACCCGCATGTCACATCGGCTGAGACCGTACTTCGCCAGCTTGAGCGCGAAACTGGATTCAGTTGCACCCGCATTGTGCAGGACGAGCAAGTTCTCGATGTCCTTATGCCTGCTCATTGCGCAAAGCAGTTGCAGGACAGACTGCCTACGGGAATCACCTCCATCACCAAAGCAGGTCAAACGTATCGTGTCGCATTTGATCCCGTGGTTATTGGGGCTCGGTCGGTGCTCTCAACCATGCCAAATGGCAGACTGGCTCCACCACAGGATGCGTCCCTTGCAAAAGGGAAGAAAGAGCTTCAAAGATTGGCGTGGAGTACTGGACTGGCAACAGTTTTTACTGTTCCCATTCTTGTCTTTGCGTGGGCTGACATATCCACGTCGTATTCTAAACGCTCAATCACCTCGTTGGTCCTTGTTACCATTGTCCAAGCAATTGCAATTCCGGAATTCTACGTTGGTGCATTGAGGTCTCTTATATTTAGTGCAGTGGTCGAGATGGACATGCTGGTAGTCATCAGCATCACTGCTGCTTACGGGTATTCAGTTGTCGCTTTCGCCTTGACTCATGCCGGTCACCAACTGGAGCAAGGTGAATTCTTCGAGACGAGCTCTCTGCTCATCACCCTTGTACTTCTAGGGCGGTTGATCGCAGGCGCCGCAAGAGCTAAGGCTGTTTCCACCGTATCTGTCACGTCTCTCCAGGCGGAGACTGCCTTTCTTGTACATGCATCTGGTGAATGTCAAGAAATAGACGCACGACTACTTCAGTTAGGTGATACTATCTTGATCCGACCGCATTCGCGGATTGTGACAGATGGTGTGATCGTCAAAGGCACCAGTTCAGTCGATGAATCCATGCTCACAGGGGAGAATCTGCCTGTCGCCAAAGGCCCTGATGACCCCGTCACGGCGGGTACGATGAACGGCCCTGGCCCTCTCACCGTTCGGCTTACCCGTCTGCCAGGTCAGAACAGCATAAGCGATATCGCCAGACTAGTAGAAGATGCCATAGCAGCTAAGCCTCGGGTGCAGGATCTGGCCGACAAAATCGCTGGTTGGTTCATTCCCGCCGTTGTCGCCATTGCGATCATCGTTTTCGTCATTTGGATTGCGATTGCCCTCAAGGTTCGAGGGAAGAATGCTGGTGGTGCCGTTGGCCAAGCGATCACTTATAGTATCGCCGTACTGGCTATCTCCTGTCCCTGTGCCCTTGGCCTGGCTGTTCCGATGGTCTTGGTCATTACAGGCGGGGTTGCCGCTCGAGCTGGCGTTGTTGTCAAACAAGCCGACGCAACGGAACGAGCTTTCAAAGTGACTGACGTCGTTTTCGACAAGACTGGGACACTTACCACTGGTGTATTAGAGGTCGTGAGCACGCAGATTTTGACTGAAGCCTTTGGCTCTGAAGAGATCAGTTCTCTTGTGTATGCCTTGCTCAAAGACAACAATCATCCTGTAGCGTTAGCCGTTCGGTCTTTCCTACAGCAGGCACAGGTCTCACCGCTGGAATTAGAAAATATTGAGACAATTCCAGGTGCTGGCACTCAAGCATTGTGGAAAGGGATGACCATCGGAGGGGGCAATCCCTATTGGCTAGGCATTGAAGATGATCCCTCAGTGATTGCACTTGCGCGTCAGGGCATGACTCTTCTTTGTA